CTGTGCAGGCTGGTGATGGCCCGGGGCATGACTCGCCGCCATGTGCGGCCGACGTAGTTGTTCCCAAAGGGGGTTGACAGCTTCGCATGGTGCCGGGATGGGCAGCCTGCCAGCGACTCCTGTGGCGGCGGATCTGCAACGGCCGTGGTTCCCAGTCCCCCCCGCTCGGCGTTGACGGCTGCAGCGCCAACCGGGGCCTGTCGAAGAGCCTTGTGCTTCAGCCACCTGGTTGAGAGATGAAAGTGTAGCAAGATGGCGGGCCAAGGGCGAAAAGGGGTTCGTTGCCGCCTGATGCGGTTTTTTCCCCTGGGCAGATTTGGTTTGACGTGGCGTCGGTGTTGCGCTCGTTGTTCAGTTTTATAGCTTAGCGCGGCGCCACGGCCATGACATTGGCAACGCAGAGATGGCAAGGCGTTTTGCTACGAAGTGCTCGCACCGACGTTTGTATACTTGGGCGTCTTCCTGGGCGCGCACAAAGTTGCTCCCACAGAAATACCTAGCAATAGCAGTATCAATGGTTGTTGGTATAGGACAAACCATGTCCGTCTTCCGTTCACCTTGACTGCGTCTCCCGTCACTTTTGACTCCGCCTCAGATGCAGTCACGGCAAGCCTCTATGGGACCATGTCAGCACCACCGCAACGGCATCAGTGGATATTGACGGCTAAAGTGCGCTGCTGGCGCTGGGCCTTTTGGAAACTGCTCGGAAATGGTGATCGATTTGACGAAGAGCCCCGAATGCTTTCGAGGGGACGGCGATGCGCACCGAGACCGAAGCGCAGTAGCGCCTAGCCGCCCTGGAATCTCAATTCGCCTGCTGTACGTCCCGTTCGTAACGGTGCTGGTGTGCTTGTCTGCTACAGAGAGCCCAGTCTAAAATTTCGGATTGCAGCCCGCCACATTCTGACTCTACCACTCTACACTCTAGAGTACAGGCTCCCGACTCCGGCTGGTGCTTCCGTCGGACCCGCTATAACTTCCGAAGTCCAGCGATCCGTCAGCTCGGCAAGACCCGCCGCGCTGCCCCGCCCCCGCCGTCCAAAGTCCAAGTCCATCTCCAAGCCGAAACACCTCCGAGGTGACATTGCACGCCCTTCGTCAACCCGCTCGCCTACTCCTGCGCGTCGCCTTCCCGCCCTCGTCGCGACAATTGAACCTCACCACCGACGCAGACGCGTGCGAACCTTCAAACCGCAACCATGCCCTCCGACCCCTCCGCCGCCGCGCTCGCGCACCTCCTCCCCCCCAGCTGGAAGACGCAGGTCACGGCCTGGCTCGCCGAGGACACGCCCTCGTTCGACTACGCCGGCTACGTCGTCGGCGAGGCGCCCCGGACCGCCACCCTCTGGGCCAAGTCCGCCGGCGTCGTCGCCGGCCGGCCCTTCTTCGACGAGGTCTTTGCGCAGTGCGGCTGCGCCGTCGAGTGGCACCTCGACGAGGGCGACGACGTCGACCCCGGCGCCGCCGGCAAGGTCAAGGCCGCCACCGTCACGGGCCCCGCGCGCGGCATCCTCCTCGGCGAGCGCGTCGCCCTGAATACCATTGCCCGCTGCTCCGGCGTCGCCGCCCGCTCGCGCGCCCTCCTGACCCGCATGCGCGCCGCGGGCTACACCGGCATCCTCGCCGGCACGCGCAAGACCACGCCCGGGTTCCGCCTCGTCGAAAAGTATGGCATGCTGGTCGCCGGGGTGGACGGGCACCGCACGGACCTCAGCTCCTGCGTCATGCTCAAGGATAACCACGTCTGGAGCAGGGGTTCGATCACGGACGCCGTGCGCGCCGCCAAGCGTGTGGCCGGCTTCAGCTTGAAGATTGAGGTCGAGGTGCAGTCCGAGCAGGAGGCCGACGAGGCCATTGAGGCGGGCGCCGACATTGTCATGCTCGACAACTTTACCGGCGACGGCGTCAAGGTCGCCGCGCGCAGCCTCAAGGAGCGGTGGCAGGGCAAGCGCCATTTCTTGATTGAGGTGTCTGGCGGCCTGAGGGAAGACAACGTAGAGCCCTACATCTGCAACGGTACGTTACCCCCGACTGGAGGAGGAGCGAGCGCTAATCCATGCAGATGTGGACATTGTGTCAACGAGCTCGATACACCAAGGCGTCACGCATCTCGACTATTCGCTCAAGATCGAGCATTAGGTACTCGCATGAACGTGTTCATACTGTACTATAGCGCTGCGTTGATCTAGACCATCTCGACCCTATTTGCCTGCCTCGGAATCCTTGGCTTTGGATTTGAATAGCCCCGTTAGCGCCTTGCTGAGCCTTCGTTCCACCTTGTCCATAGACGACGCCTCACCGTGGCTTGGCACCTCGCCACCTGTGCTTGGCTTTTGAGAATCGCTCAGGATATCCCGAACCGGCTTGCCTGCTTCGTCGCCGCTGCCACAGCACTGTACCAATACGCTCGACTGGTTGCGGGTAGACGGCACATCCAGGGCGGGATTGCTTGTGAAGAAATCAGCTGGACGCAGGTGGATCTGATAAGCCTCGACGGGCCTGAGCATGTCGTTAGCCTGTGCACCTCGAAGAAAGGATAATGGAGCCTCAGGCCACTTACATGACAGGCCAGTCCTCGACTCTTGGGTTGTGGGTGAACCCATACACCGGCCATAGCACTGGGCCGCTCTTCTTGCCCGATGCCGGGTCCTGGGGGCCTCCGTTGGCATCGCCATTACTCGGACTTCCATCGTCAGTAAACCAGTCTCCGCGCGCAAGCATGTCCCCGACACCGCCCTTCTCGCGACGGCTCTGGTTCGTAAACTCTCCCGCAGCCCACAGCTCCCCGTCTCGGTAGCCCGTCACCCACATGTTATGCCTGGCGAAAGGGGCTCGTTTGGCCAAGATGCTGTCCTCGTCGGCCATCATCATCTGCGTCGCCGGCGCCAGCAGCTTGTACCCGACGTTCTTCCCAGAAACCTCATTCTGCTTGTGCGGATTCTCGAGCCTGAACACCCGGTTGACCCTGGGTTCGGCGTCGATCCACTTCGGCGCCGCTACAGTCGACCTGCGGACCTCGTACAGGTTTCCAAAGGGATTCGTCTTTGCGTCAATCTTGGCGCCGTGGCTCTCCTCCACGACGACCTGCGTGTCGCCATCCCTGTACGAGTCGATGGCCGGGTCGATGCGCGCGGCAAAGATGTGCTGGTGGTTCTGCGCGAGCACGCCCGGCGACACGACGTTGCCGTAGTTGCTCTGCTTTCCCTCGTCAATGGCGACCACGCTGACGATGCCCGTCGCCCTCGTCTCGAGGGTGATGCCGCCCGCGAGGTCGAGCTTGAACGCAAAGACGTATTCGTAGTTGGCGAGCGTCGCGATGAATTGCACCACGAGCTCCCGGGAGCGCGTCACCACGGCGCGCCCGGTTCGGAAGTTTGTGTGCTTGAACAGGATGCCGTTGTCCTGCTCGTGCAGGCAAATGACGGACTTGGCCTCCGTGGGCGACCCGTCGGGGGATGCAATGTAGCTGCTCTGGTAGTGGATCGCGCCCAGGCAGTCGCAGCCCAGTTCGAGGACGTTGGCCGCCCGCCCACATCCACCGTCTCCAAAGTCAAAGGCTTGTTTGCGATGGAATGGGGGCCGCGGATCACCGTACGGTACCGTGAGCTCGCTGTAGCTGAGCCTGTACATCACCGGGCGATTCAAGTAGCAAACATCGTGCAGCACGGCACCCTCACGAGGTGTAAAGCCGAGCCGGAACCGCCAGTTCTGCCACTCGACGAGACCGTCCGACCGCACAGTGAATGAAGCCCCCTCTGGCTGTACGACGTTCAAAGGTTTGAGGTCCGATCGCAGTGGTCGATCCAGGAGCTCCGGGACGTACTCGGCCGAGCGAATGTTTCTGAATAGCTTCTTGGGCGCGTCGCCGCGTGGTGCGGGCTCGATGCCGTCCCCGGCGCCGCCCGTAGCGAGCCGGTCAACTCGGATGACCTTGAGCGTGACCCAGTCTATGATTGGAATGATGGGGATCGGGAATCCGTAGTGGTTCGTATCGTCATTCTTCTTGGATGCGTCCTTGGCAAAGACGAGGCCCTGCATGTAGCGCGGCTCGCCGGCACCGTCCGCGCCGCCGCACGGCCACGGGTCGACGGTTATGACGAAGCCCTCGGGGAGGGAGAACTCTGTCATGGCCTCCTTGAACAAGTCTGAGTTGAGGATGATGTCCTCGCACTTGGCGAACTCGGCCCTGCAGTCATTGTTAGTTAACGCACGCGGAGTGAGCGCGGGGGACATGCAAGGTGAAGTATGGGTAGGCCTCATCGATCGTATACTCGCTGGACATAATCTCCCCTGTGCCCAGGTGAACGACGCTCCGTACATTCTGGTGCTTATCTGGCTTCACAATGTCATAGTCGACGAACGCACACCTCGGCGGCCGCTCCGTCGCATCGGTGAGGGTGCCCGCGTGCTCAATCTCAAGGAAAGGAACCAAATCTTCCTTCCTGGGCTCCTGCAGGTAGATGGACCGGAAGAAGAGCGACTCGCTCGCGTCATGGGACTTGACGATGACTTCGCGCGCCTTGCTGAACTCCTCCTTGGAGAGCTGCGCCAGCGGGTGCGGCGGGGGAGACGGGACGGAGCCCATGTTAGGTCGTTGGGCTCGTTATGAGACTGAGCAGTGCTAGGTCAAAGAAAATGTTGGGAGTTCATTCATGGATTAGGGTCGGGATCAACTACCGGTGCAGTCTATTTGTTGTTGCTGGCAAGTTGCGTGCGAGCGCTCGGGTCACACGTAAGACGATGTCAGATGTCCATCACACTTGCCCAAGACTCGGTATCAATCGTGCCCCTCATTCGCGACGACAGGATCGGAGGGCGCGCGCGGGCCCCCGCAGTTGCATTGGGAAGCTGCCGAGACGCCAGCGCTGCGCAAAAGCAATGGTTTTGGGCACTGCGTTTGGAGCTGCCGCGCCCCCAGGCCACAGCCGACGGCCGAGCAGCGCGAATGCTTATCCATTCGCATAGACCTTGTGATTGCTTGTATCTTGCGGCATCTTTGGCATTATGAGCAATTGACCGTCGTTCATCGCAGGACTGAAGCCCCCCTTCGGCATTTGCCTTCCTTAGACGGCTGATGCGGGGCCGCGTGGTGGGCCCAAATGCCGTGGTGGTCTCCCGGTCGGCCGCGGAGACCGAGGCCCTCTTCGGGGCTGGGGCGGAGACCCTGGACCGGTCCGGCAGTGGAGGCCAAAGCAAGTCGTCACTCCATCGCACGTGAGATTAGAAGCTGGGACATTCAATGGGCACAGGCAACACAATGACCCTGACACTCAGGGTTCACATGAGAACTATGAGAGAGGCGATGGACACGACAGCCATGAAAGGTATGGCGGCCTGGGAGATGCAAGGGGAAGGACAGATATACGTAGCAAGAACGAGAGGAACGAGAGGAACGAGCCGCAATAGAATAGTGCGCGGCAATGTATTACTCAATATCCAGCCCAGAATGCCCTTCAGGTTGCGGCCTACCAACCCCCACCGTCACCACTCTACCCGCTTTGTACAAGGCTTTATAAACATTGTGAAGCATGCCTGCCTTCATCCAATGCTTCTTGCCGTCCTCGCCAACTACCGAAAACGTGTAGTGGTCTTCCTTCTTGGCCCTCTTCCCAAGTGTCTTGGCCCTGGTTGTGCCTGTTCCATCCACTGGACCTGCGACGTTGATGTCGCCAAACACGACAAGTCCGCACCGATGACGGCTGAGCATCACATTCAAGCGCTGCTGGTTCGTCGTGAAGCCGGGGCCGCTTGTTTTTGACGTTCCCATGACGAGAAAGACGATGTCACCCTGGCGACCTGGCTCAAACATGGACGCTGGCGGCATGTCGGCAAGACTGGCGTATTCGGGCGACGCCCGATGGCGAGAAACGAGCCCGACATTAGCCAAACTCGTCGACATGATGATGATCTGGCGAGGATCGACGGCCTGGCAGCTGACGAAATCGCGGGCCAAATCGAGCGCAATCTTGACTTGGTCAAGGCTCTCATAGGTCTGCCTGTTGCAAAATGACCCCTTGCAGTGGACAAAAACAGGCTGCAATGACCCATCTGGAGCGGGCGATATGTCCGGGAATCTGCCTTTGAGAAAAGCCTCCAGGTCTCTGCCGATTTTGTGATGCGGCAGGCCAATGTCGCTCCGAGGGCCATAGACAAGGGGTATCTCGTTGTAAACCTCACTATGACAGAGGTCGAACAACCCTTCAGCCATTCGCAGCTGTGTTCGCAGTCGGTAAATGGGCCAGCCAGTGGCCTTGAAGAACATAAACGGTAACACATTGCCGTTGGGACCAGGGCATAGAGGATGATCGCCAACACGCTGCGTGTCATTTCCGAAAATGTTGGGAATGTCCTCGAAATCTGCGGAGGGCTGATACTCATCGCCAGCGAGAGGGCACGGCAAACCCTTGGTCCAGATCGTCGACAGGTCTTTGACGCTGGACGCTTCGTCAACGGCAACGCCTGTAGACCGCTTTTTCCACTCGGCAATGTTGTGCAGCAAAGACATGGCGGGAGTGGCGCAGACGACATCGGCGGAACGAAGAACGGACTGCATGGCCGACACAATTCTGTCGTCGGGAACCATTTCACCTTCGCAATATTGAGCCCAGTCCATAAACCCAGTCGCCATGTCTCGAATTCTCCAAAGGCCCGGATTGCTGTGCGTGCTGTCGTAGAACCAGCCAAGGGCATCGGGCATGGCACCAACGTCGAACCGCTCAGTTGCCTTTGAGCGCAAGGCGACGAGGACCCAAAACGCCAAGGACAGGTGCAGGTTTGAGTCGGACGAGACAGCGTAATCGGTGGTTTTCACGGCACCGTCTATGTCTTGGGGGTGCTGCAACAAGTGCTTGAAGGCAAAAAGCTCGTCCGAAATCGCATGAGGACGGACGATGAGCGGCTTCCGAACCTGGTTTCCAACTGGACGGCTTGCACTACATCGGGCCGCAACAGCACTGGCGATTTGTTGGAGTCGGGATGCAAACTTGTCCACAGCAGTCTGTGTAGGTGCGCTGCAGTAGATCCGTCCGAGGCTATAAACCATTGCTATCGTGCCAATGGCGAGGGTTGTGGTTTTGCCAAAGCCGGGACCCTAAAGAAAGTCAGCATGTCAAGACTCAAAGCCAACGTGGACACGGCTGTACTTACACCTGTTATGACGCCGAAACCTAGCGGCCGGCCGGAGAGGTACTTGCGATATCTGGCTCGATCTTCAGGGAGCACGTCTTCCATGAGCGCATCAACAAGGTCTTCCGGTATGCCAAGGAGGTTGATGACGGGGAGACACGCGTGACTGAGGCGAGGCGTGGAGTTGTCGGTTGCCTGTTCCTTTGTCGCCAGGTCGTTCTCGCAGAGGGACCTGTGGAAGCCCACACCACGAAGCAAGTCATCATGAAAAGCCATGTCCACATTTCCGTGCAAACTGTGATCCGACTTCCAAGTCCATGCCCTGTCCAGGCGCGTTTTTCGATGGCGAGGGCAGCCTGGTATAGTCGACATGTCTCTTGGCAACATCGACGGACAGCGCCACGGCGATTCGAAATGTCCTCTGCTCAAGGACATCCAACAGCGACAGGCCTTCTACCATTGGTATGTTCTCGTTAAGCCATTCGCCACAAGGATGATATTGGTTCGCAAATGGGACTCCATAGCCCTCTATCGTGATTTTGGCGTCACTATGCAAGCGTAGCTCCAGAATTGTGAGGTCTTTGAATGCCGTGGACATGCGAGAAACTAAATCTGCGCTGGCGGACGTAGCAACACAATCGAACTTGTCGCGAGGGAATTTGACCCGGACGCGGTGAGTCGTAGCTGGCTTTACCGTATATGGCCCGGACATCACTGTGATACGATTAGCCATCAAAATATACAACGCCTTGAATGCACCGAAACCTACCATGATGTATCATGCCAAAGCCATTGTCCTCGTTTAACGGGCCGATGGGGAAATGCAGTTCCAGACCAATCCACGGGTCCTGCCCTGGAGGACAGGTCGAGACGAGGGCGATGTGTATTATGCCGTCAAACTTGACGCCGCCACCGAAAACAGCATTTCCAAGCAAAAGGGCGCAAGGACGGAGTAGTGTCTTGGATTTGGTCTCTTGAGGCGTCGCATCGGCAACAGGGGCTGCCTGCTCTTGGCCTTCGGCCGGGGAAACGTTGGACGTGGGCGAAGTCATGATGGACAAACGTTTGCTGAGCGTCGTGAAGTATCGAAACGACAAAACCGACTCGAAAGTCTACTCAAAGAGTCTCCAGTACCCGTGCAAGCACGAAGCAAAGGGCCAGCGTCCTAGGACGACTAGCGTGAGACTCTCAGAGTATTCCTCCGAGAAAGTAGTGCCGTCAGGCTCGTCCACTCCGCGAAAACGCAGAGAACAAGATGAAGACAAAAACGTCTTCGAAAACGCGGCGGGGAAGATACGCAAACGCAAGAGACAAAGATCGCCGGCGGGCGACTCGGAAACGGTGGGCGTGTGGGAGGGGAAAAAGGGCGGAGGGTCGAGGCATCTGTGGGCGAATTTTATCAGTGAGCGGCCAGCTGTGCGCAGCTGTCTGGTGGTCCGTGCGTCGCAACCAGCAAACGCTCCAGGCATGTCAACCTCAGGCAGCACTATTCCTCGAGGGCGCACAGCAATAGGTAGACTTGACTCGAGAATCGTAGCTTCGTTTTATTTCAACTGAAAAGCCTTGCTAGAGAGAGCCTGGAGCACCCGCGGCCATCTTCCGTTGCCGTCACCTCACCAGCTTAATAAACGTACCGGAACTGGGGAATCTCCTTGTCCGTCTTGTCCATGAGGTTGGCCATGAGCCCTGCGTCAACAGTTTCGGCTTCTGCATCTCCTCCGATGCTGAGTGTGTCACGTCGACGGTTCTCCCGTGCCAGGTATACCCGCAAGAGAACGCACGAGATCAAGCCCACGCCGAAACAGACAATCATCGCCATGAAGCCCGATGTGTACTTGGGAGCCTCTCGTGCAAAGAAGAGTTGGGGTCCAATAATGTTTCCCGCGCAATATACCACGAAAGACTGATGTATTTGTCAGCAAAGACTGCCATTGCGAGTGTTGCTAGCACACTTACGGTGGCATTGACAGTCATCTTCTTGGTGAAGCCACCAAAGTTACCGGATGCCAACGACATGACCAGAGGGAAGTTGGCACTGAATGCCAATATAAGGCAATATCCTCCATATCTACTCCACTTCTGCTCCGGTGGTAGCTGTCGCACCATGCAGGAGCCTACAATGGCCAATGCAAAGTTGAACATCATGAAGTATGTCCGCGTGTTGCGGAAGTATGTGCTGCCACCCGTGGCTAGCAGAACGAGAATAAGTTGCGAGAGATAGCTAGCACTCGTCAATAAAAGCGTCGGCAGTGTGTCGAACCCGAGACCCTCTTCGATGACGATAGATCCGAACTAGGTCATCATCAGTCAGCCGATATCTTCAGCCAGAGTCTGAAAGGAATCGTACGGAATGAATGCCTCCGTTTGGTATATTTCCGCAAGTCTGGATCAACACAATGAACCAGGTTTTGGGGTCGAGTAAAGCCTCGCGGCATTGGTGCCACTTGAAGTGGTTGTTCTTGATTCCGGTCTGGTTTTCCGTCACTCTCGCCACCGCCTTGGCGCGGTCCTCCTCGCTCAGGAAATAAGCCGTCATGGGCACGTCAGGTAGCAGGAAGAAGACACCGACCGACCAGGCGACGGTCGCTCCACCGAAGATGAGGAAAACGGCCTGCTCGTCTCTTGAGCACTATGTTCCACGCGCTTCTTGCTGGCAGGGAGACATACCTTCCAAGTGGCAATACTTTGCACATGACCAATCCCATAAGCAGTCAGTCCTCCAACGACCCCTGCAGTAGTGTTGCCTAAGAACCATGCCGCGTGCCGGAGTGGTTGCTCGGAGCGCTTGTACCACATGGCCACGATGACGGTCAACCCGGGGGCGATGGGCGACTCGCATACCCCCAACAGGAAGCGCACCGCGAGCAGACCGGCGGCATTCGAAGTAGCGGCCGTTAGCATGAGCATGGCGCCCCAGAAGACTCTTCGCGACTGCGTCAGCTTGTAGTCCCTTCATGTTGGCAGAAGAGGTGATGGGCTTGCTCACACCGCAACGGCAATCGTCTTGCCCACCTTCCAGCGCACCATGATCATACCAGCCGGATAAGACGCAATCAAGTACCCAAAATAGTAGATGCTCGACGCCCAGGAGAAATCTTGGCCGGATAGTCGCAAGTCCTCCCGGAGACCCATGATGGCCGTGAAGCCAAGGGCGGACTTGTCCAGAAATTGGAACATGTACGAGAACGCCATGACGGGCAGCAAGCTATGACAGCGACGCAATTAGCCTCCGTTCCCACCTGAACCTCTGAGGGCCTCGGTACTTACCACATGTCAATCTTCCGCAACAACCTCTTATCCTCCTCTGGGGTCAGCTGCTCCGCCGAGACGGTTCCCGCCGCGACAATCTCCTCATCCTTGGTGTATTCCTTCTTTTCAGCCATGGCAGTGTATGGCTCGTGTGCGTGATCGCGAGGAAAGAAAATCTGCGGACGGAGCCGGCTGTGGTGTTACATGTGGCCGGGGCGGCGATACAGGTGGTTATGTACGGGGCCCGACTGACACATCTCGCGCCACCCTGCGTTATTGGTCTCACAAAAGATCGGCCGGGCGAGGAGCCAGTATCGTCGATATGACGCGCAGCCAATCCATTGATAGCACACCTCTATCGACTCGTAGGCAGGGATGTCGCGTGGTCGGGGTCCCGGCGTCACTACGTACACCAGCGCGATGTCCTGATGCGTTCGCGATGCACGCTGTGCCGGGAACAACAGCCGGGCAGTTAGCGGACGCCACGTCGACGCCGGCGGCGGCCAAGCCGGCGGAGAGGACACCGCGAGGGGTCATGAACCACCATTGATGTACAAGACGATGGCAATCACTTATCAAAAGCGGCACGGCGGGGCCGCTCGAGTGCTATCGCGGTAAGACAGAAGCGCGGCGCGCCATCTCCGCTCAGTTGTCCGCGCGCGAATGGGAGACTGGCAAGATATCACGGGAAAGCTGATCCCCGCCCAGGCCCGCTTCCCCAGACTATCTGCCGATCCCGCGGTGCCAAGCGCCAGGACCTGGGATATTAAACGACACACTCTCCTGATCTCCTCTCCAATTTTGATCACGACAACAAGCCAGCAAGGCAAAGCCTCGGGTACAGTCATCAATGCATAATGGTTCATGGATGCAGGTTGGATTCGTGCCCGGTCACTGGGGACATTGCTACCGGCTACCGCAGCTTCCAATGCATGCTCCATGGTTACACGGTTGTACCTGACGGCGTGGGGGTCTCGTGCGGGGTTGGTTTGCCCAGTAGCGGTGCCGCTTTTCAAGAGGGAGAAGAGCCCATCCCGATGCTCATCCCTCGGCCAATTCACCGAGTAGTGTGCCACGCTTGGTTCGTCGAGCAACTGTCGCCGCTTGTCTTGGTTGTTGACTTGGTGACAGCGGCCCCCCCGCAACCGCGGAGACTCTGCAGCCCGTCTGTGACAAACTGCCCCGCCTTGATTAGTCCGCCGAGCGGCTCAAAGAAAAGAGTGCTTACGCCAGGGGTTGCCCCGACTCAACTGATAGTGACCGCTTCCTGTCTCTTCCCGTCCTGTGTTGCCGGAACTAACGAGGATCTAACTTAGCCTTCAGCCTCCACCCAGCTGCAGCCTGACACTGCTGCGCAGCGAACGCGTCGGCGGAGCTCGCTTACCCTCCGGTGCGTGTGTCGTGCATGGAGGAAGAGGCTTCGTGCATCTGGACCGCTGGGCGGCCCAACATGCAACTCGTCGAGTTCCCGGGCAGCGGCGATGTTGAGACCAAGGAGTCAGCCGCGGTCCGACGGCGTTGATGGACTCCGAGCATTTGCATCCTTCATTCGCCATCGCAGATTCTCTGACACGGTATTTCACAGCAGACGCATAACGCGCCCCATGCGGATTCGCCAAGCCTGGCCGTGGTTCGCATTGGAGCAGCGTGGAGGACAGCTCCCTCGGCTTTCCGACGGCACACATCATACCTTCCCAATGTGGCAATCACGAATCGGCATTGCCCCGCGACGGGGCCGCAGTTGGCCGGCTTCATCCACTTTCCGCACTCTCCATAGACTTGCTGGTCCGTGGTTGCCCCTTGAAGTGTCGAAGATCCCCTCACGAGACGTGACAGTGTTGGTCTGGGATTGGTAGGCTCTTGCCAAGGGGTGGGTGCGGAGCGCGTCAAGATGTGCCGTCCTCGGATAAAAGGAAAGGATAGGAGCGTAGTTGAGAGACAGGCTTTACAATGCCAGTCGCTCGACCTATGGATTTGAGCGCATGTACAACCTGGACGTCCCAGAAATGGCAGCTTCCCTCACCAATGGCAATGGCTCCTCAAAGTCCTTTCCAATTGACATAGACAAGTCACGAGAGCTTGTCAACAGCCGCATCGATAGCCTCAGCGATGAGCTCCGCGAAAAGATCAACAAAGTCATCCACGCCAACCCAGAGCTGGGCTACAAGGAGGTCATTGCCCACGACACCCTCACCTCGTACCTCGAGAACCTCGGTTTCGCCGTGAAGCGCAGCACATATGGCCTCGAGACGAGCTTCGAGGCCACTCTTGGCGAGGGTGGCCGCCAGGTAGTCATCTGTGCCGAGTACGACAGTTTGCCTGGCATAGGTCATGCGTGCGGGCACAACCTCATCGCGACGTCTTCCATGGCGGCTTTCCTGGGCGCGTCACACGCCATGACGACGCTCGGTGTCCCTGGCCGCCTCCGTATTCTCGGCACCCCAGCCGAAGAGGGCGGTGGCGGCAAGGCCGTTCTCATTGACAACGGGGCCTTCGACCCGCGAGATGATGTTGCTGCCGCCATCATGGCACACCCATTGGCACAGCATTCTCTGCCCGGTGCGGCGTCTGGTCACACCGGACTTGCAGGTCTCTTGCTACTTGCCAGCTTCAAGTTTCAGGTCGAGTTTCGAGGCCAGACGGCTCACGCCGCCGGAGAACCTTGGAATGGCACAAACGCCTTGGATGCAGCAGTGGCAGCGTACACCAACATGTCAATCCTCCGGCAGCAGATTCGTCCTGATGAGCGCATCCACGCCATTATATCTGAGGGTGGCGTTGCGTCAAACGTCATACCCGACTTTACGAGCATGAGCTCGGCTGTCAGGGCCCCGACGATGGCTCGCGCCGAGAAGCTATTTGAGCGGGTCAAGCGATGCATCGAAGCGGCCGCGCTGGCCACTGGCTGCACGCATAAGATCATCATGTAAGTCATCTTGAGTGGGCAGTTTAGACCGCTTGAAAACACGCTGATTCCTCCCTCAGGACGCCAACGTACGCCAGCCTCAGGGCCAACGATGCGCTGTGTCGCTCGTACGCAGAGGACATGGGCCAGATTGGCGAAAAGGTGCAAGTCCACCAAGACAGCCCCTTCACTGCATCAACGGACATGGGCAATGTCTCGCAGATTGTACCTAGCTTTCACGGCGCATTCGGGGTTCCTACAGCACCAAATGTAGCCATACATAGCCCCCAGTTCACGGAAGCGGCAGCCACGGATGAGGCGCACGGGGCTGCCATTCGTGCCGGCAAGGGTATGGCCATGCTAGCGCTGCGGGTCCTCGCGAATGGCAACCTGGCCGATGCAGCCAGGAGGGACTTTGAGAAGCCAGACGAGATCTAGACTACAAGAATATCAGATGGCCAGTATACGGTTTAGCTTGACCTTGGACCACATATGATGTCATGTCATGGCTGCCGACAATCTATAATACGCCGAACACATGCACTGAGACGCCCAGTCTCTACCATTCGGATCTCCGAATCCTGCGTACTCATTTGTGCCCACTCTACTGAGCTACGTAGCAAGGAGTTAATGACGAACGCTCGCAAGTTACTCAAGGTGTAAGGAGAAGTCTCTCTGATCAAACCCCGCCTCAAGCGATTCTCTTCTGCAAGGCCTGTAACGACCTGACAGTATCTGAAATGCTCTCTTCTAGGTTTCTATAGCTCAAGCTGAGCTCTTCTGTCGCTCTCTTGTTTTCGAACTTGTACACCCCGCCGTCTGGGAATCCGCCGGCGTTGTCCTCGCAGCCGGGCAGGACAGGCCGGTATTCTGGGAAACGGTTGGTGATGATCGAACAGATTTCCTTGTTGGTAAAGTATCCCTCCGTCAGGAGGTATCGTCGATTCCTCGGCGTGGCAAGCTGGGACTCCACGGCTTTCACGTGTGCCAATGCTAGGTCTCTCACGTCAATCCAGAGGAAGAAAGAGGCGCCCGTGTCTGGAATCTGGGCCTTGAATGCTCCTGAGATGAAGTTGTAGATGCGCTGACTTGATGTGTTGATGCTGTCGAGACTAGAAAGTGGTTGAATCACCGGTCCGAAACACAGTGTCGGGCATATTGTGACCAGCGAGAACGACGGGTGTTGAGAGTCTACAAACTCCCACGCTGCCCTTTCAGCAAACAGCTTGCTAGCTCGGTAGCCGTTGAGTGTGTTTTTGAAGGCGTCTGCCTCGGTGAGCGGATTCCAGTCTCGTTCAGTATAGGTATGTTCCGGGATGTTGTTCGGCTTGTAGCTGTCCAGAATGGCGGCAAATGATGATGTAAGGACCACGGTTTTGATGGAAGAATACCGGCTTGCCGCCTGGAGGAGGGATTTTGTGCCCACTATAGAAGGATCCAGCAACTCCTGCTGGATGTCTGTCGCCGAATAGTAGAAAGGCGACGCAACGTGAATGATCGCGTCAAAGGCGCCGGATTCAAGGCACTCGTCAAATGCGTCCGGGGTTGTAAAGTCCGGGATGACGGCGACGGCAATCTTTTCACGAAGAGACGCGTCGTACCGCGCGAGCACCTGGTCGCCCTTGGCTTTCGTTCTAACCGTGATCGTGACCGAGTGATTAGATCCGTCATTGAGGAGAACGTCTAGCACATGGCTGGCAATGAAGCCATTGCCACCTGTGAGCAGCACGTGCACCATGGTGGAAAGTCGAGATTCTAATTGTACGTGTGGCGGCAATTTTGGGTGGACAGGCACGGTCACAACATGGACCATTGACACAACTTATATGCGAAAAAAACAGGTCTGCCAAAGGCCATGAAATCGTGAATATCCAGTCATTGCGTTGGAAGTGACCAATCGGAGTTGCTGGCGACTCGTTTCTCTGACCAAAACGGGACGGCGTTCGGACAGTTTCTGGCCGTAAGCAACCCACAAGCGGGTCATCATCAGGACTCAGCTGCTTGTCAACTTCCCCTCAAAGACGTTTGACTCATGTCTTCAAATTTACGGGGAAGTCACGGGCGTTGAGTCACAATTTAAATGGTGAAAGAAACGCTCGGGATTGTTTCTATTATTCCATTCAACACGAAGCATTCTACTACATACACCGTTGTCAAACTTGAGTCGCATCCATAGAGGCCATGGACTCGGGGACGTAGGCATCTGTGGCCTCATGAGATGAACCTCCGCTCAAATAGCTAGTATGATACGCAATATAGAGGCTGCCTACTTAAACAATTGAGCACTTCGACGATTGGCGCTTATCATGCCTCTGGCGCTGTGGCCGTGGGCCAAGCGCAGCCCTGCGAAGAAGGGACGCATCAGCCAACAAGCGCGAAATCCGGGCTGGATATATACGTCGGTGCAAAGCTTACCGCACTGCTTCGTCAAACACAGCTGACACATTTTGCTTCGTTAACGCAGAGCACTCGACATATCTGTGAGCCAAGATTTTCCGGACAAGGGCCGAAGCATGCCGATGGGATATAGGCTCTGTGTGCTTATTTCTCATGTCCAATAAAGTAGCGGCGTCGTCCCGCAAGTCGAGTTTGGTCCCCACGAGCACGATTGGGGTATTTGGAGCGTGGCTTTCAATGTCGTCTAGCCACTAATACAGATGATTAGCTAGCATTCACAAATGATATGGTGCGTGTGCTCTGCCACGTACCTTGCACTTCACATTGTCGAAAGACGACGGCGACACTATCGAAAAGCATACTAAGAAAACGTCGGCTCGCGAGTATAGGTCTCGCCATATTCGGCACTTCAGGAACCAGTCCTCTTCTGGAGAGGCGGTATCGAAAAGCGACAGGACGACCGGTTCGCCGCTGTCAGCCACTGTCCTCATAGCATAGTTGTCAAAGCTGAATGGTGAATCCGTCAGCGCGAAGAAACTGGCGTTACTCGCAAGTTTGAGACAGAAGCCACGGGGCCGACAAACACTGTGGGTATAAACTCGTGCGGAAATGCGTTTGCGGTGTGCGTTATGAGAAGGCAAGTCTGCGTGAGGCGTTAGGACGGGGATGCCTTGATGGTAGTGGACATTGTCACACGTCCGGCCCACCTTGCCGACGTTGTCGTCCCCAATCACGACGCACTATACATCTAAAAGTCAGCCAGTCGGCTTGACACGGCGACGAGTGAGGCTCACGTTTAGGGATTTTGTGATTGGCCGAGACATGTCGTCTGTTGTTTTGATCAAGATCCTAGCGTGGACCACGGTGCGAGCTATCAGGGCGGAGAGCCAGGTCGCGAGGTGCAGGACGAAGCGCTCAGCAGCTCGTAGGGCCCGCGGCAGACACCAGACAGAGTCCCGCGTTGCAATCACTGGATTGTAGTTCTGGCAAAGCCGAAATACCACTCACTGCGATTAATTGACGCGCATTTTGCCGTCATAACTCGTATTCATCGTATTAGTGTACCACAGAGCTAAGAGCAAGGCGCTGCGCTCTTGACCCTTGAAGTGATATGGTCCCAGCACCCATCAGGCTGATACATGAATGCACAGAAGCAGGCAGGCATTCAGCCTTCATTCTCGGCCATAGCGAAAGCTTGACATCGTTGGAAAGAGTTCTCGGGCCTCGGGTCATGAACGTGAATTTGTCTGGAGTGGACGTTGCACTGGGATTCTCCTTTTGGCAGCGAGCATGCTACCATCACTTTGCGGCCGACGTGGTCAATCCCGGTAATGAGTGCCACTCACGGTAGTGATAATTGGGGTTGAGAATATGGTGCATACGGGTTGCCGTCGTCTGGTTACTTCTGTTACTGCTGTTACTGCCGTTACCGCCGTTACCGCCGATTCTGCCGATTCTGCTGATTCTGCCGCTGCTGTCGTTGCTGTCGTTGCTGTCGTTGCTGTCGTTGCTGTCGTTGCTGTCGTTGCTGTCGTTGCTGTCGTTGCTATCGTTGCCGTCGTTGCTGTCGTTGCTGTCGTTGCTGTCGTTGCTGTCGTTGCTGTCGTTGCTATCGTTGCTGTCGTTGCTGTCGTTGCTGTCGTTGCTGTCGTTNTTGCTGTCGTTGCTGTCGTTGCTGTCGTTGCTGTCGTTGCTATCGTTGCTGTCGTTGCTGTCGTTGCTGTCGTTGCTGTCGTTGCTGTCGTTGCTGTCGTTGCTGTCGTTGCTGTCGTTGCTGTCGGTGCTGTCGTTGCTGTCGGTGCTGTCGCTGCCTGCGTGAATGCACTCTTTCCCGTCAATAGATGGTGGCTGGATACCGGGGCGCTGTACCGACTGGAAAAAGTAGATGTGGCCTGGGCTCAGACTTGGCTGAATATTGAAGCATACTTAAATGGCGTTGGGTAGGGTTACAAATTACAGTACACAAGAAGTCACAACGATGCCACCGAAGAGAGGTGGCTTATTGCAATGCTGATGTGACTTCGACTAGACCACTGGTAACGAGCAGGCACCGCAGGGCTATGCCTTGAAACAGCGAACGCGGGTAGCACTGTCGCCCCACTAGGCAGTAGCGTCCAAGGCTCCAGGCAGGAATTGGCGATGGAGCCTGCTACCAAGTGCCAACTGGAGGGCCTACATCAGGCAAGTCCGAGATGCAGAACGAAATTCACATTGCGGGGTTGGAGTTTCAGATCAACTTCTTTCCTTTAAAGATGCTCGTCTAGTGCATTCTCCTTTCTCTCTTCTCCGCACAAGCTCAGAGACCAAATCAACATGAGCAGAGCTCAGCAATTGCTCCACGCGGGGCACACGGCGTCGCAACATAAATCGCCACTTTACAGCAAGTTACCGGGAGAGGTACGCGACCAGATCTTTGCTTTCGCCCTTGCCGACTACCCGGACCCGGACCCGGCAAAGCAATACGACTCCATGACTTGTTATGCGCGACCGTCATACTTTGCGCCTCGAACGAGCGACACTCAGCTGCTTCGAACCTGTCGCGCCGTCTACAAGGAATGCTGGCACTTGCCCTTTGCCCTTCGCGAACAGACAGCCTGGCTCACGAATCCCGACCGAGCGCCGAAGGGTTATGACTCGGGACAGCTTCAGCTTACACTCAAACAAATCGCCGACTTCCACGGCAGCGAGAAGGTCGAAATCCGCAGTCTCCGTGTATTCGCGCAAATGTTCATGATGGAGGAAAGCCGTATGGCACAGCTGCTCAGTGTGCCGTTCTTGAATCCGCGTGAGATCACTCTTACCATTAGACATGCCGATTGGTGGTATTGGGAGAATGATCAGCCACTCAGCTTCAACGGCGATTGGATCAAGGGCGTTTGCGAGGCCATGTCCAGCTCGGTTCAGCAAATCCATATCGAGCTCGAATCATTGGAGAGGAAGAAGGAGCAAGTTGACGAGCTCGCTAAGCGGATGGCGCGGCGTTGGTGCTTCGTTAGGGCCGATGGTGTCGTGCTTTACGCCGATGCCACGGACGGTGCCACCAAAGTGAGCCGCTGGTCGGGAACGAGTACCTGGCACGGACGGCGGTGGATTCGCGACGAGGCAGAGCCTGGGAGGATTGATTACTATGTCGCTACAGTCTCATTCAGGCCGGAAGTGGTGCTCGAACGAATTGGCGCCACAATCAGCGAAACCGCTAGGAACCACGCGCGGCGGGGCTTAGATTGCATGCATGGAGAACGAGTTATGCTGGATGTGCCAGGCGCCGAGGCCATGGAGTATGAATACCTACCTTATGTTGGATCTCATACGTATGAAGAATATGAGGAATATGAGGAATATGAGGAGGATGAGGAGGAGGACGAGGAGCAAGATGACGAGGACGAGGATGATGAGGAAAACGAGGATGAATACGAGTAAGAAAAACGAGGATGAATACGAGTAAGAAAAACGAGGATGAATACGAGTAAGGGGACCGCGACGGGGAAGAGGACAAAACCCTGGAGGGAAACGATGTATGAGCTTCCGGGTGAGACGTCTGAGATTGTGACCGCTCATGAGGCTTCAGTAGCCAGACGAATGATGACTTGTATCCTGGTCGCGTCGGCTGGGAGACAACGAAAGTGCCAAGAAATAGGAACGAGATACATGGGCCTTTGTACGAGAATTTCTCGGATTCGGTTCTCGGATTCGGTCACTTGGCAATGTCAGTGGTACTTTCACTGGAGCAGACCTGGCAGGCGGTCAACCGTCGCCAATCGACCATCTCAACCGGGCAACTTAGCAGAACAACCTTGTAGACATGCCTCGGGGCCGGTGTGCGCGGATTGGTGAGACGTACCGAGCGGTACGACACCCATTGGGCCTTTGGGTGTACCGTACAGCACAGTATCGTAGTATGACGTATGCTGAAGGCCGGGTTCATGTTGCATTCGCTCTTCACCGACATCACGGGCCAAGACTCATGACGCACAATCATTGCGCAACCCGGATACAGATAGCCCTTAAATCCGGGTTTCATGAAGAAGACAGTGCAGTAATTGAGTTCTTCAAAGATCGTCTTGAAACCCTGTGGGAACTGGCTGCGCTGACATCGGCCAGACCCGAGACAGGCAGACGATCCCCTTCGAATCACCCCAGTCATTTGGATCAGAGGTCTTGTCTTCACTATTGGGCAGTAGTTGTGCAGATGAGCTTTTCGGGCCGATTGGCCGGCAGTCTCTGCCTGCCCGTGCATGGTGAAGAGGTGCGGTAGCGCGGGCCGGCAGTTGAGAGATCTCGTACCTGACAGACCCTCCAATGCTCAGTGGTCCAGACTTCCAGAAGGCTCAAATATACCAGGTTCTGAGTCAAATTCTGTACGCTGAAGCTTCTGTCGTTCAGGAACAAACCAAGGTAGAATACGTCACTTACCACAACTCCATTGCTCGCCAGTTACAATATTGGTCCCGAGCGGCGGGATACAATCATTGGTGGTGTGAAACCATTGATCAGGAGCTCGTATGTACGAGGCCGTTGGAGAAGCTTTCTGTGCAAAGCATTCATTCCACGCGGCACGAGCATCCGGGCCACTGCAGTGTTTATCCAAGCTCTGGGAACGACGGCTCCTTCGCAAGTGCCGTATAGGTCTCGGGCCAAGGGGCGGCCCGAGATGAGGTTTGCGTCGCGCGCCATTTTTAACCCAAGACGACCGTCAAGTTGACAAGTCGCAACTCTCACTCATCGACACGAAACATGAACACTCGATCCGCACGAACCCTCTACATACTGTAGATTCCAGATTCTGACGAGAAGTCGCAGCATGCGGCTTCTAATCGGCGATTGGCACTGTGACGACCGCAGGAAATCACACCCCGGCTTGTCATGTGCCCTTCTGTTCATGGCGAGCAAGCTGGCGCACGGGCACCGGAGGTTCCAAAGTGGCGGCATTGACCCGCTCCACTGCATCGGCTGCGGCCAGCCCAAAACACATGAGGCTTCGTTTTGTGTCAGAAACTGTCTCCCAGTGAACAGAGTCCTGCTGGGGTAAGGCTCTTCCCGAGCAACGTGAGCCCATGAAGTGATTTAAGCCACCATCTATATAGTGAAGGGTAAGGCTGCCATCATAAGGCGAACGTCTCCGGCGAGAGCTACCAGTCCGCCTATACAGGGTCAAGTGCGGTGGCAACATCTTGTTCATATCTGGGGACATCTGGCTCGTTCTGTGATCGGTAAGTTGTCGGCGATGTCTCTAGTCCAGACCCAGAGATGTCACTCTTCACCTGGGAATCGCAGCTCACGGGCCATTTAGTGAGCGAATCTTAAACTGAGATCGGCTACTGATGCCAGAACAGGAAGTCGGCTTGGCTCGCAGCGAGAGTCGCAGCTAGCTGCATGCGTATAAAGTTAGCACTGAACTCCTAACCAGGCACCATCATCACAACTCGGACAGCATCTTCTCATACCGTACGGAATACTTCTTTTTGCAAAGCATCTTTGAAAACCATCAAAATGAAGAGCTTCAGCATTCTTGCCGCCCTGGCCGTCGTTGGCACCACCTTTGCCGCACCCACACCCGATATCGATTCCGTGGACGAGGGCATGGTCTTTGGGCGTGGCATTAGCAACAACGACCCGATTACTGTGCGTGACGAGGAAGCTGTCGATGGTTCCGTCGTGGACGAGATTGTCGACGAGGCCGTGGATACGATTGGAGCCGTACTTGACCTGGCAACCTCGGCTGACGAGCCCACTGAGGGCGGCGACTTCGGCGCAACCCCGATCGACAATGGCGCCCAGGCTCAGGGCAACCTGCCCGGCCTGGACGGGGTGCAGTCGCGCAACGCCCGTTGGATTATGGAAGAGGTCAAGAAGACGGGCACTGGCTGGCAGGGATGCATGGCGGCCATCACCACCGCCATCACAGAGGTGCGTCGGCGAGCATTGATAAGGGGAAACCAAGCACTGACATTGCCGCACAGTCGAGCGTGCGCATCCTGGCCAACAATGCCGTGCCGGCGTCGCTCAAGTACCCGCGCGACGGCTTCGGCGCTGACCACGACAGCGTCGGCCTCTACCAGCAGCGCGCTCAGTGGTACAAGGACATTGCCTGCGACATGCGCGCCGACTGCAGCACCCGCCAGTTCATCGACCGCATGAAGACGATTGGCAACTGGCAGGGGATGGACGTCGCGGCGTTGTGCCAGGCGGTGCAGATTTCCGAGAAGCCCACGGCGTACCGCAACTGGACCAACCTCGCCAACCAGATTTGCCGGGCCGGTTTCTAGACGTGATGTCGGACTGAGATGGATGAATACTGTATATACATTATAGATGGTTATAGAGGGTGTGTAGATATGTAACGTGGGAATTCGAGTATGAGCATAGAATTCTACCATGGATAGAATATCGACTTCAATATCCAAGACATGCCGCAATTCGTGTTGCCAAGAATGGTGCTCCTCCATAGAGGGAGCCCTATGGCGTGTTTACTGGGCCGTGGGCGTATGTTGTAAGACATCTATGCACCAGGACGTGGCGGCCTCGGGTTTGTGGCGGGAGACAAGCTGGAAGCCGGCTCCGGCAACCGGCCGGCACTAACACTGGCGGCGGGGATTGCGGGGGTTGGGGCAATTAGTTCAACAAGTGCCCAACCTCCGAGGCTCCAGCTGCCTCCTGCACCTACACGAGCTCGAGGTCTTCACTGCGACCATGACCGACAGCGACGGCCAACAATCGCCCGGCAACCAAGACGCCGGCGATGACGACGCCTACTACGACCTGGGCACCCTGCACCGGCCGGTGACCACTGCCGATCCCGCCGCACAGACCTGGTTCGACCGGGGCCTCGTGTGGTCCTACGGCTTCAACCACGAGGAGGCGGCCAAGTGCTTCGAGCGCGTCGTCGCCCTCGACCCGGCGTGCGCCATCGGCTACTGGGGGCTGGCCTATGCGCTGGGCCCCAACTACAACAAGCCCTGGGAGCTGTTTGGCCGCCGCGAGCGCCAGACGACCGCCGAGCGGACGCACAACGCCGTCGAGCAGGCACTGGCCCTCGCTGGCGACGCGTCTCCGGTCGAGAGCGCCCTCATCGACGCTTTACGACACCGATACCCGACAGATCAGGCGCCGGGGAAGCCCGAGGCGTGCATCTGGAATGCCGCCTACGCCGACGCCATGAGCGCCGTCGCCGCGCGCTTCCCCGACGACCTCGATGTGGCGGCCCTCTACGCCGACGCCCTCATGAACCTCACGCCGTGGAACCTGTGGGACATACGGACGGGCGAGCCGGCGCGGGGTGCGCGGACGGTCGAAGTCAAGCGCGTGCTGGATCGCGCGCTGGCCCAGGACGGCGGCGACCAGCACCCCGGCGTGCTTCACATGTACATCCACCTCATGGAGATGTCGCAGACGCCCGAGGCCGCCATGCCTGCCGCCGACAAGCTGCGCGGGCTGGTGCCGGACGCGGGCCATCTCAACCACATGCCAAGTCACCTCGATATCCTCGTCGGCGACTACGCGCGCGCCGTCGACGCCAACTCGGACGCCGTGCGCGCGGACGTCAAGTTCCTCGAGCGCGAGGGCCCCCTCAACTTTTACACGCTGTACCGCAGCCACGACTACCACTTTCGCCTCTACGCCGCTCTGTTCTCTGGCCAGTCGCGCATCGCCCTCGAGACGGTGGACATGCTCGAGGCGAGCATCTCGGAAGAGCTGCTGCGGGTCGAGTCGCCGCCCATGGCCGACTGGCTCGAGGCCTTCCTCGCGATGCGGGTCCATGCGCTCATTCGGTTCGGCCGCTGGCGGGACGTGCTGGCCATCCGCCTGCCCGAGGACCGTGACCTCTACTGCGTGACGACGGCGCTGGTGTACTACGCGCGCGGCATGGCCCTCGCCGCCATGGGCCGCGTCGACGACGCCGTGACCCAACGTCAACTATTCCGTGAAGCTGTCCCGCGAGTCAAGCCGTCACGGACACTGTTCAACAACAAATGTGTCGATATTCTGTGCGTGGCCGAGGCGATGCTTGACGGCGAGGTCGAGTACCGGCGGTGTAACTTTGACGCCGCCTTTGCGCACTTGCGCGAGTCTATCCGCCGCTACGATCAGCTGCCCTTCGACGAGCCTTGGGGGTGGATGCAGCCCGCCCGCCACGCCTACGGGGCGCTCCTCCTCGAGCAGGGCCACGTAGAGGAGGCGCTGGGCGTCTACAGAGCCGACCTCGGGCTGGACGAGTCGCTGCCCCGGGTGCACCGGCACCCGAACAACGTGTGGGCGCTGCACGGCTATCACGAGTGCCTACTGCGGCTGGGCGAGACGGACGAGGCGAGGAGGGTGCACCCGCAGCTGCAGGCCGCGCTGGCACGAGCAGACGTGCCCATCAGCTCTTCGTGTTACTGCAGGACGGTGCTGCCCAAGATGTAGAGTAGGCGCAGCTGCCGCCGGCATGGGCACCCGAGGGCCATCCGCAAGAAAGAAAGAACAAAATAAACAGAATAACAGATCCATGGCATTGTTGCCTCTCTCCACACTTTGTCGTTGCGTCTCACTGCTGTGACGTGACTCCCAAGAATGTGATCACGCCGCGCACCTGCGCTACCGCACGGCATCAGGCTCCCCCAGCTTGACACCGGATGCCTCATCGTCGTCGCTGCTAACGGCAAGGCGCTTCTTCTCCTGGGCCAGAAAGTCGGCCTGCTCCTTGGCGCTCTTGTCCAGGTCGACAAAGATCCAGATAGCCACGGCGCTGACCAGGCTGAGCGCGAAGAGGAAGTAAAAGGGAGCGCTGTTGTTGTTGCCGCCCGGTGAGGCGTCGATGATGGCGCTGCTGATGAGCGGCCCGATGAAGCTCGAGGCCTTGCCGATGACGTTGAAGACGGAGAAGAAGAGGAACTCGTGGCCCGGCGGCGTGACGGAGCTGATCATGATCTGCGAGTAGCTGTACCAGGGACAGACGAAGAGGCCGTAGAAGGCCTGGTACGCCCACACCTCCCAGGGGTTGCGGAAGCCGAAGCGGTCGGTCCAGTTGCCGACCATACCCCACGCGTCAAGAAGCACGATGCCGACCATGACGGCGCAGAACATGGCCTTGGGGCCGAGGCGAAAGCGGCGCTGGATCAGCCAGAAGGCGCCGATGCCCGCGGCCTGGGCGGCGATGCCGACGATGAGCAGGTACGTGAGCGTGAGGGTGCTGTAGCTGACAATTTGGTTCTGCAGCGTCGCGATGACAGTGACGGTAGTGTTGAGACTGTCGCCGAGCAAAAAGTAGCCGGCGAGGAAGATGAGACTCTGTCGCAGCCGCCATATCAGCACCGCGGCCTCGCGGAGCTGCCACAGCCCGACGGTCAGAGGCCCGCGTCCCGCGGGGATGGCACGACCCGGTCGGCGCTTCTCGAGCAGGAACCAGCCCGCGGAGAGGACAAGCCAGCAGCCAGCCGTGAAGGCAATAACAATGCTCAACCCGCGGCTGTTGGCGGCGGGGCCGACGTCTGCAGAGTTGGAGTAGCCCAGCCCAAACAAGATGCCGACGATGATGGCAAGGATGCCCAGCTCGCCGACGGATTGCGCCCAGAAGGCAACATTGCTGAGGCGACTGCGCTCCAGCTCGTCCCGGCGCAACAATCCCTCGACGAGCCCCGTTTGCGCGGCCTCCCTCCTCGCCTCACGCATGCCCGGCGCATTGCGCGCGAGCTCCGGGAACGCAGCCGTCCAGTACGTGAGCGTCAGCTGGTACGCGATGAGCCCAAGAATGTAGAGCCCAGTCGCGGCGCGCCACTGACTCGGGTCGCGCACGGCGAGCCACGCGAAGCCCACGGCCCAGCCGACGAGCGACCATGCGAGCAGGATGGCGCGGCGCACGGGCGACGGGCCGAAGTCGGCATACGCGCCGATGAGCAGGAAGAGGGCCGCCTGCGACGCAAAGGAGACGCCGTTGGCGATGAGCAGGATGGAGTTGACGTCGCGCTCGCGGCCGGCGAAGGGGAGGAGGCCAGGCGACGACGTGTTGGTGTCGGCGTCGGCGGCTTGCTGAAGGAGGCTCTGGAACGCCGTCGGGCCGTAATTGAAGAGCGCGAGGCCGTTGGCGCCCACGTAGTAGGCGTACCAGGCCCAGACTTCGCGCCGCGTCGTTTCCGGCACGGCGTCGTCGTCGTTGTCGAGGAGCTCATCGCCGACGAGGCCCCGGACGGGGTCGGCGCGCGGCGGCGCGTCTTCCGGCGCCTGCTGCTGCCGCTGCTCCAGCTCCAGCTGCGGCTTCGAGGCCATGATATGGGTGTCTACAGGTCAGAGACAAAAGACCTGGGCGGTGACGATCGTAACCCCCTTCCCCAGGGGGGGCGACGATGAGTTATATACTTGCACGCGCATAGTGTCGCAGTCGGGCTCGTCACACGAGGCACGATAGGCGCACGTCGGGGCACGCTTGCGCCGCAATCCATCGACGGCGCCGGTCGTGAAACCCATAATCGACAGCGCCGTCAGGCGTCAAGTGGGAATCGCCGCCCGGGGGGATCCGTTCTGTGCGGGTAGGACGGCTCGCCTCCAAGTCGCGCTTTCGAGTTGTTTTTTTGGCCGCGGCGGCCCCGTGGGAAGAGTTGGAGAAATGGAGATGGCGGGCCGGCCATGGCGACGCTAGCCCGCAGTAGCGGGTGCGCTTCGTTCGTTGCCTTGCGTTTTTTGCCCACTTTCGAGTTTTCTTGTCGAGAGGACGGAGAGGCGAAAGGGGATGGCGTGCTGGGGAATAACGCCTTGGAAACCGGAATGCAGAATGTTGGATACTGGGCGGGGCCCCCAGTGATTTGCCATCCCATGGACAGGGGGAACTGGGTTGCGTGTGAGTGAGAGTGAGAGCAACTGGGGATAAGACTCGGCCTCTCCGCACGAATGAGGGCGGTGTGATGAGCATCGATGCGACGCTCAGATGTGCCTGGCCATGTGGGTGGCGGGGCGCTGCGTTTGCATCCGTAAGCGGAACGAGAATGGCGCTGACGATCAGCCCCCGATGAGATTCATGACCAAGTGGAGCGATTCCATCCCTGGTTCCCTGAGTCTGGAGACTCTGTTGCGCCCTTGTCCAGATCGCAAACGCATGGCAATGCTGTTTATGCCGTCACAATATCTGGCAACGCTTGCAGTCATGCCATGCTAAAGGCTTTCTCATTGATAGCACGTCTGAGTCTTGCTTCATAGTTCCCACCAAAAGTTAAACCTGGAAAGAGGTAACAATTGAAGTTCAAGATAGCTTCCTGCATCGACGAGGGCGTAGCTGTGGATTGCACGAGCGACAACGTAGCTACTGATCACTTGTATATTATGTACATAGGGCCAACTTCAATCAGCGTTTTGTTGTCGCAGCTCGGTGGGGATCCTGTCTACAGCAACCACAGCCAGCGCAGCTCACCACGACGCGCCGAAGCCGTGGTATCGTCTCGTCAACTCAAGGAGGCTGCGCTCGTATCGTGCTTAATTGAGTCATGCTCTCACTATTCTCGCACAGTAGCCCAATTGCAATGGGCATCTCTCTCTCGCTGTCCAAACTCGGCCGTGCTCGTCTTGATTCAGGTCTCAACTGGTACGCTTCACCCGAAGCACCGCCGTCCGCAGCTTCCCGTCTCCTCTGCTCCTGGGATACCTATTCTCATCACACGCGATGCCCATCGCCGGTCCTTGTTGCCAGTTCAAACGCTCGGCAGCGGCATTCGCAGCGGTGGCCTTCCTGGGAACAGTCTACCGTCCGCGCGGCACCGACCGCACGGGCCAGATGCGACCCGAGGCAAAGCCTCAGAAACACCTGGCCGGGCGAAAGAGAGGTTTCATTCTGCATTGGAAGCACGAACAGGGGCAGTGGGTCAACAATTCTAAGCCACCTATGCCGTTTCATTTGGCTAGTCATCGTCGGCGGCGTTGTCGCATGCGGCTCTAATTTGAGGCTATCGCTGTAGAGACAGGCCGTCAAATGAGCGGTGCGGGTTTGAACTGGATCGCTTGGCATCCCGCTCGAGCTTCCGAATTTAGATCCTCCTTCGGGAACAGTATTGAAGTGTAGAACTGCTGAGCACCTGCGTAGTATAAATGTCAGCCTCGAGCATGATGATCAGACGGGTCATCATCACAGAGCAGCTTCCTTGTCTTCAATTACAACATCTCTTAATATTATAATCACCTTACCTTCGCTTTCCCCGAGACCAAGTGTGCAGTGTGTCAGGATGCGCTCCGCACTGCTGACCGCGGTCCTCGCCGGAGTCGCCGTTCAGGCGGCGCCTTCACCTATGGCCGCTCGCTACGATCATGAGAAGAGGCTCAGGTTCCGAGTCGATGGTAGCTTTCATCTTTCCGTGTTTTCTGACCTTCATTTTGGCGAAAGTAAGTTGTTAAATGATCATCGATCAGAAAGCTGGGTCAGATGCTGACCAAAATGCACAGAGCAGGGTACTGCGGAGGGTCACAAGCGGGATGAAAAGACAATCACCGTCATGAACAACGTGCTCGACGCCGACCCAACGGATTTGGTCGTGCTCAACGGCGACCTCATCACCGGCGACGCCTCCACGACAAAGAACATGTCGGGTTACGTGGATACCATCGTGCAGCCCATGGTCAAGCGCGGGATATGGTGGGCGTCGACCTACGGCAACCACGATAGTAGCCAGAACCTTGATCCGAGAAACATCCTTGAGCATGAGACCCGGCACCCCGGCGCTCTATCGGCGAGCATGGCCAAGGGCAAGGAAGTTGGCGTCACCAACTACGTCCTTCAGGTCTACCCCTCCAACTGCACCCACTCCGGAAAGGATACCAAGACGGACAGGTCGGGCAAGCCCTGCGTTCCGAACATGCTCCTATGGTTCTTTGACAGCCGCGGCGGCGAGTGGTTCGGCCGCAAAGGAAAGGACGGCAAGCCAGTGCCCCGGCCCAACTGGGTCGACCTCGACGTCGTTAGATGGTTCCGCAAGACCAGCGTGGATATTCGACGGCAGCATGGCAGGGTCATCCCGTCCCTGGCATTTGTCCACATCCCCACCAACGCCACCAACTTTGTCCAGGGAGAGGTACGAGGCGACGATAACCCAGGCATCAACGACGAAACCCCGGTCTCGCAGCAGGCCCAGTACTGGTGCAAGGACGGCACCTGGGGGGGCAAGGGCAACGCCAAATGCCGTTGGGGCGAGCAGGACGTTCCCTTCATCCGGGCACTCTCCGGCACCGAGGGTCTCATGGCCGTCTTCTCCGGCCACGACCATGGTAACACGTGGTGCCGCCGCTGGCACGAGGTCATCGATAGCGAGAACATCCAGGGGAACAACATCAATCTGTGCTTCGGCCAGCACACGGGCTACGGCGGCTATGGAGACTGGGTCCGCGGTGGGCGCCATATTGTCGTCACTGAAGAGCTTCTCAAGAAGTTTGCTATTGACACATACATCCGTCTCGAGACAAAGGTCGCCGTCGGTCGCGTGAGCCTCAACAGCACATACAACAGGGATAGATACCCTATCACGAAGAACGACAAGACCTTTTTGTAGAGATGGCGCCTGCTTAGCGTGGGTGGATTTGTTGGTGGTTTGGGCAGTGGGCGAGAGCGCACGAAGTTTTCTGGAAAGACTTCGCTGGGGCATATTATCTGGAAGAAATTTCGACCGCCTGCGTTACAAATGAGCGCTATGTTTGTGCAACATCATTTGATGTGCACGGGGAGTCCTTTAGACGAGATATTGAAGCTAGATACTTTGCAATCGGCCTGGGCCGGAGTAATATAGACACGTTCAAAGGTGCAGGGTAATTGAACTCCGAGTGCTTCTCGCCCACTGCCCAAACAGGTAATTTCTTCGGCCCCGCTCCGGCCCCGCCCCGGCCGGCACTCAATCTGCCGCCGCACTTTCAGCCCCTACGACTGATCCGCTTTCTCTTTCCAAGACTCGTTCGACTTCTCTTCATGTCTGTACAACGGCGGCAGCGGCTCCAGTCGCTGTCGAAGCACATACTTGCGAAAGTGCCAGATGCTGTTTTTGATCTGGTAGCTCATGTGCTTTCTGGTGCTGACGTTGAAGACCTGGTCCAGCTCCTCCAGCGTGAGAGCCTTTGTCTCGGGGACGAAGAGCAGAATGAGGAACCAGAGAATGACGCACCACGCGGCGTACCAGCCAAACGCGCCTTGCTCGGTAAATGCAGTGCGGAGGTGGTTCCAGGTGAAGGAGATGATGAAGTTGAAGCACCACGTGGTTGCCGTGGCCCAGGACATGCCCACGTCTCGGACGTGGACGGGGAACGCTTCGGCGCTGTATGTGAACGGAACAGGGCCCTCGCCTGGGGAGTAGAATACTTCGAAAAGGTACATTCCCGTCGTGACCATGGCTAGGCGGGCCTTTTTGTTGGTGATGAAGAATGACATGCCAGTCCAGAGAAGCGTGATCGAAAGGAACGGAAAGGTAAAGAGCAAAAGATTCCGCCTTCCCCATCGGTCGATTGTGAACAGCGCTGGGATGGCAAACACCCAGTTCAGGATACCGGTACCCATAGACGCGAGGAGAGCCGAGTTGATGGAGTAGTTCGCCTCCAGAAAGATGTTGGTGCTAAAGTACGCGATGATGTTGACCTGTTTGCAAGATTAGCAATGGAATGAAACTCCTGTAAACCGTGGGATCTCAGGCCACGTACACCGCAGAATTGTTGTCCCACCATCAGAATCCACGTAGCCCATGTAGCGCGACGGTTACGGGGGACTGTAAACAGCTCGATGAATTGAGTGAACAGATTCTTTCCTTTGTTGGCTTCGCGCTCAAGCTCCACGCCGACATAAGTGTAGTATGTGTCTCGAGCGGCTTGGACGTTGGAGTACCTGAGGCGCTGGAACGACCGGAACGCTTTGCCGACCTTGTTGTGCTGGATGTACCATCTACAGCAGGGCGTCAGCGTTTTTAACGGCGACGCGATAGCAAAAGAAGAAGAAAAAAGGAAAGGCGCTTCATACCTTGGCGACTCGGGGCAAAAGTAGACTTGCGCGCAGACGATCAAAGGCAACACTACGGTTGAACCCAACATCAGACGCCATCCGAGGGACGGGCTAATGCCAGTGGACGGCCCAAAGGCCACCCCCATGATGTTGCCGAGCATAATACCAAAGGCCGTCCACCTGGTGAGTTATCGTCAGCCATGCCCTTTGACAATTAGTCCTTGGTAATTCTGTACGTACATCTGCCACTGCATGACCAGCGCACCGCGGATTGGCGCCGGGGAGCATTCCGCTGCGTAGACTGGAACTGTGGACGACTTTGGGCCAATGCCAAAACCCAGGAAAAAGCGAGCAAGGAACAGATTGACCCAAGAATTAGCGACTCCTTCCCAGATGGATGCGACGGCCGCTATGAAGCACGAGATGAAGATGGTCCCGCGACGGCCAAAGACCCTGTTGAGCGGTTCCGTCAGCCAGCAACCAATGATGGCGCAGCAGAGGTACGGTGCGCCGACGACGAGCCCGGTGATGCTGTCCTGCATGCTCTTGCTGAAGCGCGTGACATTGGGCCCCGCGATGTCGAGGTCCACGAGGTACAGCGCCTGGGCGCCGTTGTTGACCGTCTCGTCCATTCCCTGCACAGCCGCGGCCAGGGAGCACATGACGCAAAGCCAGTAGAGCATGAACGGCTGACTCCAGCGGTGCGTGTGTTCGCGCTCAATTATGTTGCGGTCGTCTGGCGACAGCTCTGGGATGCTGGCAAATTGCTCTGGGTTTTGGGCGACGAGGGCGCCTTTCCGGAAATCGTCGGTAAAGTCGGTCAGGTTGAAGCGACGGCAAAACTCGTCGACGTCGACCATGAGCTCTTCCTTGGAGCGTCGCTTGAGTGGGTTCTCCATGATCGCAGACAGGTTTTCCATGTTGTCGAAGCCCAAAGAGCTGCGCCGACGAGGCGCATGCTCGACCGTCTCCGCCTCGTCTGAGTCGCGGGTGGCCTTTTTCTCGTGGTCGTCCATTCTGGCGGTGGTATCGTATAGATCGTTCACTGGAGTTTGGACCTAGAAAGGGCGGTAATGGGGAGAGAGGGTGCGAAGCATGGGAAAGCAGAAGAGAGATCTCATCGATTGTGGAGCAAGGAGCGTTGGGAGCGGATGGTAGGCCACATGGGACGGTGCACGTCGCTGAGATGCCGGACTGCAACACTCAAGACTCCCTTCAAGATATAGGTCATAGTTGCATTGCTACCACACCAAGCCATCCATCCTCGCCAATTGAAGTTATCCACAGCCACCTTCCCACTTTGAAGGATTCATGTGGAAGCCATGTTGCGAGGTGGATGGCGGCACGACGTGCTTCTCCACAACCCCGGACAGTCCATCGTGGCGATCGATCCCGAGCGGGAGGTCGAGGATAGCGCCAGGTGGGCGAGGGCATTGCACGTCTCCAACCTGGGTTTGCGAGGCGTGTCGCGCGGCAGGCAGCAGAATTCTACAGAGCTTATCTCCACCCAAGCAAGTAGATCAACGGCAGCATTCCTTGAAACTCATGCCGGATCAACAGTCGGTGGTCAAAGTACTTTGAAGCGCCAGCGAAGTTGTCTGCATTTTTGCCGTATTCTCGCCAGCTTATCGGACTAAGAGTGCAAGGAAAGTCCTACAGCAGTGGGAGCGGCCCTCGTTGTGCTGTCCGCGTTCAACCAGACGGTGGGCAACAAAACGTGGCCGTTCGGGTGCTCATTTCCAAGCTGTCGCGCAAATGACGTCGAAACGACATCGCGAGGAAGCAACCATCGAACAAGCCATGCTCGCGAATCTCCACCTCCCCAGATCCCTTCCTTGCCCAAAATGTGCAGCGACAGCCAGGAGGCAGGCGCGGCGCGGGGGGATGATGTAATTGTCGTGGTTGGTGGCTGACCCGAGAGCGCCTCGCCGATTGACCCGTCCTTGGCGACGGCGATTTCTTGGGGCCAAGAGGCTAAGAGGGCCTGACATTATTCCCGTCGAGCGACTTCTTTGTGCCTGTTGGATGGCAGGCTTTCATGACGACTGGATACATGAACGTGAGGCTGTGCAAGAGGCCCAAAGGCCGTTTCCTGCTGATGTCAGAACAGCGGCGACTTCCTGGAAAGGGAAGAGGGATGAGTGTTAAGGTGAATGTATTGGCTCCCAGAGGGTGTCTCTTCCACGAGTCGGGGTCCGGTCACCAGCAAAACAAGGTTGGCCCTGAAGACTGTGCCATGTGCTGCCCAAGGCACAAGCAATGCAACGGAGGTAAGCCTCGAGGCACGTTTGAGACCAGGCGCCCGGCCAAGGCTTGCCCTGTCGAAACAATTCATGCTTAATATCGCGCTGCATTCGTACATGGCGACTGCAAGCGTGACAAGGGTGATGCTGCGCGCACATGTATGATCAACAGTCACGATTGCAACTGCGTGCGCTAATTGACTTACACAGTGACAGGCTCCCGTCAGGTTGCGGGGGGCCGGGCAGCCCACCAAAACCCCTTGTGTCAAGTGTCAAAGCCGCTGTCTTATTGTCTCTTTCCCCCTGTCAGCCGGTGTCGCGTGTGCGGTAGCCGTCGAACCTCCCATCGACGCCTGGTCCAGGGGCGTACACCTCTCGACCACAAATTGGCCTTCGAGTCAAATTGAGCAAGCTGAGGTACACCAGGTGGCGCGCGAATCTCGATCGGCAGCATGATGTGCAAACGCGTTGTCAGGTGGTGTGGTGGTCGGTTGTGACGGCAGCCAGACTCGCCGGAAGCCTTGACTTTAGTGTGCTGACAGCGGCAGCCATCCACCACAACCACAGCGTCACGTCACGCCGCCAGGCTTTGCCAGGGGTGCCTGTCAGTGACGCCAACGGAATATGCAATATCGACGAACGGAAGACGCGAGAAACTGGAGAATACCAACGTCATAACTACGAAGACAGAAGGATCCTCACCCACAGCTGCTAGCAATTGATGGTCAGCAGTTTGCACACACAACCAACAGCTCACAGGCGGCTTCCAGGTGAGGTTTGTGACGTCAACCGCACACCCTCATCACTCCTCATGCGCTCGGTAAGATTGACACACACAAACATTGCTTGGGGTTCCAACGTTATTGCGCGTGACTCAGGCCAGCTTTTCTGTGAGGGGAGTAATCCGCGGCCGAATCTCTTGGGGCTCCCAGCCAATTCAGAAGGGCTGCCTTCCGAAAGCCACCAGACAAGTAGCGACGGTAGAACCCAAATGTTAGCAACAAATGCCGTGATAGAGGGCAGGGAATTCCAGCCCCTGTTTTGGATGATGGCCAGCTAATACGCTTATTCTAGGACCAATGCGACTGCAGTAAGCGCTCAGTATCGGTCAGGCAGCACAATCGTAGGGGCGTCTATTATTGCACGTGCTGCTGGGTTGTACTTCCAAACGGTCTTCCAATGAACTGGCGGAAAGTCCTCGCAGTCGCATGATCTTGAAACAGACACATGGTCTAAATACAGCCCCAATTCGGCATCGTTCAAGGACTGCAGCGTCCTGGCTAACCTCCAGGCTTGATGGACGTGGCCCGTTGTTGCTCGGAGTAAGACAACGCAGGAAGCAGGGCATGACCCAAATGGCTGAAACCGCCAACTGCCGCTTTTAGGCCCTTTCGGCACCGGCGCCGAATGTTCAGCCTCCGGCACACCGCGCCCAAAAATAGACCCGTCAGCCGGCCGGCATTTGCGCCGATGACAACTTTCGGGCGACCACATTGGCCACTCGAGATGTGTTTTCAACCTCATGCTTGTCCTTGACACTATATCCCTCGCGGCCAGGGACAGCAGGCGCATTCAGGCAACGACAACAGTGCTTCATTGCCAAAGTGCGGTTGGCAGGTGTCTGCGCCGTGGTCATGAAACAGGGGATCCACGTTCTTAGTCTAAGTGGCCGAAACAGCACCGCGATAGCCAGCAAAAGGCAGCATAGATGGTGCATCGCTACAGCCTGTGACCTTGCCCAAGGAGCGAGAAGACCAGGCACAGGGTCAGCCTTGCCGATACTGATGGCAATCGATGTTGTCCGCCGGGTTGCCTTCTCTGCCGCCACCGAATTGCTGCTCTGCAATTTTATTTATAGATACCGAACAATACGGCCGCAGCTGTGGCGAAATTGTCATGCAACACCACTTCCGTGCTCTGAATACCCTGATGTGACGATCTTGTCGAGATGAGGATACAAAGTGCGCTCAAATCGCAGCTCGTGAGAACTTCATGCGTGCTGCCAATGAACCGAATGCGTCGAAACTGAACGCCGCCTCCAAGTATATAAAGCCTCCATCGTCCCGTGCCGACACCTTGATCAGACATAACAATCACAGTTCACTTAAACTTCTGAAGCTTCACTTGCACTCACATCTCTCTGACCATCTCTATCCACTGCACTGCCAGCAAAATGAAGTTCGCCGCCTATATCTCTGTGCTGTCCACTCTCCTCCTGGTTGCCTGCGCCGAGGTGACGTGGTACGATGCAAACCGCAACGTGACATGCGCAGGTCACGACGATGGACACATCCAGTGCGAAGAAGGGCACCTCAACGAGGCCGAGACGGTAAGCCTCTAATGCCCTATGGTCAGGCTGTGTGAAAAATGCCTGGCCGCTAATTGTACTTCTGCAGCTCAAGCTCGAGGCACAAGCGTCGCCTGCAATCAAGGGTCGCGCCGCTTCTCCGCTGCAGAAGCGCGTGACGTGCAACATCGACGGCGTCACCAAGGGACTCGCCTGCTTCGGGCACTGCTACGCCATCGGGTACTGCAACTCGCATTGCGATGAGAAGAACATTTGCCGCTGCGATTGCAAGGACCTCGTCGAGTTCCCAAACCCGTTTGTATGCAGCAAGACGACGTGCTCATGAGGGTGCTAGGGTGTGGATTGACTGAGGGAGAGCATATGAAGCGCGAGTGCAACACTTGCTCCGCATACGGAGGAATATTTAGTTGCCAATCTGCATGTGGCTACAGTGCGATTTCGAGGCTAGTTGAACATCAGATCCCATTCAAGTGACATCTTCCCCGTCCGAATTGTCATATTGACGACCATTCCCTGGAAAGGATCAATGCCTGCTGACCTGAGTCATCTCACGGCGCGTCAGCTTCGGTGCAATTGACGGCGTCGTGTCCAGGCTGCGCGTACCACAGCCATACGTTCGTTCATGTCTTGCAACGCTACCGGTACGATCGCCGGGGCCACTAGGGAACCACGCCCAAATTCGCCACGACCACGACCACCGTGTCAACCACAACCACCAGCGATCTGGTCGTTGTAGTCCATGTCAAACTTTTCAATCTTTGAGACAAAAACAAACCGCAGTTGGCAAGGTACTGAACGGGATGGAACCGAAGCACTCTGTTCCCGCCGTCGTGGGAGCTTGGGTGCAGAGTTTTTGTGAAGCTTGTATGTACAAGAAACAAGAAAACTGTATTGTTTATATTACACTGGTTAAAACTGAGACTGCTGCAACACGAAGACGTGATGAAGGCGGAAAGGTGATGCGAGGAACAAGAACGAGTCCCAGAGTACCAGGCGGCACGAGCTAGCCCTTGCTCAACTGTCGGTAGTCTGCCCTTATGAGAGGTCAGACTGTTGACTTTCAAAGGAAATTTCATCCGGACATTAATTTTGTCATTCCGCCGTGTTGCTTGTCTGCAAGGATGGATGTCAACGGCTACACGAAGACGACGACAGGCGTGGTGCTGGGCTCATGTGTTCTCGACTTGCTCAACATAGACGTAACGGGGCTGGAGACTCGGTGCTGAGATATTGCATTTACCTCAAGCCAGAGTCCACATATTCATGCATCGCTGGTCGAACAAGGTAGTTGTTATCAACAAATTCCCATTTGTTGATGGAGTGGTGGGCCATGGTGCCCATGGCAAGACTGGGCAGACACCGACGACCAGGGCCGGCTACAGTGAAGAAAGAAAACATGAATGAAACAAGGCAGGTGAAACCCAAAACATTTATAAATATCATTGGCACCTCGTAAGCCTATGTGGTTCAGTCGCCAAAATTGTTTCGGTGGACAAAAATAAAAAAGTCGACGTGAGTCGAACTCAGGAGGTTCCAAAGATTGGGTAACGGAGTCAATTCGGTGGAAATCATGAAAGATTTGGTAAAAGGCAAAATCTTTGTCACGTGATGACCTACCGACTCCATTAGATTTATCTGTTATTTTGCTTTATATACCCATGCCTCGTTGTGGCGGATCTCCAAAATTCTGAACATTTTTGTGAGGTGCGGATCAAGTGGCGTTCAGCCGGCGGCCAATCGGGTGCTAGTGCCGCGGGGAGTTAGTAAGCACCCGTCCCCCACAGCCTTAATGGCTGGACGATAATAGTTGATTGGCTGCCAGAGAGCGCTGAACCCTTGGCAAGGTCAACCACTGGAATGCACGCTGGAATTGCCTCTAGATTCACTGCCTGGCACCCATGACCTGGACGTCTGGGACTGGTGCTGTACCCAGCCATGACAAGGCGCGTTCATCCTGCTCTGCAAATTTCGTTGCTTTGATCGCGCGCTCTAAACTGCGAAGACAGGCGCATATTGCTTCATATTCCGCTGCGTCTCCCTGACACGGGCTCGGGAACCGATTCGTCTGCTCCGGCGGGTTGCCTCCCTGACCTCAGGTTGTTTGCGAAGCGCGCCTCAACTCCCTTCCCGCAGCAGTAGTGCCCCGCGACCCTGTCCTGACTCCTGAGCCCTCGCCTTTCACGGGTCGAGTATTGGGTGGAACGATTTGGCTAGGGTGTACTGGTTGACTCTGCCTTGCCTCTTTGCTGGACAATAACGGAATACAGGTATCTTGCTCGAATCTCGCGAGGCTAGTATGTGACAAAATTGGCTGGAGTGATCGGATGGGGCGACCAAGGCCGGGCTGGACCGTTGGAATCATCAGTGCAAGCATCACCAAACGCTTTCGCCTGGATGACTTGACAAAGCACACCAGGCCAGGCATGAACTCAAAACATCCGTTGAAATACGTCGTAGGCTTGGTCTGACATGGTGCGCTCGATCTTCACGAGGCACGAGAGGCACCAGAGGCGCAAGAGTCCCGACAAGTTGACTCAACATTTTACGCATGAAGCAGCCAGACCGCCCCTGCCCCTACACTAGGACGATGCGCACCAGTCGCCATCCTCAATCAGCGTCATGTGCTACATACTTGCTGTCGCCACCATTGACCTCTATGCGCCATGCTCGCGAAGCAGAACAGAACTATAATTTTCACAACCGCACAGAATCTGCACGGTAACATTTTCAGACCCGGATAGCGTCCTTCGGCCACAATCGTCTCCGTGGTACTTGGTTCCAGCGCAAAGGCGTGTCCCCGGATGGGTTGAGTGTACATCGCGTAGCAGCTGGGTCAGACGTCGCAACTGCGCTGCGGCTCACAGCCTCTTCACCTCGGGCGACGACTCGTCAGACTACGCGATGCTGGAGCGACTCGACTTATTCCGAGGCCTTCTCCGAGCGGGTTCTGTATTGATCGAGGTCGTCCGGCGCCGTCTTGACTTTGTCCTCGGCCGCCGCCTGGGATTCCTTGGTCCGGCGGAGCTGCTCTTCCAGTTCGCCGACTCTAGCTTCCAGCACAGCTCTGGCCCGTTTCTGCTCACGCAACTGTTTCTCGAGCTCGCCAACTTTGGAGAAGGAGCCGCATTCCTCTTGTTCCATCTCGAGCCGCGTCTTGGGCAATTCATTGACCTGGTGCTGGGCCTGGGCGGGCTTGTCGCTTTCGTTACCGAGCTTGTGCTTCAAGCTGCGGACTTGGCCCTCTGCCTTGCTCCGCCCATGTTTCTCAACCCAAAGCCGTTCTGCGAGGGCGTCAGCTCGCTTCTTGGCCGCCACGCGCTCCGCCTCGACGGCGGCTCGCTCAGATAGTTCCGCCTTGACGTGGGCGAATTGCTCCAACAGGTCGGAAATGCCGGGAAGCTGCGCCGCGTGTTGCTGGGTATGGTCGAGCTTCTGGCGCAGCTCGTCGATCTGCGCGTCCTTGGCGTTCAGCTTGCCCTGGGTGTCGGCCACCGTCTTTGCCCTTTCGTCGAGGACCTCGTTTGCGGCTTGAAGTTTACGGTGGAGGTCGAGCAACTGTTCGCTCTTTTCGGTGCAGCTGCTGCAGGTCGACAGGCTGTCCTTGAGCTCGGTGATGAGTTGGCTGGCTACTTGCTTGAAGGTCTGCTCCAAAGTGATTTTGTCCTCCCACGCAATCTCAGCGCGAGCTGCAAGAAGAGCGTCATCCCGCTTCCCGTCTGTATCACCACGCGTGTCGGTATCCGCGCTGTCCATCGTGCCGGCCTCTGTTTTGCCGGTCGCGCCACTTTGGTCCGTTCCGACCGCCATGTCCCGCCTGCCAGTGACACTGCGGGTAGCAAGACGAGCTACATCATCGCGAAGACGTCGAATGATGTCGTTTTTCTCTTCGATTTGTGAACGGAGGAATTCTCCAGCGTTCGATTGCAGAGTAAGCTGCTCCTCCAGAGACGCATTTGAGCGAGCAATGTCATCTATCCGTCCCTGCATGGCGGCGAGCTGCTCTGCTTGCTCTCGTATCGTCTCTTGCATCAAGCTCTCTCGATCACCGGCTTCCTCTAGCTGCTCGTATAGCTCTGAATTATGAGTCTCAAGCTTGATGCTATGGCGCAAGAATATAGCGACTTCGTCGTTCTTTTTCTTCCAGGCTTCCTTATACCGTCGATAGCGGAGGCGCAGATTCTCGGTCCGTTTAGCGGCCCCGGCGTCACCGTCATTCACCTTGTATAGGCGCTTTTTGCGTCTAATGGCGACCTTCTTCCAGTACGGGTCGCCATCAGGGACACTGTCGTCATCTTGGTCGTCAAGATCGTCAGATGATGAGGTCGCGTCGCGATCGACGTCGATTTCCAGAGCCTCCAAGTTCATGGGCCGTCCGTTGTCGTCATGATTTTGATCGTCCGTTTGCTCGACCTCGCGGGTGTCGGCGCCTGTCAGGTCGTTACTGGATGGGACTGGGCGATCGGCTGTGCTAGAGTCAGCGCCAAGGTCTATAGAGGATCGGAATGGAAGCTGTGAGCTCGCGGCAAAGCACTTACAAGCGCAGTCGCTGGCGGCAGAGGCTACCGCCTTCTCAGCATTCTGTCCTTCGTCGTCGTCGTCTTTGCCGCCATTGGTTTTGCCGCTGTTGTCTTCGCCGGGGTCGTATTCGCTGTCGACATAGTCGCTGTCGTCATCGTCGCCGTGGTAATAAAAGATCTCGCCATATGCACCGCCGTTGTCGTCTTCGACCCTGCCTTCGTCGTTCTCCTCTTCGATGGCGTCCTCGCCTCCGTCGTAGCCGTCTTTTTCAGCAAACGGGGCCCCGCGGGCTGGTTTGCTGACCGCCTGCGTCAAGACTTGCTCGTATGCCGCCTCTGTTGCTACCTGGGCATTTGAAGCCGCCTGCTGTCGCGTGTCTTTTGGTGTCTGCGTAATCGCTGTGCACCGGCGGCTCGCATTGTACTCCGACTTGCTCAGATGGGTCATGGGACATTTGACTGGAACCATGTCTGCCCAAGGGGCGTATCGCCATTTCTTCGCAAGCCTCTTGTCGTAGTTCTTGAGAGCAGCCTCACCGAGCCAGATCGCGAGGACCAGCCATCGTGCTCTCGGGAATGGAAGACCTTGGAGCTTCCCGTTTCGATAAGCGCTGATGCTGCTGTAGTTTGATGGGTACTGCAGCAATGCCGAGTTGAGACATAACAAGACCTGCTCTGCCGCAATTCTCTGGTCATTAGAAGACAGTCTGGACCAATTTGGCTGCAATATTTCTCGCAATATGCGAGCGTTGTCGCGGTTATGCGCCGGCATGGTCGCGGGCGACTCCGGGTATGGGGTCGTCATCGTGAGCGCGCTTTCGCCCGACGCGAAATTGAGGCATGCGCGAAATTATGGGAGGAGACTACATGAGGGGAACAATCAGGGAAAGCGTGGGAAGGAGACGGAAAGCCCGAGGTGCTGGCAAGCAGTGAATCACGGACGACAGAACAAGTGCGGTCGGCTGGCCCAGACAACAAGTCCACTAGCGGAAACGCGCAATAGGGATCACTTTTAACGGCGGATGGCATGAACAAACAACGAAATCATGTACTGACGCTATGCTAGTGTATGAAATTAAATCTTCAAGACGGCCTTGCCAAAGTTCTTTCCCTCCAGCATGCCAACAAGCCCCTCGGCAGCGTTGTCGATGCCCTCGACGACGTCCAGCTTGGCCTTGACGCTGCCGTCAGCGAGCCACTTGGACAGCGTCTCCTGGTGCTCCTTGTAGTAGGCGGGGCCAAAGCCAGGCTTGCTGACGATGAAGCCCTGGAACAGAATCTGCTTGGTGACAATGTACATGAGGTTCTTGATGCCGTAGCGCTCCTCGGGCTTCGCATTGTACTCGCTAATCTGCAGACTTGTCAGCATTGCTCCGAATCGAGCAGCTAGAGTGATGGCGACTTACCATTCCGCAGGCAACGATGCGGCCGCCGGGGTTCATGACCTCAAGAGCAGCATCGAGGTGCTCGCCACCGACGTTCTCGTAGTAAATGTCGATGCCGTTGGGGGCCAGCCTCCGCAGGGCATCGAGAGGCTTCTCCTTCTTGTAGTTGAAGCCGGCGTCGAAGCCGAGCTCCTTGGTGATAAAGTCAAGCTTGTCGTCGGAGCCGACGGAGCCAATGACGGTGAGGCCCTCGCGCTTGGCGACCTGGCCGACGACCTGGCCGACGGCGCCGGCGGCAGAGCTGACGAAGATGGTCTCGCCCTTCTTGGGCTGGCCAATCTTGTGCAGGCTGGACCAGGCGGTCAGGCCGGGCATGCCCAGGGGTCCGAGGAAGATGCCGAGGTCGAGGTTGTGCTCGTTGTTGATCTTCTTGACCATGGCGGCGGCAGGGTCCTCGATGCGAGCGTACTCGGCGATGGGGGTCGCGCCCACGACGATGTCGCCCTCCTTGAAGTTGGGGTTGTCGCTCTTGAGGACGCGCGAGGCGGTGGCGTTGACGACGGGGGTGTTGGCCTCAAAGGCGGGGGTGTAGGACTTGATCTTGGGGTCGCGCATCTTGCCGCGCAGGTACGGGTCGAAGGAGGCATACTGGATCTGAACGGTCAAGCCGCCCTTGGGGGCAGTCTCGAGATCGATGTCGCGCGACTCAACGACGAGATCCTTGCCGGGTTTGGGGAGCCCGTTGGGAATCTGCTTGTAGATGAGGGTCTTGTTGGGAGCCATGATGACTGGTATTGTTTCTTGTCGTCGCCCGGTGGTGAACTGATGTGAAGCTGTATGTGCAAGAGGACGAAAGTTTGAGCAAGGCGCACGGTTCAACGTCGAAAGAACAGACAGGAGCTTGCAAATGCTATGACCTCAATGCTTCTCCTCCCATCTCTAGCGGGCGGATGGGGCGGCTATTTATTTCATCATGGCGACGCGGAGCTTGCAACGGCGTCAAGTCAATTCACCCGTGGTGCCACTGTTTATCCAAGCCACGACGCTCGAAGCGTCCATGTCCCTGACGCGGTTGGCGACACACCGTCAAGTTTCGCTGTGACGGTGGCACCGCACCAAATTACAAACGCCGTGGATTTATAATATGCTTCGGCTTTAAACTCTGCAAGAGCAAAGTCTGGTTGCCCTCCTGCATTGGACGCCAGCGAACGCCTCTCCCGGAGCAGTGTCCCAATCCATGTTTCCACTGAGGAGCTCTGGCGTCCATGACATAAATGGGCATGGCACCTAGAGGGCCATGCCGAGGCAAGACTCCACTTCTTCGGGGCCCGGCGGACTTTGAGAGTTCGGCCGCGCCCCGATGACCTCATTGGCGTGGGCGCCGTGGAGGGCCACGGCGTTGGCTATCCCGCAGGCTCGATTGAAGGCCCAAACGTCGTCTGTTTGATTCTGCGATGCGATTCAAGAAATTGAGAGACGGCCATTGATCATCATGCCTCGGGTAGATCGGGCACGTCGGTCCGCATCAGAGATGGGGTGGAGTCCGGCATGCCGGCTGTCAGACGCAGGGCTTACGGGCTGGGGAATGGGAAGGGGGACCACTCACTCTGCGAGATACAGGCACGGCAGTTAGGGTGCTGACAGGCACAGATCTGACGGATCTTGACATTTGTCACCAACCCGTGGAAAGCGCTGGACTGGGCCTGATTTAGTGCCGCGTGCCTGACTTGTATGCATCAGGAAGAAGCGTCCCGGAGCCGAGACATTCATGGCGACACGGCAGCGCCTGCTTGCCCATGTGGCCTCACTCATCCCCGCTGCCCGGGGCTCGGACTGCACGCTCGTCGGTGTTGACGGACGCGACGGTGCAGGCAAGACATTCTTCGCTGACGAGCTCGCCGCCGCCGCGGAACACGGAGGGCGCACCGTCGTTCGCATCTCTCTCGACGACTTCCACCACCAGCGCGCGCGGCGCTACCGGCTAGGCTCGCAATCTCCCGAAGGCTTCTTCATGGACAGCTACGACTACGAGGCCTTTGCAGAGCGCGTCCTGCGCCCGCTGGGACGCGGCGGTTCGCGTGTCTACAGGACGCGCAGCCACGATCTCGCCACGGACCGCATCCTGGACGACAACGAGGAGCCGTCCCACGTCGCGGACCCGGGGTCCGTGGTGATCGTCGACGGCATGTTTCTGCACCGAGACGAGATGCGCGGCGCGTGGGCCTTTTCGGTGTTTCTGGATGTGGAGGCGGAGTTGTGCGCTGAGCGGATGAGGCTCAGGGACGGGACGGCGCCGCCGCTGGTGCCCGAGGCGAGATATTTCGGTGGTCAGCTCTTGTACTTTCAGTCGTGCAAACCGTGGGAGAGGGCAACTTTGGTCGTCGACAACTCGAAGGTTGATGCGCCTGTCTTGAAGAGCCCCAGCGCAGGTCGGGGAGGCGTTGAAGCGCAGTAAAATAACTGACTCGACATGAGACGGTGGAGGTGCGCCACTGAAGCGAGGGAAGGGGCGCTCAGCACATAGCTCAGCAAGACATGCTGTCCCTTACTAGCAACCAAACGTCCACTTTTGGCCAGAGGAGAGTCTACTATTCATCGCCATTCAACGCTGCTCTGAGGGACATGACTCTGACTCGGGACGATACGCCAACACCCCGCTTGTCGTATTTGTCGCACTGCCAAAAGGGGCCCAGCGCCGCACTCATTCGCATCGGAAACGACAATCCCTCAATTGACGGCCCCTATTCGGATAATGTCGCACTCACCCCATCTTTCAAGTCGTCGCCTGATAGACCCGGATCCTTCAAAGGCCACGACCAGTCAACATGCCCTCACTGCTAGACCTCCCCGACGAGGTCCTCGTTGAAGTGGTCCGGCTCGCGCTCGGCCTCGGCCATGCGGACGGTCCAATTGACGATGCGCGATGCTTTCAGATTGTCTCCCCGGATTTTGTACCAGGCATCGCGCCATGGATGAGAAAGCGCACGCTGAAGGCGCATGCCGAAGATAAAGCGCCTATTGTGCCGCTGCTTGTGGCTTCACGGCGGTTGAGCAAGATGGCCGGCTCTCTCTTGTTGAGCAGATCCGTCTTTCGCGTGAGTGACACGCCGGATTTGCAGCTACTTCTCAGCTCCATGGGGCCTGAGCGGATTCTACGCTTGAAGCACATGTCGGTCGCCCTCTACTCGGACGACGATTATGAGCACGACCCGCGCGACGATAAAACCACGCAACAGGACATTGACGAGGCCACGACGGCACTGGGACAATTGCCGTCGACACTGCGAGGCCTCCGTCTAGAATTGCCTTACCATTGGCATCCTCCGTTCTCCCATGACAAAGGCACCGACTTGCGCCTCAGAAACGCCATGAGCAAGTTCTCCGACTTGAGGGAACTATACCTCGACCTCTACACCCACTTTGTGCATATCGACATGTTCACCAACATGGCTGCCAACATGTATACCGACTTTCACGAATGGATCGAGCCGGCAGCCCCCCGGTACCCCCATCTCAGGCGCCTCCAGCTCCAAGGATGTCTGACGCCTTCCCTTGGAGGAAAAGGTCTTGCAACCGCTCTCTCAGAGGCACAGCTTCCGTGCCTGGAAGCGCTCGTTCTTGATGGCATTCTCCACGACAGCGACGACGAGAACTCTCTTATATTCCAGCCGGATGCATTCAAGACGATGCACCCGTTGCGCGAGTTTTGCTGGATCCCGTACGACTTTGACGAGGGCATACGCAAAACGCTGGGGAACCCGCATTCGCCGCCGACGAGGCGGCACTTGGAGGAGCTCAAGGCCAGGCACGGCGAGACTCTGCGCGTGTTGCAGATTGACTTTGGGGAGAGGGAGTCGCGCAATGGGCCGTGGGATCTGGACATTGATGAGGTGTACTTGGACAAGTTCAAGGCCGGGCTGCCAAACCTGCGAGAAGTGTCTCTGACGATGGGCGAGGAAGAGTGAAGGTCGATTGGAAGTCGAAGCGGCCTGTGTCGCATCTCCTCACGGCAGCTGTATACGTGTCTTTTTGTGCAAAAGGGCGCCAGTGTATCAGGCGGGCACAGTACCCGGGATGCTGTCTCCGCGCCCTCTAAGACGGCTGAATTGGCGTCCGCTTTGAGGCTATGTCGCATTCGCAACCTATAAAGGCAGTCGGCGCCGCAACTTCAGAAACCCAGTATCGAACATAGAAATGATGAAGATACTCATTCTCGGAGGCACCAGCTTTGTCGGCCGTCACACTGCCGAGGAGGCCCTCGGGCGTGGCCACGATGTGACGGTATTTAACCGCGGCCATTCGGCCACACCAGAGGGCGCCACTGCCATCGTCGGCGACCGCCTGGCAAAGGACGGATACGCGAACCTCAAAGGCCACTCCTTTGATGCCGTTGTCGACACATGGGCGACAGACCCCGCCGCCGTCGAGTCTGCGGTGGAGGCCCTCCGCGGCCAGGTCAAGCACTACATCTACGTCTCGACCATCAGCGTGTACAACTTTGAGGGCGCGCCGAGGCCCTACTCCGAGGACACGCCGCTCTTTGATCCCGAGAAGACCGAGGTGCAATACTTCAAGGACAAGGTCCGCGGAGAGCGCTTCGCCCTGCAGTCAGGCGTGCCGACCGCGCTGATCCGCCCGGGCGTCATCCTCGGGCCCTTTGAGAACATCTGGCGCCTCCCCTGGTGGCTCAAGCGCATGGCCAGGGGAGGCAAGACGCTCGCGCCCGGGCCCAAGGACATGGACCTGCAGTTCATCGACGCGCGAGACCTGGCGCGCTTCGTCGTCGACGTCGCGGAGCAGAAACTCGACGGCGCGTATAACCTCCTCTCGGAGAGGGCGCATATATCCATGGGCGATTTCTTGGAGACTGCGAATAGCGTCACGGGCGGGAAGGCGGAGCTGTGCTGGCTGGAGATGAACAAGGTCAAGGAGGCGGGTATCGGGGACTGGGTCGAGATGCCCATGTGGGTTGCGAAGCCGGAAGCGAAGGATCGACCTGCGTACCAGGTGGATGTGAGCAAGGCGATCAAGGCGGGCTTGAAGATTCGCCCGGCGAAGGACACGATTGCGGATACGTGGGAGTGGGTGAAGACCCTGGATGGATTGCCTGACAGTATCAGGGTCGGCCTTGATGCAGACAAGGAGAGGCAGGCCCTGGAGAAGTACTGCAGTTAGTGCAGCGTACTCGAAGCTTCTGATCTTGCAGCATTGTCAACATTGGCCCTCAATCGGGTCGAGAATATTGCAGTCGCACCGAAGAGCATGCTGATGAAATGTGTGAACGTCGCTTGCGACTTCCATGAGTCGCCCATAACGCCATGTCGATCTGCTTGGGGCCGCTGATGCCTGGCGGGTGGCCTCCCACCGGACAGACGTTGGTCAACCAAAACAATCCCGCCCAGGCAACAGCAAACTTGTACGGCTATGCGCATGCTCGACCCGATTAAGCGGCCGCATGCTCCCGACAAGCATGCCCTCCTGGATACCTGCATTCAAACCCCGAGTCGCGCGTGCCCAACATGCCCAAGATGCAGCTATCAAGGGTCAACGTATGCTCGCCGCAGCGCCGCGTCATGTTGGAGGGGTTCCCGGCGCTAGTTTGCTGCTTCGGGCTCAGCTTCTCACCCCGGACGTGACGACTCAGCCACCACAACGCAATCCTGTCGCATTCGCGGCCAATCGTCTTACAGCGCCGGCAGGAGGCAGCCGAGTTGCGACCAACGGTCCCTTTGTGTGCGATTGAGGGCTGAAGGGTCGCCTGATGCCTCGTCTATAAGATTGCGTTTCTGCCCGAGCGACTGGAGCCGTCTGGATGCCATCGCTGTTCAAAGAAGTCGCGTGCATGGTTTGCCAATGTTCTGATTGCTGATCAATGTGCCTCCCACGGCCTCGCAAGTCTTCCCACTCACGATATCACCCACTACCATCATCAGACACACTCCCTGTGTATCCCCGAGTCACGGCCATGGGCGCCCCTCCCTCACAACCTCCCATGTCCCCCAACAACTCCACCATGAGCGCCGGACCGTTTGCCGCGCCTCCGTCGACCTCGTTCCTGTCTGCGCAGCACGAACGCCTCATCCTTGAGCTCCTCCCCTTCAAGGACAGCGCCAAGTTCCAAGAGTGGCTCAACAGCGACTGGGTGCGCGGCTCGTGGCTCGAGTTCCACGCCGACTTCCTCACCAAGAGTGCGCGCCCTGGCCCAAGCGCCGCGACAGAGCCCGACAAGGCGCGGGCCGCGCAGGCCGCCAAGGATGCCATCAACTCGCGCTCGCAGAAATACCTCGTCTACCATCCCAACAAGACGGGCTGGACGGCCGAGGACCATCATGTGCGCTTCATCGTGACCGTCATACAGGACAACATGCTGCGGAGCTTGTGGTCCGAGTCTGAATGGAAGAAGAAGGCAATTGACATTGCAAAGGCGGTATTCGAGGTGTTGTGCTTCCTCAAGGCGTCGTTCTATGTGATCGACCAGCATCCGCCGAGCTATTCACAGTAGGGGTGTTGTTGAGGTGGCTCAGTGCGAGCCCGCATCGTGTGCTCATGGCTGTCAGGTGTTTGGAGTTGGATAGGTCATTATACTTTTGGCAATTCAGCGCATCATTACATTGGATACACCGTCACTTTTAGTTTCCACATGACCATATTGAGTGGCTGTGACGTGTGAATTGAGATGCGAGAGGCGTCGGGGTGTTTGAAGCAATTCAGGGCAGATTCTCGTCCAGTCTACCGCACCGTGCAGCCAGGAAACCCTCATTGAACATTTGCGCAACTCAAAGCTGTGCCAACACAGACTCAGCCGAGGACACCGTCACCTCCCGACCAGGCTCCTTCTCTGCGTATATTACTTTGCCATGGTCAACAATCATTGCGTATCGAGCCGTGCGTTCCCCTTTAAGCCACCCTAGGCTCTTGGAAAATGCAGTGTCCGTGTCTGACAGGAAAAGCTGTCCGAAATTAGCTACATTCGCGGTCCAGTGTCAAGGACATCGTTGGTAAGCTCACAATGTCATCATCTTTGACCTGATTTACTTTGCCCCATGCACTCATGACGTAGGCGTCGTTGTAGGCGATGCAGGCTATCACGTCGACTCCTTTCTCGCGGAAACGAGACATATTCTTGATGTATCCCGGAAGGTGCCTCTCGGAGCATGTACCAGTAAAGGCACCAGGGACGGAGAACAAGACCACTTTCTTGTCGGCAAACTCTATGGCGAGCTTTAATTCCTCACCGCTTGAGCGACAAGACAAGAGAAAACACACCTTTGGAGGCGTCATAGGTTACGGGAACGCCGCAGGTGCTGATGCCCTCTTTGTCTTCAGCATAAGGTATATATGAAAAGGTGACTCCCTCAGGGAAGCTGTCTCCCACCGCGAGGGTTGCCATCTTAGCGAGTGCCTCGAAGTATTGCAGGAGTAGTGGTTGTCGGCGCGGGCAGTGCTGTTTTCGCGACTGAACCTCGTCCTGAGTTCTTAATCCTGCAACAAGGTCGGCTCGCAAAAGGCGAAGAAACGGCGGCTGGATTTTGGCCCCAAGTTCGACGTGCCCGTGGTTGCCTACTGCGTGGCTTATCATCTCCTTCACCAACATGAAGACGAGGCAATCCCCACGAAATCGTGTCTTGGGGTCCCACCGCGAGGCGAGCATCTGTACGCAGCTCATTGTGCGGCCGCCAAGAAACAGCCACGTTTGGAACATTTGACGCAGGGTAACGCCAGCTGCGGCTTTCCGCCGTGAGTGTTGGGCCAGAATCCATGTCCGGTTGTCATGCATATATTGCTGTTTCTGTGTGACCAGTCGACGCCCGAACGGGTGCATATGGTCACATACAAAGTAGACGGGGCTCTTTGTGGTGGCACAAGCACAATGGTACAGTCATCTCTTCAAGACATCGTTCAAGAACTAGTACAGTAACGATGTGTGTTCTGCACGCAATGCAATGGCGCTATTGTCGGCTTGAATCGAGTGCTGACGCTGGTGGCCAAACCCCCACTATCAAGTCTCATCCCAGCTCCGATCAACCCGCAACTAACTAAACCGAGCCATTTTTTCTCCCCCTCCGACGTCGCGTGCGCCTTGGACCTGACATCGCACAAGAGCAACAGCCATGGCGTCGATTCGCGGGGCCTTGCAATGGATTTGCAGAGAGCTCGGCCTCACCTCCGTGTGGGAGACGGGCTCGGATGCGTGGCTCGTGATTCTCGGGCGGACGTGCCGCATGTTTGCCTTTGGGGCCATCTCCCTCATCATCGCCCTCTTCATGTCGTCGCTCAACTACTCCGACTTCAAGATTGGGCTATTTATGACCCTTACGCTGGTCGGCGACGTGATCCTGTCGCTGTTCACGGCGCTGGTCGCAGACCACACCGGTCGCCGCCGCATCCTCATACTGGGCGGCATGCTCATGGTGTTCTCGGGCCTCGTCTTTGTCTACTTTGAGAATTACTGGATTCTGCTTTTTGCCGCTGTCGTCGGCGTCATCAGCGCTACGGGAGGCGACTTTGGGCCCTTTCGCTCCATTGAGGAGTCGACGTTGTCGCACCTCACCGAACCCTCGACCCGTGCTGACGTTCTCAGCTGGTACGTTGCGACGTCAACGCTGGGCTCAGCCGTTGGAACTGAAGTCGGTGGCCGCATGGTTCACGTCCTCCAGAGGTTGCGTGGCGGCACCGTTACCGAGGCGTATCATGACATGTTCTGGATCTACGCCCTGATGGGCGCCCTGTCGGTCGTTTGCGCACTCTTCATGAGCGACAAGTGCGAGTCGCCGGCACTGAGGGGGGATTCGAACGATAAATCGGCCGAGTCAGATCCACTCCTGGGCTCAATGCAGGAACCACCCATCGGCGACATTCAACGCGACGTGATCGCGAACGTTGAGGTTCAGAATGAATCGCATGCATCTCCGTCAGACATGGACGCGGCCCGGCAACAAGACATCCTGCCCACGAGTCCAGTCGGGCGGGACGAGCCACGCAGGAACCCAATCTTTGGTCGATTCTCGCAAATCTCCAAAGAGTCATTGGCTGTGTCCATCAAACTCTGGATCCTGCTTGCTATCGACTCACTGGCAGACGGCATGGTCTCCTACGCGCTGACCAACTACTATCTTGCACGCAAGTTCGGCCTCGCCGAGTCGGCTCTGGGAGACATCATGTCCACGAGCTACCTCCTTATGGCCATCTCGTCCATTTTCGCTGGTCCCCTTGCGCGGCACCTGGGATTGATCAACACCATGGTCTTTACGCACCTCCCGTCCTCCACCGCGGTCCTCCTCTTCCCGATTCCACAGAGCGTGGCTCTGACGGTGGTACTGCTCTTCATTCGCACGGGCCTCAACAACATGGACCAGGGACCCAGAGCCGCCTTTATCGCAGCCGTTGTGAAGCCCGAGGAGCGCACCGCCGTCATGGGCATCACAGGCATGCTGCGGACATTGGCGTCGACCATTGGACCCAGTCTGACTGGCTGGCTTGCCGGCAGCGACAGATTCTGGATTGCGTTTGTTGTCGCTGGCGCTTTACGGATTGGATACGATCTTGGCCTGTTTGTCATATTTGTGAACATGAAGCTACATGCTCATGAATCGCCGGAAGAGCATGAGCAGAGAGATGAAGAGGCTCCTAGTGAGGCTGCGCGTGTTGTTGAGAATTGAGCTTGAATAAATGGTAAAGCCAAGGCAGAGTGCTCATCGCCTATCTCATTCACTCCCACACCTGATCGTGAAGTGCTTTAGAACGCCGGCACCGGACATCAACGTCACGACACGGAGACCGACCAACGCAATCTGTTAAATTTGCCGATACCGGAGCCAATAATAAATATTAATGGAAGAAAACTCATGATTCTCGCCCGATCTCGGTCTATGATCACACGTCCTTGCTTCCCTGTTGCCTCATCGAGCGCCCCGCCTTCGTTCGGGTGAAGCACATCATGATTCGACCTGTGAATGCGTCCTGAACCGCCGCTAGCCATCCATTGCTATACCAGCTGTGTTTTTCACTGTCCTCCCCGCGCTGCCCTGATGCCGACAAACTCTCGACGCCAGGTCCGGGCCATGAGGCCGATCCCAAACGGAAGGTGACTTGCGAGCCGTTGATGCGGAGTAGATCCGCGACAGAGGTGATGTGTTCGTCGGCTCCTCCAGATCTTTTAGAATCCAGAAGTCTCGTCAGAACAATTTGCATGCATTCAGCCGTCGCGCGTTGTACCTCTTTGCCGTACTGTGCAATCTTCTCATCTCTATGCTCCATTTCCAAGATCCTGGCCAGAAGGCAGCCGAAATTGTGAACGGATGCGCATCTTTCCAGGAAGGGTTCGGGGGTAAACAGCCCCGGGTTAGTCGCGAGAATACGGTTGGAGACCAAGTTTGCAGCCTTGATCTTGGCCCTCATCAGGTGGTTGGCATAAATGATGACATTGGCGCCGACGCTGTACAAGACATCCTCAGGCGTCGTCGAATACGTCGTCGTCACTACAACCACGGGTGTGTGGCGGTTTCTGACACGGAAACGCCTGATAAAGTCCAGAATCTCATCAGGCTGCTTGCTCTTGCTGTGAATCATGATTGCGTCCGCGCCGGCGGCGCAGTAAACTTGGGCGCGTGTGAGGGCGTCTTCAAGGGCGGCACGAACGGACACCATCTCCTCGCCCGCATCATTCTTGGCTGTGCGCGTGGTGAAGCTCTCAATCCTGGCCGTCACCATGAATTCCGCGATCGCCGCCTCTTTGAACGTTGTGATAACCTTTGAGAAGTCGTACATGTTTGCTTGGCCTTGCGAGGCGGACGAAGCAGCAAGCGAGTTGACTTTTGCACCAGGCTGTGAGACTTCTTTGTCCTCGATTACCGCCATAGATATACCCAAGCTCAACAGCTTCGCAACCAGAGCTGGGACCTCGGTCTTCGGGCCACCGCTGTCGGCGTCAAATGCCCAACAGAGTTTGCGGGATCCTTCATGATGGCCCACGCCGGCGAATGTAATCAATGAGGCCCGTTGCAGCGGCGTTATCATTTCGGTGTCGGGGATGCCCAGATACGTGGTCTGTGTGAGGCCGCTGATCCAGATCCCTTGGAACATTTCGCCATCATTGCTGACGGTCTTCCTCACGAGGTCACTGGATGTATGGTCATGGGCCTCCACCAGACGGATTTTGCCGCGGCTTTGAGCGAGTGACGATCTCACAGAGCTGGACATGGCTGTATCATTCATGAGACACGAGAGAGCCAAATGTCTTTGAGAGCTGCGAAAGAAAGGCACAAGCACTGGCTGCAACAAAGCAAAAAGTATCAGGGGGCGTTCAATGCTGGAAACACCGTGCCCGTGCAGTGAGATGATGGCAATAGATCTCCACTCGACATCCTTTTCTTATGCGCCCGTCGTTGCATAAAAGGAGATATGACATGGACCACGCAGAGATGCAAAGCGCTCGGAGCAAGACGGAATAAGCATCAATTCTCGCCAATAGTCTGGCTACAGTCACATCAATTGTCAATGGCGCAGCTGCAAATGTGTGGCAAACAAACATACATCGGTATCTTCCTATCTCACGCAAGACGTCTCACGCTGCAGGTGAGGCATTCACTCAGGCGTCTCCAAGAATGGCTTGCCAAGGATTGTCTCCAATGTTGCAGCTGAGACATTCAGCCGCCCGACTTGCGCCAACCCCAGGCGTCTGCAGCCCGTGATAGACACACAAGCTTTCTGGATGGGCCGTTGCCAAGCTGTCGTGTGGCCACCTTCCATAACCGTCCATTGTGTCCAATATGCTCTGCGAACGCGGTTTGTCCTACCCAAGATGAACAGGGTTCGACATGTTCGCTGGCTATGTTTGGAGGACCTCGTCACTCGCGTCATTCCTCGTCTTCACAGGTCGGCAAGCGATTGCTTGTGACGAGTCACACTCCATGTCCAATCTCACAGGTTCTCCTGCATCCCGTCAGGAAGTATTGATGACGGTGACGAGGCAATTGAGTCGTGAACTCGTTGGACAAGCACAGGCTCGAGACACCGAGGATGGCGGGTAGTGTACGAGCTGACGGGTCACATCGCTTCAATGTTGCTACAAGGCATGTTTGACGACGGCCATACCCCTGGCTAGTGTTACTGAGAGCATCACACACGGTGATCCGCTACTCATGTTTGTGTCCAGTGGGTGTCAAGTACATGTAACCAGCGAAGGCGGCGCGTACATGCACCACTCCTATATCAGTCCAGTCGAGGTGAATGACGTCGTCAATATCAGCACGGCTGAAACAATATTGGGCCGCCTCAGATAATACTTCGTATTATTCATCTATTTGCAGTCGTCACCTCCGATACTGTGTGTGCAGTCGCAGGGGCTCACCGAAAACGACTCAGGTGGGTGACAAAGTATGCCTCATTTTACAGCACGCCGGGCGTCCGGCTACACCTCAGGTCGTCGTGCACGACTTACGAAGAACAACCGGTGTGATGCACCAACCGTTGTCATGGAGCATCCGGAGATATCGCGAAACTGAATACTACGTCGCGTAGCTCAGAAACGACAAGTGTCAACGATCCCAGTCACATCATGCGATGGACTGTATTTGGCAATGCCTGATGTACGTAGTCAGGCTCCCAATAGCCGAGGAAGTACTGATGTAATATGTTCAAAGTCCTGTTGGGTACTGCTCCCGTTGGCCCTCCGTCGGCACCCAGAGAGGCACACCACTTTGGCTTCCATGTTCTCTACTCTCTACTTACCCGCGTCCCTGCCCAGGAAACATCTCACCGACATCGACTAACGCAAGCACCATGGTACCATTCGACCCCGAGGAGTTCCACGATGAGGCGCTCAAGCCCAACGGTATCGACACCATCTTTGGCGTACCCGACTCGAGTCTCAGCGGGCTGCTGAGCTACCTCGCTGCCAACAAGTCCGCGCCGCAGCACATTGTCATGGCCAACGAAGGCGGGGCCGTCGCCCTCGCCGCCGGATACCACCTCGCCACGCGCAAGGTGGCCATGTGCTATATGCAGAATTCGGGACTCGCCAATGCGCTGAATCCGCTGCAGAGCCTGGCGGCCAAGGAAGTGTTTGGGATTCCCATGCTGCTCATGATAGGGTGGCGCGGCAAGCCAGGCATCAAGGACGAGCCACAGCATGCCTTGATAGGTCCGCGCCTTTTGGACAACTTAAGAGCAAACGACATCCCTTTTGAAGAGATACCAGACTCGATACCTCAGTCTAGGGAAGCGATAGGGCGGTTGATCTCAAGGTCGCTGGCAAAGAACACGCCGGTCGCGCTGATCGTGCCTCCCGGGGCCTTTACTCCCTACACGAACATGAAGGAAGCAGTAATGGCAACACACGTGGACGCCAACAGAGCAGTCACCCATGTCGAGGCAGAGAGCTGGCTCACTTCAAACTTTGATCTGCAACTCTCTCGCGAACTCGTCGTGAGGCGTGTCCTTGCACACATGGCAGAGGCTGATGTCTCCGTGTCGTCGCTCGGAGGGACAAGTCGCGAGCTGTACATGGTCCGGAAGGAGAAAGGCGAACCTCTTTCGTCAAACTTCTTCTGCCTTGGAGCCATGGGACATTCCTTTGCCGTGGCCAACGGAATCAGGCTGCGGCCGTCCTCCGGCAAGGTTTTTTGTATAGACGGTGACGGGTCCTTCATCATGCATTTGGGAAACAACGCCGTGTTGGCCGACATTTCGCAGCCTGACCTGGTTCATGTCGTGGTCTTCAACGGGGTTCACAGCTCGACTGGCAGCCAGCCACTTACGATTAGTAGAGATGCATTTCTCGCAGCGGCCAATGGCCTCAGCTACCAACGAAAGTTCTTTGTCGACAACATCGAGGGCTTGGATCGGGCGCTGAGCTTGCTGGACAGTCGAAACACCCTCATTGTCGCGCTGGCCAACGACTCGGCGTCGGCAAGCCTTCCGCGACCGTCGGAGACTGCCAGCGAGCTAAAGAAGCTGTTCATGGGACACTTCACTTAACCTCTGTGGGGTCTGAGGGCTGCTGATTCATTGCGGAATGGCTTCGTCTTGCGGTCACGATCTCATCTTCAATTGATTCACGTTTCCGATCAGCACAACGGCCGTGCCATCTCACTGTATTCTAGGACCAAACATACGTAAAACACATCTCAGTCTCGCAGCTCTCATCTTGCCGCAAGCCCTTCGCCTCATCCCATACCCTTGTCCAGTGTACTCATCCTTCGCAAGTGGCCAACCTGCCCAGACCCTCAATCTTCTTCATCCTCGTCATCAGCCCAACTTCTTCCCTGAATGGACGTTCCCCTGCCATCCCATACGTCTATGCGCGGGCGGCTTTGATCTAGCTTCTCCTTCGATACGGCTTTCCTATCATCCAATCCAATCCCTGCTGGACCCTTAAGGCGGGTTCCCAAGCCATCGCAAGCGTCCACGTTCTGCTGAGACTGCGTTGCCATCGCTGCGACAGTAGTATAAAAGGGTATATCGACGAGGTCGTCTTCTTCGTCGTCGTCGTCCCATCGGCGGCCTTTGATGCCAGTGCCGAGTCCATCAAAGATGGCAATATGTGGTGCGGTATCGTCGGAGATGATCGTCGACGGGACAACCAGAGGCGTCTCGTCCTCATCGTCTTCGTCCCATCGTGTTCCCTTGATATTAAGGCCGCGGCCATCAAAAATGTCGACATTCGGGGGCGTTGCCGTCATAGGCAGGGTGGGCAAGTCGTCTTCATCGTCCTCGTCCCATCGTCGTCCCTTGATGCCGACACCAAGACCATCGAAGATGGCGATATTCGGGGTAGTAGTAGACATGGGCTTTGCCACCATGGGCATCCCAAGCTCAATCTCTGCGTCTTCGTCCATCATGTCATCCCAGCTGCGAGAAGCAAACTGGATGTCGACGACATCGAAGGTGCTGATGGGGCTGAGTGGGGGAGTGGCAGGACCGCCCTCGCTGGACGTGTCGCTGCTTGTCTCTGAATGTTCGAATAGCTGCTCGGGGCAGCCCTCCTCGCCGCCCAGCATCTTCAGGTCCTCCGCCGAGTATTCGTGCTCGGACACACGGATGTGGTCCGGGTCGTGGTGAGGGTAGCCGGAGAACTCCTCCATCGGACCATCTACGAGGAACACATTGACCGTTCGATGGTCGTTGAACGTGACTCGATCCTTCTTGCTGCCGTCCACGGGTGGGTAACGGGAGTACCAGTCCCATACCGAAGCGATGTGCATGTAGTACAGATAGTCGTCCTAGGACTGTCTGGAAACATGCTCAGGCTTGACACCCGGCGCCACAAAGGCATGGTGATTCTCCGCATGATGATTCTGGAGGCCGCCTCGAACTGCTAATCTGTCAGTGTTTCTGAAGAGCAGACGAGACCTTGTCAACAATAGGGAGGGCTGAGACCAACATTCGATGGGGGCCAAGCTCGACTGGGCTCTCTTCTTGAGAATGCCCTTCAAGGGGCGCAGAGATTCCATGACGTGCTTGGTCTGGGTAACGGGGGCGAACGAGACCATCCCGAAGATTGAACGTAGGTAGTGACGTAGGACGAAGTTATAGAGTTGCGTCTGGTGCGTGGCGGCAGAAGAGAGAATCAAAGGGCGATGCCGATATGTGACGAAGTCTTGTCGCTTGTTCAGAAGCAGTGCAAGTAGATCGTACGGACAACAGTCGTAGACTAAGGCAATTCGGTATTCTTTGTCGGAGGACAGCGAGACCGTGCTTGTGTAGGAAGAGAAGTGGAAAGGATGGCGCGGGGGTGGGCAGGACAAAAAGTAGGCGGGCGTCGTGAGCGAACGGCCAAGTGACAATCGCCTCCCCAACCACCTCAATTCCTACGACACCAGTGAATGTCCGCTTGAAAGACTTGTTACCTAAGCGGGACATCTTTCGTCTGAACAGACCTGTTCAGCAGGGCCTGGTGCGTCTGTTCAGCTCTGTTCAGCACTGGGTCACTACGCGTCACTGTGCTGTGCTGTGAATCACGGGATGAAAGACTTTACTGTCCCAGCAGCTGAACCTGCCAGCCCTCTGTGATTCGCCTTTTAGCACACTTTTCGGCTAGATATCTGCGGCTATTCAGGTGCTGCAGCGGCGCGTAGGTATGTCACCCACGGCGTTCACTCCTGCTTCAGTCCGATCTTTCCGGTCTTGCGAAGCCCAATACCGCCAATGGCCGCGCAGCCAATCATCAATGCCAGCATGGTCCAGAATCCTGCTCTGTAACCTTCTAGAATGGGCCCTGGGGGCGTCATTCCAGCGTGGTTCTTGGCCACGAGGGTCGAAACGACCTGCATGACAGCCAACCCAAGTGAGTTCCCAAACTGCGATGCCGTGTTGAACACCGCCCCGGCGATTGCTTGCTTGTCGTCCGGGAAAGTGTCGGTTACAATGATGAGGCCGACTGTGAACAGCACGTCGACAGAAAATGGCATGAGAATTTGGGCGAAGAAGGCGCCGGTCCAGTACGTCGACTGGGGCTGGATCAAGGCCATGAGCAGGGGAGAGCCCGCGGTGAGGAGAGAAGTGATGACAGTGAGCCACACAGCCGGGATTTTGTGCACGACGAGCCCGGTAGTGAAGTTGAGTGCTATCCCGACCACGACGGATGGTACGATACGTAGCGCGGCTTGCAACGCTGAGAACCGCTGAATCTCTTGGAAGCTGGGCGTTTCGTTAGTGCCGCAGAATTGATGTAGACACGGCGACTTACTAGAGACTCGCAAACAATTCTAAGGAGTTCAGTACTGCAAAGGACAAGGCGATGGTGGCGCAGATTGTCGCAAAGCTCGAGTTGGTCCAGAAGGAGTTGGGTATGAGCGCAGGTTTTCCGGCTCGATTTTGGCGATGCATCCAGCCGATGAAGAGGGGAAGCGCCAAAACACCCAAGCAGAGAAGCACGATACTTGTAGGCTCCTTAATCTTGTATACGTCGGTGCTGATGATCCTGCAGCGATGGTTAGCAGATGCCGAGATCGGAAGTCGGTCACATACGCCAAAAAGTACGATATCAGCGTCATAAAGGCAGAGGCTAGCAGTGCCCCCACCCCGTCGACCTTTGTCCTCATGTCCCGCATGGCAGTCTTTAGTGTGCCGAGAGCTTTCGACGCCGGCAACGCCCAGGCGCCGACAACGGACAGCAGCAGATTGATGCCTCCGTAGAGATACCAACCCGCGCGCCAGCCGATCGTATCGACCAAGACGCCTCCCATCACCAAGCCAACCGAGAAGCCGAGCGGCTGGCTCAGACCGACACACGCGAAGCTCAAGTTTCGCCCTTTGCCGCGCGGCATGATGCTCGTGATGAGAGCCACAGAGCTTGACAGGTGCAACGCCATGGCGACGCCTTGCAGCGCCCGCAGCGCGACCAGCTCTTCGCCTCGTCGAGTGAAACCGCAGCCAATGATCATGGCGCCGCTGGCGACGCATCCGACGAGCTCCATGGACTTGGGTCCGACGACGTCGGCAAAGGCACCGGCAAGTAGAAGTGCTGATGCAGTGGCCAATCCGGGGACTGACGATGGCCAGAACGCGAGCGACTCGGGCAGTTGGAGGTCGGCCGTCATTCGTGGTAATGCGACGACGACGAGTCCGTTCGTGGCGCTCGAGGCAAAGTTGACGCCAGCGAGCTGGAATGTGACAGCCGCCTTTCGCAGTCGAGAGACTGATCTGGCGTTGTTGCCGCCCCAGTCTCTGGGACTTTCATTATCGCTGTGGCTTAAGCGGGAGGTGCTCTGCGAGTCCACGATCCCTGTCGCGACTGGTTCCAACCTCAGAGTCTCCGTTAGGGTAGCCATTGCTGCGCAGTTGGTGACAGCAGTCTGGAACTTGAACGTGGGCTGCTCAAAGATGAGGGTACGTGAGCCGCCTAGCTGCGGGTGCTGACGGGCTGTTGTGTTGGCTGTCCGCCGTACTAGAGTAATTAAGCCTTTCGTTGGGGGATGTCCAATACGCCCTACACGCCTTTGGAGTGGAGAACGTTTAACAGTGCATTGATCCCAGTCGCCAATATCCGCGCTCTATCAAATGCGAGAGTTTGGGCTTGAAGGATGGTGACAATTGCGAAGTCCTACGAAACGAGAGACTGCGATCATTTCAGCCCATCGGATGCGTGTTATGCATGTAAGTTTGTAACACTGAAGGCGCGGTTCATGGTCGACCGAAACGGCAATGTCAACTCGGCCCTCCCCACCGCAGATCCCACTTGATGCAACCCCACGGCGGGTCACCCAATAAACTAAACCATGCCACAGCTCCATGAACCTCACTTGAACCTCTTGCTCAACTCACAGAGGGCAGCGAGAGATCACCATGTCGTCCGAACCACCGGTACTCATCCTCGACGGCGGCCTCGGCACCTCGCTCGAGCGCTCGTACGGCTGCACCTTCACGCCCGCCACGCCCCTCTGGTCCTCGCACCTGCTCGTCTCCGACCCGTCCCTCCTGCAGCGCTGCCAGGCCGATTTCGCCAGCGGCGTCCCCGTCGACGTGCTCCTCACCGCGACGTATCAATTCTCCGTCGCCGGCTTTGCGGGCACCAAGACGGGGAACTGCCCAGATGGTATCCCTAGATCCGATATCCCGCGCTTCGTCGAGGCCGCGGTCCGCACCGCTGAGCAGGCCAGGGGAGCTGACGGCCATGCGCGATTGGCGCTGAGCCTGGGCCCGTACGGAGCGTGCATGATTCCCAGTCAAGAGTACAGCGGGCGGTACGACACAGAGCATGATTCGGAAGACGCGCTGCGCGAGTGGCACGCCGACCGCATGCAGCTTTTCGGCGGCATCACGAACTTGGCATCACGGATCCAGTACGTCGCGCTGGAGACGATCCCACGCGTGGACGAGATCCGCGCCTTGCGCAAGGCCATCAGCGCAGTGCCGGATCTAGCAGGACGGCCATTCTGGATGAGCTGTCTCTTCCCGCATGCCGACGCGGACACCCTCCCCGACGGGTCGTCGCCCGAGGAGGCCGTCCGCGCGATGCTTGACCCCGGCGTCGCGTCCACCCGGCCGTGGGGCATCGGCATCAACTGCACAAAGGTGTGGAAGCTGGACGCCCTGCTGCGACGTTACGAAGCCGCCGTTGCGGGCTTGCTCCAGGAGGGTGTGATCAAGGCGTGGCCGGCGCTGGTGCTTTACCCGGACGGCACAAACGGCGAGGTGTACAACACGTCGACGCAGAAGTGGGAAATGCCGGAGGATGTCAAGGGCGAGGACCGGGCAACGTGGGAAGATCAACTGAAGGGCGTTGTGCTCGGGACACAGCAACGGGGCAAGTGGCAGCAGATCATCGTGGGCGGGTGCTGCATGGCCGGAGCAGAAGACATCAAACGCCTTCGCCGCGCGTTGGTAGGCAGGTGAATACGCATTCAGATGCCCAAACCGCTCACGTCTGCACTCGTCTCCCTCCCAGCCATCATCTCCGCCATCACCTTGCCCGTCCCCAGCGACAGCGAGATGCCCCACGGCCCATGCCCTGCCGCCACAAACACGCCTCCCTCGCCGCCCCCGCGGGTCTTGATGCCCAGCTGCTCGTCCTTTAAGCGCGTGACGTACGGCACTCCCCGCTCCGTGACCGGCCGGAAACACAGTCCCGCTCGCACAACTTCGAGCTCCTGCTTCTCACCCGGCGGCAGGGCAATGAGCCGCCTAGCTATGTCTTTCAGCTTCGCCAGCGACACCTCATCTGGCTGCGCGTCCGTCGCCAGGGCCGATAGCGGCGTGTTCGACGAGTTCACGCCTGAGAGGTAGATGACGCCGTTTGCGCGTGCAAACAGCTCCGGCGCGAGACCTGCGTCGCGGAGCGTGCAGAACACCGAGTGCGACTCGTCGCCGAGCTTAAACCCGGGCGTGCGCACGACCAACGAGTGACCGGCCAGTGGGTCGATGCGGACCGGCGAACCGGCCAGCGGGAACAGTGACGACATAATCTGCGGCGTCCAGGCGCCGGCGCAGAGCAGGAGACGCGTGGCGGGGGTTTCGGTCTCGGCGGAGGAGTCGGTGTACCTGATTGTGACGCTTGCGAGCTCGTCTCGGACGTCTCTATGGATGGAGAGGACTGTGGCTGGGTGGTGGACATGAACGCCGGCTGCTTTGACGTGCTCAAGGAGGAATCCGCATAGCTTCAAGGGATCCCTACTTCGGTCAGCCTTGATTCATACACTTCATATTCCGGGGATAATGTGCCTACACCAGAGCCGTCCCGTCGCCGCCATCCATAACAGTCACCGCATCTCCCTCCCTCATCCTTAACCACGGAGGCGCCTGACCCCTCCAGCCCTTTGAGCCACCTGCGACGCCCGACCTGCTCATCCCTTCACGCAGCCAGTCGCCCTGCCCCTCTCCATCATCATCCCGGCCACTCGCCCTCGTCTTGCTCCGCGGCTCGTAGCCCACCGTCACGCACCTCGTGTAGCCCCATCTCTCCGCGCCCTCGTGCTCACTTGCCAACTTACCATGCTCCTCATAGCTCAAGGCCCCCAGCGCGGCGAGTCTAGGGTCAAACCAGTCCCGCGCGACGAAGCCGCCCGCATACCCCGACGCCGAAGCGAAGAGCCGCGGGGACGGGTCTACGAGGTGGATGGACGAGGCGGGTTGCTGGCGGCAGAGGTAGTAAGCCGTTGAAAGGCCGATGATGCCGCTACCCACAATGACAGTCGTGGCCATTCTGTCCCGCAGATGCCGTGCTGCGCTGCGTGGTGTTGTTCGCGGACGCAATGACGTCGCTGACGTCGCCGACTTACAAGCTGGGGAGCCGCCGTTGACGAGAACCCCACAGCCGGCTCGGCAGAGCGGCATGCTGAAATGGAATCTTCGCACAGCGACGCAAAGCAAAGCCCCGCAAGCCAAAAACCGCCGCATCCCCACACAAAACCCAGCTTCCTCGACTCAACATTTGCAAACAACTTCGCATGTGCCTGTAGTCAAAATCATCAACATGGCGGCCACAAAAGTCTTCATTGTCACCGGCGCCAGCAAAGGCATTGGCGCCGCCGTCGCCAACTACCTCCTCGGGCAGTCTCACAAGGTCGTGTTGGCCGCGCGCTCCGGCGACCTGCTGGAGTCGGTCAAAAAGTCTCATCCGACCCAAGTGGAATACATTGCCGGCGACATGACGAGTTCAGATGTGTGTCCAAGTTATCCAGGATTCGGTGTATTGACTTAAGCTAATACGCTAATAGATGGCGGGCAAGCTGACCAACCTTGCCGTCAAGGCCTTTGGCCGGCTTGATGGCATTGTCATCAACCACGGCCTGCTGGAAGCCCAGACCATTGACAAGTCTACGATTGACGGCTGGAAGCGCGTCTACGAAATCAACGTCTTCAGCTGCCTTGCCATGGTACGAATGCTCACTTGAACATCGTCACCGCGCTAACACTTGGATGCAGGCCAAAGCTGGCATTCCAGAGCTGCGCAAGACCAAGGGCTGCGTCGTGTGGCTGTCATCCGGCGCCGCCAACAAGCCGTACAACGCATGGGCCGCGTACGGGTCCTCCAAGGCCGCGGTGCAGTCAATCTCGAATCACCTCGCGGTGGAGGAACCGGACATCACCAGCATCACCGTGGCCCCTGGGAGAGTCAACACCGATATGCAGGCGGTGGTGAGGGCCTCAGGCAAGGACACCATGAACAAGGCTCAGTACGACACATTCGTCGACGCATTCGAGCAGGGCAAGCTGCTGGAGCCGGAGCAGCCCGGGCATGTCATTGCCAAGTTTGTTGCAAACCCCAAGTCCGAACTTTCGGGGCAATGTCTCAAGTACGTGTCGTCATACTGCACGCCGCTAGAACGGTACTGACCAAAGTCGCAGTTGGAATTCGCCCGAGTTGGAAGCTTATCAAGGGTAGCGCGATTTCCTATGGCTCGAATGGACGTCAGCACATGTCCATCCAATAGAACAGGCATCAACAATAGAATAGACAATGCTTGCAGTCAGTCGAAAGATGAAAAGCTCTTAATATACTCCACATGGGTGCTTCAGTATTAGCATGGAATATAAGTTTCTTCATCACGCAAGCCATATATGCGAAATGTGCAAAAGAAAAAAATGTGTCCTTACCTTGCTGGAGGCAGAAGTGCAACGACAGTCCCTATCACACAGCACTTGGGCAGTCAGTATGGCATCGTCCTCCAAGTGCTGCGGCAATTGTCGTCAATGAATTCGCTCAGGCTATCGAATATTCTCCGTCATGGATGATCGGTATTTGATAGCACCAGATAGCAAATAGCATCACGGCATTTACGAGCGGCGAGGTCGGGCATCGCGTGATGCTCTGACATGGCGGCCTGTGAGCATGCTGTTAGCCAGATGAAGACTGAAGAAGCAGACAAGAGTAGCAGGCAGCGAGGCATGCGTGGGTTCAGCTATGTCTATTTGGCATAAGACTGTGTCTCTCAGCACAGGAGGCTTGTCGGGCCTCCTCTGTCTGGGGCGACAACATATCTCATCATTGAACGCAGCGACGCAGGAAAGGGGGCGTGAGTTCTTACCTTGCAATTAAACAGTAGCCGCAGCTTCCATGGAGCGCGTTACATGGACGCGATCGACGCGGGGTGCAGTGTCGCGGGAAACACGCACCCAGTCGATGGAGGAAAACAAGAGGAAGAAAAGCTCACGGCGCAGGTCGAGTCGAGTTTTTTTTTCATGGTTGGTTTTTGGAGCGGGTCCCTCCCTGCCCGGCTACCAGGCACGTGCATCAGGCGGACGCCGCCCAGCCATCTTGTGCCAGTGGAGGCCGCAGTTGCTCCCAGCACGGCACCCGCCCGCTGTTAAGGCAGGGCACCGGACCGTCAAGGAGTGGAGGCTCCCTAGCGCGGGTTGGCGCGCCCACAAGCCTGGGATGGAGCTGCGGTGAGGGCCTCCCAAGCTTATAAGCCGCTGCAGCTCCCGCGACTGCCCCACTATCACCGTCCACCTTGTCCTTCCAAGTCTCGCCGCTCATCGTCAACACCCCGCCACCGCGTGTGCGTCGACGCATCGTCACCGTGTCCACCAGAACCTGGTTTGCTCCTTGACGCAGCTTCGGGCTCCTCGCCTTGGCGCAAGCCGTGCCCTGCGTCCTCGCACAATATCTCCTCTCGCCTTTTTCCGTCCAGTGAAACGGCCCCCAAGCCGACGCAGGCTGCAGGGGACGACGACTGAGGCTTCGTCCAAACAACACGGCAACCCCCTCGGCGCACAGCTAGTCAGTTTGCCCTGCCCTCGTGCCCTGGGCGCACCTGCTCCAACATGTCGGATCACGAGTTTGGAGGTGAGTTGGCCATGACTCCCCACGCGTCCCATCGTCATCCGGGCTGCCCAGGCCTGGATGAGCCCGTGTAGTCCACCGGATTGCACCGAGCACAGGCCTTGGCATCACGTACTCTTGACTCAACACAACGCCGACGTCGCGGCTGTGTGCATGCTTCTATACGCGGCGTTTTCCAGCGAGCCCGTTCTGCACGCATAAAAGTGCCAGAGCCTCAGGCGCCCGCTCCGGCATCTCGCTTGCACACGCTTGACGTCGCGTCGCTCTCCCTCTGTACTCCACCATGTGTCCTCGGCGCGACCCCGCGCAGGACCGATATTGGTCGCGCTTTGACTCGGGCGCCGATAGCAGTTGCATGACCTGTCAACGCTGTTTTGGGCTGTAGGCTGACTGCATTCCAGGCAACGATGATCTGTCTCTGCCAAAGGGTATGTGCAGCTTCCTTGGTGCGGACTCGACTTCGGCCTGAGAGTCGGAATCAGATGGCCGCAGCCTCGGTGACCCCTGTGCATCATGGCCCTGCTAACACGGCCCAGCAACGGTGCAAAAGATCGTCAGCGAGATCTTGCCTCCCCAGGGCGGCGTCGCCTTCGCCAAGGAAGCCCGAGACCTCCTCATAGAATGCTGCGTCGAATTCATCACGCTCATCTCGTCTGAGGCCAACGAGATTTCCGAGAAGGAAGCCAAGAAGACGATTGCGTGCGACCACATCACAAAGGCACTGGAGCAACTAGGCTTCTCTGATTACGTGCCGGCCGTGCTCGAGGCAGCTGCCGAGCATAAAGAGGTCCAGAAGGTATGCAGAACTCCGCCACCATTTCTTCACTGCGGCGAATTTTTCATGACAATCGCTGACTGCTTGTTCGAAAAGGGCCGCGAGAAGAAAGCCGACAAGTTCGCTAACAGCGGCATGTCGATGGAAGAGCTCGCTCGCCTGCAGGAGGAGCAGTTTGCCCAGGCGAGGTCACGACACACGTGAAAACTGGTTAGTTCGGATTGCTGGCGTCGCTGTGGGCATTGCTTGGCGTTGTTACAAGGGATATATAAATAGGGAATACGGTTGTTGTTTGTTGGCATGATGCGCTTGCGATGGGCCCGTGGCCGCTGAGCGATGCTGCTCCTTACGGCGGTCTCGGATCAATGGGCTCGATGGGTTGGCGCAACATGCTTGAGCGACAGTTCAGAGCTGGTCGTAGCTTTTGAACTTGAGACGGTGCTCGTCTTCATGGATGCAGAGTTGGGCCAGATCGTGATGTTGCTGTTGGACCCGGAGCGGGCTGGCTGCTGTTAGCCTCGGCGCCTCATGCTCCAACGAATGTTAGTTGCGTTATCGATAACGCCAACCTTTACCGTTATCATGATGCAAGTCCCAAAATCTCCCCCACGGCCCCTCCAACCCAACTCTCTCCCCGTGAACGTCTGCGCGTCGCCTTTTCTGTACGCACTCACAACGCGTCGTGCCCGGTCGCATATTGTCAAGCCGTCGCAACCATAGGTAGACGGCGCCGCGACCGCAAAGAGAAGCCCGGCAGAGGACCCCGCAACGTCCCTCGCTGGGCTCGTCGCAAGATGGGGCAGGACGAATCCAGCCTCGTCGACGAGAGCGTCTCGCCGCAGACGCTCTCGGCCAGGAATTTGTCTGCCGTCGCAGAGTACATCAAGGATGCGGGAAAGAGAAAGATTGTCGTTCTCACTGGCGCCGGCATTTCCACCGCCGCAGGCAGTATGCCATTCCCTTCGCCTCGGTGTCTGCGAGCAGTCAATGCTCTCGCTCCGATCCTGGTTGTTCGATACTGACGGTGCATCAGTTCCCGACTTTAGATCACCCAAGACGGGTCTCTATAACAACCTCGCGCGTCTCAATCTCCCCTACGCCGAAGCCGTATTCGACATCGACTACTTCCGCCAACACCCAGAGCCCTTTTACGTCCTCGCCCAAGAGCTGTACCCCGGTCGCTTCCACCCAACCGTGTCCCATGCCTTCATCGCCCTCCTGGCCCGCCGCGGCCTGCTACAGATGCTCTTCACCCAGAATATCGACTGCCTCGAGCGCCGAGCTGGCGTGCCTGCAGACCGCATCGTCGAGGCGCACGGCAGCTTCGCGACGCAGCGCTGCATCGAATGCAAGAAGGAATTTCCCGACGATGCCATGCACGACCACGTTTCTAGGGGCGAGGTGCCGCGCTGCGCGGATCCGGACTGCCGCGGGACGGTGAAGCCCGACATTGTCTTCTTTGGGGAGTCACTCCCGCGTGCCTTTTCGGAAAAGTCGCACCACACAGCCATGGCCGATATCGTGCTCATCATCGGCACCAGCTTGACCGTGTACCCGTTTGCTAGCCTGCCCGACATGGCTCGCGAAAGCACGCCGCGCGTGCTTTTCAACATGGAGCGGGTGGGCCGCATTGGCAGCCGGGCGGATGACGTCGTCCAGCTGGGAGCCATCGACGACGGGATCCGCAAGCTGGCGGATGAGCTGGGCTGGCGCGACGAGCTGGAGGAGCTGTGGCGCGGGCTCGTGGGCAAGGAAGAGGCGGAGAGGCAGCTGCGGAGTCAGAAGTGGCATGACGAGGAAGTGGAGGAGGAGGTCCAGAAGCTGACCGAGGAGGTCGAGGCTGTCCTCACCTTTGACGAATCAGATACTTCCGACTCGGACAAGAGTCGAGACCAGCCAGTCGAGACGAAGGCGGAGGAGACCCCGCGAGGCGAGGAGCCTGACGAGGAGAGGTCAAGGCATGACGAAAGCAAGCCGACATCGGATCAAGCAGACCAAGATCACAAGACCGCGGGGCCACCGCCACCCGTTGATGAACCCAACAAGACGACAGATGCAGCCACACCCAACGAAGGCTCTGCGAAGCCAGAGACGGCTTCTCAGCCCTCAAGCCTTAAGACGACTGTTGATGAGAAGCATGACGACATACAAAAGCCATTACTATAACGCAAGGGCATATGCATACACAGCACCTTACGCATATAGAACAGTATCATTTTCCGACCACCTGGAGTCATCTATACGGTTATTATTTTCAAGTACAACATCCATTCTTTTCCTGGCCAATTGGCCCAAGCTCCCAGAAACACCATCATGTTCCGAGACGTCCGCTCCTTGTATACTCGCGACGGTCCATCCAGAGGGGAGAGCACAGGTATTACAGGCTTATAGCCCACTATCAATTTGATTCGGGATATTAGTGTTTGTCCACGTCGCCCACTGGCGGCACGTCTCCGCCACGACGCTCGGCGGGCGCATCTTGCGGACTTTATCCGCGCCCGTCACAAACTGCGTGAAGAAGCCGCCCGAGACGTGCCACGCAATGTGGCAGTGAAAGGGCCAGACACCTAAATATCATCACGTTATCAGCATATGCAGACGCTTTAAGGAGATAGGAAATGGGCAGGGATGACTGCATACCGGGATTTTGGCCGGCATCAAACTGTATCACGAGGTGCCCGTTCGGTCGCAGCTGGACAACGTCTCGCCGCTGTGGGTTCTCTGGATGGATTATTGTGCCGTCCCAGTCGGGGCCATCGCCCTCGTGCAGAATGTACATGTTGAAACCGTGTAAGTGCATCGGGTGCCTGCGGTTGTCCAAGCGTCAGCACACGGTCAACTGGCAAGGGGAACTGATGGACGCACGCTGCTCCGGACAGGTTCTTGACGTGCACCCGCACGCTCCTTGCATTCTTGGTGTTCCGCACGTTCCACTGCTTCTCAAAAGTAAAGTTTCCAAGGTGGCTCATCAGCAGCGTTGGGCTGTTGTAATTACCCCGGAAGTCGACGCCGTCAAACGACCATAGCGGGTGTCCCGTCTCGTTGCGAAAGAACTTGGCCTCCATGACATACGTCAGGTCCGGCTCCGGCACCCGGAGCTTCATGGTCGGGCGCGTCAGCGACAGGTCGTCGTTGGTACACGTGCCCGGGTCTGGCACATCCCATGGCGTCGACTTCGGAGCCGTGTTCACGTCTGCCTTGTCGTAGTACACTGCCGCCAGCGCGTTCGGTTGGTTCGCCAAGCTGCACTTGGCCGATATGTTGGCGCGCATCCAGTAGGCGCCGTCCGAGGGCCCGTCGGCCTTGACGAGCACGTCGGCGCGCTGTCCGACGCCAAGCGTCACCACGCTCGTGACGTACGGCTTGATGGTGACAAAGTCGTTGGCGATGACGGTCATGTTGTGCCCGTCGATGGAGAAGCGCTGCAAGGCCTCCGGTCCGGCGTTGATCAGTCGTAGACGGTGTGTCTTGCCGCGCTTAAAGCGAAACTTTGAGAGCCCTGCGTTACTGACACAGGGAGTCTTATCGTCGGTCGCGACTTTGGAGCAGTCGAAGTTGTTCTTGCCGTTGATCAGGTTGTTTTCAGAGAATACTATGCCCTTTCCCTTGGGATCCATGACTTCTTCCACAAGGTCGTTGTAGTTCTTGTGATACCAGTCCGTCAGCATGACTGGACCGACGTCGATGTCGTACTTTTTCTCCGTTGGCCCATGGACCACGATGGGGCCAAAGACACCACCGGCGTTTTGCGCGGAGTAATGCGAGTGATACCATGCTGTTCCGTATAGCTCGGCCTCGAACGAGTAGGTGAAGGACTTTCCAGGAGGGATGGGACACTGGGTCACCGCAGGCACACCATCCTCCCACGGCTTGCCCGTGTGGAGGAAACCATGCCAATGTAACGCGACGCCCTCTTCCGGCTCGGAAATGTTGTTGTGCACCGTGACCTGTATCGTGTCTCCCCAATTGGCCTCGATCAGGGGGCCGGGAAACGCTCCGTTGACGAGCAAGCCATCCATCTGGTATCCATCCGGGGCGATGGTCTTGCGACTGACCGTAAAGTCGTACCGCCTGATGACTCCGGTTCGGGGGTGATCTTTGTAGTAATTGGTATCGAGATTCATCAGGCTCCAGGGGAATCCGTTCGGCAGGGGGTTATCGGTTTGGAAGGCGGGGAGGGTCGGTACATCGAGAGTCCCAAGCACCGACTTTCTAGTAGGCATGAGCAAACCATGTTAGCATGCAAAGAAGAGAACCAACAAAATGTCTCTTACCCATTTGTTGAGCTTTGCGGGAGATTATTCACCACACTCAAGGGTTGATAAGCACTCGCGGCGACATCGCGCCGGAGGTGGCTGCTGGCGATGCCCATCGCGAGATCTGCGGCAACCACAGTGAGACTCGGAACAAAGTCCAACGTTGTCCAGTCTCGTTGCCAAATTACGGTCGTACAGATGCTTTTCACGATACTTCATCAAGCTGAGCAGTTCCATCCCCGCTCCGAGACTATATAGTCCACGGTCCGCGAGTCCACGGAGCCGGGCTCTCACGTCAGACCCGTGCTCGAGCCCGGTCAGTCTATCTTGAGATCAGCTCCGACACGAGGGAAGCATAAGTGCCCACCGCCGCGCTTTCCTCAAAACTGCCAAGAGTCCCTCCGGCATTGTCCATTACCATACAGACACGAAGTCACGGAGGTCAGGCCCCCTCGGCGCTCGGGCTCGTGTTAGGTGCCGGAGCCAGGATCACGATTCGTGAAAAGGCATACCGGCAAGTCTGTGATTGATCCGTGAGTCAGGCTGTCCCGTATCCTCGACCTGCACGGCCGATCGACTAATGCCATGTCGTTGCGCCACCGGGCGCGTCGCTCCATCCATGTACTTGGCGTGTATCCGCCGGCCGTGCGCCTGTCATCGCCAGAAGCAACGCCTGCGTCAACGCCAGCGCGCTGGGACGCTTCGTAGGTCATGGCCAGGCCAGCGCAGCTGGTAAGGCGTGACAGCCACGGCAGCCGCACCCAAAAGTGCCAATCATGCGCTGCGCTGCGATGCTCGGTTGGCTGCAGGTTACCGTTCCCTGCTTGCCGAAGCGATATGTGAAGGAAGGGGAGTCATGGACGGCCACCCCCCGCGGTGACCGGCTGCTCATGCACGACGACCCGCTTCACGAGGGACACAGCCGTGCGACGGACGCAACGTCTCCGGGGACCTGGAGGCGCCCGCGACTGGGCCTCATGACCGTGTTGCACCGCACAATGCCGCGCCATGTGGCCTGCTTACACCGGAGGTCAGCCCGTTACGGAGCGGGAACTCAGCCGAGCCAGCCTCTGCAGGCGTCAGAGCTGGACCATGCATCACGCTACGGCACCTGGACAGGAATAAAGCGTGTCTTCGTTCCCACGTGCATGCGGTCCCATCACCGTCTCGGAACGCGCCGGTTGCTAACGAAGTATCGGGGCGTCGCAGCGATTGGGTTTGATGCACAGATCGACCGCTAGGAAGAATGTCCGATTTTAGCCTCCTTGACGACGGCCATTCCCTTGCGACGGCCCGCATCCGTAACTCAGCGTCTCGTATTGCGGCGGTCTGCGGATCTATCCGGTCTCTCAAAGTCTCCCCGCTCAGAAGGCCAGCCGCTGTGGCCCTGTAATGTGGTCGTGCCCACAGCTGTCCTGGTTGATGCAACGCCATTCATTCGCCGAGGCGTGGATCGGCTGCCAGGGGCGCCCTGGCAGCCTAGACGACCTTGTTGCAGAAGATGGTTTGCCGGCGTGCCCGCACACGAGGGCATCCTTGCCAATACAACTACGTCAAATGTTACCTCGAGGCGTTGCTCTCGGCGACTTTGCCCAACGATATGTTGTATCCGGGACCAAAGGCGCATCCGGCTTGGCAACTGCGCCTCTACTATGTATGTGAGTAAGAAACCGAGAAGAGGCGGATACGGGCGGGGGCCGCGAAGGCTCCGGCAGCATCACGGCCGACCTACCCGCGCTTCTCCGTAGATTTCTCGTTCTTCGGCACAGCGGCCATGAACCTGTACCTAAACCCATGCTGCAGAGAGAAGCCAGATGCTGCAGGTGATCAACTACATGGTGATGAGCTCTAGGTGCCGCACCACCCCCAAGCACAGGCGCAGTACCTCATGCGGCTCAGGACAGGGCAGACATTCCGCAGGCTTGGCAAGGATAGCTTTGTTTCCGCGCTAGGGAATCGTCCGGCGGCCCCGGCTGAGGATTCCGGACGGAGAATTCCTACGACAACCGAGCAAGGCCATGCGAACAGGCAGTAGCGAGGCCCCGGGCCACTATGACTGGATCGTAGACTCGTGCCTCTTGTCCCGCCTCCGCTTGTTTGTCTGATCCTGCCGAGCCGCCTCTGTCGTATGATTCGGCTTATGAGGCCATGTTGCGGGCATGGCATGCGCTCTTGTACACTAATGATGTATGAATATCGCTCAGCCACTGGAAATTGTGGTTTTGGATGTGACTGCAGGGACCTTTGTATGCAGCTGTCACCCTGCCTCCCACCCAAACTCCATGTGCGATCGGACGTCTTGTTGTATTATACAAACGGATGTGGTGAGTGAACCACTATAGTTGGTACATGGATGCTGCCGATGTCGGCGGGTATACTTGTATGGTTCCGTCGCTTCACGTCGACCTCCGCCATGCCGGGTGCGCCATCAACACAATCGGGCGGCGCTGCGCCCGCATGTACATTTCGTGGAACTTGGGGTCGGCGTCGGAGCGAATGACGCTACCGATGGACATGAAGAAGCTGCGAGCAAGTTAGCTTCCGAAATGGCACCTTATGGACATACACATACCCGAATGTGGCTCCCGAAGCGCCCATGTATTGTCCTAGGGTTCTCATAATGCCCTGAGAGCCGGCACCGTATCGGAAGATGTTGACGGTTCCTGATACATGTCAGCGCCGTATAAGACGTTCGAAGCGGGAGATCGCACCAAAGATGAAACCGATAATGACGCCGACGGCTGACATCGTTAGCAGATTGCTCGTCCCATGGAGTCATCAGGGAGGTTCGTACTTCCGCCCATCATGGCACCCATCTTGACTGCAGCCCCTCGTTAGCGCCCCGCAGGAGATCAGGAATTCAACGAAGCGTACACTTGTCAAAGTTGGAGGGGCCATGCTGGCCACCGCCGGGGACCGCGGCGACAGGAGGCATGGTTGAGCGCTTCTTGTCTGACGATGGATGGCCTTGTGCCTCTGTGTCGAGGTGGTTGTCGGCAATGCGTTGAAGCTCACTGGCCGCCTGGAAGCTCGCCGACGATGGAATCGACTGAATGGGCAGGGAACCGGCCTCGGCAGAACGTTTATGCGCTGCAGGCTTGCGCCCCTCACAGTGCTATTCTGACCGTTACCCTGTGGCGTGCACGGTACAGCTACGTCACGTGAACGGTGGTCATGAGCTGCTGACCGGTTGCTTCCTTGGCCAGAGCATCCACGAATGCAATCTTGTCTATTGCGAGGCGTTGTTTGAACATCTGAGCGAGAGCAGCGCGTCATGGAACCCGTGCCGACGTTGTGTTCAGGGCTCGTCGCGACCTCGCAGTAAGCTTCCGGCTGGGGCTCACAGGCACTGTATCCGCCTCCAAAACCGACACACCACCCCGGCCAGCACCAACGGCAACGACAGCGGCTAGCGAGAAACGGGGGAACCACAGCCAGCTCGACTCCCAATCTCCCCTTCTGCTGCTCACTCCACCCGCGCTGGCCGACCACGATCGCGCCAAAACGATCCCCTTTGTTGATTTTTTCATCATCCGGCACCCTGCTGCACGTCGGCTGCCGTGCAGGTGCATCAGCGAGCACGTTTCCGCCCGCACCCGCGAGGCCAGCCCGTCGTCAATTGGCCACCCGCCCATCGTTGGCCGCATCGTCTTGTGCCACTTCAGCAGCATCCCAGAGCATCGGCCAAGGACCGTTCTCGAGTCGAGACGAGCTTTTCGAGATACCGGACGACCCTCCGACGGCACCGTGCGACTTGAGCCGCGCTCCGACGTCGCCAAAAGGGCGGTGGAGTGGTGAAGACGGCCGACGAGGGAAGCGCAGTCGACGACGTCGTCTTGACGACGAAAGAGGCACCAGAAACCGGGGCCTCCTCATCTCCTGCGTGCTGAACCCATCGACCCGAGCCGCCCTCGATCCTTCCTCATGACTGCTGTTGCGAGCCCCCCGACCTTTCCCCAGATCTCGCGGCCAGCATGGGGATCCGTTAACGGCAGCACCCCCATGAATCCCGACGAAGTGAGAGGCATGTTTGCGCCACGCAAACAGCTCTCGCGCACAAACTCCTCGTCCTCGGTCTCTTCGACCTCGTCCAATACCACCGTCGCCACCAACGGCTCCCAATCCAATGGCACACCGCTTTCTGCCGCATCCGATTTGAGTCAGTGGTCAGGCAACGCCGGCCCTCGGAAACGCCCACAACCTAAGCACCCGTGGCCGGTGAGCAAGGGCGAGCCGCAGCCGGACTTTTCCAGGCTCCCCGCCGGCCGACCGAACGGTATGGTCGCCCCTCAAGGACAGATGCAGGTGACCCATGGCCAGCCCCAGGTGGCTCCGCAACAGCAGCCCGTGATGCGGCCCATGCCTCAGGAGCAGTTTGCGCCGGGCCAACCAGTCCTCTATCTTCTTTCTCTCAACGGCACGTTTGAGCGGAAAACGATCGCCGTTCCTTTTGCCCCCGACAGCCTGCGGATCGGTCGGCAAACCAACCAGAAGACGATCCCGACGCCAACCAACGGTTTCTTTGACAGTAAAGTGCTGTCCAGGCAACACGCCGAGATCTACGCAGAGCGCAACGGCAAAATCTACATCCGCGATGTCAAGTCGTCAAACGGCACGTTCGTCAACGGCACGCGCCTCTCGCAAGAGAACCGCGAGTCGGAGCCTCATGAGCTGCAGACGGCGGATCACCTCGAGCTAGGTATCGACATTGTGAGCGAAGACCAGAAGACAGTCGTTCATCACAAGGTCGCAGCCAAGGTCGAGCATGCCGGTTTTTTGAGCAACACCAACAATGTTATGGACATGAACTTTGGCGACCTGGACCCGGCGAACGGCACCATGCTGATACCGAATGGTCCGCTCCAGATGCGCGGCAGAGCGGCCGCCGGTGCCCCTATGGGCAACAACGGCGGCCGCATGATGCAAAACGGCGCGCCCATGGTTGCGCAGGTCAATGGCATGGCGCAACAGCGCTCTTTTTTCCTAGCCCCTATAGCCACCGACCAGATCCTCAAGCGCCTTTCTGTGAGTATCGCCACGTCTGCTGCCACCTCACGCTTTCTAACCCCACGATAGAACGAGATGCGGAATGCTCGGCTGCAGGCGCAGGACTTGAGTCGAACGAATCAGTTCGTTCATACCCTGCTTTCTAAAGACGACGTCAAGGATCTGGAGAAGCCCGAACCGCCAGAGCCGCCAAAGCCACAGCCGATAGTCAACGGCGGCGGTATCCAATTCCGAGCCGACCCGAAGGCTCGCTTCTCTGACCCTCCCGCGCCTCCGCCGCAACAGCCGCTTCCTGAGAAGCCTGATGTGCCGTCACTAAAGCGCGGACCTACCGAGCGACCGAAGTCGGGGCCCCCGAATCCCTCACCTGTGCGACAGGAGAACTTGAACCAGATCATCCAACTCACAGAAGCGCTCAACAACGCCAAGCGAGATATTGATTCTCAAAGTGCCCGTATGCGCGAGCTGGAGGTCATGCTACAGAAGGAGCGTGAAGCCCGGGAGTTGGCAGAAGGCTTGGCTCGGCGATTGGAAGAGAACGCGAGCAGCCGGATGAATGGGGCGGCTAAAGCAGGAGATTCTGAGCCGGAAGATGAAGTCCCCGCATCTACGGAGCACGAGGACACACCCAAGACCGACGAAGACGACAAGGCCGCTGTCGCCGAGGCCGCCGCGCGAGCTGATGCGGCTCAGGAGACAGCAACTGCTCTACAACACCGCATCGACACGATGGATGGCCAGATGCGCGACATGCGAGAGCAGCTCGAGTCTTGGAGGCAGCGATGCGAGGCTGCTGAGTCGGAACGCGATGCGGAGCGCAAAACGCTGGCAGAGATGGTGGTGCAGCTCCGAGCCGAGGAGGCCAAGAGGGTTGCAGCCGAAGAAAGGCGACGATCTCGGTCACGGGAGAGTCGCTCGGAACAGCGCAGCGCGGCCGAGTCGGATGTGTCGCCGGTCCCTCTTACAGCCAAAGAGCCACCAGGTAGCACGAGCGTGGTTGGCGAGATGGACGGTGACCCTACGCTATCGAGAGCCAACACGATCACGCCGCTCACGTCGCAGAGGGCCGGCCCGGTGCAGGACCACCATCTGCATGCGGGCTTGCCATACGCATCGATGCTGGGCGTTGTGCTCATCGGGATGGGCTTGATGGCATACATAAACGGTTGGCAGTCTCCTCCTTCGCGATTGGAAAGATGACGACACACCCACAAGAGGGCGGCGCGGGATTGACACATGATTCCGTGCCTAGAATAACGAGCAACCCGCGGGTGTGATAGAGCGCATCACCAGTCGGCTGATGCATTCCCCTTCCCAAGAGATCAGACGGCAGCCATCACAATTTCTACTACCTACATTGGAGACGACGAAACGATATGATCACGACAAAACACACCTGGATTGGCCATACCCTTTCCTTTGTCACGTATAATAGTCAGGTTGAACTCGACCTCCTTTTCATGCTGTTTCTTTCGACTGTACTATTGGAAGGGTTGATGACGACGCACACCGGATCGGGCAGATACCCTTTCGGAGCTTAGTGGCATGGGAAGGAGAACGAAGAGGAAAAGAAGTGTTTGTGGTTGGCATCGCTCCCAGGAAACAGCAGGGCAAAGGCTGGCGTTTTGTCATTGAGACACGTACTTCCTTCATTCCGCGATGTTGAGCATGGGCCAAGCGCAGGTCCATTTGGCGAAGGGTCAGAGGAGTTGAGGAGGGGCGGGCAGTGGGCTTTGGCCTCTAGATGAAGCATAGGCAGAGATTCTTTTTCAATTCGAGCCTTGATTTGCATGCTTTGATGAACATCGTGTGAGCGGGTATGAGCAAGTCAAACCACCTACCCTAGAGCTATGATGTGTTTTCGAAGGCGGGCGTCCGAAGCCATGGCGTGCGAAGACCGGTCTCTGTTTACCTGTTTCAGATCGCGAACACGAGTATTTCTTTAACCTTGGACAAGTAAATATTTTATCCTGTTGGTGAGTTACAACATGAGTTGGTCATGATACTGAAGAGTGGTTGTGGCACGAAGCGGGCAGAGCATTGAAGTGCAGGTACTGTGGATAGCGCACGGACCACGTGAGCTCGGATGACTCCGTGGCGCGACTCTCCGTCCGAAATTTGAGCTTCGCCTCGCAAGCTTGACCAGCAGCAGCAGGAGCAGCGGCATCAACGGCAGTAGCACCTCCGGGCACGACACACAGTCGCCGCACACACTCACGTTTATTACGTCCACGTGTCTCAGTGCATCTCCATTGAATACGCGGACACCCGCTTCCGCATCCGCACGACACTGCCGCACGAACCGTCTTGCTCCGCCACGACCGCCGACTTTACCACCGCACCGCGCGTCCTCCGTCGCCATCGCCGTCGCCGTCGTTCCGCCGTTCCGTTCCGTGCGGTCCCCCACAACGATGCCGACGTTTCAGAGCAACAAGTTCCGCGGCGCGGGCGACGCCGGGCGCTTCGGCATGCGCTACCGCGCGCTCATGAACAAGCACCCGTTCCTGACGTTCGGGCTGCCCTTCATGGCCGTCGTCATCGCGGGTTCCTTTGTCCTCACGCCCGCGACGGCCATCCGCTACGAGCGGCACGACCGCAAGGTCCGGCAGATGACCAAGGAGGAGGAGCTTGGCGTGCGGCGGTCGGCGCGCAAGGTGGACATGAAGGAGGAATATTACGTGCGTCTTTCTCTCCTTTTCCCTTTTTGCTGTTTCCCGTTCTGCTTGTCCTTCCTGCCTGCCTGCCTGTGTGCCTGCCTGCCTTTCTTCCGTCTCCCTTTTTGGCACGTGGGTTTGGTTGGCGGACGGGTCGTGGGTGAGTGAGTGAGCTGACGTGCGCTGACTGGATCGTGGGAAAACAGAGACTGGCAGGACGAGACCTCGATGACTGGGAGCAGAAGCGCGTTGAGCGCCTTCCTGGCGAGAGCGACGGCATCCTCCGCTGAGGCAGCGCCGCCGCCGCCGCCGCCGCCGTCGCCTCCTTGCGTGCGTTGATCAAGTGACGGAGCCGAATTGTCATACCCCACGGCCCCAACGTTGCGACACGACACCACAAAGTGCCAGAATGCGCCGCTTGGCGAAAATCACACTCCCCTACATTACGAGAGATCGAAACGAAAGAATTTGCACTTTACGCGTCCGAAACAGCCGGGTGTGGGACGTGCAAGTCGCCCGGCCGGGAATGCGGCTCATGGAGGTGTTCCTCCGGGCCCGCAGATCGGGACGCCGGAGCCCGTCCGTCAAAGTGTGCCCCTCCAGTGCGGCATGGCCTGCTGCAAGGAATAACCTCTTTACGCGTGCATGATGGCAAGAATCATCGATGACGGAATGGAATTGGCCAACGCAGCTTCGATCGCAGGGCCGAGGTACGATCGCGGGGGGGCCTGAGGGCCAAATGTTTCAGGAGGTGGAGGAACAATGCCAACAACGGCCACTGATGGGCAATATGACGACAGTGGATTAGTGACGAGCCCCCCGCCTGGTGAAGCATTCGCGGTGAGGAGGCACTTGTGCGGCGGCGTGCTCCCCCTGCAGAGAGGGGGATTTCGGCCCTGCAGAAACTGGTGCACGTGCTGACCGGGATTGAGACTTGGTCGTGCACGCCGCTGCTTGGGGGCCTTTGGGCTGTCTTTGAGGCTTGGGCTAAGCAAGCAGATCGCCGGGTGGCCGGTAAGAGATGTGTGGGGTCGCAGCCCAGCGGTGGATGATCTGCAGCAGATGATGCTGACTGCCCCTGCACAGCTGCGCGGCTGCGCAAAGAGAGCTGGGGGAGCTGCCTGGTGACATAAACATGGCGCGAGAGTCTGCCGGCGCGCCCGACGATGGCCTCGGTCGCTGGCTCAGCTGCACTAGACAATACCATATCACATCTTGCAAGACCCTAATTCGCAGCTACTCCCTTGGCCGGAGACGCCGTCCGTGTGTGTCGACGCTGTCCACGCAAGCAATGCTCGATCGGTTGCGACGCCGATGGGTTGATAAGCCTTGATCGGGCCGCTGACGAGCGAGTGTGTGCTTGGCGCGTCGGATGAGGGTTGCCGCCCATAGAGGGTTGCTTGCAGCGCCATCAAGTGTCCGTGCGATGGTGGTATCCGATGAAGTGGGATCGGGGAGCGGCGGCGGTGGGATGCGCGTCGCATGTGCATGGCGCAGGAACAAAGACCGCGCTGCCGCCATAGTTACATACACGAGTAGTGAAGGCAAGGGAAAACGGCACTCGCTCCGTCATGTCTGTGTGTGGTGTGGCTGGGCTACCCGCCAATGGCATCGCGAGACTCAGCTTTATCTCTCTTGGGCAGAGGGCCGTTGTGTGCTAGCTGCTCGAGGCACTCGCAACACCGGCCCGTTGAGGACACCCTCTCGAGTATACTGAGAGCCTAGTCGCACGGTCGCCCAGGGAGAAGATTTGAGGTCGTTGTGCGCCGCCGGGCCGAGTGCATTTTGCGTTCTGCCTGTGCCGGGCGGCGCAACACGATGCGAGCAGTGGGCACGTCAGAAAAGCTTGCTGCGGGAAGGGTGTCGAGCGGATGCTACACTCCGGATCGGAGCGCGCGTACGGCCGACCCTGCGGACGGCGGCGGCTGCGGCAGCGGCAGCGGCAGCGACGAGGCCGGGCGGTCTCCGGCACAGGCAAACGACCGTTGGAGGAGGACGAGGCACGTTGCGGCCCAGAGACGGCCATGATTGGCAGAGGGGTTGCATTCTGCCAGTGGGTTAGCTCCAAAGTCTATTCACCTGGGCGTTATTTCCCTTCCACTGAGCCGTTGAGACCTGGGGGAGTGGGAGTGGCGGCAAGGCCGTACGCCGTTGCTGGCGGCGTGTTGTGGTGGCAGGCCGCAGCTGTGATGGTGGCAGCTGTGATGGTTGGCAGTTGTAGTGGTGCTCTTGGCGCGGGTCGGGCTGATGGTGATGGTGTGAGCGCATGATGGGTGACGGGACGATGATGGGTGTTTCTCGGGGTTGTCCGCGCAACGGCGGCACCCCACGGCATCAAACGGCAAGATTACTCATTACTGCTTGACAATGGCCAGATCGAGAACGGGAGAGAGGAGAAAGAAGAGGGCCTGGATCGACTTGTGGCTTAAGCAGCGTGCTGAGGTGCCCCGGCGGGTATACGGGCGCAGTATTGCCTAAAGAGAGAAAAGCCATGGCGGTCAGCCACACCGCGCGGCCGGAGACGGGTGCTGCCACGGCTTCAGGAGCATCTGGTTCCTGGGGTCGTGAGGCTTGCGTGGCTTGGCCCAGATGCCCTGTCCAGAGGGCGTGTCGACCCGGGAGTACCTTTTCCCCTCTCGCGACCTTGCCACTGATGTTGAGATGCGCGCATCGTGTGGCTTGGGAGGCAAGCCTCGCCTTCAGCCATGCCTCCGAAAGGGGACAAGATGAGGAGTAGAGAGAGGGACGCAGAGAGGGGAACGTCGAGTTGCTGGAGGATGTGAGTATATGCTTCGCAATGGTTGGTCCGGCGCCCGTGGTGCCCGAGATGCCAGACGTGCATCAACGAACGGGTGGAGGAGAGACGGCGCGATCCCATTCGGTTGTCAGTGAGTCCTCATCCGGCAACCAGGACGAGGATGCGCTGCGCTGCGCTACTGATGGCGCCCCTTGCCCAACCGGTGCATATTGCCCGCTGCATTCTTGCACGCGGGGTACGGCGGGCACCAGGTGGACTTGGCGATGTGCGGCGGCAGTCTGGCACATCAAAGGGTCCACCTCTGGATGCGGAAGACGACGCTTTCAGCTGGCCGCCATCCATTGGCAATACGCATCAAGTAGCGCTCACCGTCCACGGTCCTGCGCGACGCCTTGCCCGGGCCTCGGTAAATGGTGCCAATCAAGCAGTTGCCGAGACGGACGGGCGGACGGGCGGGCGGATAAGATGAGATTGAATGAGATGAGATGAGATGAGCGTCTGCCTGCCCGTGCGTGCCTCGCCGCTCTCGTCTCGGTTTTCACTTCGGCGGCGCCGGGCTGAGGTGGGTGGTGATGGGGCCAGCGGGGGGAAAGCGAGAGCCGGGGCATCGGAGGAGGCGAAAGGGTGGGGGAGGAGATGGGAAAGCCGCTGGACTCGTACGAGATGTGAAGGCCAGAACAAAGCTCTTTGGAGGATCTGCTTGGCTAGCAACGAGGCGTCTTGGTTTGCAGTGGGCTACCGTCCACCCGATAACATGATTGGGGCCCTCAGGCCAGGCACTGGTTGAAAAGTCGGCATTCGCAACGCTGATTGATGGGAAGTACGAGCTCCTTGGCCCAAGGGGGGGTGTCGGACCGGGGCTTTTGAGTTTGCAGTGAAGCTCGAACTGTCAAAGGCGATTGATGAACGGGTGGCACGAGGCTTCAGACGTCTCCTGTGGCGCGAGGCTGCCGTGTCCGTAGCGGCTGGAGGCGGAGGGAAAGATGGGCAGTCGTGGCATCGCAACTATGCCAATTGGTTCTTGTACGAACAATTGCGACATCCATGGCTATCTATGGAGTCCTGTAGCTGACGGACGGGACGGCTGAGGCGAATAGCCTCATTATGGGATGACACGACCCGAAGGACTTCGGAGTCCGGGACGACCGTTGACGGGAACCCAGCAAACACGTCGGCAGAGGCAGCACGGACCGCATCTTGCTTGCAATGACGGGACGGGATGCGTGGGTCAATGTCGTCGGGCGCGGCTGGCAGAGGAATGGATGCCCTGGTCGTGGGCGGACCCCGGCATCCTGGCAGCCCTGGGCGGGCGGGATGCGGCAAAGCAGGACCGGGGGTTGCGAATTTGGAAAGCAAACGGCTCACCGCTCGGTTGCTCGGTCGCCTGGTCGCCTATCTCACATCGTACGTATCCGCGGGGAGGGAGGGGTAGCAATGAACGTGGACCGTCCATTTTGCACCTAGGCGGTGATGCAGATGTTAGCGGTGCTCCGTCGTCGTGATGCCATTCGCCCCAGACGCTGCAGGTACCGCCGCACGGACAATGGCGGAGAGAGAGAGACTGAGAGAGAGACGGCCACCTCAATTGCAGCGCCTGCAGCACCTGCAGCAGCCTGCAGCAGCGCAGGTACCGGCTGCGTTAGCGCGGCGACGAATGCGGAGAGGCGAGGCCAGCCCTGCAGGGTTGATGGTCAGGTGGATGCCCACGCCGGCCGTGATTCACCAGAGGGGCCGCCGTGCGGGGCAGCCTTTGATTGCGCCCTGGCCCCTGCCGCGCTGGAGCGGCATGACGGGTTCGCTGCACTGCCATGCCATGCGCTGCAGTGCGCTGCGATGCGGACCTGGCGGTGCGGGCGCCGAGCGGTTGCACGGCGCGGGGTGCACTGCTGCTGCTCGCTGCAGTTGGACGAGATGGCTTCGGAACCGTTGGGTCGGGAACGCCTCTTGTTGTTGGCTCTGCTGCCCCGTCGTCGTCGTGGCCGGGTGGCTGCTCCCAGGACGGCGACCACAGACCCGGCTGGCGGCCACCTTTGTCAGACGGGCTGCCCCGAGGCTGTGGTTTCGTGTGACGACTTTGGGCGAGCACGACGTGACGGGTCACCCGCGTGTCTGGTCACCGAGGGCAGCCAACGACGTGAGTCTTTGCGACGGCGCGGGGGAAGACTGTGCTTCGTACAGAACGGTATTTGGAAGCGTGCGCATGACGGGAAAGTGACAGCACGGGTGCACATCGAAATGAGGGCATTCGCAGATTGGCATTGCGGTGAGCGAAAAGACAAGCAAAGCAAAGCAATGAGGCCTACAGTAGGCAGTCACAAGGCAACCACCACAGCGCACCACAGCGGGCAGTCACACACACGCTGCCGCACACTCGGCGATCGCGGCTGCCGCCGCTGCCGGACGGAAGCCATCGCAATTGGCAACACCTTCACCAACGACCACGGGAAGGCGCGAGGGGGCAGGGATAGGGATGCAAAACCACCACCTCAACCCTGGGCTCCCGCGAGCTACTGCGGCTGCTGCTGCTGCTTTGCTGCCCGACACGGCCAAAGTGCTTGCAGCCTCGCCTCGAGACTGCGGGAGCAGCCTCTCCTGTCTCACGCGGCGCGGATAGGCAGCCCAGAGGCAAAAACAAACAAGAACATTCCGCCACGAGACGCACTCCGCACCCCCTGCCGGCCGGTCAGCGCTGCGCTGCACCGCGCGCGTCCACCCCCTCCCTCCCTCCGTCGAGCGCTGACAGCTGGCCTCCTGGCACGATCGATCCCGGTTCCAGGCACACCGGACAGCCAGACCACCAGAGACATGCAGTTCGCTGAGCCCATTCTGGGCCAGCTCCCCGCGGAGCTGCCGCCATGCCATCCCTTTTTGCTTCTTTTCTGGGAAATTGCATGTTGCGACACTTCGACGCAGCGGCCATCGTCACAAACCTCGGTGTGTCTTGTGTCTTGCACGCCGCGGTTCGACTCGACCGTCTTGTGTCGACTTTGACGGCCAACAAGCATCGTCGTCATGACGTCGACGCAATCGGCTGCCAGATTGAGCGACCCCAGGTCCGCTCGATTACGAGGAAACACGTTTAGAGCGCTGCGGTTGCACTCGTCCTCGACGGCCTATTCGTCGGCTGCCGCACGGCAGCCTCTGCTAGCAGGGGCTTGGGAGCTGGCCTGGCAGGGGCCGGGCTCTGCAGTTCTTTTCTTGGTGCCTTGGCAGGTCGTTTCTCGTACGAGGGTGCCCGCCGAAGGTCTTGCGTCAGACCAGCCCGGGTGACTGCAGTGTGCGCAAGTGATCGGCCCCGCATGTTTCGTCGATTGGCTCATCACCTGCCTGCCTGTCCACGGATGCGTCGGTCGCTGAAGTCGAGGTCGAGAGAGCTGCCTGCCCGGTCCGGCCTGCTGCTTGTTGGCCATCACGACAGGTCGGCATGTGGAGGCAACATGGCCTGACAATCAACTTCTCCTCAACCGTAACCCGCAGCCGTCGCCGCCGAGCTGTCGCGAATTCTCCGCCGGAGCAGCCGTTGTTGAGGCGGCACTTGGCACCCAGGTCCGGAAAGAGCAGCAGCACCAAAAAGTTAGTCGACGCCCGAGGTTTGGTGGCGGAGCTGCGCGAGGTGATGGAGGGTTGGGGCGTGTGGGTGGGTGGGCGTGTCTGTCTCGGCCTCCACTTCGCTCTCGACCTCCACTCCACCACACCTTGGCGCAGCTTCGTACCTGATGCAGTACGTACCACCTCTTTTGCGCGGCGACCGGCCCAGCCAGGCCAGGCCAGCCAGTCCTACTCCGACCGGTTCCTGTCCTGCCTTGTATATCATGTTGAGCCGCCCACCTCTTCCCTCGGCCTGATCCCGGCATCCGGCTCTTATACAGACACAGCGTCTCTTGACCCTCGGCTTCTATATAACCATCTCGACGCTCATCGTCTGAACTCCAGTTCACTGAGCGCCGAGCATCTGTCACCGGCAGTCACCTAACCCTCGGGACTCTTACACGGCCGAGCACCTACTTACCTGCGTCTTCCATCGGCCACTCTCTGGATCAGCCGGCAGACCCGGCTGGCCCAGCTACACAACAAACCAACCTCGACGACCAGCAGCACCTGGGTCGTCCTGGATCTTCTCTCCCTCCGCACATCCTCGATACACAGCAGCCATGCACGTCCTCAACGGCTTCAGCCAACGGCGAAAGTCGTCCAAGCCCCGTGACCTCCACATCCGCAAGGTCTCCTTCTCTGGATGCTCACTTTCTTCCGGCTCCGACTTTTCCTCCTCACCCTCATCAACACTTTCTGCATCGACGCCTCGGGCGCCGCGCTCGAGCCGCAGCACGACCTTTGACCCTCTGGCCCTGCACCCAACTTTCCAGCCTCCGCCGCGGCTCCACGACCGGCCACTGCTGAGCCCCGAGCGGAGGCGCTTCGAGGGCGCAGCCACCTTTTTCGACGACAGCGACGGGGCGGATGAGGGGGATAGCGGCTACTTTGAGCGGGCGAGCGAGTACGAGATGAGGCAATGGGACATCCAGGAGGACCAGCCCTTCGAGATGGAGCTCCCGCCGCACGCCAGCCCCATGGACCACGAGGACAACGACCGCACGGAGCCTCAGGACTACTTCCTGCTGCAGCTCAGACAGCGACCGCAGCTGCCCAAGTCAAGGTGGTCGGCCTCCACGGTGTACACCCTCGACCAGGTGACGACGGGAAGCACGGCCACGCCCGAGGACGACAACGACCTGGGCGGCGAGACGGAGACGGAGGCGATGGAGCAGACAGAGCAAACGCAGCTCAACCAGCTCGGCCACCGGTCAATGCCCAACTTCAGCTACAAGCGGGAGACGGTGGTTGTCCGACGCCCGCCGATGAAGACGATGGACAGCCTCGAGGACTTTATCAAGCGCGGCGGCTGGAAGCGCCGCGGCATTGTCTTTGACAACGAGGACATGGAGGGCGCATGCACCGAAGAGGTCGCCCAACTGTGAGCCCTCGACGTTGAGGCATCCATCAATCACCTTTCTTCACGCCACTTCACACCGAACCACCATCATTGAACACCTATCTTCTTACCACTACGTCTCAACAACCACCACCACTACTTCTACGGCCTTGTCAATGGCGTTTCATATCGACTGGGTTTCAGCGTTGGAATTTTCATGGATATCACTGGAACAAGGATGGCGCACTGATTTGCATACCGATACCACGCGATCTGCAACGGACGCACACATGACGGAGGGACACACCACCACTTATTACACTTTGTCTTGTAATCATAGTTACTAGCAGTGTCTGCAGCAGCCCTACCGTTGAGCCGGAGGGCCTGCATTCACTCTTCTGATACCAAATTCACACACAGCCAGGCAGCCCTGGATGGGGCCTGCGACGAACCTTTTTTTTTTTCTTTCTCCCTCTCGTCCATGTATTATCGTGCGTTTGACATGTGTATGGGTCTCGCGTCACGATGCCAATTTCGGCAAACGACCGCATGCGGTCGCTTTCGGATAGTAACGACGACTACTGGAGGTCCGGGGGCTTGGCAGCTGGGCTGATGTAATGCGCCTTGCGGAGGCCACGATGGCTGCTTGCTAAGGCACGGTGGAGCCGCCTCTCGGTTGTGCGGCCTGTTGGCGGGCTCGGCGCCCGGCCGGGACCCTGAAAAATTTCCAGTTCCAGCTGGGACGAGGCCTACAAGGCCCCAGTTTCGCAGGTCCCACCCCCAAAAAATCGACAGGGCCGTCGGTCGCTCCACCGCGCGAGCGGCGCGCGCGTCAGGAACGAGAAACACGGACGGAGAAGCAAAAGAAGCAGAGGCACCTCGTCAGAGAAGGAAAGAAAAAAAATCCTTCCAATCATCCCCCCACTAATCAACCCCCTCCCCCCGGTCCCATGCTCCCATGTCAGCTGGAGCCGAGCCACGCGGGAAGGCTGAGCGCGCGCACTTGTAATAGCACCGCACCCTGTGCGCTTGCCTGCCTTGTGGGGACGTCGCGAGCAATGACGCCGGTGATCGCCCCCGGGGTGTGGTGTTCGATACGGGTTTCACGGGATGACGGCGCTCGTATTTGCCCTGTGGCTTGTCCGCCGCCCATCTGTCCTTACTTGTTGTTGTTGTTGTTGTCGCGACGGCGGCGGCGGCGGCGGCGGCGGCGGCGGCGCCTTTGTTGCGCAAGGCAGGCGCCGCTTGTTGAGGCCGGAAATTTGCAAGCCGTGAATGGGCCCTTGGGCTTTGTGGCTCTTGGCGGAAGGTCACCGTGGTGGTGGTGTTCTTGCTGGCGGTGCTGTTGGTTGGGCCCAGGCCCGTGCCGGGTGCCTGATGCCTGACTCGGGCGGCCATGATGGGAGGAGGGTCTCACGTCATAATGAAAAAGTCCGAAGCACCGGCCAGGCACAGGCACAGGCACAGGCACAGGCACAGACACAGGCCAGGAACGGCAAACCGCTGAATGGCTGATGGGTGGCGAAGGGGGGGGGTTGCAGCAGCTGCAGTAACTGCAGTACCGATGCCGTGGTCGAAGTAGCTGTTGGTTCCTCCCGTCGCAAGTTGGCTGGTGAAGAAGGACCGAGCACACAAGCACCCGAAAGCTCGGGGACGCGGTCGTCGTCGTCGTCGTCGTCGTCGCAGAGTTGGCCGACGGGCGGGGGGTCCGTCACATTTTCGCAGTCAGTCAATCAGTCCGCAAAAAGCCAGTGCGCACCACCTCCATCGTCATTCACCTGTCATCCGAAGAGTCACAGCGTGGCGAAACATGGGTACCTGTCGTAGCGCAAGGTACAGTACAGCACTGATTTGCCACCCCCTGGTTCGTGTCAATCTGTCTCTGCAACGTCCATCCCAGTGGGGACCCGACGTTTCGAAGAGCGAGGAGCGCGCGCCCGGGTGGTTTGCACGTGGCCGGGCCGCGGGTCGCTCTCAGAACGAACGTCCGCAGGTAGTACGTTATGAATGTATGACGAAAGAGTGCAAAATTTCAGGGACGGGGTTCCAGGGGGGGGCAAGACACCTCGCGAGCACGGCACGAGACGGGAACACGGCCTCAGGAATGAAGGCAAGTGGGAGTCGTGTTTCGGAACGGGAGCGCGCAGACGAGTATAGCACATGAGCATGAATGAAGTACCGACGGGGCAAGTGGGCGGCCGCGGCGCGCGACGGCGATGGAATGCTGACCGCCCCGTGCTTAATGAGGCGCCGCGGGCGCAGACGCGGGGGCGCATTCGATGGACCATGGATGATGGATGGATGAGAGTTGTGCTGGGCTAGGTGGTCCGGCTTGGTGGGATGGGCCGTGGTCGCCGTGGCTGGAATGCGTGGCGTGCGGCAGTTGCGAGATGCGTTGCGCCCGCGGCTTGTCTGGATGTCTGGCGTGTCTGATGAATGGCTGTTCCTGGCGGCCCAGACGGGGGTCGGTGAGACGGGCTGCGGGTGTGGCACACCTCCTGGTCGTCTTCCTCCGCCCATGCTCCCCCCCCTCGTGCGTCCCGCTCCTGGTTCCTGTCCTGGACTCCTGGCCCGGCGTCCGAGTCGGAGCGGCAGCAGGTGTTGCACCGAAGCAAGGGGTGATTCACGGTGAGCGTGCGAAAAGGGTCGACGTGCGTGACAAATTGAAAATGGAGGGGCCCGCCGCCATGCAGATGATGCGTCCGATGCGAGCAGCATGCGACTGCGGGGGAAAAGATAACGGTCCTTGGCTTGGCGGGCGGGGTGGTGGTGGTGAGTTGAAAGGGGGCAGGCGGACATTTCACTTCACCCAACTTTCACCACCAACGTCGAATGGCGGTGAGGTCCGTGCAAGGCCTTGTCGTTGCGGTGAGGCAGATGCGGGATGCGAATGCGCTGGACAACCTTCTCTCTCCCGCTACGTGCGTCAGATCGCACCCAATCCCAGGGCAGGGCCGCGCGGCATCAATTATTAGAGACGCACGGCACGGGGTGGGACGATGAGGGGATGACGACAGACGAGTGTCTGTCTGTCACTCTGATGAGGCAGTTGGCGATGCCTCAATGCGGTGCCGGGTTACCCTACACGCGCAAAGCCGAGAGTCAAATAAAACATCATGCTATGGATTCGCAAGCCCGTCCCACCCAAATGCGTACGCACGCATCGCGAAGCTTAACCTTGAGCAATTTACCGTGCTACCCCTCCCTCTCCGGCCCAAAGAACGCCCAAATCCCAAAATATACCAGTAACCTGCAAATAGGTCCCCGTGTCGCCGCAGTGGTCGGCTTCCCGCCTCCCCTCGTAATCGTTTACATCAATCACCCCACCACCCGCTCAGCCCATGTAGCCGTGCCAACCAGGGCACCAAACTTCCATGGCCGCAAACGGCGAACGCGCGCGCGCCGTGCAGAGACGTCTCACCACAGCCGGCGCTGGTAGTATACGCGCTGCTCAGACTGCGCGAGCCGCTGGATCTCCTCCTTGATCAGCCGGCGTCGCTCGGCGCGCGTGATGGGCACCTTGGACTTCTTGAGCGGGTCGGGGTGCTCGACGCCCCATGATTTGGCCGCGACGTCGGCTTGTAGCTGTGCAATGATGGAACGCTGGCGCTCCGATACGGGACCGGCGTTTTCCTTTCGTGACGCCGGCTGCTGCTGCTGCTGCCGATGGCGCTGCCGATGGCGCTGCTTCTCTTGCGCGTTGTCTGATTTCACCTCGTGTGACGCCTTTTCGTCTTCGGGCATATGCGCCGTCGCGACGAGCTGCTCCACCTCCTTGGCCTCCTTGTCCGCGTCACTCTCAACCAGGACCACGGTTCCGTCCTCGAGCTCCGTAGTCGTCGTGCGGAACCGGTCCGGCAGGTGCGCTTTCGGCGAGGGTCGCGTTTCGCGGGGCCGTATGGCGGCGCGCAGGTCGCGCAGCGTGCGCTGTTGGATGGCGTAGCCGCTGAGGAAGAGGGCGAGCGTGCAGAGAATCACTGTTTTGTTGGAAATGGAGGTTAGCAATTGTTAAGGCTTGCGGTGCGGTCCCACGTGCGGTACGGCCGCGGCCGGGACCATGTGGCGGAGAGGAATGCGGATACCGATGGCCATGGAGGCAAGGACGGACACGTCCGACGAACTGAGGAGTGCGCGGCGCATGGCGGGCAGGAGGAAAGTCTAGTCTGCCATGGACTGCCTGGTATAGTGTTGAAGATTTTGAGGAAGCTTGGATCGATTGAATTTTCTGGATGTCGCGAGCCGAGTTTCGAGATTTGAGCGATTGCTCGGCTCGCTGTGCCACGCTGTGCCGTTCGTCATGCACGTCAGCGGCGAGGCGGGCTGTTGACTTTGTTGGCACAGCAACAATCTTATCGCACCCCCCGGCTCCAGCTTTTTGCTCGCCGTAGCGACCTTGCCGATGTGAAGCTCCACCAACCTCAACGACGACGACCGCCATCGCCGCCAGCGGCATCGCTCACAACCCGACCGACCGTCGTGACCCCAACCGCCGCCCAGCCACGCCCAGCATGTCGAAGAATCCCGACGTCGTGCGCGCCGACGCGCGGCGCTTCCTCGACGAGCGCGGCTCCTCGGCGTCCCTCGCCCCCAACGGCCTCAACCCCGCGACCATCATGGAAAAGGCCGTCAAGGACCGCATCGTCGACTCCTACTTCTACAAGGAGCAGTGCTTCGCGCTCAACGAGGCCGACATCGTCGACCGCGTCGTCGAGCACGTCTCCTTCATCGGCGGCACCCACGGCGCGAGCCAGAAGCCCAGCCCCTTCCTGTGCCTCGCCTTCAAGCTGCTCGAGCTGGCGCCCTCCGACGACATCCTGCGCGAGTACCTGGCCTTTGGCGGCGACGAGTTCAAGTACCTGCGCGCGCTGGCGTGCTTCTACGTGCGCCTCACCCGCCAGGCCGCCGACGTCTACACGACGCTCGAGCCGTACCTCGAGGACCGCCGGAAGCTGCGCCGCAGGGGCCGCAACGGCACGCGCCTCACGCATGTGGACGAGTTTGTCGACGAGCTGCTCGTCGGGGACAGGGTCTGCGCCACGAGCTTGTGGAAGATGCCCAAGCGCGACGTCCTCGAAGATTTGGAGGTTTTGGAGCCGCGAGTGAGCCCGCTGGGCGACCTCGAGGACCTACTGGAGGAGGATGATGAGGAGGGTGAAGCCGAGCAGGAGGGTAGCGAAAGACAGAATGGCGACGATGCGGGGTCGGAGGAGGGCGAAGATAGGGATATGGATGTGGATGCGCGAGGGGGCTCGCGGAGTCGCAGTCGGAGCCGCAGTCGCTCGAGGTCTCCCTGAGAGCGTACCCGTCCTCCCTACGAACAACGACAAAACCTTTCGCGGCGGCAAACGGCGCTGGCCATCAAGCCTTGCTGCGCGTCGAGTATACTGAGAGGCTCCTCCGACGTCGCCAAGGTTGTCAGCTTGGGCGGTTGCTCTCGCCTACGCTACGTCAATCCGACGACCCTGGGGCACCCTACATGCAGCCTTGTGTCACAACCTCAAGGTACACAACAGTTCCCCTGACGCGAAGCGCTTACGGGGTCCAGCCGCGGCCGATGAGGATGGGACAGGAGTTACGACAAGTCGACGATGCGGCTGGCCTGCCCCTGATGACCCGAGCAGTACCAGGTCAACATGTGACGAGCCGAAACCAACACACATCACATACCTAAGGCAGGCACCTCACCATGCCCTGCTCTAGCACGGGTCAGCCGCCTGACGAGAGCGGGTTTACATTTATCCATGTCTGGCTTTAGCAGGGGAATCTTGCCAGATCATGGGGCATCCCGCGCAGGGGCGCTACAGTGTCGCGTCACGACTATCGACAGCAATACGCGTCGCAACTTTAACATTTAGCTATGAGCCACTAAATCGAGACCAGAGAGCAACCAATAAAATCTGCTACAGGCTGGCTTGAAGATGCGTGTTGAAACTGAGGTGGTGTGATGATTGGAGTCGTGGATAGCCCGCTCCGAGTCTGTATGCATCATGTCTTTCGTAAAGCCCTCCTCTCTATATGCGTCCACCGTTCCACCTCTTCTTGGCCATCCGCGCTTCTACTCCGCCGCTCTATCGCCGGCACTACTACCTCGACCCCCTCCTCCACTCTATCGGTGCATTAGATCCTTGAGGCGCTCCGCCATGGCCAGGAGGCGCTTGTCGTCCCAGTATTGGGCAATGAGCTGCAGTCCTACGGGCAGGCGGCTCTCGTCCGTCCGCGCGGGGACGCTCATGGCCGGCAGCCCCGCCAGGCTGGCCGGCACAGTGAAGACGTCGTTCATGTAGGCGTCGGTGCTGCTGTTCTCGAGCACGTCGCGTAGCTTGGGCGCGAACGAGGGCGTCGTCGGCGAGAGGAGGAAGTCGACCTGCGGCGGGCCGCGCTTGTCCTCGAGGCCCGTGTCTTCGGCCATGTCGCTCAGGTCGAACTGCTCGGGGTCCTGAAGCGGGTTGGCGAGCCGGAAGACGCGGTCGAAGTCGCGGCGAATGAGGCGGCGCACCTTTTGCGCCTGGATGAAGTAGTTGTCCATGGCCTCGGAGCTGAGGCTGTAGGTGCCCAGCAGGATGCGCCGCTTCACCTCGTCGCCGAAGCCGCTTCCGCGAGTCTCCGAGTAGAGCGCATCGCCGGCCGCATCGCTGCCAGGCGCGCGCACGCCATATCGTACGCCGTCGTACTTGGCCAGGTTAGATGACGCCTCGGCCACGGCGATAACGTAGTACGCGCAGAGCGCCTCCTTGGTAGACGGGAGAGAGACGGGCACGATCTTGGCGCCCTGCGCCTCGAGGGCAGAAGCGGCCTCGATCCACGACCGACGTATAGCGGGGTCCAGCTCGGCAATGTTGTACTCGAGGGGTATCCCCACCGTGAGCTGCGTGTTGTCCTGCAGCGTTGGAGGACAGGCCTTGGCGCAACGCTGTCGGGTGGCCGCGGACAGCGACGTCGGGTCTTGGGCGTCGTGCTCCTCGTCCAGCTTCGTGTTGACGAGCAGGTCGAGCATAGGCCGCACCTCCCTGGCGATGAAGCCGACCGTATCGAGCGAGTTGGCATAGGGGAAAACGCCGTAGCGGGATATCATGCCGTAGCTGGGCCGGTATCCGACGGTGCCGGTGTACGAAGCCGGGAGCCTCACGGAGCCGCCCGTGTCGGTGCCGAGGGCCAAGTCGGCGTCTCCCACCACGACGGCGACGGCGCTGCCACCAGAGCTACCGCCGGCGGAGATGGGCTCGCCGTCGAGCGCCAGCGGGTTGCGCACGGGGCCGTGGATCGAGTTGGTCGAGTGGGAGCCCATGCCGAACTCGTCCATGTTGGTCTTGCCGACGACGTCGGCGCCGCGGGCGCGCAGCTGACGGACGATGGTGGCCTCGAAGGGCGAGGCATGGCCGAGGAGGATGCGCGAGGCGCACTGCGTGGGGAACTCGGCGGTCGCGATGTTGTCCTTGACGGCGAGGCGGAAGGGCTTCGCGCCGGGTAGCCGCGGCGGGGGCGGGCTCGTTGGTTCGATTTTGCCTTGAGGGTGTTAGTGGTCAGCGACATGCCGCGCGAGAGCTGGGCTGTCGCTCGAGGCTCCCGTCGAGGCGCGAGGGCGCTTACCGCTGTCGACAAAGTGGTTGCAGGCCGAGCCCGTGCTCGTGCTCGTGCTTGTGCCCTGCCAGCGGCGCTGCAACGCGCGAGCCTGAGACGGCGGCGGAGGCGCGCGAATGGGGAGCGCAGCATGCCGTCTGAGAGGGCTCAAGCCTCGCCGCATGGCGGGATGCATGTTGGAGCGGCACACGCCTGCCGCCCTCATTGTAAGCCGCGAACCATCCGAGGCGCCTGCCTGGGGCTTTGTTGCACGAGCGAGCGGCGGATGTTGCCGGTGGTTGAGGCGGGCGATGATGGGACGACGACGTGGACGAGGACGAAGACGAGGGACTAATATGGCAAAGGCGGAAGCGGGACGGGCGTCGGCGCGGGACAATTAGCTTCGCGGCAGCAGCGTCCGCGGGCCTGATCCGCGTCGAGTTTAGCATGGATGGCATGGATGGCCAGGGTGCCCGTCGAGCCTGCGCCCAGCGGGGCGGCACAAGGTCCGGAGTACCTAGAAAGCCCTTGAGGTGGGCGTTGGCCCTGGCCCGATGCCGGTGGAAGGGTCCTTGGCTGCCCGGGCTGCTGTAGCTGCGAGGCACAGCAGCATTGACCATGCAGCCACAGCGCCCAACAACCAGCTAACGGCACCGCTTGCACAGCAGCTGGGCACTAGAGACTTGCCCACTGGCGGCCAGCACCCGTGGGCGTCCAGGCTCGCACGTCGGACGCTAGGGCCGACGGCACGGAACCTGGAAACACCGATCCTCAGGCCGCAAGCCACTGACAGCACCCCAACCTGGCAGGCTGCAGGGTCCAGGCAACCAAGACGTCAGCCGCGGAAACTTTTTTGGACCTCGCCAGACCTATGACCACGAGCTCCGTGGGTTCGCAACCGCAACAACCAAGCCGTCCTCCCGCAATCTCCAATGAGGCACCCACAGAGATAACGTCGACTCTCGCCTCGGGCCTGCACCCCAGGCACGCCGCACAGCATGGCCACCAAGCGCGACTACGACGACGTCGACGATGGCGAGGTCACCGACGATGACCCGAGCGCCAAGCGCGCGAGGAAGCACACGGGTGCGCAGCGCCTGCACCAGCACCAGAACGCGGCCATAGATCCGACCTGGGGACAGAAATATGTCTTCTCCAATATCAGCGAAATGTCTACCATTCCGTACGGCGAGGAGTCGGACTTTGAGGACGATGCGGATGCGATGGCCTACTTGCGGTCGGTCAGGTATATTGGCAGCTCATCAACCCCCCTTGCTTTGACTATTGTCGTCTGACTGGCGCAGGGAGCAAGCGCTTGGCATCCCTCACATGCTCGTGGCTCCAAAGAAACAGATTGGCCCCCAACTACCGCCCGAGCTGCGACAGGCAAGCGAGGAAGCCCGCAATGACGATGGCGACGGCGACGGCGAAGACGAGGACGAACCAGCACAGGCCGATTACGGCGAGTACCAAAGCGGCGCCGAGGCCAGGGGCTGGTACGAGGACGGCGCATACATTGCCCAAGCCGAGTCAGAAAGCTACGGGCAGCCTGGTGACGAGGGTGATTCCGAAAGGGAGCTCCATCAAGCATACTATGCGTCCATCCTAGCTCGTTACCGCCGACTACGGTCTACCCTTCACGCAGAACCCCCGACCAGCGCGGCGCGGCGCCTACCCTCCGGCCGCCCAACCACCGCCGCGCCCCTCGACGGCAAGTCGACAACCCACAAGACCTGGTCCGCCGCCATGCGCAACACGGACCCTCACCCGCTGCAGCTCGCCCTCATGTCCAAAGACTCGGTCATCCGCGTCCTACGCGTGCTCCTCGGTGGGCGGTTCCTGCGCCTCGGATACACGCTCTCTGAGCGCACTAGCCAATGGGTATGGGCCCTGCTCGCGCGGCTGCCGGAACCGTGGGAGCTGGACCACACGGAGATTGGCTGGGTGCGCGACCTGGGACGCCGTGCGATACTGCTCGGCCGGAGCCTTGCGGAGATGGCGGCCTTGCGGGACGATCTAGAGGAGGGCCAGCTGGGGGTGCACGAAATGGTCGACCAAAGCAGTAGCGTCGAGCTGGGCACGGATGCATACGTCGGCTACGGCGTGGATAGCGCAGACTCTGACGCTGCCGATGGCCCAAGGCAAAAGGACAAGGAAATGCAAGAAACCAAACAAGTCGAAGAGAATGATGATGACACAAAAGAGGTCGAGTCCGAAGAGGAAGGCCAAATCTCGGACGACGACAATGGCGACGCCGCGTCTGTCGCCATGGATCTCTCATCGGGCTCCGAGGATGGGGAGGTGGCGCCCTCGGTACAGGCTCCGGATGACGGCCACGCTGCCCTCGAAGCTGCCAAGCAAGCGTTCTTGGCCCGCCTCGAGGGTGATGCGACGGTCGATGCGCCAGAGGATGAGTCTGAGGAGGCGCAAGAGGCGGCCAGGCTGCGTCTGCGCATCAATATGCGCGCGACGCTCGACATGATTCTCACCGTGGCGGGCGAGTTTTACGGCCAGCGGGATCTGCTGGACTTTCGGCAGCCCTTTGTGGGCATGTGACGCTGGGAACAGCGCGGCGATACTAACGTCAACTCGCCATAAAGGACGAGTCGACGGGGGACACAGACATGGCATGGAGAAATGGGAGGTGCTGATGAATCGCTTTGCTACTATAAGGGGCCTAACGGCTCCTATTCTTCCTGATACCCGCCGCAGCCACTTCTTGTTGAAGGGATCTGCACATATCTAAACAATAATCATGCCCCATGCTCGACCACGTTCAAATCCACTTCGTGGTATGCCTGTCCCAATCAATCATTCTGCTGCTCTTATTCCGCGAGCGCGTGATGTGCCTTGCATGTCCGTAACGCCAATGCCCAAATCAATGTCGAATCTTCTCGACCCATCATCCTTGCCCAGTCGTACTCGCACATAACATACAGTCTTTATCAGGCTGAAGAGCCCTCAAGACATGTCCATCTCCCGTCCTTGTCCAAAGACGAGAAAGTCGGCCTCCTCAAAGTCTCCATCCACGGCCATGTTCTCCTGGTCCACGTCCTTGAGCGGGATGTCTGCCGCGGCCGATGCAGATACGCTCTTGCGCACGCGAGTCCTCGGTACGGCCATTGGGCGGGCATTTCCCCAGCCCATCGGCGCGTGGAGTGTCCGCGGGCTTACTTCGCCGTCCCAAGCCTTGGCGGCTTCGCTGGCAGCCCACGTGATGGGGATGCTGGCGGCTGAGTCCTCATCTTCATCAAAGATGCGCTTGCGAGACGGCTCTGAGGCATTGCTCTCGACGCTTTCTTGAGACATGGTGAGTTCCGGGACGGCGTCCAGGTCTGGTACTTCGTCGTCCTCGGACTCGTCTTCGCGCAAGGAGGGTTGCGTGTCCAAGCCGCCAATCTTGTTTATGCCGCAGAAGGGCAGCAGTTCCCTGGACACAGCGCGAGCGCCTCGCGTTGCCGGCGAGTTGCTGGTGGCACCCGCCCGTGTGTTATCCGTCCACAGCTTGAAGCCACTGGGGCCGACGGTCTTGTACCCCTCCGGGACGGACTTGCGGACGCGCATGCCTACGCTGAGAAGGTTCGCCTGCACGCTGGACGGGAGGAGCGGCTGCCGCAAGGGCTGTGCATCGGCGTCGGCGTCGGTGGGAAGGGCGCCAGAGGAAAAGAAGGATGTGATTTGACGCTGGGATGGGTCCGCAGAGGCGCCCGCGAAGGGCCGCTTGGTTCGAGGCGCAGACATGCTGAGCTACGTCGATATGATGGCAGCCGTGTCGTAAATCTCGAGAGTGATGTATGTCGTCGTCGATGCAATTGAGCCTTTCGAGCGGCGGCCCTGCGTGGCGCTGCGTGGACGGATGCGTGTGCTGTCTCGGACTGACGTAGCTGGCCCTTGGACCCTGGATGTCGGAAACCTGAAATAGACTTTTCCCCTGGCCAGTGCCCTGGGAAAGAATTGGCCGTTGCGTGGGAGAAACAAGAGAGAGAGAAAAAAGCAGATAAACGCAACGTGCAGGTGATTCAGAAGCGGTAGAGTGGAGAATTTCTGTCTGATGAATTGACGGGGGGGAGATGGAAGACAACGAGCAAGGGAACAATGAGAGGCTGGCTGGTGAAAGGACGAGGGATGGAATGGGTTGGCAGGAGGCTGGGTGGTCAGCGCTGGCGTGGTAGTGGCCTGTGACATGAGCAGGAAAAAGCGGGTCGCTAGGCGCGTCTGGCGCGACGGTTTCGCGTAAAGAGGTGGACGCTTAGGATTAGTCATCGGTTGATTCGCGGACGACTCTCCGGCCGACCATCTGATGCGCGGCTGTTCATCGCATTTGAGAGGGACAAACGGCTGCCGTCTCGTGCATATTGGGCAAATGCTGGGCGTTGAAATGCTTGATTTTACTCTGCACGTGACCGACCGGAGGGCGGGCCGCGCTGGATAAATGAGATTAAGTCCAGGGTAGGCCACTTTCACCACAGCACGTAGCACATATCGAGGTGTAGACTCTTCATTACATGCATGGAATAATGTTGCGTTATGGGGTCGACGGGATGACATTAAGGCAGTATTGATCGTCGTGTTTACGTATCTGGCTTGGCAATAGCATAGCGTTGTTGAGACCTATGGAGGAACCAGCGTGGAGTCTGGCTTGGAGTGCAGCGAGCACCCCGCGAAAACAGAGCGTGGAAGGTAATTTTGCGCGTGCCCGTCGAGAATCCGAACGAAGAGAATTATACGAACCAAGGACACCAAATAACTCAATCAAATAATAAATGCAACATAACTATGAAACGCGAGACTTGTTCAATACTGCCTGCGAACCGCAGCACTGCATTTGGCCGAGTTGTGTCAGGTCGGGTGGCGAGAACTGTGGCGTCGCGTTGCAGTGCAGGAGTGGTCGACGCCGAGGCCCGCTCTCGCCCCAACAGTGACGTTACGGCCATGTGTGCTGTATGAGAAGTGCAATTACAGAGCTAGGAGTGTTCGAAGAGCGCAACGGGCACGAACCCCGCAGGGCCGACATGCTATCTTGTGCCCAGTTAAGGCAGCCACGGTGTGATAATCACGATGATTCGGGGTGACTCAGACCACCCACATCAACACGTCACGGGCGACATCACAGCGACAGAGATTCGTGGAAACCATTGAATTTCGCAAGCACAGTGCCGTCCTCCGCTGCCACTGCACCCAGGTATGAGAAGCGATCATCAAATCAGCGGTTCCACGTCCTCGCATCCCAGCGGCCCCAGCTCGGGCCGCCGCGGACACTCGTGAAAGCCCTTCTCCGGCTGTCCACCCCATGCAGTGCTTTTGTGTTCCTGCCTCAAGAGACGACTCTTTGGTACAAAGGCGCGCGTAACGGAAAAAAGAGGTAAAAGATGTGCCATGCAAGATATCCGGAGACCCCAAACGCCCCAGCTCTTGGGTGTTCCATCTTCTATCTGCAAAGATGTCGGATTATGTCGCAAGGTGAGGGTTGTTGTCTATGCGCCCATGTCGAGGAGGAGTTGTTGTTTTGCAGATGCCGATGACCACCACAAATTTGAACCATAAGAGTCATGATACCCAAGGAAAGAAACCACCCACCCACGGGGGCGAGCAGTTTACTTTCTTCGGAAAGAGCAGCCCTCGGTTAATCTGGCCTTGCCACCGGTGGGCTGGCAAAGGACGGTGGTGCAGCCCTGGCAGATGACAACGGTCTGGGCGTGCGAGAAGACGGTGGTGATGGTGAAGCAGCCGGGGCACTTGACGTCCATGAAGAAGGATCGGGGAGCCGGGACAAGGGTCTGGCAGAGCATCGTTAGATTATTGTTCGTCGTATAGATGGGGATCACCTCGGCGGCGAGGGTCTTGTCGTCGTCGGCGTACCTTGAGCTTGTGCTTCTTGGCCTCGGCGGCCGGCGAAGGGTTGAGAAGGTCAACGGCGAGAACCTGTGTCGCGCTTGGTCAGCTGATTGTTCCCATCGGTTTCGTAGTGCGCTCGTGTCCGTCGTCCAGCCGTCGAAGGACAGCACTTGGGCGTTGCTTTGACGATCCTGATCCGCCTCTCGATGACGGCGTCGCCAAACCGGACCGTCCGTCACAACAATCCCAACCGTGCGTCCTTCGCGGTGTCGTGGCTCCGGGGAGAGGGCAATCGTCGCTCACCATCTTGACTGATTATCTCGGATGAGGATTCGGTCGGTCTTGCGAGGATGGAGATGCTTGACGAAATCTGTCGACAGATTCGAGGCTCGCAAGATGGGTGAGAGGGTGTTAAGCGAGAAAAGTTCGGTGGACTTTGAGGGGGAGAATCTCGTTTGCCTCTAGCCTGGAATTTGGACACAAACGGTCTAGCGCACTAGGGTTTTGAGGCCCAGTCACACGTGACGACAAAATTGTCGCCGCTGATTGGCTTGAGCTGTCTCCAGCGGAACAAAGTCACCGAGTCGAGGCCCTGCATTAAAATTTTGTGCAGACGTACCAATGTGGGGTAGCTGTTGTGCAGCTCGCGCGAGCTTCGACAGGCAACCATTCGTTTCGGGAATCGGTCGTCGTCAGTCAAGTGGGCGCGGCGGGAGCTTGGCTGGGGAGTCTCCATGTGGATAAGATAGTTGCCTGCGTTCCAACATTCCGTGTTCCTCACCCTCCCCAAGACCGTTCTGACGCTGGTTCAACTGTGACGGCACAATGGCGGCACCAGGCGATCAGCGCATCGCTGTTCCCATCGACGACCCCAATGCAGACACTGAGTGGTTCGTGCCCCGCGATGCGCCCGCGATGCGACTGTCGCGCGCCAGCCCCTATACGCAGCTAACATGGCGCACGTAGGAACGACATCCTGCGCAAACATGGAGTCATTCCCGAGAAGCCGCCCAGTCCAACCCCGATGATCGAGGAGGCCATTATCGAGGGGCGCAGGCTAGCACATGAGAACCGGCTGGAAGGCAAGGACCTTGACGAGCTGGACGAGTTGGAGGACCTCGAGGACGAAGACTTCTTGAACCAGTACAAGCAAAAGAGGATGGCGGAGCTCAACAACCTGCAAAAGAAGGCAATCCACGGCAGTGTATATCCCATTTCGAAACCCGACTACCAGCGCGAGGTCACCGAGGCCTCCAAAAACGGGCCTGTTTTCGTCAACCTCACATCGTCTATGGGCACGAACGTCGAGTCCAGAGTGCTCTCGGAGCTCTGGCGGCAGGCTGCTCGCGAGTACGGCGATATAAAGTTCTGCGAGATCCGCGCCAACCAAGCGATCGAGAACTACCCGGACCGAAACTGCCCGACGATTCTGGTGTATAAGAATGGCGACATCGCGAAGCAGGTGGTCACGCTGATGACCATCGGTGGCGTCCGAACAAACATGCAGCAGATCGACAACCTCCTGGTTGAGGTTGGTGCGGTGCCCGACTCGGATATGCGGGTCGTCAAAAGGAGGCAGGCCGCCGAGGACGCCGAGGAGGAGCGGCTGGCGGGGAAGAGCATCAAGACTGGCACAGCCGGGAGATCACGAGACGACGAAGATGACGATGACTGGGACTGATGACGAGGACCATGACGATATCAACTACTGCAAGCATTTTGCCGTAACGGACGCAGTAGCGGCTTTTGGTTGGGCAATAACCCACTCCGCATATTGTTGAGTGTATCGATGATCCAGCTATATGAATGCTGCCTGAAGACAGAAAGTGGCAGGAAAAAGGCGCAACAGCCGTATTTTGAATAGAAGCGGCCGTACGTCGCCGGCGGCGGGTAGCCGAAATACAACAGTACGCATTAACCCATAGTGGACTGAGCCGCTTGTCGCCGCGCTTTATTTTCCGTATAAAATCATAACTCCGTGATATCTAACGTCATTGCTTTTGTGCCATGATCTCGCCCACAAGCTTTGCCGTCGCCTCTACAATCAGCTCGTGCTCGTGAGAGTGTATCCTCTGCTCGAGCGTCTCCAAGTCGTCGCCGGGCAGGCACTCAACCTCCCTTGTCAAGATGGCCTCGCCCTGGTCGACCTGCTTGATGACGTTGTGCACCATGATGCCCGTCTTGTTGTTTTCCAACTTGCCGGCCTTGAAGTCCTCGAATGCCCGCTCAATGGCATGCGCGCCGTCATATTTGCCTGGTAGCAGATTAGCTTGATGGTTATACCTTTTTCCGGCGAATAATAATACCTGGCAGCGCGGGGTGCAGGTTGATGACCTTGATGCCCGCGGCGCTGATGGGGTCGAGGAACCGCTCGCCAAAGATGTACATCCAGCCGGCCAGGACGATGAGCTGCGGCCGTGTATCGAGCGCCAGCACCTTTTTTGCGAGCGCGGCGTCGTACTCGTCCCGCGCGCGTTGCAGCCGCTCCGGGTCGCGCTCGCCCTTTTGCTGGAAGCCATTGGAGATGAGGTTGAAGTACTCCCAGGGCACGCCGTGCTTGTCGGCGCGGGTCGTGGCATAGGCTTTGCCCCGGTTGACGATGAGGCGGCAGATGCGCGAGTTCGGGATGCGGCCGACGGCGACAGCGTCGAGCAGGGCCTGGAAGTTGGACCCGTTGCCGCTGGCCATGACGAGGATCTGGCACGGGGCTGCCATGGCGAGAGCGGCTGCGCGTGCGTGCGGTGCGATGTGATGCGATTGAAGTCTAAGAATTGCTACGAGAGCGGACTGCTGGTGAAGCGTTTTTGCGCGGGCCTGATGTTAAACATCTCACTTGAAGCTTTCACTGAAGTCTGCGCTGGCGCCCCACTAGAAATGGGCTGTCCAGTGGCTGGAGCGTGGCGGCTTTTACTTTGCGGGCGCGAGCCACGGGGATGCGCGAGAGTTGGTCAATGCAACCTGAGTCCATCATTGACTTGGTAGCAGAAAACGCAGTATCTCGTCGCGCGGTTCATATCTTGAATCATCGTAGACTGTGGTTCGAGCCCTGCCCGCTTTGGGCCAGCACGAGCCTGTCGGGACAACCTCAGAGATGCTGACATTGAGCGCCGCCCCATTCGTCGGGCGTCCGCCTGGAGACCGTCGGCTGCCGAGTGACTCACTTACACGAGCATCGACGCCAAGAGGAAAAGACAATGGAACATGATGCCCGTTTCAATGATGGTGAATTGATGTATATATAAAAATAACTGATATATCGTTTGCTTTGTTGCGTTTCATCGCTCCCTACAAACGGCTAGCGACATCATCGCACTTCTGCTGACGGAGGAGTTTCAATTGCCTTAGCGTCTAAGGACTCTCCCCTCGCAACCCTTGGACTTGTAAAAATTACATCTGAATGTGAGTTTTCAGGCTTCATACGAGGACTGCGCTCATTATACTGACGAGTTGGCAGCGCAGTACGACGGCTACCGTCTGTTCGCAGCTCTTCATTCGCCATGAAGCCCATTGAGCTCGACGGCAGAACAGGCGAAGGAGGCGGCCAGCTCGTGCGACTTGCCGTCGGCCTCGCCGCTCTCACCTCTCAGCCCGTGACAATCACCAATGTCCGCGGCAATCGCCAGGGCGGTCGCGGCGGCGGTCTCAAGAGCCAGCACGTCACCTCAATTGCGTGGCTCGCCTCCGTCACGGACGCGCAGACGACGGGCCTCTCCGTGGGTTCCAAGACGCTGACCTTCATCCCGCGGCGGTCGCCTTTGCAACTCGCCTCAGAAGGAGGGAAACGGAAATATAGCATCTCGGCTGAGTCGGACGCCGCAAGCGCGCTGCTTGTGCTCCAGGCCATCTTCCCCTACATCCTGTTTGCTAGCGCCGAAGGAGACGAGCCTTTGGAGCTGGACATTTCGGGCGGAACCAACGTGGCGTGGTCGTTGAGCTACGAATACTTTGACCAGGTGCTTATGCCGACGCTAGAAGAGCGCTTCGGAGTCCAGGTCGAGAGAGAACTGCGACAGCGCGGATGGAGCTTGGGGTCCAAGTCGAGGGGAAACATCTGGCAACGAATTCATCCTGTACCGCAGGGCCAGAAGCTCCGGTACGTGCCGCCACCAGCGTACACATACCCGGACTCGTACCGCGTCGAGCGCGTGGACGTGAGCATCATCGTGCCGCAGTGGGCGCACGAGATGCTGCAGAGCAACGTGGTGAGAGATCTCGGCACCCTCTTCCCGGACGCCGACGTGCACTTCAAGCTCCTCGAGGACTCGCGCGACGACGCGCGGTGGTCGGTGCTGCTGGTGGCGCAGTCGACGGCAGGCATCCGGTGGGCGAGGGACGTCCTCTGGTCGATGCCCAAGAAGGCCAAGTCGAGGGACGTGCTCGTATCGCAGCTGTCGCGAGCGCTTTGCAAGCGTCTCTACGAGGAGGTCGAGCTGGGCGGCACGGTGGACGAGCACTTGCAGGACCAGGTTGTGTCGTTGCAGGCGCTGGCCGAGGGGCCCTCGTCGTTTCCGCGACATGACGACGGGCACGGTGCCGATGAGCGATACGTGGACAAGGTGATAGACGGGGTGGCCAGTTTGAGTGTCGGCGCAAAGCTACGAAAGGAGAAGACGCACGCGCCTTTCGGGCATGGATCAGGGCACACGCAGACGGCACGGTGGGTCATTAGTGAGCTGCTTCCCAAGAGCGAGTTCTACAACAAGGGCGACGTTGTGCGGGGGGTTGGCTTTTCGCTCTAGGGACACCAGGGTTCGGGGAGCAGGGATGGGTGACGATGGTGTTTGGTTTGTTGCTGAGCCTGTTTTGGAAGCCCGATCCTGGGGTGTGAAGCATGATTAGCGAGAGCCTTTGTGTACCATACGATAGCGAGCGCAGGAAGCCATAAATCCATCGCACACAGAAGTCTTTCTCTGCTTGGCGAGACCAGCTCTGTGACCAAAGCTGGGCACATCCTGTGATGCTCGGAATGCCGGGCGGAAGCCGACGTACGAGACGGATCTGATAACGGCCGGCCCACCCGTCGGAGGCCAGGCACGCGACTGTGGGTGGCGGGGTCCCTCCTCCAGTGAGTGTTGCGGGGGTGCCAGGAACCAACTGAAATGCCCTGAGCTGGACCCTGATCAGGGATCAGACCCACCGAGCTTAGTTGCCTATCCCGCCGCCACCACGGCGCGTCGAGGCGCGTCTCCCGTCGTCACCTCCAGCTTTCGTCAACATTTCGTCCCGCTGTCGCTTTTAATATCTCCACGTTTTTGTCTCAGCTTCTCTTGCATTCTCGTGCGCGCATCTACACCAAGCATCTCGCTCGTCATCGCTTGAATTGTATTTCCACCTGCATTTGCATTGATACCGCCGCCATGTCGGACGAACCGTCCCTGCCTCGGCTCCCCGCCGTGTCGTGGGACGAGAACTCGCAGACCTTCTCCAACAACCCGCGCAAGCGCGTACGCGCCCAGCGGTCCCGCTACTCGCCCTCTGTCGGCTACAACTCGAGCGATCCAGCCGTTTTCTCCAGCGACGACGATCCGGGCCTGGACAACTACGTCGAGGGCCGTCGCAAGAAGCGCTACGTCGGCTCCTGGTTCCAGCAGCAGCCCGCGTCGTCCGACTCGACCTTTTCCGACGTCATTGTCGTCCCCAAGGGTGGCCAGAAGCGGACTCTTGCGCGGCAGGTTGACAGTGGCGTTTTCTTGGGCAGCGATGGCACCGACGGCGAGGACCTGGCTGATGAGCTGGAGCTTCCTACGCGCTCTAGACTGCCCCAGCTGATGATGGACAAGCGGCCTGTCCAACGCGTTTCTGGGGCGGAACTGGCGGTGCGTGAGAAGATCCGCGCGTGCCTCGACAGCGGAATCGAACAGCTTGACTTTTGGCAAATGGGCCTGGAGGAGTTGTCTAGCGAGACCTTAAGTCCCCTCGCTTCCTTCGAGTGCATCCCCGTCGTCGCAAAGGACGTTGCATTTGAACAAAAGGATCCGGAGCTCGAAATGTACCTGGCGATGAACCGGTTGCGGACCCTCCCCGGCGCGTTGTTCGACCTCACACATCTCTCCATCCTGTCTCTCCGCGGCAACAAGTTGACCGAGCTGCCGCCTGCCATCTGCAAGCTGCGCAACCTACGGGAGCTCAACGTGTCGCAAAACCGGCTACGGTATCTCCCTGCGGAGCTCCTTGACCTGATGGAGCCGAACTCGAAGCTGCGCACGTTGGTGTTGCATCCAAACTCTTTCTACGAGCCGGAGGAGCCCTTTTCGCGGGACTTGGATAGGCCCGAAGTCCATTCGCATCACTCGCTGGGCGACGGTCACCCGACGCCGCACTTCACATCCACACACCGCGGACGTTCGCCGCTTCAAATCTGCGATTCCCGAGGGGAGGTGCTCTCGGACTTTCGAATGCCGTCTGTCGAATCCGCGCGGAGGATTGCGGTGGATGGAAGCACACCCAATGACCCGCCGACATCCTCACAGAGCGCAGCAGCTACGCGACGAGACCCGCCCCGACCCAGTGTCGTGCCCACGCTTGTCGAGGCAGCCCTTTTGAGTTGCTCCAGTAGTAGCCAGCTCGGCGACTTGGAGTTTTACATGCCCGACGGCCTGCCTTGGTTGCGGCAACTACTGCGCCGGGCAACGCGACAGAAGGAGGCAGGAGGACTCGGATGCTCGCGGTGTAGGCGGCCGCTCGTCGTGCCGCGACTCGAATGGTTGGAGTGGCGGGATCTAGGCACCTTTGAACTCGCTGAAGGGACGGGACAGAGGCGGAGGTTGACGGTGCGGCCGCTGAGCATGGCGGAGCATGAGAGAGCTGTGCCCTTTTTGCATCGCGGGTGCTCGTGGGAATGTGGGCCAGAGCGATAGGGCGTGATGCGACTTTCCCCCTGCCGCTTTAAGGACTGGGATGCATTTGGATGGAAGCTGATGGGCTCGGGCACGATGATCCCTGACATGCATATTCGGACGGCAACGGGTGTGTTAGTCCACTTCAGAAGGCTTGACATGTAATGCCGTAGCGAGCGTCACTTTGATCTATTGCAGCCTCTGCATTCGCATTACAGTGAAGGGAAAACCCCAAGATGGGGACAAAAGCCAGCACCGAGGTCTGCCCACATCGTGCGTACCCAACAACATGAATCGGCCAGTAGCTCACCAGGGGACCGTCGCGCCGTTTCACGAGAAACGAACCGTTGACGAGACGTCCCTTTGGCACCAAAGCGTCCTTCAGCTGTCCTAGGTCTTTCCGTCGTGTTTCTGTCAGAAGACATGGCAAGTTTAAATGTGCGTGATCACAAGACGGAATGCTTACCTTGACCCGCGCCCAGACTCCGAAACCGGAAACTTGCACACGGGAGGTGTAGAATAGAGGATTGATGTCGCCGGTGATCTTTGTGTTCTTATAGTCGTCTTTGATGTCGACTGAGAAGGTCTTGTCCCCGATGTAGCCCGTGATGTGGTGATATCCTACCAAGTCATCGACATCCCCGCTGAACGTGAGGTTGACGTTGTTCGTGGTGAAGGGATCCAGGGTGGCGGCGAGTGTTGCGACGAACTCGTACGTGACGTTGTTAAACACAAACATTGCCTTGACCACGCCGGAGGCTTCGCGGGTGAAGCTTCCTGGAACTCTATGGGGTGGCTGCAGCATGTTGACGTGATGGCAAAGGGGGGCTTTTGTGGAGGGTCTTGGATCGTGTTATTTTGTTGTGTCGATTACTGGTGCTTCTGGGAGTGGGCTTGGGGTCCGAACTGCTCTATTAAATAGTTTCAGTGGCTTTTCCCTCCTTCTTCTGGAGGTCATCGCCTCGTTTCTCGACTCGCTCCATCCGGCTGCTGTTCCAACAACGAGTAGACACGTCAAGCCCTGCAGGCCCAAGGCTACTGTCGTGCTCGCTTTCTTTCAACGAGAGCTCACTGTCGTTTCCAGGGGGCGCGCGTCTCCGCAGCTTGGAAGTGTAACCTGTCGGATGGTGCACGACAACGGCGGCTGCTCTTCTGTGGAAAGACGGCGGAGGAGCGGCTTGCGTCGTCCTAACCTTCAGCTCACAAGCTGCGTCCGTCAGCGACCCGCTCCAGAGGAAGAGATGCCATGATCTGAACAGACTGCAGAAACATGCTCGATGCGAATGGCGGCTTGCTCGATCGGGAAAGCCTGTTGGGGCAGTCGAGTGCCGTGAGCCGATCTTGTCGGGTTTCACGAACATGCTGTCGAGAGCGCCACCAGAGTAGGGCATGCCTATAGATGGTCAAGTACACATGCACACTGCCGGCTTGTTTTTCAAGGAGATCGTGAGCAAAGACGCGTTGCGGCAAACGGGATGCCAAGGGTGAACTTGAGGCGTCGAGAACCACTCAGATGGATATATTCTTACCAGACATACACAGCAACGACACTTCGGCTGGAGTTTGAGCACATGATTGGAACGCCTGATGGCCAGCTTCGCTTGCAATGAAGCTCACACGGGACTCGGTGCTCCCAGTCCCGGAATGGGTAGGCCGTAAAGCCGTGAGAAGCCGCACAACGAGGTCGTGGCACCGGCGAATTCTGCAATCCGCCGTCGGGCCCTGTCCATATTGCAGAAATGGAGTCAATATTTGAGAAACGGAGTAACGCTATATCCAGCGCCATGCTTCAGTGACGCTTTTGGCTTGTGAAGACGGTCTAGATGCAGTGCAAAACCCTTCTGATATCCGCAATTTGTACAACACGGATGTCACCATGCATCGTCGCTGACAGGGCTTGTTTGGCACGGAGATCGGCGGCTAGTCTTGAGCTGAATTTGCATGTTGACAGCCGATAGTCGCGAGCAGAATGTCACTTATGCCGAGTGAAGGCTATGTACACGCGCAACTGCGGCAGTAATGCTTCAGTGACACGATCTGGCATGATTTCCTGTGGACTTGTTGATGGCTGACCTAGCCGATCCTGCCTCCCTAAACGGATTGACCTGATCCCTTTGAGAATTGAGATGCTTGAAACATCCCGTATGGTCCATGCCTCCATTATCGACGTGATTTCACACCAGGTTCCTTTGTAATCTGCGTGAGCATAATAGGAATCATCGCTTTGTTCTGGCCGGGACAGCAACGGGACCGACACGGTGTCGCTAGGGCTGTTTGGCGTCAACGGCAGGCTTAGAACGATGTGGCATGCCTGAGAAGCTTTGATGGAAACTGTTCTTGCAATAAGCCGAAATGCATAGCCACAAGAAAGTATAACCCTTCTATGGACTTGCAAGTTGCGGCCCGGGAACAAGATGTCGTTGGCGTGATCCTCCACTGGCCCAGACCAGCTACAGCACTAACACGATCGCTGAACGTTTCAAAGTTTCCAGGTTTAACGCCCTTCTGGTCCCTGCAGGGAGGGCAACGCCCATTTGGCCCCCAGACGGACCTCCAGGGCGCCCCCCCCACACGCACCAAGTCACGCCACAAGGGTCGCCCCCAAGGCGTCCGTCCAATCCCCTGGAACGCGGCGGCGCCCTTTGCTCGCTGGGCAACGGCGGCCATTCACCTCGACTCCCCACCATCCCTCCCTCCCTCCTGATCATCACCAACGTGACGCGGCGCGCTGCTGCCGGCAACCTGGCCCCGTGACGCAGCCCGTTCTCCTCGCCGCCCGTACCGTCCGCGATTCCTCGAGCCCTGCCGGCCCTTTCGACCTGCCCGTTTCTTTGTCTCTCGACGAGTCGGAACCCCGGCGCATTGCGAGTGCTGCCCCCGTCTGCGAGACATTCGGCCCGAGTCGCAAGTAAACAACGGCGGCATCTTCCGAATCCCTAAACGTCGCCCGACTACCACCCCTCTTCTCCACCTCTGCCTCCGACCGACAAGAGAACCCCAAAGCCAGTCTCGCCGTCTTCGTTACCGCCGCCGTTGCCATGCCGTCCGCCGAGGACCAGGCCCGCGCCTCTCGTCCCACCTCGCCCACGCCGTCGCAGCTCCCTCCCGTCCCGAGCTCCCCGGTCTACTCGCTCGCCTCGACCGCGAATCCCATGTCGCAGTTCAACCTGCCCCTCCCGCCGGCGCCGCGCCCCTCCCACGCCGTCCTCACAAAAGCCGACCTCGAGCACTCCCAAGATGCCTACGCCGACCTCCTCAGCTCCGCAAAGGCCTACCGCGTCGCCCTCGCCTCCCTGTCCAACGCGGCGTCCGCTTTTGGCTCCGCCCTCGAGGCGTGCGCCCGCCTGAAGGAGGCCCGCGCCGAGCCTATAGGCCCCTCCGGCGCCGGCACGGCCAGCATGTCGGCGAGCTTCACCACCCCGCGGGGCGCATGCACTGCCGACACGCTGCTCTCCGCGTCCGGCGTGCATCACCTCATCGCAAACCACCAACAGATCCTCTCCGAGACGGTATACCGCGCCTTCGAGGTCCCCCTCCTGCACGACCTCGACAAGTGGCAGTCTGTCATCGACGACGAGGAAGAGACGTACCAACAAAAGATCAAGGCGCAGAGCAGGGAAGTCAAGCGCCTGGAGAAGGAGGGGCTCAAGCTGCACAAGCAGCGCAGGAGGGACGTCGGCAGGTTCCGCGCCCACCTCGTCGAGCTTACGGGCAAGCTGGACGGCCTGACGACGCTGCATGCGGATCACGCGCGCACGCTGCTCAGAGAAAGCCAAGAGACGAGCGGGCGCATCGTCGAAGCCAGCTGCAGCCTCGTCAGAGCCGAAGTGGACATCTTTGAGGGGCTCGCACGAAAGGGATGGAGCGGCGGGGGATTAGACGACTTGCTGGAAAAGGGTCAGGACCTGTTCGCTGTCGAAGATGTCGGTGGCCACGGCGGCGGAGCGACCACAACCACAGGCGAGTCGGCAAAGCTCTTCTCCATCCTGCCACCGAAAAGCATCCTCGCCGACACTGCCTCGGACTCCCGCACCGGGCCTGGGCACGGGCGCGCCGATAGCCTCCTTACAATGGATGGCGACAGATATCAGTCTCTCACCGGCGTCGCATCCGACGCCAAGCACCACCCCGGCGGCGACGCAGACAGCGTCTTCTCGTCCGACTTCAACAAGCCACGCGGGGCGCGACCCTTTTCTCCCCAGCCGATACGCAGAATACCCGCCGATGTGACATTTGACTCTCTCGGCGCGGCGGCGCTGGGACACCTCGGCGAGCCTGAGCCTGAGGCGACGAAGCCTGGGGAAGCAGAACCGGATAGCGAGAGGCCGACGCAATCACAAACGCAGACAGAGACGCAGGGCGAGGAGCGGGACGCAGATGGGGACCCAGAAGAGGACGAGAGTGAGCGGCGTGGCAGGACGGAGTCGCGGTCGCCTATGACCATGTCGGCGCGGTCATCACCGTTTGGGCGACGCGCGGCGTCGCTAGAAGACGGGCGCGAGTAGAACTTGTACAACCACGTTGTCCGGCGATTCACAATGGTTTGGCGGTACGGATGATCCTTGTCGACCCTGACCCTTTGCGCGACCAAACCTGCTATGACGGCGTTGGGCTTTAGACTCTTGTATACTACTATTAGGTGCCATTGCAGTAGCATCCGGTATACGGGGAGGTGGCGGCGACGCAGCGATTGCGCAGCACATGAATTACATCACAGCACAGCAGTTTAACAATAGGCACCTTGCTTCATGCAATGCAGAACAAGAAACGATACGTGTGGTGCAACTGTCATTGAGCGCATCAACGTGTATGTGCGTGAATGCTCTTCATTGCGCTTCGAAACTGCCTTCCCAATGCCGTACTTGGCCCGAGCCCTTAGGCTCGCAGATGCGCCCCCAACGCCGTATCCATGAGTGTCTGTGTCTGTGTGTCTCTGTACCGAACCCAAATTATACACCAACTGGCCGGAATACTCCCTCGTCAAGCTCGTCAAATGCTCCACATTACATGCAAAGCCGTGGAAATGCAACCCTGAACCGTCTACTCGTCCTTGTCCACGGCGCAGACGTCGCCACCAAACAGCCCAAACGTCGCGTCGAGCCACCAGATTATCTTCCAGTAGAGACTAGCCCGACCCCAGTCAAACTCGCCCGTCTCGGAACGCGGCACCTCGTTGCCGATCATGGAGCCGCTGAACCATTTGAATAGCGGGACGGCGCCCGCGAGGCGCTGCATCACTGACTGCTGCGGCAGAAGAGCCTGCTCGGCAGGAAGTAGGCGCGCGCGTCTGGCAGTGGGAATGCGCTGGCAGAAAATGCTGTCCTGGTCCATCTGGACCGGCTCGACGGACGTGGACGCGGGCAGGTTCGGGTATGCGACGTTGTTCTCGGTGACGGTCGCTGAGGAGGTATACGAGGGGGACATGGTGGCCGTGTCCATCGTCTGGCTCGACGTGCGGGAGTCGGGGGGGGAGAGGTCGAGTAAGCGGCTCTTGAACATGGTGGGCATGCCGTTGCTGGCACCGCTCTTGCGACGCGGTGTTGCGATCGCCGGCATGCTTTGCGCCCGTCCATGTTCGAACTCCAACCCTTCGACATCCGGGCAAGCTTCATCCCGGGCCGGGGGAATGCCGCGGTAGGGTTCTGCGTAGATGAGGTGGCCCAGGACGCGTTGAGGGCTGGCGTATGTCGCCGCGGCGGCTGCCTCTGCGCTCTCGAACGTGACTTTGACCCAGTGCTCGCCACCATCTGCGCGGTTCACCATGGAGCGCTCCTCGGCAGAAAGCACCCTGCGGCGCGTGTATGCCGGATCACGCAGCTCCGACTTGTATCGACGCTGAGAAGGAGGCGGTTCGCGCGGGTAGTCTTCGAGAACGGTGCCGGCAAGCGCCTCGTAGTGTGCGACAGCGGCGTATTGCTGCGTGGCGGAGCGGTATCCACGGAGAATCATCTCAACTGGATGAGACTTGACGATGCGCTGAGGGCCTGAGGCGGAGGCGGACGAGGCATCTTCATCCTGGCCGGGCTGTGATTGCCCTGAGGCTTGCTGACCGCCACTGCTCTTGCGCTGGGTCGCAGACGAGGATGTGGCGGCTTGGTTGGAGACCCAGTCGCCGAACAACTTGTCGGCGGCTGCAAGGGTCGGGTTCTCACGGGGGCCGCCGCGCGCAGGCGTCCCTGTTCTGGAACGAGAGCGACGCGTGGACTTGCCGAAGGAGCCTGACTCTGGAGCGTTTCGTCTCGATCGCGTGGTGCCAGTATGGGCACCATCTTGCCTACAGAAGTATCCAAGTTAGCGCGCTGAGGATGGGAGGACGTTCTGGAACGCTTGGCAGGCAGAAGCGTACTGGTTAAAAATCATGGCATAAGGGCGCTTGATGCCATCATCGCCAATGTAGCACTCGTCGTCGGGGACGTTGTGCAGGATGAGGGGAGCCATGGTGCGCGGCGTCGCAGAAGGGAGTCGCTAGGGGCGATGTAGGGAGCGCTCGCGCTGTCTGCGGCGTTTGGAGGGATGGCGCGGCGACGCGACGCGACGCTGTGGCTGATTCGTGTTGATGGATGAAGTTGGCGATGAAGCTGGAGCTGAGCTGGGATAAATTTCCTGGCAGGGCAACGGCTGGAGGTGCGGGTGGGGATTTGGTTTCTCCGACAGGGCGGCTGCCCAGGATTGGCCAATGCGGCAGGCGCCCGAGATACACTGAGCAGCAAGCACCAAGGAGTCGCCTGCGCCCACTGAAAGGACCTGAATCGATGGAACCCGGCGACTTCATCTCGATATTCGCCTGTGCAATTGCTATTGTGTGATTGAACAATGGCACCGTCATGCAATCCAGCAGGAGGCACTCCGCGGCGTGAAACGTGCAGATAGGCGTGGCATTGCCTGCCTCTCAGTAGGTCATTCTCAAGGAATAATTCCATTCCCACTGCAAATCTATCCCAACCTGCCTGCTCGTTTGGAGACCCTTGCTTGGACAGGCTTCATGTGATCCGCGAACAAACAAGACGTGCAACCAGATTGCGTCCCAGCGCTCGATACTGGATTGTTCGCTACGAAGAAGACGGGACACCCACGTTAATAACCATGAAAACCTTGTGATGCCCGATTCGGTCCAGTTGGATACCGGCCCCGGCGCTCGTCGCAGAATCGAAGACGCAGTCATCAATATCGGCACCCATCGAGCGACCCTGCAACATCTCGAGTACCAGACGAACCTGCCTTGTGTGCTCGTCTTTAGAGGCGGAGAAGACGAGGATCACGTTATTGACCGACAGACAAAACGTCTGGTCGATGCCTGGCGTTGCGTCCAATGCTGCCTGGAGCTCAGCACTCGAGTGTCGCGTTCCGATACGTGTGTAGATGGCAGCGTCGCGGGCCTTTTCAAATGCCCCTGGCACGGCCGGGGACCAGACGGCGACGTTGGTCTCGCCTCCGGAGGCATGGCCGACCGTGCCCCCTTCACCGATCTGAAATTGTCCCGAGCCTGTGGTCATGTTCAGCTCATGACTGCGTACACGTGTTAGCTGGACCGTGGTTACGCAGACACAGGCGCTTCGTCATGCTTGCGCCGTGAACATACAGGTGCGTCAAAAGGGTGCAAATCGGGCTCGACTGTCAAGATGGCTGCGATGAATGAGAGAGAGGTTATTTGCCCGACACGAGCTGAAGTTGAAGTCAGAAGAAAAGCACGAGGGGCTGTCACGGGACCTGCAGCCTGCCAATAATTACTTGAAAAGGCACATCGAAACCTGGTTTCGCACGACTCAATCAAGTCCTTTCTTGCCTTTGAAGTAATCTTAGATGAGGGCACAGTCAGTCTGTCATGCCTCGACCTCAAACTCAACCCCCTTCGAACCTTCGACCCGTGCCTTTGGCCGTCCATCATTGTCTCGCGGATCAACCACATCGCCGCTGATAAAGCATGGCAACGAGACCTCCGTCTGCTCGTGCGCTTCTGCGTCGCCCCAGTTCCACCAATCCAGCTCCACGCCAGCAAAGCGTACGCGGAACCGGTCTCCAGGCACAGTGTCCGCTGGGAAGTCGGCGCCGCCAGGTTCGTGGGCGACGTATTCGTATGTCCACGATTCGCCTGGCCGAAGAGACACGAAATCCTCGTGCCGCGCGACGTGGACACGCACGTCGGGATCATCTACGATGAAATACCCAAGCGTCTCGTCACGATCGCAAGGAACCCAGGCGTCGCCGCTTCCTCCTTCTCCACCATGAGGCTCGTCGTGGCCGCGACGAAACAAGCGAAAGGCAGAATTGATGCGATGGGTATGGAAAGTAACGGGCTTGTTGCCCTCGAGCGTAATGCGCGCCACAATCTTGATCTTGTTGCTAAGAGACTTTTCGGCTGGGCCTTCGAGCGTGGTGCTGAAAACGGGAGCGCCTGGGTCTGAGTGCTGGGTGTGATCATCGTCTACCTCAGCAGCAGCGCGACGAGTATTGGACAGCTCGCTCCGCCACAGGTATTCCATGGTATTGGCTTCAGTAAAGCCGAACTTCGCTTCCGCCTCAGCCCGCCCGGGCCAAGGTTCCGCTTCTTCAGTGGCTGTAAAAGTGAAGCCCTCGCTGGCGGGAAGCGAAAGTCCCCGCGGTGACTTTGGGTCTTGGTACTCAAGGTAAGTGCCGTCTTTGTCGCTCATGGAGCCCCAGCCCCAGTATGTGATGTCTCCTCCCGGCCACTGCAGGCGATACTTCTCTCCAGGGACAAGGCGACGCTGGTAGTCATCAGGTAGGGTGCATCGAAAGGTGTGAGAGCCGGACGGTTGGAGTTCCAGGAGGTCGAACATGACCTGGTTGGTGGAAGTCACCTGTATTGGCTCCTCTTTGCTCGGAGAGGAAGATGTCAACGAAGGGACCTCAATGTCGACCGTCTGCAAGCCCGTGTCTGTCTCATGGAAGAGGGCGAAGCGGCCTTCAGAGAAGCCATCCCGAGACGCATTCCACTTGACTATGCAAGGCTCGTCGCGAGAGTCCGGCTGTCGGCGGAGTTTGACGACAACTTGAAAGGGCAATGTAGTTGACACCTCTGGAGGCGAAGTTGAGGACTCGACGTCGACGGTGATGCGAGGAACGTCCGAGTTGTTGGTGCCTGACTCCATTTTGCCTCACATTTGCGATTGTGAGTGCGTTGGGAGGCTTTGGTTGGGGGACCGAAGCAGCAGACCCTTTTTGTTGGTGGGACTCAGAGCGCTTGGGTCGCTTCAGCGTTGCCACTGAACTTGTTCTGTTGACAAGAATAGAATTGTCGATCGACTGCACCAAGCGTTAAGAGCGCATCATCTGAGGACGTCATCGGCACGTGGGGGCGGAACATCGCGATCGAACTCGACACTATGAGCTTAATAGCACGTCGGGCTACGCTGACAGTTCTCGCTTCGAGGCGCAGTCGCCGCTGCAATCCCATTTGGGGGCCGAACTACTGGCTCTTGCCCTGTCTACAATCAGGGCGTACCTGCCTCCTCTCAGGGTATATCGGCCGCTCCGTCAGCTGAAGGGGCGGCAGGAGCACGGCCAGAGAAGCCTTGTCGGGCGATCGCCATTTGACAGGCGCCGAGAAGCCGTCACCCCAGCCTGACTGACGCCACTCCGGCGGCTGAAACATCTATACTCGAACATATGTTGTGCATCCCGAACTTAGTATCCGCATCCTGGTACAGTAAGCCTGCGCCGCCAATAGGTCGCATCGATGATGTCGTTCGCAATCCCTGGCTCAACAGGAAACCTCCGGCTCGATTGGACGTCAGGAGTGACCTGCATATCATGTCCGAGGGTGGTCCTTTGTGGCGCCTCGGGGTGCCTCATGGCTACAGATGGATTGACGATCAGACCGAACGTGGACAGCCTCTAAGCAGCGGCCGAGCGCGGTCGGAGGTTCAGCTCAACATGCCATTAGATCTCTTACGATTCGTGCCAACTAGGGGTCTAGAGAGAAAGGTATAAAGTGTTGATGACCTCAAGACTCAATGTCCATTTCGATTTCGAGAGTAGAGCAGAACAAGTTGCCTACAGTTGTCCTTTCTGAGTGCCGCCGAGAATAGTCCTCTCAGCAACTTACAAGTCTTCCACGCCCTTTGATAAGCTCGCGCCGTGCAACAATTCGTCCTCAAGATGAAGTATTCGGTTTCGCTGATGCTGGCTCTGACCGGCCTCGGTGGTCTTGTTGAGTACGCCGACACACTTGCTCATCACTCCAGTCCTCCCATCCGTCGCTGACATCGTGCTCCAGTGCCGGCTCCCTCATCCCCCGAAAGTGGAAGTTTGACGGCAGCACCTGCGACGCAAACAAGCAAAAGGTCCTCAAGGCCGAGTTCAAGTCCGCTGCGCTGATGGCGTCTATCGCGTCTCTGATCCCCAAGGACGACTTGTACTACAAGACCTTCATCTCAGACCTCCACCAAAGCATGGGCGAGGGGTTCGCATCCAACATCAGGAATGGCTACGGACGCATGGCAAAGATGCTGCAAGAGGATGAGGAGGGTTACGAGATCAAGGTTACGTGCGATGACGGAACCGATGGCTGCAAGAAGAAGTGGTTTGCTCACATGAACGATGGCAAGCACACGATGAACTTTTGCAACCGCTTCTTTGACTCGAGCAAGGGCATCAAGTCGACCGAAGAGAGGATGGACAATTGCGACAAGATTGACCTGCGCGACGCGCAACGCAGCCGCTCGGCCATCATCGTTCACGAGGCATCGCACACCAACTACGCCATGCTGGACACGGACAGGTACATGCCTCCATCCCAACCTGGAGGTGCGAAGCACTTCCTATAAGTTCTTTACTAACGCCTCAATAGGTCAAAGGACTATGCGTACGGCTTCAACGGCTGCTATAAGCTTGCGAAGGGCGCCTTCAACCGCGACTGCGTCGAGTACAAGGGCGGCAAGGTCCTGTGCCCGGACCCCAAGGACAGCAGCAAGGAGAGCTGGTGCCCCGCCGAGCTTGAAATGAAGAACGCCGATACATGGTCCTTTATTGCTGCGGGCTTCTACTTCAGCAAGGCCTGCAAGAGGACGATTCCGCTGCCGCCCCTTCCCCAGCTTCCTGGGACCCCACCCAAGTCGTCTGCTCGCAGCACCCGCGATGAGAGGATTGCTCGTGCTCCTCTGGCTCCCAAGTGCAGACCCGACAACGATGCTCTCGTCATTGATGGATAGTTCTTGTAAAGTGCCCATGTTAGGAGCTGAATTTGCGTTGATCGGAAGTCTTGAGGTCATGGTTAGTGAGACACGAAGTTTGGGAGCTCTTCCAGGCGGACTAAAAACGAGGTTATCGCGCTGGAACGCTTTGCGCAGTCGACGAAAAACATATTCAATTAAAAGACACTTCTGACATCGGCTACTGAACCCCTAGACGGTTTGCTGTAAAGACAGATGTGATATGGCTGGTACAAAGACGCTTTGTTGAGTCTCCCTTTCATTCGAGGGGAGGCGGCTGAGCACACTCTTTGCGTACACAGCGGCTGTCATTGCTGCATGTCCTCTCCACTCTTCAGTGTTGTGCGAGTCCGAATAGCTGCATATGCCTCGGATGACGAGACAAGGGAGGATGTCCATCAATCCCGCGGCCCCGACTTCAAAACAAAGAGCATCGTGCCTATCCGCAAGCGTGTCTCGGATTTCGGCGTCGTGGAGCATCGTGTCTGCCGAAGCTATCAGGCCGTAGTGAATTGAAGGATTGTCATCGCTTGCAGTTCGTTCGTCTCGGGAGACCAAGGTCGATGCGTCGTTACCACAAGCGGTCGTGCAGCTTGAGCGATCGGTTGGGGGATGCACCTGGCCGGGCTCGTACAGACGATCAGTCGATGGATCGGGCCGCCTGTATTTCTCTTGTAATTGTGGCCGATCTTCGAGGACATTGTTGATTGCTCCCTGGATATTGTGTCCTTCTCTTTCGTATTCCACGCGGAGACCGCTCACAGCAGCACGCAGGATGGCGGGTGGTTTGTTCAGATGGCCCGTCCAACGGAATTCCTCTCCCTGGATGACCTTGCCGAAGTCGAACTGAAGAACACCACCCCTCCCATTCCCGGGAGTGCTCACCACGACATCTCCGAGCCGAATATCGTGTTGATCACTTGGCGCTCCGCTTCCCACGCCCACGGCCACACCGAACTTGATGTTGTGGAATTCGTGGAGCATGTTGTCGGCGACGGTGGCCGCATTGGCGGAAGAGAGCCCATCCTCATCCCTGGAGATGAAAGTGACGACAACGTTGCGGTTTCCGATTTCGCCCAAGGTGTAGTGAGTGGTGGTGTAGAAGGAGCCAGGCTTGGGCTGAGGGTGTGTTATATCCAGCACTGCCCGCGCTGCAATGTAGTCAACAGCGGTAGAGCAAATCCAACCAACCGTGTACTCGTCAGACGCAGTCATCGGGGAATTGGACCTATCTCAGATTTCAAGCAGACTGTGATGATTACAACCCTACATGTAATTTTTACAACCTACGAACAGGAATACTTATACTTGAGTGTTGAGAGTTGAGGCGTTCTAGTAACCACTCTGGTTCGACAGATTAAGCGCCCAGGAGTGCTCCGAAAGCCACGATCGGTGCTACAAGAAACGTGGGCCAATGGCTGTCAGCTTGGGTCGGGCCATCAACCAACATCCAAATTTCCCTCTTGATGGCGGTTTTGTGAGCCGCCGGAGCTATTGACGGCTCTCTCTTGGCGTTGCCGCCCTTCACGATGCGCAGTGCCGACTTTCCCGTCCACCACTTGGAATCGCCACGCCTATTTCTTCTCTTCCCATTAATGGGAATTTGCACCCGCTTCTCACCAGCAACGGATATGGTCCTGATATGACCGTAACAGATTTTGTTGGGCAGCCCGGTGCTGGGACTAACAACGCTGAAGCAGCTGACAGTAGAGACCCGAAATCTGGCAGTGCTTCAGCCGTGATCCAGAACAAACCACTGGTGCCGAACGATGACTTTCAGTATTGCCTCTACGCAGTCTTCAGAAACGCCATGATGGCATTCAGCGTCGCCCCGTGCTCATATCTCACCGCACAATCCAGGGCAGGCTGAACATGCGCCTCCCCCGGCGCCACCGTCAACACCACATCCTTCCCACCCACCAGCGCGCCCTTCACATGCGTATCCGCGTCCAAAACCACCGTCTCCGCGCCAAGAAGCTCCCTGCCGAACCTGACGCACGAGTCCAGGAGCGTCTCGCCCGTGCCTACCGTAACGAGCATCTTCTTCGCCACCGCCCCTGCCGCCTCGCTTTTACCCGGCGACGCTGATGCTGACGAGGATGTCGGAGGGAACGCAGCCCTCCACAGCTCGACCGCGCCGTCGCCTTCGCTGGGACACGCCCAGACCTCGCCGGCCGCGGGGCGGAATAAGCGGATGAACACGTTGGCCTGCTGCGCGGAGAGGTAGTCGTTGGCGCTGTTGGCTGCGAAGGAGGCATCGCTGGTTCGCATCGTCACCCACGGAGAGAGCAGTACCACGGCACGGAGCTGCTTCCCTTCCTCGCCGCCTAGCTCCGCCAAGGGCGGCGCGTAGGGTGACGGGCGCACCACGTGCGCGAGCAGGCTGGCGATGAGGTGGCCGCCCGCGCTATCCCCCGCGAGGACCAAGTCTCCTGGCTTGATGGTCCCGTCAACATCGCTGCCAGGCCCGCCGTCAGCACCGGCGCCGACGGCACCACGGTGAAGAAGGTGCTTGACCGCGGCGACCATTTGCACCAACTGCGCCGGGTACGCGTGCTCCGAGCTCAGCGAGTACTCGATGAAGACGACGCTCCTGGCGCCACACGCGGCCGCGCACCGAAGCGCAAGGGGGATGTGTCCCTGCGGGCGTATCGGGTTGAGATAACCTCCTCCATGGGCGTACAGCAGCGTCGGGCCCCGCGCAGGTGCGTTCGCGGGCGTAACGACGTGCAGAACCGGAGGCGGCACGTCGACGGTATCACCGCCGGGCGCTTTCTCAGGCAGCGGCACGGTGATGGCAGTGTAGGGGAGCCCGCGAGCGTGACAGTAGGCTTTGACGGCCTCGCCAGTGAGCTGCGCCCGGGACAGGGCAAAGAGCTGGCGCGGGTTGAGGGACCGCCGCAGGGACTGGAGGTTGGAGATGGCGAGCTTCTGGCGCCAGTTCAGGGACGAAGAGCCAGGGATGCAGCGAGACGTAAAGTTGGCGAGCCAGTGGCATACTGCAAGGTGGGAGCGTCAGTAAGCATATCCCCATGCATTGCCATCTGCGCGCGAGTCTCTTGGTTCAAGATCCTACCAAACACGGGCACGAGCCACGAAAGCGACAGCTTGTCAAGGAGGGTCATCCGCCCCGGTAAAGTCGGGGGTACTGATGAGGACATGATTCCGGGGGCTCGACGGCAACAATGTGTCGCATAAGAATTGCAAGTTGTGGTGTGTTGTGAGGGTTTGAGTTGGACTCGGCAATCGTGGGTGTTGCCGAGGCTCAGATCAAGCAGCGGGCGAATGCAACACCAACCCCGCGCACTACCGGCCGGTTCGCAAAAGTGTCTTATACTGCAGATACATGGGCCGCGACCCAATTCACCCTGGATTCCCGTCAAACAGTTTGCCAATTTGCCAAACCCCAAATCCCGAAACCTTGGGCCTTGCCCCTCGAGCCGTGATCCATGCCTGTCACTGCCAGCTATCCACATGCCCATGCCACATTCCACCCAAGTGACTCGACCCTCAGTCACCCAACCTGTATCCTGATCGTATGCCATCATAAACTCTAACCGCAGAGGAGCACCTCTGCGTGGGGTCTGGCCCCTCCAAAAGTGTACTTTTGGATGATTCGGTTGCCTCCGGGTTCCCTCGTCCACACTCCCCAAGGGCGCACCGCCCCATGCAGGTGAAGGATGGACTACCTCCTCAGGCCTGCCAAATGCTCCATGAGCCGCAACTTGCCCGCTCGCTTGCACATGGTCCTGAACACGGCGTCATCATCGCTTCGCTCATCGTATCTGTCCAGCAACTTCATCGGTGGTCCGTCCTCGGCTATGCCTCCTGAAGACGTCATGACAATGATTCGGTCGTAGTCGGCGACGGTTGTGAGGCGTTGCGAGATGGCGATGACGGTAGTGCCGGCGGCGATGCCGTCGCGGAGTGCGACCTGTACCCTCTGGTCGGTGGCACTGTCGAACATAGAGGTGGCCTCGTCCAGGACCAGAACGAGGGACTGGCGGAGCATGGCGCGGGCGATGCAGATGATCTGCTTTTGGGCTCGCGAAAGTCCCTCGGGGAGGTAGTCGTCGAGATCGAGGCCGGGCAGCAGTTGCGGCACGTGGAGGCTCTCTAGTAGCTCGTAAAGTCGGTCCTCGTCTTGAACCATGTCCGGATCGAGGTTCTCGCGTAGACTGCCACTGAATAAGGTGGGCTCCCGCGGCACGACTGTCACGAACTGGCGGAGGACGTCGAGCCTGAGAGATGCAATGTCGACACCATCGAGCTCAATTCGACCATGAGACGGCAATAGCACGCGAATGAGAGCCAGGCCAAGCGACGATTCTTTGCCACCGATGTCGCCCACAATGCCAAGGCGACGGTTCGCATCGACTTGCAGGTCAAAGTCGCGCATCGTCGGGGAGAGGGTAGAGTTGTGTTTTGTTGCGAAACTGCGAAATCGAATGTGTCCTCCGCGGGGCCAGCTGTAGCTCGGCGCAGGGCGCTCTCGAGTCGGATCCAAGCACTCCTGCTCCGTCTCCATGTACTCTTTGATGCGTTCGACCGAGTTTAAAGCTTGATGGCCCTGTGAGCAGACTTGCGCCAACACGACCAAACTTTCTGTGGACGTTAAGGCATATGCAAGTACGAGACCCGCGAGCCCGCTGCTAATGGCGTCCTTGTACCAGACAACGAGCGCAGTTGCCGAGAAGGACATGAAGGCGCCGAGAAACGCGACGCGGAGCGTGATCCATTCTCGACTTGCCGCCAGCAACACATTGGGCCGCGAGAGCTGATCTGCCAAGCGATGGCATTGCTCTGTGAACTCAGCCTGCCGGCCGTAAGCTCGGATCGTCACGTTTCCTCTCAACATCTCTCTGAGACGCTGTTCCAATGGCAGCTTCTTGACGGCCGCGACTCGTCTCAATTGTCGAGACACGTTGGTGTACATGGCACTCTATGCCACATATGCCAGACAAATGAACGCAGCCAGGGGCAAGAAGAAAGGAAATACTGCCGAAATGACTCCCAGGCTCATGACGAGGTTCGAAGAGAGGTGAAGGGCGCTGACGATTGAAGGTGCCAGGTCCCCATCCATTGTGTCCACGTCGCCGGTGAATCGCTTCGCTATATCTGCAGTAGGTGTTTCTTCAAAAAAACCAAATTTTGCATGGAAGATGCGGGAGATCAGACGCTCATGAATCGACCAAGATGCCGCCAGGACCCGACTATATGCTGCCATGTCGCTGAGCCGACACACGAGAATGTAAACAGCAACAATGGCGGCGTAGACCCCAACGTGGAATCCAGGTCGAGCAACAACCGGAACGTAGTCCGACGCGACCCATGCCGTCGCCCAGAGGTTCAACACCAACATGAGCGCCTGCTGAGTCGCGAATGCACAAATGGCAGCCAGCAGGCAATATAGCGGCCCCATCGCCCGGATGTAAAATACTAGGGCCGCCCAGCTGGGGGTGCCGGTCAACTTGTCCACTTCGTACGGGGTGACAGCTGCGTCTTTGGGCTTATCGGTCGGCACTCTCGAAAGGTTTTTGGACAGAAAAGTACTCTCGTACGGGATATCCGGCAGCGGCGCCACGCTGGCAAAGATCTCCGTCACGTCCGTGAGAAGGTTGCGGGACACGGCTCCTGCGGCGACAAGCTCTTGCGGTGTTCCCTGAGCCGAAACCTTTCCATGGTCAAGACGAACGGCAAAGTCGCAGAATGGCACGGCCATCCGAGCTTGGCAAGTTGCCATGATGCATGTCCGGTTATACATCAGAGGGCCTTTGATGGCCTTGAGCAAAACATGCTTAGCCGTGGAGTTGTCGAGCGTGGTGAGGAGGTCGTCGATGAGGATCACTTTCGCAGTGCTATAGAGAGCTCGGGCGAGTGCTAAGCGGTGTCTCTGGCTGACCGACAGCCAGCACCCGTTTTCGCCCGCGATGGTGAGATCGCCATTCTGCAGATGCGGCAGGTCATGCATCAAGGCGACAGCCTCAAGCACAGACTTGTAACGCCATGAATCAAACGAAAGCCCAAAGGTGATGTTGGCTCGAAGCGTGTCATTCTGAATCCACGGCGTCTGAGCGCAGTAGGCGACTGAGTCCGAGGGGCAAAACGGGTAACGAGCCGCAAGAGATCGTGTGCTTTCCTTGTCGACCGTGAGACAAACACGGCCAGCGACACGTTCCATCTCTCCCATGAGCGCCAGCAGCAGCGACGACTTTCCTGCTCCTCGGTGGCCCACGATTGCGTTGAACTTGCCGATGGCGAAAGAAATGTTCACGTCAGTGAGCCTGAATTCTGGGCGCGGTGACATCAACAGTGAGTCAGTCTCCTGAGGTAACTGAGTGCCTGAACCAGTCCATTTGAACGATGCCCCTTGAAACCCAATGGTGTCAAAACGCCGTGGCGACGGTGACTCGAGGACGTCGGGCTCCATGAGGTATTCCGTGATCCTGAGCATGGACGCCTTGGCTGATGGCACAAACCCAGCAATGTCTGAGAGGCGATCCAATGGTGCTCGCAGAGTGGCCAAAGCCGTCAGGGTTGAGAAAAAGCTTGCGGCTGTAAGTCTCTGCTTGGCCACAAAGCAATGCAGGAACAAAGTGACGGTCGTTGCGACAAGCGGCACCGAGTACCCAGCCGTCATAGAAAGGGACCACCAAAACATTCGCACTCGAAGGTTTGCGACCTCTGCCTCGCGCAGTGACGAAACACGACTCTGGAAAGACGCCTCCCACGCGTAGTACTTGATGATGCGAATTCCAGATACAAACTCTGCCATCGTAGTCGATCTTACCCCCCCAATGTGCGAATTCCGCTGCTCGGCTGCAGTCTGCTTCTCCAACAAATGGGGGTAAAATGGAATCATGATGAACGAGCAAGCCACGCCAGCGAGGCCACTGATGCCGACGATGTTGAACAACGCATAACTGGCGGCAAAGACTTGCACTGGGGCGCTGAGCCACAAGACGTGCACGTGGCAGCCTAGCGTGCTCACCACGTCTGCGTCCACCTTGACGAGGTCAAGGAAAGACTTGACGTAGGCGGAATCAGCTCTTTTCTGCTCACGGGTAGTTCCCCTGGTTTTGGGAAGTGGCCGTGGGGAGCTTCGTCGAAGTGACTTGGCCATGACTTCACTGAGTAGCACTCCCTTGAGCCGGGCCCCGAGCCTAGCACCTGCCCAGTCGCACTGGGTGGCAGCAAGCCCAGTAAGTAGCTTGGATATGAAGATGGCCAAGGCCAAAGCCCAGATGGTGCTGTTGTGGATGTGTTCTGGCTTGTCGAGATACGCGAGAATCGACCGTAGAAACCCAACGGGGGCAAAGAGCAGGATGCTCATGGAGACAGCCCAAAAGCCTTGGACAAGGATGTCGCGCTTGAGAAACAGGACAAGTCGCTTCACAAGACCAGCAGACGGGCTTGCTGTTTGAGTGAACGCGGCGGCCAATAGTGACATTCTCTGGTCAAGACCAAGGCGGTCGAGGTCGGGCTGCTCAGGTGAGGATCGACGGCCTTTGGCCACGTAGCTGGTCACCCATGAGAGGGTCAGGAGCGAGATGAGGCTCGAAGTATCCTCCGGAGCTGGCTCCAAAATTCCGTTTGTTGTCTCATCCGAGTTCTCTGTCAACTGCCTCGGTGCTGTCGCATGAAGGGCCACCAGGATGGTGAAGGTGGCGAGAAAGAGTAGTGCCAGAACGGCCCGAAGCCTAGCATCATCTTGCAGCAGAGAAGAGTGCGCCGATACCAGCGAGCACACCCACTGTATTGAATACAGGATAAAAGAGTGTGTCTGGAGGGCAGACCGGATGCGTACGGTGTTACTCCAAACGCGGCTGGCCAGAAGCGCAAGCATGTAGATGGCTGTGAGGATTTGGGCGAGGGGCAGCGTGAAGGTGTTTTCTCGAGACAGGGAGGGAAACAGAACGAAGAGAACGACGTGCGCCAGGGTACTCGCGAGTATGACAATTGCCTCGATGATAGACGCCGCTGGGGATAGGGTGGTAACTGTCTGGGGCAGCTCGTACGCGGCGTTGTTGACAGAACGCGAGCCGCCAACCGCGTCGTTAAGTACCGCTTCGCTCTGGCTTTCGTAGTCTGTCTGCGAGTTGCAGCGGCTGCTGGCCCGCGGAGAGTCTTCTCCCGTGAAGAGCCAGCTGATCAGGTACTCTTCCTCTTCCTCCTCGTCCGGCTCGTGTGTGGTGACGTTGCCATCGGTAGCGGGAAGTTGGATGTCGAGCCCGTAATTGTGGGTATCGTGTCGTGATTCCGGATAAGAGCGCCTCCAGATGACGGCGAGCCAGATGCTCAAGACCGTGAGCGAAACGGCAGCGGCTGCTGAAGGCACGAGGGAGCCCAGCACGTCACGGGAAACACAGGCGGAAACGCGTCCGTCGTGCCAAAAGCCTTCGTCTCCAGGACACAGAGGGAGCTCCATGTTGAAAACGGGCGGATGACGCGCCGTGCTCGCCGAAGCGGGCGCAACCTGGGAGATGGATGATGGATGACTTTGATGCGGATGGTTGATCGAGGGCAGGCTGAAGCTGTTGCGAATCGCTGTCAATCCAGAACATCACAGGGTGGCAAGGTGGTGGCTCCAGGATATCCCGGAAGTTGCCTGATGACTGGTCCATAATTCGGATAAGTACCTATTGATGCTGGTGCGAGTTCGGATGGAAGCAGCTGTCTCGCAGGTGGCGGCAGCTGGCGATGTTGCTGTGGTGGAGCGTGTTTAGCGTGGTGAAGGTGGGCAGAATGGGAGACGGAGCTGGTAGGGCGTCAGAGTAGACAAGTGGCCCTGCTGATGGGGCTTTGGCGGGCCTGATTGGGGTGCCTGGCCGTTCAGCGCTTGTGCCAGACGGCCAGCACTGTCCAGTGCACCGAACTGCGTTCACCAGGCGAGCACCGAGAGCCCGAACATGATCGGGCGGCTGAGCCCCGCATGAAATGACGGGGCTCCATAATCTTCCAATCAATTCTTCCATTGAATACCTAGTATCTCTAGAAATGCGACCATTGTGCCGTTCTGCGAGGTGTTGAAGTGCTTTGGGTGCCATGCTGCCGGGCAACACTCACGAAGCACGCGCCACAAAGAGGGAGTCTAAGCACTGCTCCGGGACGAGAAGTTCGCCACGAGCCAATGTAGCTACGATTTAATGTAGCTACGGATCTGCTCAGGAGCAAAATGGCTGTTACTTGAGACTGGTTCTCCGTGACTTGAGCAGTCGCGATGCGTGTATGTGTGTTGCCCGTCTGCTGGCTCGCTTGCGTTGCCCCGTCACCGCATGCTACTGCACACGAAAGAGTCAGGTCACGAGAGAAGGGAGCCATGGAGTCCTGAAGATGCGGTACCAACCCGAGTCGACCTGGCTACACCTATGAAGACGCGATGGCCTCATGCTGCGCCAACGACACATGTTTCACCCACCCATCTATCAGCGTCGAGTCTGATCTTGTCACAGTCCGCGCTGCACCTCCGAATTTGACTGAAAGACACAATTATGCTGAAAAAGCCAGCATTTATTCTAGGGGTCAAGTATGTCCATGCTATCGGCGCACTTGTGATGTCAAACAGCAATTCCGCGTTGCCTCTGATCTAGCACCCCGGCGTCGGCTCCGTCGAGCTGCCACACCAAGTCTTTCGGAGAGCGCGTCCCGGGCGTGGGCAGCTCAGTCGTCGCATCGATAGGAGGCGCTTCCCCCAAGCACCGGAACCCGAGTCTTCGCGGCACACCAGCGCTGCGCTCGTTGGCCTCGTCGTGGCGGATCTGCACCCGGTCGGCGCCCATGGCAAAGGCTGCGCGAGCCAGCATCGCGGCCGCCCTCGTCGCCAGCCCGCAGCCCGTCGCATCCGAGGCAATCCAGTAGCCGATCTCGAGCCCGCCAGGGCCGATGCGTCGCATGAGGCCGCACGAGCCGACGATGCGGCCCTCGGCGATGATGGCGAAGTCGTAATCCTCGCCCACGTCCCACGCGCGCCCGGCGCTGCGAGCCAGAAACCCATCGGCGTCGGCCTTGCTGTAGCCTTTTGCGGCCCAGGGCATCCATCGTGCGAGCTCCGCGAGAGAGCTGCTCGCAGCGGCGTACAGGCCGTCGGTGTCGGTCGTGCGCCAGCGCCGCAGTATGAGGTCGTCGTTGCGGTCCCCGAGTTGCTCGGGCGGAGGCCCTGGAGGCTCTAACCGCCCAGGATCTTTTTCGTCGCTCATTTTTCTTATCGAGTCTTGCTGGGTGCAGTCAATGCCATGTGGTCGCGCTTTTATGCGTCGAGGGAGAAGAGAGTCATCCTTGAGTTGACTCAACGGCGACAACACCGGAGCCCATGTCAGGTGTAACTGCGGCCATTTTGGTCGTGCTGAGTGACTCAAGCTATTCCCTGGGCTGACAGCATTTCCGATTCTGCGCACGCAGCGGCAACGGGCGACCGCAACGCCTCACAATCATCGATGCATTCGGGACGAGGACCGAGCGATATCGCAAATTCTCACTTGGTAACAAGCTTGAGCCATTGAATTGAGTCGTACATTCAGGCAGCTCGTGCAGATTGTGGCCAAAGACATGCAGTGAGCGAACGCTGGTGGGCTTCTGAGGTGGCGCCGGCCATAGTTGAGGTAGCGTCAATAATACATCGGCGCCGCACCATGACGTTCAAGGGGGCGCTGACAATTGTTCGGCTACTTCACTTGTACACTTTTTTGCAGTCGCCTTCGTCCCTGTTTGGAAGCGATTTGCTTCTGGAGCCGCAGTGACGAAGAAGTGAGATCTCTCATCGCTCAAGCTCATTCCACGTCCATGTTCCGCACCGCGGAATCTGGACTCAAGCCGGATCAACAATGCGTGGCTCATTTCCACACTCGCAGAGAGGCTTTCACCCTCAGGGATCATGAGGCGCTAGTCTCGGCAAGGGGATAGGAAACCTGTCGGAGACGGGTGACGGCCATTCAAGAGTGCCGCACCGCGAGCGGAATCCGACACGGTCATGAACTGCACCGAGTCAAAACAAAAATAACCCCGGGGCCTGCAAAACCACGTGGTGGATGATCAGTTTGTCAGGTCACGAACCATATTTTGATGCTTAAACTCGGCTTGCTGACGCCCGACCGCAGCCATTCCGCCAATATAGGACCCTTGGGACTCAGCGTCAAGTGGAACACTGAGCACAGCTTACCGAGAAAAGAAGTTCAAGTCGGTCCTTGGCATTCATTTCGACGCGACAGAGAGTGTCCGTTGGCGTGTTGCAGCCTGTCAGTGGACGTGCGGATGCCGTACCGAGAGAACTTGGAGGACAGCCGACTTTGAGCATCCTCGCCAATGGCCGGTCAGCCGGCCGGGCATCACGCCGTCTGACAGGCGGAGGGCGAGCCCCGGCCCGCCGACGAAGCTTTCCGGATCAGCGCCCAATCTTAATACAACACCCCGGACAGGTTCGTCAGGGCCAGCCCGGCTGGCGGTCGGCTCCCGGAGAGATCAGAAAAGGCGGACGTATTGTCAAGACTGCATTGTACGCGGTGCATACTGATTTGGGTGAGGGTTGCACCCGGATGCTATTCCTGGGCTGCTTATGTGCCCGTCGTCGATCTTGTGGCTATTTACAGGGGCGGAAAGCCTGGTAGCGTCGGCTGTCCCCTGCGGCTGAGGAGCTGCCCCTGGCCGACTGCTGCGGCATCCTGCCGACGGCGAGTAAGCATGCGTGGACGGGGGCCGTGCCGTCCGCTTTGGGCAACCAGCTTGTCGACGATGCTCCGGCTTTGGCTGCGGCTTGTGCGTGAGCGGCTCTTGGCGTAAGGCTCATCAGGGGATGCGCCAGACACAGGACATCAGCATGCGGATTTGAGATCAGGGGAAGTTTACCGATCCTAGCCCAGAACGAGCCTCACTTTAAACATCAACGATCTGCGCATATATAAGTGGCATCCCGGCCATGATCTTCATCCCATCAGCCAGACACCAACCAGCTTCACTCCTTAGCTTCATTTCCTTATCAGTCCAACAGTCACTCCGACGAGACTCACGATGAAGGTCTTTGCTCTCGCAGCCTCTGCCATCGGCCTGGCCTCTGTCGCCAGCGCCTTCCCCATCACGGGCAGCACCGTCAACTGCCGCGCCGGCCCCGACACCAGCTCGGCCGTCAAGAAGACGTACACCAAGGGCACCGACGTCAAGATCGTGTGCCAGACCGAGGGCCCGACCATCGAGGGCAACTCCATCTGGGACAAGACCAGCGACGGCTGCTACGTCGCCGACTTCTACGTCAAGACGGGCAAGAACGGCTACGTCACCGACAAGTGCCCCGGCACCAAGCCGCCCGGCGGCGGCGACGGCGGCGGCGGCAGCATCCCCGGCCCCGTCAAGAACGACTACCCGTACAACGGCCGCTGCTCCGGCATCGACCCCTGGAAGTACTACAAATGCCAGTGCACCAGCTTCGTCGCCTGGCGCATCAACAAGCGCCTCGGCATCAAGTTCCACAACTACTTCAAGGGCCCTAACTGGGGTGACGCCAAGACCTGGGACGAGGCCGCCCGCAAGACCGGCTACAAGGTCGACAACAACCCCAAGCCCGGCAGCATCGCCCAGCACAGCCGCAACAAGTGGGGGCACGTCGCCTGGGTCACCAAGGTGAACGGCAACCAGGTCACCATCGAGGAGTACAACCACGTCCGCCCCGATACCTACAGCGTCCGCACCGTCAACAAGTCCGAGTTTGTCTACATCCACCTCAAGGCGGGCCACTAATCGGCATCCCCCATAATATCTCTGTACATGGCCAACATCGATTCATTTCTGTCCGTCATGTGTCAGTTGCTGAGGTGTCGCACTGGTACATAAAATAGAGACGTTCAACGTCAGCACGGAACGTATATATAGTTTTGCATGGCGAGCCTGTAAATATAGCAAAAGGAGCATAGGGTTTAACACTTCAAGTTGGCAAATCGTGCATATGGACCGTGACTTGCCGCCGGGGGCCATGCTCAACTTGACGTCGAGACTCCGGCCACGTCCTGCACCAAACAAGACCAGTCCATGTCATGTGGTGGGGGCAGACTGCGGAAGGCCCAGTTCCGACCTTACGGATGTTTCTATGGCAATTCATCACTTATTAATCGTGGCAACCTTGGTTCATCTGTCCTGTTGCACAATACGGGGGCGGGTCGTGACTCGTGAAGCCAGCACTGCCACCAGACCCGAATCTGAACAAATCACGCCACATGCACATTGCCGGACTAGAGTGGAGCTGTCGATCTCGAACTGCCGCGGGGCGGGCCACCTCTTGAGGGACTTGGGATCAAGGCATGCCCTGCAGGGATAGCCGACGTTTCCTCGCATTAGAGGCCTCCGTTATCAGATTGCAGGACTCGTTGCCTCCTGGCCCGGGCGCCCCGTGATTGATCGTCGCAAGCAACTGTGAGGCCGGAATACACGCACGGACGGCACGGCGTAGCCACGACTCAGGACGCGGAGCTTGGCAGCACATCGAATCCATGCATGCAATACGCCCTGACAGACGGAATGCCAGCACGTGGCCTGACAACGTCACTGTAACGTCGTGTTAAGAATCCCAAGGCGGCCTTGAGGGTCCGTGTTACATGCGCGAGGAGCCAGGCACATGCATTAGAATAGAGTTTGGACCATTCCGATCCGGGAGATCGCCTAGTTTGCGAAACAAGACGCCATCCAACAGCGCCACAAAGGGAGACGAGGCGCGTCTGTCTGACTTAGTCGCCCAAATTCCACCTTAGACGCCTCTAGGCGTGATGCCAAAGCCTGCTGTAATTCTTACAAAACGCCTGGCATCAGCTTGTGTGCGTGCTGTCTTGCGTGGGTTGTCAGTCTAACTTCACGTTGACGGCTTACATGCGACTCATTATCAGACGACATGGAAGCGCAGGCCCAGCGCCATTTGAAAAAGGAAAGAAGAAAAAAAATCGGATGTCGAATACATTGCTAGGAGCCTGAAAGCCCTGGTCTGGCGGCAGTCACTTGCGCATTGACTGTCAGGGACCAGATTTAAAGGAACTCCCAATGCCGAGTGAGTGAGTGGCCCAAGTCCCGGGGACGCCGCCTGGTCGCCCGTCTTGGCTTCTGGCCCGGCAGATGATGACACAGGGAGGATGCATACACGCTCCATGAATGTGCGTGCTGGGTCATGATCTGATACATCGCCATTAGTAAATACGGGAGGAACAATGCTATTTACGAGATCGATGAACTCGAGCATTTGACTGCTTGTCAGATAGATCGATTCAGGTACGTACGACGCTGCGGTTCCCCAGAATGTAACGGTTTGGGTCCGACGTGCTGGGTCGTCTCGGCGCCTCGCGTGGGCTAAGGGGCGCTAGGCTTGGAGTTCGGACTTGCCCACCTTTCTCAGCATTACAAAGTTCAAGATGCGGGCCTCGAGACTGGAGGAACCATGGCTCAGCCACGGTCGGGACGGGACACCACGCCCATGCCCATGCTTCGCCGGGATTCCATGTTCCTACTTGTAGAATTACTGGCACGCACATTGATGAGAGATTGCGTACGTATGTGGCTTGGACTGACGCGGAGATTCCCGCTTGGTTCCTGATACATCTTCATGAGAGGCCCAAATAAGAAGCATAAGTACAGACCTCGCGCCCGATTGATGTCCGACTCGACGATTGACACGATTAGCGAGCTTGTTCTTCTTATTGTAAAGACATTCATTCCTCAATTCACAATGCTCTACTCGCTTGCAGCGGCGCTACTTCTGGGGCGGGCTCTTGCCGTCGACCGTCTTCTGGGCTTCAACGCAAAGCCCCTAGTTGAGAATCGCGCCATCGACGAAATCTACAAGGCTGCTCTGGCCGAAGGTGGCGTCGTGACTCTGTGGCATGGCGGCGACGAGACCAACCAGAGGGACAGCCTCAAGGAAGCCTTTGAGAAGCAGTTCCCTGGCATGACGCTCGATCTCACGGTCGACCTGTCGAAGTACCTCGACGGCAAGATTGACGAGCAGGTCGCCGGTGGCAACGTCACTGTCGACAGCGTCATGTTGCAAACGACACACGACTTTACACGATGGGCACAACACGGCGTGCTTCTCAACTACGCGCCCAACAACTTTGACAAGATCCGGCCCGCCTTTAAGGATTCGACGTCGGCATCGTACTACGGTACCGAGATTCTCTGGCTGTCCAACGTCTGGAACACCAAGAAGCTGCCAGACGCCACCTTTGACACCTTCCAAGAGTTCCTCAAGCCCGAGTACAAGGACAAGATCGTGCTTGCGTACCCCAACGACGATGATGCAATCCTGTACGCATTTGACCTCATGTAAGTGAAGCCGTTGACACCGTGCACGTGTGGAGCGGCCCTGGGCGATACTGACTAGTACGCAGCATGCAGCAGCACGGCATCGCCTGGTTCGACAAGCTCCTAGCCCAGAACCCGCGATGGGTGCGCGGGACGCAGACGCCAGCGACGCTCCTCCTCAACGATACGGAGGATGTGGCCGTGACCTTTACGACGATTGTAGGCTTCGACCCTATCGAGAACGCAAACCAGACGTTCCCGACCGACGGACAGTTCGTCAGCTGGGCGCAGACGGGCGGCATCCTGGCCGACGCGCCGCACCCAGAAGGCGCAAAGCTGCTGCACAATTGGATCCTGAGCGACGACTACCAGAAGAGCTTGGGGTGGAGCGTCCGCGGCGACATCCCGCGACCTGAGGGTGTGCCAGACATGATGAGCCTGCCGACGACCAACACGCCCGACTTTCCCCGCTGGATGCAGGACCGCGGCAAGGTCGAGCGCCTGAGGTTCTGGTTCGAGAACAAGCTGGGAACTGCCCAGGGACTGAGCCCACTCAAGGACAACATGTAGAGCCCCTGCAGGAGCGAAACTCAACGAAATTAGACCTATTGAAGCATATAGATTGTACACTTCTATTGTACATATAGACAGCATGAACAAACCTTTAGACTCGGCGAATCGTTATATTACCCACATTGTATCGGCGTGAATGTTCCTTGGAAACTCCCATCACGTTGAAAATTACACTGTGTTGCACCAAATACCTTGAATGTGGATATGCATTGTTGGCACAAGGCAGTCGAGGGCGCGATCGATGAATGAAAGGGCCGGTAGTTTCTTAGACACAACCAACCCGTACGAAATACCGGTCGCTGCTGAAGTATGCTTTGGGATATAATGGCCACACGACTCTGTCGTGAGAAAAGGGTTCACTGAACACAATGTTACGGGCTACTGACGGGAGGTCTCTCCGTAAAATCTCGTTAAATCAAGTCCAATATCGAATCAGGCAGCACGTGTTAAAATCCTCCGTTTGGGTGGATAATGACCTTAGTATAGCCATCCACGCGCCTATCAAACTTGTCATAGGCTGACTCGGCGTCTTCGAGGCCAATTTCATGAGACACAACAAAGCTGGGCTTGGCTTTGCCTGAGATGATGAGGTCGCGCAAGTAGCGGTTGTACTTTTTGACATTGCACTGGCCAGTGGCGAGAGAGAGGCCCTGAGGCAGTTAGCCCAAGCGGAATCGGGCTCGTACATGTAAGGAGGGCACGTACCTTCTCAAAGAGCTTTCCGAAACTAAGACTGATCATGCCCTTGGCAGAGGCGTCGTCGGGTGCGCCAGGATCGCTACAAATGTGCTGTCAGCATAAATGAGCTAGAGTGCCATGCGTAGGCGTACCTAGGCACATAGAGTCCGGGAATGCCGAGCCCTCCGCAAGCCCTAGTCACGCGGATCATGTTTTCGAGGACTATATTAGGCTGCTCCGAAGAGCCGCCCTTGTCTACAGCCTGGTATCCGACGGCGTCGACCGAACGGTCCACCATGCCGCCGTTCTTCTCGATGATCTGGTCAACCGCGTCGCCTTTGGTGAAGTCGATGGGAATGCATCCGATCTTCTCTGCGGCCTGGAGCCGCTCGGGTACACGATCAATGACAAAGACGCGTGATGCGCCGCGCAAGACCGCCGAGTAGGCGGCCATGAGACCGACAGGACCGGCACCAAAGACTGCGATAGACTCGCCGGGGCGGAAGCCGGACAGCTCGACGCCGTGCCAGCCTAGACGGGCGTTAGCGGGAAAAGCGAGTTGGAGACAGAGCAACAGAAAGTGCTTACCTGTTGGAAAGATGTCTGCAATACTATTAGCCTCGTTCAATGATACCCAGTGCTATCAAATACTTAGGGGCTACATGTACCCACCGGCGAGAAGAATGAAATCTGCCTCATGCTCCTTTCCAGCGGGCAGCTTCAGCGCATTAAAATCGGCGTACGGTACGCGAATATACTGAGCTTGACCTGTACGGCAGTGGTCAGGCTGCGTATTCTCACCTCAAATTGTTGACCATGGAGCGGGCCTCACCTCCGCGGTACGGGCCCATCGCGACGTATCCGTAGGCGCCACCCGCGAAACCGGGATTCACGCCCGTGCAAAAGGCAGTCCTGCCCTCCTCACAGTTGCGGCATCGCCCGTCGGCAACGTTGAAAGGCATCACGACACGGTCTCCTTTCTGAAGAAGGGTGACGCCCGTGCCAAGCTCCTCCACGACGCCCATGTTCTCATGGCCTGCAATCATCAGCGTCCGCCTTCATCGAAGTTTGCGAGTGAGCAATTTGATGTGTAACGTACCAAAGGTGATGCCCGGTTCGGCAGCGGTCCTGCCCTCGTACATACTGTGTTCTGGTGAGTACGGTGCAGCGGGAACAGCGCAGCACAACGTCCCCAGCTCTGCACTCACTGCAGGTCCGAGCCGCAGATGGCTGCCTACACGACGTCAGACTTCCTGCAAGTGTACAGACAGGGACGAGAATGCAACTCACGGTGGTGACCCTGACGATGATGTCATCTGGATGCTCGAGCTGCGGCTTGTCCACCTCCTCGACCTTGACCTGGAACGGGCCCTTGTAGTTCAAAGCCTTCATAGTTGAAGACGCCATGATGAATTGTGAGATTTGCTTGTTAGGAATGTGGGAGTACGTGTTGCAACGTGCAAGTGCGGAGAAGCAAAGACTCCATGACCGCCTGTGCGGCAGGCCGACTTATACTTCGCCCAACTGGCGTGGGCGATCGGGTGTAGCTCGGGGAATGCTAATGCGGGGGTTGCCATCGCCAAGCAGAGGCTACGACTCTGGAGGGTCGGGAAACGACGAGCGAGGTCGCGGGGAAGCAGGCTATACCCGGGTATTTGAGAGTATTGATGCGGAGGTTGTGGTGTGATGGCACGGCAGTTGCGTCGAGGTTGGAATTGCCTGCACGTGGAGAGAGGATCAGATCCCTGCACTTCTGGAAGACTGCCCAGTTCCTGGCAGTGGTGGGTATCAGTAACCTGGCAACAGTTGCATCCTACCTACCTTACCCTAACCCTGCATGTTGAGTATGGCAGTGGCGATGGGTTGGGTCATTGAGCTTGCCTGCTCTTGATTGACATCAGTATGCAACACATGGGTTCCGATGCATCGATTTGTTCCCTGCCCAATTCATCACGACGTCCTCCTCAGCGACGACCCGCCCGGACGTTTGTAATCGTCACGACGGGGTTTCATCCATGCCGCATCCACCACCCCGCAAAGGGCAGGGCCCGAACGAACCTGGTCACAAGCACCAATAATTAACCTTGAAGAGACGCCAGCCCCGGAGCCGAGCTGGACCCATCGAGCCCGGGGCGCACGCGGGATGTGGCGCTAAATGTAAGAACTAGCGATGTCCATTGCCAGCCCCCAGACGGGCGCAGGAGCGCAACAGAGACCCGATCGTCCCCCAAAAGCGTCGTGCTAGGGGGTCGTATTACTCGCTAGCACACCAGAAACAATGGATTCCTTCAGAGACTGTGCTGACAGGCACAAGGGGCCATTAGCTAATGGAGAGACGCGGCTTGCGGTCGCGCATGATCTGCATGTCTGTCTGCCTCAGCCGAGGCGGCGTTCTTTGTTTCTTTGTTTCCTCATCATCACCTTTCGTCACGCCCAAAGACGTCCCTGCGGCCGTGTCTCGAATGCCGCTCAGCGTCTGTGTAGCGGAACAGAGACAGCGTGGGGCATGGGATTCGGAATCCACTCGTACGGCTGAGGTCTCCATGTCGCCAAGGTCCTTGGCCGAGGTGTCAAGATGACCGCAATCGGGGAGCGACCGGTCAGCGTGACCTGGGCGCTTTGGTGAGATTCTTTCTTCCCTGATGAGGCCCAGCACAGTGGCCGAGACACATGCCTCGCTGACTCGGCTCATGTACAGCGGGTTGGTGCTGTCTTGTTATATATTGTCTAATAAGTATTATACCAGCATAGCGTTCGGTACGTGGTCTCTTTGCGACAGACTTGCTGAATGACGGGCTCGCTAACGGACGAAACTGCTGTACAGAACGGCCGTTGCATTTCAGCGTCATTACGCTTCTCATCGTTGGATTGGGCGTCAAGCGATTCAGGCCAGGAGCGAAGCCGTTCGAGAAGACTCTCGTACCGGCCCTGAACCGCTACTACCAGCCGCGGTCGTCTCGTAGGCGGGCGCTGTCCTTTATTCGGAGTCGCATACAGGATATTCGGGTATTGTCGAAATCATTGCAACTACTTCTTGCATGCATAGTCTTGCGCACGGCATTCTTTTGGTACAGCATCCGCACGACGCAATGCGCATGTCCTGGTATCGAGGTGCGCAACTATCTTCAGCCAACAGCGTCGTGTGACGGACTTCTAACCAAATTGTCACAGGCCTTCTTGCCCATATTCGCACACATGTGCGTGACCATGCTCCAGTATGACAAGTCGGCGGAGCTTGAAGCGAGACAAACCACGCAGAATGGCCTCTCTTTACCACCGATCCTGGCCTATGTCCTGTCGTCTTTCAGCTCGCTCGTGTGGGCTCTGGCTTCGATATTCGCCCTGTCAAATGCGCGCGTATCGACGGGCACGGTCTGTTCGAGCGAACTGGCGACATTTTACGCCCAACTCTGCATGTGCGCCCTCGACGCCGTCATTCTCACACTCATCGCCCGCATGCGCAGCCGCGAAACCGAAAGCGATAGCGATGCCACCGATAACTTAGCCACAGCCTTCATATTCGCGGGGATCTGCGGGATAGTCTTGGCTGTGCCGTCGTGGCTTAGCGACTCGGGCTTCTTCTTGGCCTTTAGGATTGGGCTTGGCGACCTTGTCCGTCTGCTGGTTGACTCGACGGTCGCTGCGCTCGGGGTTCTTTGTGGAATCTCGATGCTGCGAGACTTCAGCCCTACGACCGTGGCGCTGTTGGTCTCCGAGGTAGGCTTGTTTGGCTTCCTCGTCCCGCGCTTCCGCTTCGCCACGCCGCTGTCACACGATGCCGAAATCCAGGTTGGCCAAGGTGCCCTTCTGGCTGCTGTCTTCGCCGCCGTCCTCTGGCGAATCGCTGTGCCCGCCTCGCATTCTCCCCACTCGCACGCAGCCGGCACGGGGCTCAAATGGCTCTTCAACTGCCATGTTGGCGCGGTCGTCTTAACCGTCCTCTGCGCCACGCTTACCCCGAGCAGGCCAACTGGCCAGCCGCTGTTCGAAGCCGTGGAGCAGCTCGTTGCATCTGCAAAGACGGCCAAAGAGGCATGGCTACTACAGGCCGGAGCCAGCAAGTCTCTCGGCTCCGCGGTGGCAGAGTACAAACGCCGGTATAACATGGTGCCGCCGCCCAACTTTGACAAGTGGTACGAGTTTGCCACCCGGGCCGGATCGCCCGTCATGGACGACTTTGACCAGATATACAACGACGTCCTGCCGTTTTGGGGCGTCGAGCCAGCCGTGTTGCGCGGGAGGACGGCGCACTTGCTCGAGCACCCGACGCTGGAAATGGGCGGCATGAGGATCCAGGGGGGCAAGGTGTATCAGTCACCGCACATCCCGGGGACGCACCGATGGATGGCCGAGGCGCTGGAGAGGATGATTGAGCCGTTTGCAAAGTGGCTGCCGGACATGGTGCTGGCCATAAATCTGGCTGACGAGTGTCGCGTTGCGGTACCGTTCGAGGAGATGCAATACCTCAAGGCTCGGGCCAAGGCCACGACGTCTCGCCTATCGCAAGCATCCACGGAAAAGTCCCTGGTTCCCGATACGCTGCTAGAGAAGTCAGCTGTCCGAAAATGGGCTTCCGACTTTCCCGAGCCGACGACGCGCCGAACTCGTCCTGGCTCATTGACTTCCCCCTACTTTACCAACAACATCCGCAAGCAAATATTCTACGACTGGCTCGCTGCGACTTGTCCGCCGACGTCACCGGCTCGCAACACACACTGGTGGGACTGGAGCACGCTCTGCACGTCCTGTCTCGCGCCTCACTCCCTCCCCGTCACAATCGCCGAACCCCCCGGCTCTGCCTCTAGGTCCGGCCTCATCTTATCCAACGCAACCCTCGCCCGCGATCCATGCCACCAGCCCGACCTCGCATACCTCGACGGCTTCACTCTGTCCCCCGCCGCCATGGTCAGTACGCGCACGCTCTTTCCCGTCTTCAGCCAGGCGCGCGTGGGCGGCTTCGCAGACCTGCTGATTCCCTCACCTTGGGACTTTGCCGACAAGAGCCCGTACAAGCCAGACGAGGATAGGGAGTGGGAGGCTAAAGAGAATGGGCTATACTGGCGCGGGACGGGGAGCGATGGGTTTGCGGCGCATGGGGCTTGGGCCGGGTTTTTGCGCGCCAGACTCGTGCACGAGGCGTACGAGCAGCAACATCGACTAGAGCTCTCGCCGTCGAGCGACCTGCGTGTGAACGTCTCCTTTGTGGGAGATATCTCTAAATGCGACGCGGGAGACTGCGCAACGCAGCTTGCTACGTTCTCACGCTGGGGCACCGCAGTCTCTTCCAACACCTCATCACTCCAAGGGGCGCCGACACCCGACGACATCCCCACGAAGTTGCCTTCCGCCTTGCCGTTCGAGGAGAACTGGCGCTTCCGCCACCTCATGGACATGGACGGCGCGGGCTTTAGCGGGCGTTTCCGATCATTTCTGCAAAGCTGCAGCTTGCCATACCGCGCCGCCCTGTTCCACGCGTGGTACGACGAGCGAGTCTTTTCGTGGGTCGATTACGTCCCGGTAGACGTGCGGCTAGGCGACGGGTTCTGGGGCGTGCTCAAGTATCTGGCAGGCGTTCTTGATCAGGACAACGAGATCGGAGACAAAGCGGGAGCCGGTCAGGGGCCGCGAACGGCACGAAAGATTGCCGAACAGGGGCGGGACTGGGCGTCCAAGGCTCTCCGCAAGGAGGACATGCAGGTGTACCTCTTCCGGCTGTTGCTGGAATGGGGCCGAGTCGTGAGCGACGACCGGGAGACGATGATGTATGATGACGCCGAGACGACACGGCCGTGAATGACACTGTCTAGCGAGAATGTGCTCTTTGTGCAACCCATATATGGGTCGCTTGAAGTGATGTGAAGAGTTACGACTCAAGCCCAAGTCACCTGGCATACACTCTGTGCTAGCTGAATACGACCCTGAGCCAACGACATCACGACGGCATGACCGTGGTGCTGTTGAAACAGTCCACCTGGCTTGTCCGTACGTGCGTCTATATTTTGACGCATCACCAAACCTAGAGAAGGCCATCGACAAACACTCGTGCACTGACCCAACTAGCCTAGTGCCTACACCGCGACTAAGCGGCCGTTGTCGGAGCCCACCCTGATCATATTCATATAAGTGGAAATCTCAACCCCCTTCACCTGACCTGAACGAGCAGTAAGACAGACAAACAGACAGCGACATCGTCAACTCGCAACACACAAAACACACACCCACGAGGTTCCCTATCACCACACCGGTTTCATCGCAGTCTCGGCGTATCGCGCGTCAGCCGCCGTCCACCAGGATCATCACCATGGGTTCGCTCACCGGCAACCACCCCGCCTACGTGGTCAGCACCCGCACCGGCATCGTCGAGAACCGACACGAGATCCACGCCATCGTCACTGACGCCGGCGGCCGATGCCTCCGCGCGCTCGGCCGCGACCCGCGACGCCTCACGCTCGTGCGCTCCGCCGCGAAGCCCTTCCAGGCGCTCGCCGTCGCGGAGACGGGCGCGCTGGAGCGCTTCGCCTTCGGCGACGCGGACCTGGCGCTCGTGTGCGCGTCGCACAGCGGCGAGGAGCGGCACGTCGCGCGCGCACAGTCCATGCTGGCGCGCGGCGGGGGGCACGTCGAGGCGGACCTGCGCTGCGGTGGGCACGCGGCCATACTGAGGGCGCGGGACGAGGAGTGGATGCGCAAGGGCATCGTGCCGACGCCCGTGTGGAGTAACTGCTCGGGCAAGCATGCGGGTGTGCTGGCGGCGGCGAGGGCCATCGGTGCGGGTGCGGAGGGGTATCACGAGCTGGCGCATCCGATGCAGCAGCGCGTCAAGAAGATCGCCGAGGAGCTGTCCGGGCTGGAGCCGGAGGAGATCAAGTGGGCCGTCGACGGGTGCAACATGGCTTCGCCGGCGATGCCCCTGAGTAACCTCGCACACATCTACGCGCAGTTTGCGCAAGCCGTTGACGACGACGTTGCCTCCTCCTCCTCCTCCTCCTCCTCCTCGTCAACATCATCCACCACATCACCAGAAAGCAAGAAAGCAGCACCCTCGCCGCGGAGGCGCCACATGGCACGCATCTTCAGCGCCATGAACACATACCCAGAAATGGTCGCCGGCGAGGACCGCTTCTGCACGGCGCTCATGCGCAGCTTCCCGGGGCGGCTCATCGGCAAGGTCGGCGCCGAGGGGTGCTACGCCATCGGCGTGCGGGAAGGTGAGGACACGCGGCGACTGGGCGCCGAGGGAGCACTGGGCATCGCCATCAAGGTCGAGGACGGGAACATGGACGTCGTGTACGCGGCCACCGCCGAGATCCTGCGCCAGCTCTGCATAGGGACCGAGGAAGAGAGAGAAGCGCTCGAGGTGTTTCGGCAGAAGCCGCTTGTCAACACGGCGGGACTGGTCACGGGCGGCTACGAGTGTCCGTTTGACATTATGCTCGAGTGATCCAGCCCAAGCGTCAACATGGACATGGCATCGTGCGATTCGAGGGCCGCCGCATCGACTGGGACTCGGAGGATGCCTTGCATGTTTCGTGGATGGCGGGGGAAAGGAAAAGCGACTCACGTACTGGCCTAGGAATCACAAGACGTCGCGGTCATGTCAGCCCGTCAAGACGTCGTAGCAAGACACGGCAGGCCAGGCAGTCAAATGCATCGTCTTCCAATTTCCCTGTCCCAGCCTATCCCATAAACGTAACGCATAATTACTCATGACTATAAGCATAGCATATCCGCTTCCTTTCCAACAATGCTCCTCTACATCACGAACAACAGGTTCGTGTCTGTCAAGTCAGCCAGGGTCCAACATGACACAGGAGGGAGGGACGGCATACCCAAGGGATGGCTGCACGACAGCTGCGGCTTCTGCGTGTACTTTGTCGCCAACACGTCGCGGATGCTGTTGAGGAGCTCCACGTAGCTCTGCTTGGGGTTCTGCTTGAGCGCCGTGATGAAGGCCCAGGACATGGCGCCCGTGGCCTGCGAGGCAATGGTGGCATCGGCCCTATTCTGTCAGTATCGAAGCCGAGACAGCATGCTTGGAACGGGATACGCACGATGTCTGGTCGTCCTTGCTGCCGGACCACATGATGACGTCGGCGGGCGACGTTCGGGTGTCCTTGGTCTTGTTGTACGCGTCGTCGCCCTTGTAGGCCGTCTTGGCGAAGCTGAAGATGGAGCTCGCGACGCCACCGAGATCGCCGCGCGCATAGGACCCCAGGGCGCCGAGCAGGCCCTGGCCGGCTTCCTTGGCCAGGTTGGGCTCCTTGAGGACGCCCTTGGTGGAGTAGACGTACGGCAGGTCCATGACGGTGGCCGAGTGGCAAGAGTCGAAAATAGCCGTCAGCCGCACGCCGGCCTGCAAAGGCTTGACGACGCGGAAGTGAATCTCGTCGTCGACGATGTGGCCGGCCTGCTTGAAGTCGACGGGGTAGATGACCTCGTCGTAGCCGTCGTCTTCGTCGCCGTCGAGGTCCTCGGTCTGCCCGCCGTGGCCTGGTATGAAGGGTTAGCGTCTGGCACGGGGCGTAGGATTCGGGGGGCGGCTCCGTCTCACCAGAGTAGTGCAGGAACAGGGCGTCGTTGGGCTGGGCGCCCTTGACGAGCCACTCCATGGCGCGAATGATGTTGGCCTTGGTGGGCTGCATGACGGGGTTTTGCGCGTCGTCGGTCAGGATGACCATGTCCTCGCGCTTGTAGTTGTAGTTTTCGCAGAGGAAGTTGGACACGTTGTGGACGTCGTTGATGCAGCCGCGCAGCTGACCCTGCTGGCCAAAGTAGTTGATGCCGATGAGCAGCGCCTTGCGCTTACCCGTGCAGTTGGAGTACTGGAACGTGTAGCCTTGGGGCGCACCGTGGCCGAACTGCTGCGGCGCCGTCGAGGGCGGCGGGCCGGCCTTGGCGTGGTAGCCGTACTGGCCGCCCTGCATCGGGTAGCCGTAGGCGTCCAGACCGGGAGGCGGCGGCTGCGGCGGCGGCGGGTGCTGGTTATACGCGCCAGGACTGCCACCGGGCCCCCAGTTGGGACGCGGTCCGGGGGGAGGAGGACCGTGATTGCCATACTGCGGCGGCGGGCCGCCCTGCGGGGGTCCATACTGGCCCTGGGGAGGACCATAGTTGCCCTGAGGAGGACCGTAGTTGTTCTGCGGAGGGCCGTAGTTGTTGTAGCCGGGGCCGCCGTACTGCGGAGGAGGAGGGCCAGGCGGACCGTTGGGACCGGCGCCGTAGTTGCCGTAACCGTAGCCGAAGCCGGGGCCGCCGTTGGCGAAGCCGCCGCCGCCGGGCCGGTGGTTGGCAGCGCCGTAGTGGCCCTGGCCGGGGTATCCAGACATGCTGTGCTGTGCGTGCGTTCAAAGGTCGACGAGGAGGAGATGGACTCGGCCGCGTGGTCGTGGGCGGTTGATGCGGACGCTGCTCGTCGCTCGAGGGGAAAGTCAGCGGTCGAGGAATGGAGTCGTGAGGTTGGAGGAGGGAAAGCTGAGCGCGCGCCGCAGCTGAAGGAGCTAGGCAGAGGTCGGAGTTCGGCTGGTGTGGGTGGCGCACGGGGCGAGTCGCAGAACGCCTTGGGCTGACTTGGGGGCTAGGTGGGACTGGCACCAAGTACGACGACGACCGGGGGTGGGCGGGATCGCTGCAGGTGGATCGTGAGGAATACTATCAGGGCTCAGGTTGATGGGCGCGCGAATATTATCGAATGCATAATAGAACGAGAACGAACGTGGCAGGCAGGCTGGCTCGTCGATGATGGAACTCTACCCCGCCCCCGCCCGAGGGGAATGGTTCGCACTGTCCCCGAGCACGCGGACGGGAGATATATTGCCCAGGTACCGAACTGTTTCACCCACTCCCGCGGCACTCACTGTCAGAGGCCTGCTCAAGGTTTCCAGTAGGTAGTGCACCGCCGCGGCAACCGCCTCAGGCCAACCTCGGCGGGCTGCCTCTGCTTCCAGCAAACACACATGAACGTCAAATATCCTTCCAGATGCATATCCGCCTAAATGAAGCAGCATCGCGTTAGCGACGCTGCCAAGTGCCAGCTGGCCGCCAAGCACGCCGGCCGTGCATGCATTTGCTGTCGTCAAGGCTCATTTCGCGCTCGGCGGTTGCAGGCGGGCGGATCCCGCGACGATGGAGGGGCCGAGGGGCGGGCAGAGGGGCAGCAGAAACCGTGGTGGGGTTGCATCAAACCGCTGCAGTCGCAGCCCTGGAGTTCAATAGGTTGCGGAAATTGATCTCCAGGGCTCCATCCGTCCCCTGAAGCACCGCCCAGCCAGCGGCCTCACCCCCCGCCCGCTACACACGCCGCGTCAAGCTTCCAGGTTATCCCCGGCCGCCTTGCCGCGTGCAGGCTGTTGCAAAGGTTGGGTGTAGTGCATGCCGTGGTTGGCCAGTGGCGTCTTGTCCAGGGCCCTTCACTGGCTGGCCGGCCCAGTCGTCCGTCGGGGCGGCCCGAGTTTAGGCGTCTTGGGCCCCCCGTCCTCAGGGCACATGCGGGCAGCTGGAGCTCTCCATCCGGCCCATCAGATGCTGCCCTGGACGGTGGTCGTTGGCTCCCTCCAGATGGGTCCCCGGCCCGTCACTCTGCCTGCCCGTCACCTCATCAGGTCCAACTCCCGCCGTTGCGTTGACGCACCTCATTTGCTCACCCCGGGCAGTGCATGGCCCGTCGAATGGAGCAAGGGTCACACAGGGAGGACTCCCGGCGGCCGCCACGGGAGCAACCTAGATAAGACAACCCTCGTCGTCGCGACGTCAACCGAGCTACCTTTTCTACACTGCCACTTGGCTTCCCGCGCACGACTGCGTGCCCTTTTCTCTTTTCGTATCTGTCCCTTTGCTCGCTTCGACCTTTCGAACAGTCGACATGTCGTTTTTCAAGAACATCACCGACAAGTTTGACAACTTGAGCATCGGTGACAGCAAACGCGACGAGGCGCAAGGTTAGACCAGTCCTCCCCTCAGTCTCTTATAATCTATTCAAGTAAACAAAAAGTCGGTGCAAAGGCTGACTCGGCCAGGTACACGCGACTATGGCTACCACGGCCCTGGCGACAACCCCCCTCCCGCGCAGTACGTCGCGTCGCCCCCTCCGCCCGCCTACCAGCCGCCGTCAGACAAGCCGCCCATCCCCAGCGGCTGGACTCCGCTGTTCGACCAGAGCCACCAGCGCTGGTACTACGTAGAAGAGGCCACCGGCCGCTCTCAGTGGGAAGCCCCCGGATACACTCCCCCTGCCGGCGACGACTCGCGTGCCGGCTTCGGCGCCCCAACCGGCTATGGCGCTCCTGCCGGACCGCCGCCCCCGGGCTACGGCGGCGGCGGCGGCGGATACGACCAGCAGCCCAGCCAGGAAAAGAAGGGCAGCGGCAAGGGGGGCATGCTCCTCGGCGCGGCGGGCGGTCTCGCAGCCGGAGCCGTCGGCGGCGCGCTGCTGCACCACGCGCTGAGCGACTCCGACTCGGACAAGGAGGAGCACCACTCGTACGCGGCGCCGGCGCCGTACCAGCCTGCCCCTTACCAGCCGCAGCCCGAGTACTACCCGGAGGCGTCCTACGCCGCGGCGGTGCCCCCGCCGGTCCTCCCGCCGACGGACGCCGACGGCAGCTCCGTGTCGTCGAGCGACAGGGAGGAGGTCCAAGAGGCGCGCGAGCGGTACGAGGAGGCGCTGGCGGACGCGGCCGACTCGGACGCCAGCAGCAGCGAGGAGGAGAAGCTGGAGGAGGCGCGCGAGGAGTACTACGAGGAGTACGAGGACACGTACGGAGGGGACGACGACTATTGATGCCTCGGTCCCTGTCGGCCTATACACGCGAACAGTATTCTGGGAGGCAACAGTTTGAGCATAGCACAGCCAGCAAGCAAGCAAGCAAACAATCACAAGCACATAGGGACAACCCCGCAGACACACCCTCTTTTCAATTCTGCTTCTGTAGGCTCATCATGAGAAACAACGGCCGCAGCTTCTCCACCTCGTCTGCCCTCCCGCTCGCCAGCTCTTCCTCGGTGGGGAAAAACTCCTTGAACGCGCGGACGAGGAAGCCCTGCGCGAGGAGCACGTCCATGTACCCCGTCACGGAGCGGTGGTACTTGCGCAGGCCCTTGGCGAGCCAGTCGACGACGCGCTCGCCATCGTCGCCGTAGCTGGTCAGCGGCCAGCAGAGCTCCCCTTGCGCGTCGTCACTGGCGCCCTGCGAATTCTCATCAGCGACGGGCGCGGCGCGCACGACGCGCGGGTTCCGCGGCGCCGTGTAAATGGGGTGCTCGACGTTGAAGACGAAGAAGCCGCCGGGGGCAAGGACGCGATGCGCGAGGGCCACGACGCGCGGCAGGTCAGCGAGGTAATGCAGCGCAAGGGAGCTAAAGACGAGGCCGTAGCGCGCGGTGTCGCTCTCCGGGAGGGTAAGCTCGTCGAGGTCGGCGCGGCGGTACTCGATGCGCGCGTGCTCCTCTGTTGTCGTCGTCGCTGCGGAGAGCCCGCGGGCCTTGGCGAGCATCTTCTCGGAGACGTCGACGCCCAGGACGGAGCGCGCGCCGTGGGCGGCCGCCCAGCGGCAGAACCAGCCGCTGCCGCAGCCGAGGTCGAGGACGTCGAGGCCCGCGACGGGGGGCACGAGGGGCGCGAGGCGGTTCCAGGCCGGGTCGGTGTCGACGTCCTTGGAGGAGCGGTCGATGTACTTGTCGTAGGCGTCGAAGAAGTCTTGACGGTCGTAGATGTTTTGCGCCATGGTGACGATGACGACGACGGGTGTTGACGGCTTCAATGAGTAGCAGTGAGGAAAGTGAATGGCCGCCGTATCGACTGCGAGTTGGCGACGATTAGGACTTGGTTTCCGACAATGGCTTTTAATTCAGAATCAGGGTGAGCTACTGTACATGTAAGTCGGAAACACAACCGAGCCTGAAGCTTTAAGAACGCGCTACAGTAGTGCGACCCTACAACGGCTTTTTGCTTGCCAAGCGCAGCAAGGCAGCAGAGAAGTTGTTGGCAAGTGTCTACCATGGGCGTCGAGCAATGAGAATTCGGCCGGCTTGCCTGACGTCAAAACGGCCCACAGCGGGATCTTCTGCGCTTGTCGTCGTCAATTGATGCGATACGAGGAATCTCTGGCGGCCGCCCCTCACCCCCCGCTCCAGTATGAGTCAATGCCTCGACCTCGTTTGCATCGCGATGGTCAAGAAGTGCCATGTTGAGTCACGTCTAAAATTACACGGCACAGGCTGTCCGTAGCTACACGATCCACGCCCATGTGCATCATCGTACTTTTCAAGCCAAAGCAAACTGCGAAAGGTCGCTCATCTTGCTCTGGCCCCCAGGAGACCCTCCCCTTCACTTCTTTGCCCCCGGCAGGCCCTTGAAGCGCCGCGTGATGTCCGTAATGGCCTCCTCCACGGGCAGCCTCTCCATGGAGCTCGCACCGTAGAAGCCGTGCACGCCCTTTGTCCGCTCCAGCACGTACTGCGCATCCTCAGGCGCGGCAATGGGCCCCCCATGGCACAGCACGATGACGTCCCCGCGCACCCCCGCGGCGGCGTCACGAATGCGCTGAATCAAATCAACGCACTCGTCGAGCGTCTTTCCCGTGGACGCGCCGATGCTGCCGCTCGTCGTGAGCCCCATGTGCGCGACCAGCACGTCCGCGCCCGCGCGCGCCATGGCCACGGCGTCCTCCTCGCTGAAGACGTACGGCGTCGTCAGCAGGCCCAGGGCGTGCGCCTCGGCCACCATGTCGACCTCGAGCGCGTGCGACATGCCCGTCTCCTCGAGGTTGGCGCGGAACTGCCCGTCGATGAGCCCCACGGTCGGGAAGTTTTGCACGCCCGCGAAGCCCAGGTCGCGCAGCTGGCGCAGGAAGTGCGGGATGCTGCGGAAGGGGTCCGTGGCGCAGACGCCGGCGATGACGGGCGTGCGCTGCACGACGGGGAGGACCTCGTTGGCCTGTTGTGCGCGTTCGGTCAGCGTTTTGCGGTCTTCACCGTGCGACACGCAAAGTCAGAGGAGAGGAGAGGTGGGTGGTTAATGTACCATGTCGAGGACGACGTCGTTGGCGTTGCCGTAGGGCATCAGCCCCGCGAGGGATCCTCGCCCGGCCATGCGGAAGCGCCCGCTGTTGTAGATGATGATGAGGTCGCCGCCGCCGGCCTCGATGAACTTGGCCGAGAGGCCGATGCCCGCGCCCGCGCCGACGATGGGCGTGCCGGCGTCGATTTGCGCGCGCAGCTTGGCGAGGATCTCGCCTCTGTCCGTGGGAGGAGCCATGCTGTCTGTGAAGCAAACAGCTTTGACTGGTTGTGGTGAGTGAGTGAGCGAGCTATGGCGGGGGTGAGGAGGGGGGAGGCTCACACGTCGAGGTGGAGGCGGGGTTCAAGATTTAAAGAACCTGGAGCGTTCGCTGTGTTAGATGTGGCCTGTCTGTTTGCTGCCGGCGTGTCGTCCCTATTCGTTGCTATTTTGCATTCGAGGAGCTGGTCGAGAGCGCGCACTTCCCTCTTGTATAGCCACGGGTTCCGTATCAAAGGTTGAGTCAAAGGACGGCTGCTCGGAGATGCTCGGCGAGTGAGTGTCGTCACGGTGGAGCCGGGCCTCGACAATTATAGACGGGCTCGGCCTCTAGGTCCCGGTCAGGCGCCACTGCCGGCGGCCCGGCTCCAGCGCGATTTGATCCCCGGCCATCCGGACGCCGGAATGGCAGCTTCCGCCTCGTGCCAGTCTCTCTCCGTATCTTGACACGATGTGACTTGTATTTTCCTCGTTCGCCCAGACATGCCTGATTCGTCGCCTGTATATAGTTATATGGTGTCGTATGCCGGGCAGCTCCGAATGCGCACAGCATTGGCAGCGTCTCCATCAGGGTGATGTCATATCACTCGGACCTGCAAATGCTACAGGTTAACACGCCGTCTCTTGAGCATCGCTGCTCTTCCACTGTGCCGTGTCTATCCTACTTGAGGTCTGTCACGGCAACTCCAATCCCACGGCTCTCAATCCATAATCATACACTCGCTCACTCACCCCTTCACGTGCTCCCACATGCATGCCGTGTAACGACTCCTCCCGCCTCCCAACCCCGCATCGCCACCTCCCTCGCCCGACGACACCATACAACATCGCACAGCCCAGCAGCGCCCGCCCAGCCACCGCAACACGGGCACCACGCAGCCATGGCCACCGTCGCCCTCCTCGGCACCTGCGACACCAAGCTCCACGAGCTGCTCTTCCTCCGCTCCGCCATCCTCTCCTCCTACCCATCCCTCTCCGTCATCCTCATCGACGTCGGCCGCCACCCCGCGTCGCACCCGGACATATCCGTCTCACAGGCGGACCTCCTGGCACAGCCCTCAACCACCACCGCCGCCGATGATGGGAATGATGACATTTCCACTCTCTCGCGCGGGCAGTTCATCGTCCACATTGCCCGTCGCGCCGCCTCCCTCCTTGAGCGCCTGCATACAGCGGGGCGTATCCATGGTGCCGTGTCCGCGGGCGGCTCAGGCGGCACCTCGCTCGCCGCGTCCGCCATGCGCGACGCCCTGCCCATAGGCTTCCCGAAGCTCATCGTCTCGACCATGGCCAGCGGTGACGTTCGCCCCATTGTGGGCGAAACAGACATCGCTCTCATGTACTCGGTCGTCGACGTCGCGGGACTCAACGACGTGCTGCGCGACGTCCTCTCCAACGCAGGCGCCGCCATCGCCGGAGCGGCCCTCTCATACGCAGCCCGCCACAAGCCGGGCGCCGACGGAGACGAGCAAGGCGATCAGACGAAGAAGGACAGAAAGCACCGCGTCGGCATCTCCATGTTTGGCGTCACCACTCCCGCCGTCGACGCCATCCGCGCACACCTCGAGGCCACGTACCCCATCCAGACGTACGTCTTCCACGCCACCGGCACGGGCGGCCTCTCGCTCGAGCGCCTCGTCCGCACCCACGCCCTCGACGCGGTGCTCGACCTCACCACCACCGAGGTCGCCGACCACGTCGCCGGCGGGATCCTCTCCGCGGGGGAAGACCGCCTCGCCGCGGCGCCCGCCTGCGGCATCCCCTACGTCGTGTCGCTGGGCGCGCTCGACATGGTCAACTTTGGCCCGCGGAGCAGCGTGCCGGAGCGGTACGCGGATAGGAAGCTGTACGAGCATAACCCCATTGTCACGCTGATGCGCACGTCGCCGGATGAGTGCCGCCAGGTGGGTGAGTTTATATGCGCGAAGCTCAGGGGCGCGACGAGGCCCGAGATGGTGCAGGTTTGGATTCCGAAGGGGGGTGTAAGCGCTATAGCAGTCAAGGATGGACCATTTGCGGATTGTGATGCGGATGCGGTGCTGTTTGAGACGGTGAGGAAGGGGCTGGAGGGGAGTGGCATAGAGGTGGTGGAGGATGAGCGGGCCATCAACGATGAGGGCTTCGCAAGGGACATTGCGGAGGCACTGGTCAAGAAGATGGGCTTGTCGAGTCAGGGGCGCGCTGAATAGGCTTGTCCACGGCGTGAGACGTCAACGCTTTACACGTCATGCCTGCCCGTGCTACTTCGTGTACTCTCGACTGGAGATTGCAGGCGAGGCTCCCTAAACACCAAGTCTACCAAGCGCATCCTCCATGGCCCCCCTCCAGCCGCCCACCACATCCCTCTTCTGCCCCCTCGGACACACCTCCACCAGCGCACGCCCAAACCTCACCACCGTCCAGACATCCTCCGTGACCCTGTCCACGCCGCACCACCACCGCGGCACGCCCTTCCTCTCCAGCACGCCCTCAAACACCCTCATCATGCGCGCCTTCTCCCGCGTCTGCACGTCGTCGGGCTCGCCCGTCCACGGGTGCAGGAACGCGCGCACCGCGTCCCACCGGTGCGCCGGCACCACGCCCGCAAACTCCCAGTCCAGCACGCCCGTCACCGTCCCGTCCTCGAGCGCCATGATGTTGGCGTTGTGGAAGTCCTTGTGCGCGAGGATGAGCCGCGTCGAGGCCAGTGACGGCAGGCGAGGGAGTAGGGCGATGAGCGCGCGTAGCCGCGGGATGGTGTCGCGCAGCCACGCGAGCGACGGGTGGATGCGGATGCTGTGGATGAAGCACTCGAGGTAGCCCTCGACGAAGGCCGCGTGCGACGCAAACGGCCCTCGGGGGTTGAGGCTGTCGACGCTCTCCCCCGCGGGCCACAGCTGCTCAATGTCCGGCAGCAGCCAAAACGTGTCGTCCATGAACCGCCCCGGCACGATGCGGCCCTTCCTGTCGAAGCTCAGCCCCCCGACGTGGTGCCACTCGAACTTGTTCATCTCGACGAGGTAGTCCGTCAGCTGCTCCACGAGCCGCACCTTGGCCGCCTCCGTCATGCGCGTGTACATGCGGTCCACGCTCCGGCCCGGCACCCACTCGAGCAGCGTGAACTCGCGGCCGAGCGGGTTCGTCGGGCCCTTGCCGCCTCCGCCGCTGCCACTGCAGTCGTCCCACGCCACGACGGCCGGCACGGGGATGCTCGTGTGCTCGCGCACCCACGTCATGGTGGCGACCTCGTTGGCCGTCTTGATGTGCGGGATGTGGTTGCCCGAGATGCGCAGCACCAGCGTCAGCGAGCCATCGGGCCGGCGCGCGCGCGCGGGGAGCAGCGCCTCGGCGGGCGTCGACGCGGTGTAGTTGAGCAGGTAGATGGAGTGAAAGGCGGCCGTGACCTGCAGCGCGTCGATGGAAGCCGGCAGCGGGAGGGAGAGATGCGCCAGCAGCGCGTGGATCTCCTTGACGGACAGCCGCGGCGGGAGATGGTCCCTCGGGGAGCTCATATTGTCTCTCTGCCTTCCGTTTGCGCGAGCCGGTCTGGGCGCTGCGCGGGCTCGTCAGATGTTTCTGTGTTAGAAGGCGAGCTTGGCGCGCACCGCCGTGAGTGTGAAGTCGATGAGGCGAGGATCGCGAGGCATGGTGGTGAGCTTTTTAAAAGAGCAGTGGCGAGTTGCTCAGCAGCAGTCAGCACCGGCCAGGGAGTGGCACAGGAACAAGGGCCCAACGTTGAAAAAGTGAGGCTATCCCAAGAGGAGCAACCAGCTGCCCCGGAGCTCAGCTGAGCTACGGGTCCCCCGTTCGGGCCCCTGGTCGACCTCGATCCCCGCGCGCCCGCCGAGAGCCACAGCACAGCACAGTTGAGCCAACAGCTACAGCGCAGCTTAGAGCATGGCCATTGCCCATCATCGTGACTCAGGCTGACGAGCCAACACTCGCTCGGCGATCAATGTTCCACTCACAACCACCAGACGCCGCGCCATGTCTCTCACTTCTCTCACACTCACACTCACACACGATCGGGTCCATGAATCGAGCACAGCAGCATCTGCGGAGGCAAATCCGCTCTTGCGACGCATCACGTGTCACAAGGCTCCGACTGGCTGGTCCCTCCTCCTCCCCCCGTAGGCGCCGCGCGAGACGAGAGAGACGACTTCGTAACTGGCGCCGCCGAAAGGAGATCCAGCTGTGGTCGCAGCTGCTTTTTTCCGGCAGCAGAGGGGCGGGCTATAACATCACCTTAAGCAGCAGCAAAGCAGCTGGGACCCGTCAAACAGGGAACGTGATCCATCTGCCGTGTCACCGTCCCGTCCGGTTTCATCGGGACCGTGCCTGTCGAGGGGTTGATTTGCCTCTGCCAGCCGTTGCTACATTGTAGCGACGGCGGCTGAACCGGCGCCCCGACTGTCAGGTAAATGACTGAGACGTACGAAGTGGTAACTTGGAGTCTGGACATATCCCAAAAGGAGGCCATGGAGGTGATAAGTCCGGCAATAAAACCATTCTCTCGGTACGGCCAGGGCAGATCCACGGTCTGTGTCTCACTCTCAATGGCGATTACCCTATGCCCAGCCTCAACCCGAACCCGACACCTGCGTGCGCATCACAGTTCGGACGAGAGCCCCCCGATCCTCGACGCCTCGTGTGGCGACACAAAAGCCCAGAAGACCCGACCCCCTCGCCCATGCTGTCCGCCTTCTCGGTTCTCAGAATACGACGCTTCTAATGCCCCCCGGACTGCTTCTCCGCCGCGTGCCTGCCCAACGGGCCACGTCCGCGCAACGCCAACCACCACTCTGGAACAGTAGCTGGTGGCACAGCATCTCTGTGCCACCACACCCAAGTAATGCCGCCTCGGCGCTTCGCAGGCCCTTGCTGGGGGTGGGAGGGCCTCGCTGGGTGCTGCCCATGACGAAGCAGAGCATGGCCTTACGTACGTATCTGTGAAGAAAAGCAAACAAAAGCAAGAAACCTGCGCGTGCACTAGGCCGTCGCCCCAGCTCGAACGACCGGGGGTTCACCTTCCCCTGTGCCATTTCTGCTTCTCGCTGCAAGTCATTGCGCTAACGGCGATCGACGCAAAGCATTGTTCAGTCTACATCATAGCCAGGATGGGCGAGCTTGCCGATGGCGCCGCCCAAAGAAGAGAAGAGTCGCTCGCGACTTTCGCCTGGCCAAACGCCCTCCGCGTCGACGCGCTTTGCTGCTGCTGCTCCCCCCCCGATTAAGTCCGAACGGCCTCAATATGCAGACGTTTCACGTGTTTCGTAATTCAACGTGCCATTGTTCATTTCCAGGCCATGACGCGGCGATAACGGCTTGCAAGGGGTGCCCCGTTCTTGTCTTTCAACCGCCAAAAGCAACTCCGGCGGCTGCGCCGGCATAGCCAAACGCTCCAAGTGTTCAGCCCCAAACATCAGCACTCAGCCCTGACAGGACAGAGACATGCATGGCTGGCTGGCACAGGTCAAGTAAGAAGCCTTGAAGGATGCGAGCTGCACATCTCCTGAAGGTGCTGCACTTCATGGTCAGGCAAGGCGTGGCCACAAAGGCTGTCCCATAGTCTACTTGGTATCGTGCCGTCGGCTGCTGCAGCCGACTCAAAAAGAGAAAACGACGGCTGTCATGTCAGGTAACATTCAATCCTTTTTCAGTTGGGCTCCAACGCCCAATCCAACCGAAACCTCGCCAGTGTGGGTATTGTCCTCAAAGCATCGTCATCCAGGCAATTCCTCGTCAAACCTCAAAATTCGCAAACGTAAAAACCGACGGCGTCATCCCGACGCCTCCTCTGCCATGCGCACAATCTCGCATAGGCTTCTGATGACTACCAAATCGACATCCTCCACGGCCGTGTCCACCAGTGTCTCATCGCTCGTGCCGTTCTCCGCAATGAGCTTGGCCGTGGCAACAAGTCGCGCGATGCAGCGCAAGAGGCCGCCTTGCATATTCTCGTGGTTGGCCGATGCCGTGGGCTGAATGGCCACGATCTCATCTTTGGGCCAAACATCTAGTGATGCCCTGGCCCTTCGAGAGTGGCGGTTGAAGGCGGTCCCAGCCTCGTTGGTACCTCCCAGGCCAAGAAGGTTTGCTGCCTTCTTGGGGATATCGTCCTGTTGACAGTCGCTGGTTGCGCCTCTTGGTGCGGATGTGGTAGAGTTTCGGGCCACCAAAGCCGACATGTAGTTATAGGCGACAATGTGTGCGTACAAGGCATCGCAGATATGGCCAGGACAGTTTCCGAAGACGTTTTGCAGCGGCTCCCAGGGCTTGGGCGTCTCGGCGGTGCTAGACCCAGCGGAAGTGACACTGCTCTCTCCAGAGCTGTGGCTCTGCCTCTGCCGTAGGTCCGTGACCACCGAGCTTCGTTTGAGAGGCATGACCTTGCGCCAGAGAGATCTCTTGGGCGTCTGAGACGGGCTCTCGGGTGTTGCGGCCCTCGTTGACGGCGCTCGCAGAATCTCCAAGCTCGGCTGACGAACTTTGCGAGAGTAAGTCCGAATCGTTTCGATGGTCAGGCTCGATGACAAGAGCATTGTTTCAGGGAAGCATGCAATGGAAACCCGGAGCGTCTCCATTGCGTCGGGCGGTAGCGGCACCACTCTAGTCAGGTCGTCGTTGAACGCCCGAGGACACGGCTGCAGGCTGCTGTTCAGCCATGACTGGACACTTCGAAGTGCCGGGCGAGGAGAGGGCGGCCGGGCGAGGACCGCGTCGGCAATAGGTATCGCGGTGAGCGGGGTGAGGGGACCCGCGGGAAAGATCATTTCTGTCACTTCAGGTTCGCATTCCAGAAAGTCCTCGGTGGCCAGGGCCCGGTCGGTCTTGTTCCCGATCTCTAGCTTCAGACTCGGTCTCTGGGCTGCCTCGTTGGATCTGCGCGTCTGGTGCGCACTGATCTGTTCCATGTGAACCGGCGACGGTTTTGCAGTGAGTGGCTGAAGTCCGCCTCTCGCTTCGGGACGATCGTGTCGCCTGAAGCCAACTGTTGATGATGGCCTGACCGGCATGTCGAACGACACATGGGACGTTCTATCTCGCGAGGGCGAGATGGGCGAGATGGGCGAGCCGCCACTCACCGAGTGCGACTTGTGATGAAGCGGCTGCTCGAAGTAGCCCCAAGAGCCTCGCGTGCCCAACCTCCTGAGACCTGTGACACCCGAGTCAAAGTCGGACTCCGGAGGTGTAGGCGGTCGAGGGGACAATGCCTCGATGTTGCAGTCGTCCATCCCATCTTCCTCGCAGTCTGAATCACAGTCAATCCAGCTGCTTTCCAGTGGAGTACTGGACGGCATCGATCTCGCTGCCGAAGATTTCCAGTTCGTTGAAGCCACTGAGGTGGCTGCGGTCAACACTGACTCGCGGTGCCGAAATGATGGAGGCGCCATGTCTTCGGACGTTTGCGAGCTTGTCCTCGAGTCCACATCCGACGTCGCAGCCTCAAGTCGTGATTGCTGCTGCCCGAGAAAGGAGACCGTGGAGGTACGTTCTTCAATGGCCCCTAGCGACCGCACCCTGGCGCAAGCCGCGAGATACGGAGACGAGGGCCCCATTCTGGTGTTTCTGATGCGAGCCTTGTCTTCGTTTGAGAGGAGCAGCACGGGCGTGCCTGCTGTCATGCGCTTGGCGGTGAAGACTCCAACTGAGCACTCGAGGTCTTGGGCCAGGAGCTCGGGAAAGTACTCGTCCACGCGGTCTCCTATGGGCTCGGGGGTGGAGGATGGGGTGCTCAGGAAACTTGAAGTGGAAGAGGAGAGCCTGAGGGGCATGAGCTCGGTCATGTTCGATACGGATCGCGGTCGTTTCGAGCCCAATCTGGAGCGTGTTGACGCTGCTGATGCTGACCGGGAATAGTCGCTCGCGGATTCTGGAGAATCGCTTCGGGGTGCTGGCGTCGCAGAGCTGCTCGAGATCATGGGAAGCTCGTTGGGCTTACCGTCGAGAGTGGGGGTGCTCATCGGGATTCCCAGCCTGGAGGGAGTCCAGGCATGCGGGTAGCGAGGGCGGGCTTGTGTTATAACGTGGCGATGGCGGCTGATGGAGGGCGAGTGTGCAGCCGCTGGGGTGCACGATGGGGAAATAAAGGGCAGCAGAGAAGAGAGACACTCAGAGACAAAAAGGCATGGTCAAGACGGTGCCCAACTGGGGGCGTGTCGCAAATTGAGGCTCGTCCTAGCCACCTCGAGCAAGACGGCGAAAGGGGACAATCAGCGGCTGTCGCACTGACGCCCCAACACCCAGTGATGCGGAGGGACGAGAGACGGCAATATAGTAGCGAGATGGTACCATGTACCAGCGATCACGGCGGTGGGGAGGGGGGAGCCATGGCCCTTGCCTCGCAAGACGAGAGCGTGCGACGCCCTGCACAGCATGGGGAAGAAGAAATAACACGACAGTGCGGACAAAAGAAAGCCGCTGCTCTAGTTCGTCGATGGTGGTGTCGACCGTCGAGCTATCGGGCTGGCGCCGACGGAAGCGAACCCACATGCCGGCGTCTTCTTTTTCGCAAAGGAAAGCAAGCCAATGTCCTCCCGCCATTGATACTCCAGCTTTGGTCTGACGAGCAGGAGGCGCTGCGGGAACACACGTGCCGTGAATCATCGACTCCGAAGAAGCGCGCCCGCCGACGAGGCCGGGACCTGCGGCCGTACAGTAGTAGTTGGCCCCGGCACACAGCCCAGCACAACGTGTTGGTTGAGAGCCTTGGTCGCACTGCACCTTGCGGTCCAGGAACCTGGGTGAGTGGCGCAATTAATCAATCACCCGGACAGTGCAGAGAGTCTTCGTTACCCAGTATGAGGAGCCGCTCCGGACGTCGCTCAGGACGCTCGACGGTCCCCCATCGGAACCTTGACCAAGGCAGGCTTCGGTAGCCAGCCGCGTTGCACCTACCCGCTTCGCCGCGCGGTCATCAGCACACCGCGGTCAACCGGGTTTGCAAGGCATGCCCGAGAGCAGGTCACAGACCGACATCCGGTCGAAGCCCAAGGTACGCCGACGGTGTCCGCCAGTAAGCGCTCAAAAGTTCGGACACAGCAATGGAATAGCGTCCTGCCTGTTCCTGGTTCGTGATCCTGCTGCTCGCCGGCGTCATGCTTTCGAGGCGTCCTGCTCCAGTTGGGGCGCCTCGCCCGGGCTCGTTGTGCCATTCATTGTCCAGGGGATGTGGAGGTAGCTGGACACTTGTCGCCTGTGCGACACTCGATCCGTTCGGAGGGGACAGTGCGACAACTTTCTTTTCGCGACGATAGTCACAGCCTGATTCTGCGGGCTGCATAGCGTAGATCGGTCTTGCAAGTGACAGATGGGCATCAGTCCGACGCCGCTGTCTCGACCCTGCCCTGGAGCTGCCACATGGCGGGAGGGGGGTCGACCGCATTGGGCTCGACCAGGTTGACCGTCGAGATGCGTCAGCGAGGTCGTGCCAGAGGCAGGGGGCGAGGCGAGGTGTTCCAAACAGAGGCAAGGGACGCGTTGGTTCGTGCAGGGAAAAAAAGCAATACGCCACGAGAAAAGCGAAGAAGGGAATCTGCCGAGAAGACAATTCGGCGATAATGATGAGTGACGCCCGCCACCAACGGCCGGGGACCCCGTAGGTCCCGGGCGGACACGACGTCGGCGGGAGGAATGCTCGACGTGCGGGGGGATTGTTGGTTGCAGAAGGGGCGAGAGAGCGAGATGAGGCGTCGTGATGCCACGCGCCGCCGCTATCGTCGTGATCGTCGCTGAATCATGGCGCCTGGAAGGCGGAGGATGAGGCGGAGGGGAGGAAGAGCAACCTTGAAGGGATGGATGATGGACGAGCAGAAGAGACGGGACTCACGGGAGAGACCCACGAAGGGATGGAGCGGAGGCGGAAGACATGGATGGGGATGGCCCCAGGCCGGGCAGAAGCTGCCGCAGTGGATGCGGGGAGAGCTTCAGGGGCTTGTAGTGGCTGGATTCTGGAGGGGGACAGTGGACATCCCTGCTGGCTACTGGCCACTGGCTCCCTCCCTGGTTGCCTGCACTGGCTTGGCGTTCGATCCAGCGGGCACTGGAGGCGCCAAGAGCCGATGTCTAGGGGGGCCGCTGTCTCACTGGAGCGCCGAGCGGTTCAGTGCGTTCGCATTCAATCCAGTCAACGTCACTGCAGTCAGCAGCAGACCAACCTCACAGGCTCACTCACAGCAGGGGGCTAGGGGATCGAGGGCGCTAGGTAGGTGACCTTCCAAGGCTGGGGTGCTGGTGATCCAGCTTACCACCTCACCTCAGCACCTGCACGGCGCCTGGCGTGCCCGACAAGCCCGCCGTTATCGACAAATACTGGAGTCTTGCGCCCGAACGGCTGATTGATTGCCTGTACCGTGCCCTCACCGGGCACCTCACTTTCCACCTGCAGCCACCCCGTCGGCTGCTCGACATGAACCCGAGTGCCCAGGCCTCCCTGTGCCCCCGCCGTGCGACGGCACGCTGTGGGCCCCGACGGCCAGCCCAGCTGCCTATAATCGCACGGTGAGGTCAGTTCCCACAGTGGAAGCGGCGAGGTGACGGGAGGTGGTCCGTGGCCCGCCGCCAGTGCCTGGTCCGTAGCTCCTCCCGCCTGTGGGGCTCGCGACAACCTCAATTTTCTTTTTTGCTTCCATCCCTCGCCATTACCCCATCGCAATGCCAGTGACGTGTGCATGAGCCACGTCGTCGCCACGCCGTCGAATCGTCCGCTATTGACCGTCTGTGCCCTTTCATTAGCGGCACCATTGTTTGCTACTTTGTCCGGCGCTCAGGCTCTTCGGGAAACGCTGGCCTGCACGGTCTGTCGCGGCGCCCGACCTCGTCCTTCCCACCCTCACTCACCCACCCGCCCGCTGCCTGCCACACACACGCTCATTCTCGCCTCTCGTCATGCTTTCCGAGGAGCTCGTCTCGGCCATCTCCGGCCCACCCGTCGCCGCCAACACAGCCGTCTCCAAAGACGTTGGGATATACGCCCACACGGTCACGCCCACGTGGGCCGCAAAAGCCACCTTCAAGAAAAGCTCTGCACCGAGGCACGGCCTCGCCGTGAGCGACACCCACATATTTGCCGCTCAGGAGCAAAAGGCACACGTGCACGTGTACTCACGACAGCGGGGGAATCAGGAGGCCCTCGTCCCTTTCCAGGAGAGAATTGGGTGCGTGGCGCTGATCGGTGATGTTCTCGTCCTCGGGACGGCCCAGGGCCGTTTGATACTGTGGGAGGTGAGCTTTCTTTTTTCCCCCCTCCCCTCATGCAGCCTCGACATGTAGGGGGAAAACGGCGTGCTGACGAAACGCATTGAAGACCTGCACGGGCAGACACGTTACCACGCCCCCTTGCCATGTGCAGGCTGTTAGCTGTCTGGCTGTTACCCCTTGCCATGTGCTCTCCGCTTCGGACGACTCCAACGTCAATGTCTGGTCGTTGGCTCGCCTGCTGGAGCTTGGTGCCGACCCGGGACACGAGCCCGACCTGACCCTGTCCAATCACCGCGGTGCCATCACCGATCTCGTCGTTGGGCCCAGCTCAAATGCCGAGACAAGCCTCTGCGTGTCAGCCAGCAAGGACAAGACCTGCATCTTGTGGAACTACAGGACTGGCCAGGTTCTCCGAACCCTTCTCTTCCCTGCAGCGCCGCTCTGCGTGGCTCTGGATCCCTGCGCTCGGTCGGTCTTCGTCACCACCGACGACCGTGGCCTTTACCTCGTGGAGCTCTTTGGCGACAAGCCGCTCCTCGGCTCCCGCAGCGCTGAGCTCGCTTCCATTGTTGTTCAGGTAGGCGCGCCTCTCGGTGTTGCCGATGAGGACGCTGGAGTGGCATCTTGCCTGGCCGCAAACTACGACGGCACGTCCGTCTTCACAGGTCACGCTAAAGGCAAGATTCTGCGCTGGAGTCTTGTCGACAACAGCTACCCTGCGGAGATGGCCAACCTTAATGCGTCTGTCACGAATCTAGCCTTTTTGCCGCCCATCAAGGATAAAAGCCTTACACGGCCTGTCACTGTGGTGAAGCCGAATCAGACGCAGCGGCAGTACACGTTGGCGGCGCAGCTGGAAGGTGACCTCGGCGACAGCCGTTTCGGCAGTGTCTTATCATCTGTCGGCATCAGTGACCAGGTCTTGGAGAAGGCCTTGGCGTCGCTGTCCGGCGAATCAATGCCAAACCAAGGCGGGTTGAAGACGCAGTAGGACCCTCGGGACCCGAAAACAACGACAAGGCCACATTGTCGCATCGAGGGGACCACGTTTAAGGAACCAGAAGTCCAGATGGCCCACGTGCGACGTACGCCGACGAGCAATGCCTGCCTTGGCCACATGGCGAGCAGGGTTTAATGATCAAGCGTCACGTCAGAGATGAATCCACAAGGGGCTCCAGTCGGCTCAGATCGCGGACAAGTATTACCACCCCACGCGGCAAGTGGCAGGGGCTCGTTTGCTTGAGACGGGACTTGTAAGGGGGCGCCATGACGGTCTGCGGCAGTATCATCACACGAATCTCGAGGAGTTGCCGTCCGACCCTAGAGCTTGTGTAGATTCGTTACCGACTGGGAAGTCTCACCACTCCTCTTGTTTGACTGGCTCAAAGAGCGATTCGGAAGGTGATCCATCGTCGGCATGGACGGGGATCATAGGGAGAGGACGACAAATCTGGCGGCATACGGGAAATTCGCTTGACCCGCTGCCCTTGACCGGTTTGTCTGCTGGTCACAGCGGCCACCTGACGAGGCGTGGTTGCACAACGCAGATAGGTACACGTCTATAATCGGCTACACTTGGCCACGTGGGTTCCCGCGGCCCCTGAATTAGATTCGCAACTGCGAGGACCACGTCTGATTTGGGAACCAACACGAGATTGTCTCAAGCTGGCGCATGGGACTCGCCTCGTCGGTCCGTCGCTCCTGGTCCGCTCTCGGGTCAGTCCCATGAGGTCATCAGCGTCCGATGAATTTGAGTTCCAGGTATCTCGCCGGAACATAGCTCAGGGCCGTCACTACAAAAGTCATCTCGTTGCCGACATCCCCACCGTTGGCTCCGATTTTCTTTGCCAGCGGTCCAACAAACCAGGTTTGACTCATTCCCATGCACCAGGACGCCACGCCCAACAGGAATGCCACGGCGGCGGCGATTCCCAACGGTAGTTTGGCGGGGTCGTTCCATCCCTCCAGGTTGTAGTTTCCAAATGTCCGGTTCCGAAAGAAGACATGCTCTTCAAATAGTATTATGGCATAGCTGGTGCACCAGTAGCCAAGCAGACTCAAGAAGTTGACGAGATAGTCGTTGAGATTGGCTCTGCCGCCGATGGCTAGCGCCATGATGCAAACAAAGCAGAACAACGTCCATATGATGCGTGGCACCTGAGCGCATGGGCGCGCGAGTTGCTGGAAAGAGATTGCGGCGCTGTAGAGGTTCATGACCATGTTGTTGACGCCCGACAGGACGAGCAGCGTGAGGAGAAACTTGGCGAAGCCTCTGGGATACAGCATGTCTTGGATGAGGTAGCCGATGCCCCGGTTTGCGTAAGTGTCGCCCCAGTCGGGCCTGTTGGTAAAGGTCGAGGCAACGACGCAACCCGCCACCATGCCGATCGTGGTGGGAATCGCAATACCAAAGGTAGTCATCAGAAAGACCTTGATCCGACTGACATTGGCCGGGTAGTGGACGTAGTAGTCGCTGGTGATGGTGCTCCAAGACGCGCTCGAGCCGTATACCGTCGCAATCAAACTGAGGACGGAGCCAGCGAGCGTCGCTCCGGTCACCGAAGACGGCGTCGTGTTATCGGCGAACCTGCCGGTTTCGCCGAATATGATGAGGAAGATGACGAAGAAGATGATCCAGGCGTAGCGCTCGTACACGAGGATCGTGTTGAGGCCCACGAGTGAGATGAGGAGCGCAATCACGGCCAGAATCACCACGCCGAGGATGAGAGAGACGCTGCCGTCCGATACAGCCGTCAGCGCCAGCCCTCCGGTGATGCACTGCACGGCAGCCCAGCCAATCTGCTGGATGCAGTTGAGAATGGCAACGAGCTTGTTCGGCCACCAGCCGAAGCTGTACCGACTGACGCTGATCTGTCGGAGGCCCATCGCGGCACCAAACGTCGCACAGTAGCCGCTCACAGCGCCGCCGGCGACGGAAGACAAGATGGTGATCAGGATCGATAGTTTCAAGCTCAGGCCAAACTGCGAGCCCAGGAAGCCCGTCGCGAAGCACGACGTGTTCATGACGCCGCTGGCCCAGAGCAGGGCCATGGACAGCTCCTCGGTCCACGAGACGGGGCGCCTGTCTTCCGGGCGCTTGCGCTCGATGGCTTCGGACTCGACGCCAAACTTGGCGTCCATCTGCGCCTCGAAGTCTCGCAGCCTGGCCAACAACCCGCCGCCACCGCTGGGCCCGCGCCGCGAAGCGTCCGCCTCGGCAGCCCCTCGAACAGTGGCGTCATTCACGCGCCCGTCGGCGGTGACGTCGGGCCCGTCGATGGCGTACGTCCGGGGGTCGAGGTCGGGGCCCTTCTCGGGGTCGACGTCCAGGTGGGATGACGGCATGCTGCGATGACAAGTGCCGGGCGCGTGGGATAGCGGAGATTGCTTTGTAGCAGACAACCCGGATTCTGGAACAAGGGGGTGGCTGCTCTTTTCGCGATGAGGCTTGCTCACATATTATATTCCCGTGCGGCGGCGCTGATGTGCGCCCTCCGTCGGACGCGCCGATCGACGAGTTCTGGAAGCAACAGCGACAAGCACACGGGCCACGGCGAGGACGGCGGGGGCGTGGCCGGACAACGAGGGTGATGAATGGGGGGGTCCTGCAGGATCTGACGACTCTCCCAACACGAACCGACTCGGGCCAAATATTGTGTGTAAAATATAGGCACGCCGCAAATTTGCTGCTCTTGAGTCTCGACCGTCACGCGACAAAGATTTGTGTTATCGTCCAACAGTCTTTGGCTGCGGCCAATCACGACTACGCTCGTAAGTCGGAGGTGTGGACATCCGTCTCAATCGGTATGCAGCGCAGTTTCTGCACAACGAGCTCACTGTTGGGCCCATCCTCGTGAGTCGTGAGTAATCCGAACTCCGGTCACATACGAAGTACGAGAGCACGACGGTCTGCAAAAGCCCACGTCCGGCATCGGCGAGGCTGGCATTCGTATAAACCGAAGTGCCCAGACTGCCTGCTCCTCAACCTTTTCTAAAAAAGGGAATCGCTCTCTTCAAACCCTGGGGCTGGAGACGGGAACTTCAACTCTGTTTTAGTGTCGGCGCGTGCCGTCTCTAGAAAAAGCCACCCCGTGCGGTGGCGTCGAGTCCAGGAACGAGTGGCGGCGGCGAAGCTCTCGCGCAGTTGACAGTACGATTCACAAGGGATTTCGTGGAACTTGCGGATTTGGGGCTGAGGAGCCAGCGACGATATGCCGCCTGGGAAAACTTGCAAATCGAGATGTCGCGCAGTCTTCGTCCTACGGAATAGGCGGGCTGTGCCTTTCAAAACCTAAAACCGTGATCACCTGGGTCCAGGGTGGAATCCACTCCCCATTGGCTTCTGAAGCAACATCTCGGATGCTGTGACAAGCAAGGCAACATTTGAACCGGCAGGTCAAACACACACAAACGTTGAAAAGATGCTCCCCAATATCCCCGGCGTCAATTGAGCACAGATTTTCTCGGGGTGAAGCTCCATCGTCGGCAACTGAACCCACGAGGTCCTACCGAAGACCCTCTCGTGTTCCGTGTCCTTCCAGGCCTCTAACGACGTTTGCGAATTAATTCCAGCTCAGGGCCTTCAATCGTCGATTGACTCAAACCTCCATAGCGGCTCATCGCTGTACTTGAATCTCTTGCCCGTTCTAACAAACTCATGGTCGACGGGATGGATCTCGTCTTTGTAGTTGATGCATTTGAAGCAGAGGTCAAAGTCGAAACAGTCATCGTGCATGCAGTGGTACCCTTCGTGCCAGATTGACTGCCGCCATGTTAGTGCGGTAAACGCCCCTGGCCAGATGCACTTCCCAGCGCATGATGGAATGCGAAGCACTTACGCAGCTGCAAGAGTCACAATCGGAGCCTAAATGTCGCGACCGATCTGGCTCCCAGCTTTCGGCATCGCTTGTCGTCATGCCAAGAGAAAGGAGGAGCTCCAGCTCTGTCCTCTGGTGAAAGCGAGCCACATCTAGCGGTGTCCACCTCTTCTCGTCTTTCGTCAAGAGGTCATCCGTCATAATATCCCATGCAGGACCGAATGCTTCCTGTGCCTTTTCTATGAGAAAGCGCACGCCATCATCGTCCACACTCCGACACGCCCAGTGGAGTGGCGTCCAGCCGTCAAGATCAGGCGCGAGGAGCAGGTCCATGTTCTCATTGGTCGCGAAGACCTCCTCCAGGACGAGGCAGGCACCGGCCGCGGCGGCAAGGTGAACGGCGTTCCGCCCCATCTTGTCGACGGATCGAATGGTCGATGTCGACGTCGTGAGCAGCATCATGCTCTCCCAGTCGCCTTGGAAGGCTGACAAGTGGATAGGGAGCTGCCCTAGCCCGTCTCCTTCGTCGGCCAATGCCCTGTTTATTTTCAAGATCTTCTCGACGAGGGTCTTGGGGCCGTAGAGAGCAGCGGTGTGTAGAGCCGTCCCATGCCTGTCGGTGCTCGCTGGTGTTGTAGGCACTCCGGCTTCTAGGAGAATGTCTAACAGCCTAATGCTGAGATCCACGTCTTTCCAAGCGTCCGCCAGCGTGTTCTGGATGGCGTTCCCGTAGTGTGTTCCAGAGGCATTGATGTCTTCTTGCTGCATCTGCTGGATGAGGTACTCGACGACCGGGACGTTTCGGCTGTACGAAGCCGCATTCAGTGGTGTGCCGAACCGCCCCGCAGGCTGGACCACTCCCACCAGGGCCGCCTCGTTATGCAAGTACTTTACCTTGTCGAGACTAGACTTTAAGCTGCAAGCCGCGATTTCGAGAGGTGTGCCGACCTTTTTAGGCCCGGAGTTGAGTGCTGCTCGACCCGTGGCGTGCTCAAGAACCTTGGCGAGCCCTGCGAGGGACCCCTCGGCGGCAAGATGAAGAATGGTTCGTCCACTACCGAGATCCACCTTGGCAGGGTCATAGAACTCCATGAGGACCTCCAGCTGGGATGTTGAATCCGTTTGTAAAGCGATTTTAAGGGCTTTGGCCAGACCTTCTCCCTCAGATTCTTCGAGCAACAGCCGAACGATCTCAGGTGTAGAGTGTTCGACCGCGAAGTTGAGAACAGTCTCGTGCTCCGCCAGCGTGCTTGACAGGACGAGCTTCGCGCCTCCCTGCAATAAAACATCAACACATTCTGCCTCTTCAGCCCAAATTGCCCGGCACAAGGCAGTCTCGCCACCCGTTTCGGCATCAACGTTGACGCCGGCATTCACAAGCAGCTCTAGGGACTCTGCTGAGCCTGCTCTCGCGGCATCGCCGAGAGCGTTGATATCGTCACAATCCACAAGGCCCAGTCTTGCTCCTCTGAGAATCAGACGCTCGACGCAGCGCGGATAGTCGTAGTATGCCGCCCCTTGAAGTGCTGTGTTGCCGTACGAGTCCTGGGCGTCGATCTTAGCACCGTCTCTGAGCAGCCTGTCCACGATGTGGGCTTTGCCCGATATTGCTGCCGCCCACAGCCCTTCCCAAAGGCCTTCTCTTGTCTGTAGATCGATGAGGAAGTCTATGATGTGGCTCTGGCCCCTTGTAATTGCCGCACCGAACGGTGTTCGTTGAGTACCATCTCTCTGGCTGAGCTGGTCGGCCGACCCCTTCAGCAGTTCCCGCGCGACATCAAGGTATCCCATTGTGCATGCTACGTGTAGTGGGGTCGTGAAACCGGTGGTGTCCATGTCCAGCTTCGCCCCCATTCCGGTAAGCATAGTCACAAGTTCAAGTGAGCCGACCTCAGCGGCTGCGAGCAGAGGCGCGTTAGGCTCCTCTGGAAAATAATTGATCTCCGCACCCATTTCTACCAGGCTTCTGACGATGAACTTGAGATTGCGCCGAATGGCAATGACTAGAGGCGTGTGACCAGAACGGTCCTTCTGACGTAGAGAAATCTTTGGACGCGGCGCAGCGTTGAGGACGACTTGGGTAGTGTCATTTGAGGACTCACTGAAACTGTCGTCATCGTCTTCGTTTACAGGGCTTGCCGCCCGGCTCGCTTCTCGGCTCTCTGTCTCATTCGAGAACATGTCCTTGCGGTCTAAAATTCTTGATGCAGTGGTCGCTCGATTGTTGGCCAGAGCGAGGTGCAAAATGCCGGCACTGGCACCGTCCGTTTTGCTGTAGTCTATCCCCTCGCAGGCCAGGAGAGTTTCCAAAGTCTGGGAAAATCCGTAGCGAGCGGCGGCGAGCAGGGCGTTGTATTTCTGCTGGTTCTGTGCGTTAACATCAACCCAATAGCCTTTGGTCCAAGGCTGTCCTTTGCTGTGCTTCAAAAGACACCCGACAATGTCGTAGAATCCGCGTGATGCTGCGAGAGTCAGGGGTGTGTTGCCGGACTCAGTCACCGTGTTAGCGACTTTGGTGGGTATGTCTGCGACGCCTTCCACCATGTGGAGTAATAATTTTGACATGATAGAGTGTTGCCCACCCACAGCCGCATGGTGAAGCGCGTTCCAAGTACCGGTTGGTGGTCTCCGCTCGTCCAGATCCCACCATGAAATATCGTGGTGGAGTAGGAGGTCAACCAGGTTTGCGTCTCCGTACGCAGTGGCCATCCCGAGCGGTGTGTGGCGGAGCATCTCGGCTGTCTCCAGTGACTCGTTCGCTTGCGGCCACCAGATCGTCGATGTCTCCAGAGTGGTGTCGTTACCGACCCGGATCTTGACTGTGAGTCGGCCGAGCAGATCCTCCGTGGCGGTCCGATTCCCGAAACATATGGAAGTCAGAAGCGCCCAGTATAGTATGTCATCGGAGGATTCGCCTATTGCCTGAAATAGCGTCTCCCTTATAAGACCGGACGCGGCGGCTACTGCATAACTCAGAGTATGTTCGGATGGAGACGGGTCTGCTGACAGGGAGGCTTGGACGATGTTCATATCGTCGGCTTCCGTGCCAATGACCAGTAGCGAGTCTGTGACATCGCGGTTGGACGACAATCGCATGATTGCCAATTGTTGAGAGACTTGCAGAGCTCTTGTCTTGCCAATCCCAAGACGGCCCCGGAGGGTTTCGGGCAAGATTAGGTGACATAGCTCTTTGTCGAGACCATCCAAGTTTTGCGCTCGCCGAAGGTGTGAAATCCAGAATGTTGAAAGGCCCGAATCATCGAAGAATGCCTGAGAGACATCCACAAGCTTTTTTGGTCTGGCAGTCTCATCCTCCTTTCCCGTGATATCACATGGGTGTGAGGCATGGTGGACCGTCCCAGATCCCCCACCCAGAATAAAGTGGCGGAGCCAGTTCGTGGCTGCATAGGCGCAAAGACGGGCGGCGGCGTCCGGTAATTCGAGTTCATCTGTTTGGGGTATTGCTGGGTCAGCCCTGTACTGACGAGTCAGTACTATGACGCAGCACTCTGCCAGATAGGCGTGAGATTGAGTAGGGGCAAAGTATTTGCTCCACAGATGCTCGAGGGCAGGTCGCACTTGTTCGGCGATGACCAACGCTCCTCCTCTTGTCGTCAAGACTCCAGGCAGGAGGTTTATTACGTCTTCCACTGTTCCATTGACGTCGCCGTCATTCAGCTTTAGGGCGACGTTGATCTCGTCAATCCGATTTGGTTCAAAAGCCTCTAGTGCCCACAGCATTGGAACTAGAAGCCATCGGCCATGCCTCCTGATGTTGTCTTCAATGAGGCTCTCAGCAGTGGATTGACTTGCAAGTGTTGTCCAGATGGAGTTGATTGACACTTCGTCAGCCAGGCCGGCGTCGATGCGAAAAAGCCTAGAGCAAGGTGGGCAAGTCGGAAGTCACCCGACGAAAGCATTTGCATAAGGAGAGCTTCTTGCCAACTGGCATCGGGGAGGCCAACCTCGAGGGATTCTCTGATCCATTCTTCCAAATCCTGGCGCAGTGGTTCGTGGAAATCTTCGTCGGCCAGATCCACGTTATACTTTGTCAAGACGTTCGGCGTCTGTCCCCGGGCAGATCGGCAGGCGACCATTAGTCTCAGGCCCATTTCTGATGCTTCCAAAAGAGGCCCCAACTCAGCTGCGAGCGCTTTCGTATGCGACGAGGAAGTGGCATCGATGAAGCAGAACGTGTCCGCATCCTTTGGGCAGTACAGCAAGACTCGGAGGCAGCTCCATAATGCCCTCTGCTGCCAGAGTTTGTGATCGCCCACCGCTGCGTCTTGGACGTTGAGCAAAAGGTCCTGCAGAGCAGAGGCGAGCTGTGGCTGCTGCCGTAACATTTGCGCGCACATGTTGGAGAGAATTTGCGCCTCTGACAGTTCGTCGTGGCGGTACAAGGTGGCGTCGACGCGGATGAAGACGGGCGGACGGAATTGGTCTTCCTGTTGGATCTGAGACCTCAGCGTGCTGAAGAGACTTGTTGGGTCGAGCATAGGAGGCGTGGCAACCCATAAGACTCGGGAGTCGGTCGAGTCTTCTCGCCAGGATTGCACTTCAGGAAGCAATGCGAATTGTGACGCAACTTTCCAGTACTTGAGCGTCGGGTCTTCCACGTCAAAGGTCCTGATTTTGCCGAGGGAAAAGAAACCCAAGACCTGCTGAAGGACTTTGCCATGGCCTTGCCGAAAGTCAGAGCTATTTCCCTGATCTGACGAGTAATAGGCTTGACTTACGGAAAGCGGCATAGGACATTTGATTCTGGAGATATCTCTTCCCTCGTGCTTGCAGAAACCGCCCCAGATTGTAGTGAGAACAGTCGAGTCCGATATGACACTCTCCATCAAGTCCCAGAGCAGCGCTTAGCTTGTGGATGACCTGCAGGTGGCCTTGCTTAGCACGCAAGACGAGCGGGATCAAATTGTGAAACACTCACGACGGAGTCCTTGACTGGGCTTGCTGGACCGGGATCTTGACAGACATTGAGAATGAACGCTCGAGCCGGCGCTCGAAACTCGACCTCGAGGTTGGTCATGGCCTCGGCAAAGTTTGGCGGAAAGGTCGCAATCCATGGTGATATAAGACCGCAATAGCACTGGTGCAAGAGACCCAAGGCGATGCCGTCCCAGCCTTGGTGTTTGGTCGAGCGATGGGGTGTGGCGAAGAACACCTGGTCTAGTGAGTATGTTCCAGTGCAGCGTTGCCAGTTTGCAGGTCACGCATGCCCTAGGCCGCGGACCAGTACTTACAAGCAGCGACGTGCTGTCAAAGATCGATCTGTATTTTTCATCGGACGAGGCCATCCGGAGACACTGCATTGGCGACACAATCGTCCCCTCATTAGATAAACAACCTCAAGTAGTCTTCCAGATATGAGCAGACTTGCCTCTTTGACGATCAGTCCTCCAACATCGTATGAAAAGAACTGAAGGGAAGCTCCATGTTCCTGCGAAGAGCGGGACGAAAGGTGAGAAGTTTACCCTGAGTGGGAATGGTACATGTAGTTATCCTACCCAAAGCTTAGAGATGTCGGAAACCTTCTCCAGCAATTGCGATGCAATCGCGCCAAGGCCAGCTCCCTGTGAAATATTCTGAACGAATTGCTTTGTCTTGTACGTGAAATTATAGTTGTACTGGCTCACGCTGTCCGCATCACCCGAATGCAGGGTGCCAACCTCTAAGTCGAAGTTAAAATTGCCGTCCAGCCCATGGACTTGAAAAGAACTGCCTTCAATCAGCATCTGATTCCCACCACCCCCCAAAACATATTTCGATTCGTAATGGCTATCAGAGAATGAATGTCTGCGTTGAACTTACACCACCAGCGGTCGCTTGAAATGGAGCGTAGATACTTTTCTTGAAACGACATAGCTCTGTACTGGCTCCCATTCCAACGGTAGCCAGGACATGGTGGAGCACGGAAGGTTGGTTGGTAACAATTGCACTGCTCTGAGCACAATCTTCCCGTCGTGTAAGATACAGTGGAGGGATTTACACACGTGTTGTGGGATGGCTTGGAATACGTGCAACACACGCGTGGCTTCCGCGATAGGCTCAAAGTAGAGCAAGGCGTGAGATACAGGCTTGAAATACAAGCGACATGAAGTGCCAGAGTAGAATTGCAAAGCTTGTGAAGGTACGCCCGTCTACGTACGCACAACACAGAGGCTCGAGCGTGTTGGACAGGCCATCTGGGGGTAAAGGCAGGGGCTTGAGGCTGTGGACATGAAGGACGGCGGGTAATCATTTGGCAACCAACCGTTCGGGCTGCAGCCTTGTCTCCCGGCGCCTTTTTGGACCAGGATCAGTGTGACCAGCTGAGAGAACATGCAGCTCACCGGCTCGTCTTCCACCCAAAGCCGGCTCCTCTTGTGCGAACTTTCTGCTCGTGGCAATGTACGATTGGTCGGAGACGAGGGTACTGCATGACAGCGCTGCAGAAGCTGAGCCTTCATGTCTTGGTGGTGCGACCACATGCAGGCAGGTTTGTCGAGGGCCGCAGGCAGACCCCGCGGAGATTCCTGGTCAGGAGAGCATTCCAGAGGCGAGAGCTATCAACCTGGTCAATTAATGCATCCTTCCGTTGGTTTGAAGGCTCTGACACGCCACAGCGGACAAAACGACTTTCGAAAATAGAACCCTGCCGCAGGATCTCAGGCCCCATGCAGACCGGAAAGGACCCGGTCTGGCATCAGCGCTTACCGCGTGGGGGCCAGCACAGTAGCAAGCAAATATTCAGGGCGCGGAGTCTTTACATTCGTGACTTCTTTCGCTTGGTCAATGGTGTTCAATGAGATGATCCCGAGTCTCCCAGCACTGTCTCCGGACATCGACGCGAGAGATATCTCGTTATGCCTTCCGCAACCCCACACGACAAACATCCTGAGATTCTTGATCTAACGATAGAGGATCCAGGAGCCTGGTCGTCGAGTGACGAGTCTGGAACCGACGACGAAGGGCAGAAGCATACAGACAACCGCGAGCAAGATTCTGCCGGCAATGGAAGCTTCAAACCAGCCGACCCGGAAGTTCCCGCCACATCGACGACCAAGAACATCAGCAAAATCCGTGGAGATTTCTTTCAGAATTTCATCGGGTCCTGGATCAAGGCAGAAACGCAGCTAAAGGACGAGGACTTCGAGGAGTCTATTCGAGAATGCATGGCAATTGATACGCAGTCCTCCGAGCCAACCTATCTCCATTCTGTTGTTGCCGACAGAATCCTTAGCCCGGACCAAAAGAAATTTCTGTTTCGCATCGCCTTTCGGCTAGACCCAGCTCAAGTACATCATACAGGCGGCAAGGAAGTTCGCTCCGCACTGCACCTTGCGGCTCTGTCAGATCCCCAATGGGCCGCCAAGGGATTGAAGAGTGGGAAGAAGCATGCAGTGGAAGAAAAAGAAGACCCGGGCTTGGTGCCATTCATTTGTAGCCTGCTGAAAAGCACCGTCAGCGGCACTGAAGCAGCCGCGGCCATCGCTGTAGCTGATGCCTGTGGAGATACATGCCTGCATATCGCGATCCGCCGGGACATCGTCGGTGTGATGGACCTCATCGACCTCAGTGACAAGACCACCTTCGAGAAGAAGCGTACCGGCGATGGCGCGACGTTGGGAAACACTCCGCTTCATGATGCTCTGGATTTCCAATGGTATCATGTGCAGGCACCGGCCTGCAAGACAAAAGAGTTGTTGGAGAGCATGGACATTGACGAGCCAACTGCGTCTAGCAAGGTATGCAGGAAGCGCAAGCCCTGACCACTATGCTGGTTGTTTCTCTTGCTCCGGTGCACGCAATTGTAAATACTGACGCCGCATCATTTGCTCAGTCTGCAACAAATGGTGGACAAGAATCGGCCTGCAAAGAATGTAGAGTCCGAAATCGCAAATACCGCGACACCAAGAAGAGACGGCGTGGGATCGTCGGCGAGATTCTGCGAACCTTTCCCGATGCTCTCGCAATGCGAAACGGGTTTGGGCTGTCTCCCTTCCTCTACCACCAACTTACCAGGGAGAATACGGTTGGAAAACTGCAAAGTAATGGGACTCCTGATCTCGCGACCCAGAAAGAGCCCCCTCCAACGCCGACTGCAGTGAAGGAGCCGCGATCTGGAAAAGTTCGGAGGGTTCCAACACATCTAGTCTGGGGAGCTGATTCGGGATCAGAAAGCGTCGACAAACAGCCGAAGAATCCCAAGGGTTTGGATAAGCAGAAGCCCAAGATGACTGCTCCTGGCCCGTCGTCGAACGGTACGACGATGCTTGCACCAGACTCGCCGCATCCTTCGAAGAAGAGGTCTAGCGGCTCTCGAGAATGCCACGATCCGGGCACTTGGCATCATCTCTCCAATGAGACAATGAAGCTTTTGATAGAGAAGTCTTTCTCTCTCGGAGGCCGTTATCGGGATGCCTGCCACTGCCTCTTCCAGGATCGAAATTTGGTGACGGACGGTGAGTGTCACCGCGTCGGACTACTGGAGGGCTTTGTCGTTGACCAGCATCTAGATCAAGGGCACGGCCGTCGAGATAGCTGGGAGCCGCCAAGAAGAATCACGCCGCAGACAATAAAGAGTTATGATTTTCTCAAGTTCGAGCCCATGATGGCGCTACTGCGCATCAGGCTGACCCCTGATCCCTGGGCAACCACACCCCTGACGTCGGATCGAAGCTGGGAAGTGATGACACGAGACGACGAGGACGCACTTGAAGCATTCTTCACGTGGCTTAAGGGGCCCAAAGGAGTCACGACGATACTCAAGCTGGTCGTCATGGAGAACCAAGACAGGCCGTGCAGCGAGCGCGTAGTGAGGGAGTGCTTGAAAGGTCTTGACGTTCGATACCTGGACTGGAAGAGACGAGACATTTGCGTCGACACTCTCTTGGTAGTTCCTAATATCGTCGAGCTTTGGCTCTACTCAAGCGGTCTGAATGCTGTGCTCTGCGGGTGGTCCGACGAGCACGGATTGGGAAGGTTCACAAAGGTCGGTTCAACGCTCCAACGCCATTCCCGTGGCATCGTTTGGAGTTGAGCTTTTCACACCCCAACCCTCGCCTGAAATGAAGCTGATCGATTACGAAAACAACAGCTCAGAAGAATTGCCATCAGTTCCGGTAGAGTATGTCACTATGTCCAGCTTAAGATAGGCATTGCTGTCTTCGCTCCATGTCATGTCGCTTACACAATGCAGGGGTTTGAAGCCGAAGATGTTAGGAAGGACAACATGAAGGTGTTCGAGCGGAGGCTCTTGAAATGGCACGAGATAAAGAAGAGTAAAATCGTGCCGGAAATCTCTATCACACCTGAGCCTGATCGTCAAGACACCATTGACACAAATGACAACATGACGAAGAAGAACTCAGCAGCTCAGTACGTGCCACGATGATCTTGGAACTGCTCAAGAGTCCTGCATCACGCATCACGAAAGCCTGCACATCATCAATGGTCTGCGCTAACCATCTCTCGTACGTGAACTAGGTACCACCCATGGTTTGAACATATTCGCCAATTCACAGCATCCTTACAGGGGGGGATTGGCCAGCTACAAGATGATGACTTCATCAAGATCGCCCTCATTGACGACGGAGTAGACCCAGAATATGAGAATCTGGGCTACTTCTTACATAGATGTGGCTGGCCACCGGCCTCCAAAATCACATATGGGGATGACGGCAGCCACGAGGGTCTGCGCGAACAGTGTTTCTATCCCGGCAGAGAACAGCATGGAAACAAGATGGCGTGGCTAATCACACAAGCTTGCCCCTTCGTCAAAATTTATGTTGCGAAAGTGGACGCTGTGCAGAACGAACACCTGCCTCATCCGTCATTCAAAACCTCAGAAGCAGTCAAGGTAAGTTCCGTCGTTCCACACGACCTCATGCGTGTCAAAATTGCCCCATGTCATTGTCTCCCACATGTGAACTAACAAGGGGGCGGGCATCGTCTGAATCAGGCCATTGAATGGGCGACCAAGGGGAAGAAAGTCGACATCATATCGATGAGCTGGAATGTGCAGCGGAACGAAAACCACCCTGACATCACAAGCTTGCTGGAAGCCGTCCGGAAGGCCAGCAACGCCAACATCCTCATGTACTGCGCAGCGAGCAACACCAAAGCCACGACCAAGTCGAACGATCCCTACTTCCCTGGCGGGTTCAACGAGGTGACGGCCATTGGTGCCGCCGACTGGGACCAGATACGCAAGCCCTACGTTGGCGGTGACGCCGACTACCTATTTCCAGGTGATTACGTTCTCAACGGCCCTGACGGAAAGCCGACCAAGGAGGGAGGCAACTCGGCCGCTACAGCCCTGGCGGCAGGTATGGCTGCGCTAATTCTCTTCTGCATCAAGAAGAGCGGGGAAGAGATTCGCACCCCGGCGAGGACTGGCATGGGAAAAGTCTTCGGCGACCTTCTCCGTGTCAGCGGGGAAACTGTCAACTTTGTGGACATCAAAAACCTGGTTTCCCAGAACAGCGACAAGTCCTGGCCGTCACATAAAGCCGTTGTGGATCGCGCCCAATCTTTGATTGCAGGATCGACAGAGTCCAAGACTCGAAAGACACGGTGAGGAGATTAGCAGTTGAGGGTGCATGGAGCTCGAAAGGTGTTTAAATGGATGCTGGACAGCATTTGCCTTCCTCGGCTACGTATGTAGTGCATACCGCGAATTTGGCCGGACGGATTCGGGTCTGTCAGGCAAATGAACAGTAATCAGAGAGGTACAAATTGACCATATCAGGGCACCAAATGCAAGTAATGGTGTAAGACAGCACTCTCTCTTCATCCAAGCCCAAGAGACAACTCCACAGATGAGCTACTCGCCACGGCATCTCGCCCTGCGACCTCACTATCACCGTCGGTTCCCTCTCCGGCATCAGGGTCGGGGGCCACTGTCTTGTCCAACGGATCCTTGATCAATTCCTCGAAAATATTGACGGAGCCGAGCTCCGCTGCATTATGTCGCGTGCGCCTGGCAGCAATGTCCGCGGGCTGGATGTCGTCATCATCAAGTGCCGCAGTCTTCTTCTTTAGGGCAGGCACGACTGTTGGGTCAAAGTAGATCGGATCGTCCAGGCGCGCAATGCCTACCGCACGCAGCGGCTCCTCGACGACCCGCTGGATGGGCCAGACGTTGGTGCGCGTGACGACAGTGGCCGAAAACTTGTCGCGGTCGCCAATGTTCCGCGCGAGCATGACAGCCGTGCGAAGGCGGTACGGGACGCCGCTCTGCAGCGAGGCATTCTCCGAGATTTCCCAAAGCACGGCGTTGTGCTTGCCGCTGTTTTTGGCCCAAAAGTGTGTGCTGCCCTTTATGCAACGGTAGTCGATCATCTTGTAGTTGAGCGTCTTGCTTGGGCTCGTCTTCGCCGAGACGTCGAAGAAGGGAGCATAGCCCGCCTTGATTCCAAGCTCGTTGGCCCTGGTCCGGCTGACGGCAACCACGGCCTCCTGGGACGTGACGGGGTCACTCGGGGCAACTTCCACGGGCCAAGGATGCCACATCGCCAGCGTCTCGCCTGGAGCCATGTGCGCACGGCGGCCCTCGGCTAGGAAGCGGACTTCAATCTCGACATTCTCGAGGCGGTGCGAGCCGGCCGGCGACGATAATAGCCACTCGAAGACAACCAGGGTCCGCGGCTCACCACGCCCATTCGTTTTGTAGCCATGGACGACGGCGATGAGGCGGCCCTTGACCCGGGAGCTAGCTTTGTCGCCCACGACGTTCTCACGGTGCAGCTCGCCAGGGAGGTTCTTGACACGCTTCCAGTCGGCATTGTCATCGTTGGCGTCCTGGAAGGGGATATCAAGATCCCACGTCTCGGAGTCATCCTCCATTTTGTGGTGTTCCGGGGGGAAGGCGCCTGTGCGCAGAGGCCATTGACTGAGCAATATGGTTCAATGTTGTGAGAAGAGCAAATACCTCCATTACCGAATTATTTACACGCCTGATGGCCTCTGGGCTATCAATCGGCCCTGTTCCTCTCAGGTGTTCTGCAAGCAACATGCATGTTGCCCTGAAACCCCCACGCAATCAGGGAGGTTGCCGCGCGTCTGAATATTGCATGGTGGCACCAATACATATCGGAGGCTCACCCTCCAGTCCTCACCCCGGTTCTCACCCGCTGGTGCAGGACGCGGGGTGAGGGGCGACAAGCAGGACAGAAGTACCAGCTGAACATGCCTTGTGCATGCATTGGCGCTGTTTGCAGAGGGCCCTGGCTTCCAAGATCAAGCGATGCCAAAGTCTGGGAGCAGCCGTCAAGCGACGGCCAGACCCTCAGTCTATTCAGGACGCAGCCAGTCAAAGCTATGCAGCAGCTCGAACGCGTAGACGTCATGGAATTCGCCTGGCACCTCGAATTCGTGAAAGGGACCTGGCGCAATTGCCGCCTGCTGGGGTTCGTCTTGCCATGCAGCTGAATGCGCCTGCCCAGCACCGCCATTAAGTGTGTGGTCCAGCACTCTGCTGACCACCTCCTGGATGGTCGTCCAGAGGCAGGCATTCGGTGCATCGGGACCTAAGTAGGCCAAGAACGCCTTGAGAAGGCTCAGCTGTTGGATCACGTCAGAACGTCGTGGCGACGAGCTGAAAGCATTGCCGCCGCGGATGAGCTCGCTGCAGAGGACCCCGGCCGCGGGGCAGGCGTAGCTGACAATTATCCAGTCGAAGTTGGCCTGTAGCGGATGTGGTCTGTCGCTGTTGCGCGTCCACAACGTCAGAGTCGCCTGCACAATGTCGTAGCTTGTCTCGGCGAGTTGTCGGTTGTAGTCGGTGGCGGTCGGGTCGCCACAGCATGCCTTGACAAGCAGACGCCGAATAAAGAATAGGTTTTGCAGATGCTCCAGCCAGGTGAGGACCTTGGAAAAACGCAAAGAGAGTGGAAGGGTCGTATCTGACACGACGGCGGGCGTATAACGCAGAGTGAACGGAAAGGTCTGATAGAGGAGCTCTTGATGATCTTGCAGGTACCTGTGTGAGGTCATCAGTCAAACGCCCAGATTAACGTTATGACGCTAAAGGCTTCGTGGATATCGATCTTACCGTAGACGCTCAACGTTCATACCTTCGTCTGCATCTAGAGCAATCTCCAGTATCTCGTCACGGACACGCGCCATCAACACGCGAGCCCTCATGATGGTCGCATTTAAAATCTCTCCAGTCCGGCTCCAGCCGTGCGCATTCACATTTGCACACACCGATATGTCATTCATGTTTACCTGGCCGTGGATCTGCAAGATAAAGCTGTCGCTCACATCTAGCGGCAGCGGCGTCGAACAGTATCTGCGACTGAGCATCGGTGGCCGGCCCGTTGTCACGGCAGCCACCTTGTCCAGCACATATACGTGGGCGAACAGCCGTCGTCCGATTTCGCGCGTGAGCGACGTATGCTGAGACTCGGACCGGGGTGTGATGTGTAGACCGAGGCTGGTCGCCACAGAGATGGCTTCTGCGAGGAGTCGAGCGGAAGAGGTGCCTATGGAGCGGTAAGTAGGCCGCGCCATCACGAATGCTAGCACCTCATAAGGCCACTTACTCGCATCGCCCTTACATACGCTTGCGACGTGGGAGTATTTTAGGAGAAAGTATAGCAGAAGCGTATTGGCGCTCTCGGACCGCCCACAAAGCATCAGACACGAGTCGGCACACTCGATGTAAGTCGCTATTTTGTCAGACATCATGTCGGCAACGGAACCTCCACTCCCCTTCCTGGCGCCTTCATCCTCGAGTTGTCGCATCATTCCCTTGGCCCATTGCACAAAGAGAACGCCAACGCCCTCCCAGCGTACGTTCGCTCCTGAGAACGAGGCAAGCCAGCTCTGCGCATCATCCTGCCCATCGGCCAGTGGGCGCCGCGAGTTGATGGCGAGCGTCCGCGCCAAGCGTTCGAAGACGCACTCGCGGTCAGGCCCAGTCACCGCCTGCGGAACGAACGCGTCAAATAGTGAGTCGCACATGTGGAAGACGGCTGGGAGAAGCCATCCATCGATTGGACTGGCCCCTCGCTGTATCAGATGTCTTGCCGTTTTTCGATCCGGGAGGTGCCTGAGCACGTCTATAGACAAGCCAAGCATATGCTCATTCACGATAGTTTGTTTCGTATTTAAAGAGAGCTCTTCGGGGGTCATACTCCTGGCTGTACCGTATGGTGAGGTAGCGAATGGAAGGAGATGGTTCTGTGGTTCTTCGAGAAACTTGGCAACCGTTGTTGGGCCCAAAAACCCTGGGCTGTCTTTGATCGACATCTTCAATTTTGGCTGTCGTGGGAATGACGTTATCAACTCGATTGTGACTGGAGTCGACAGTGCGATTCCATGGGCTAGGTTGAACGATGTCAGCTAGTCTTTGGTGTTGTCGCCTGGCTCGGGGGGCAGAATGCTCGACACGTGCACGCCACAGCCTGAGGATGCAAGCGAAAAGTTTCGAGGGTACATCCACTGCAGGCATCATACTCTTTGATGCATGTTCGAAAATTGACCTGACCTTTTAGACGTTCCGTCAGCACAGACCGGTGACGCCTCTGTGTCGGTGGAGTTCGTATTTACGAGTCACCACTAGTCCCTCTCTCACAATCTGACCAGACCATGAGTCTAAGGCGTTCCTAGAAGCGGCCGAACATGGATGCGACGAGGCCAGGCATGTAGGGACACGCTCTTTGTAAGTCTGCTGTCAAGATCAATTGACTCTGTTCGAGTTCAACTTGAGCTGGTGCGACCGCAGCAACATGAACGTACGCTCCCAATTTCTGCGATGTTTTCCAGCTGCTCAACCGCCCGGATACGCCAAAATGATCTGTTTTGTGGAAAAGATAAATTTATGTCGTCTGATGTCGAGAGAGAGATTTTTAAACACTCTTTTCTCGTGTTGTTTGAGGCTCAGTCGCAATAGCATCAATGTCGGGATATCGACGACCTGGAGCAAAGCAGTGTACAGCAGCACTTTACTAGAACTAGAGATATTATGGTACCTACTGGCCCCTGCAACCATCGCATGTTCTCACCCCTGTGCTGATATTTGAATGAACTTTCAGCTGCACTGGAATTTTGCTGTAGCTGCAGAAAGGAGGCATGCACGTCGTTGCCCACTGAGCAACGATGGTTTACACCCCACGCACTGGTGAAAAGACTCTCTACAAGCCCTCAGCCTAATCCGCGGCTGAAATCCATCATTCGTGGAGAAATGGTCAACGGGTCAATGGGCAGGAAATAACAGCAGACAGTCAACCCAGGTTGCTGTCACGAGGCAGCAGCTGGGGCTGGAAATACTGCGTGCCTGCCGTGATGCATCACGATTCACCGCCGACTGGATCGGCTGTCGCCCGGCCGTGCCTGACATTCAGGCTAAATGGAAACATCGTGCCCGATGCTGCAATGCCGCGCACTGCCGTCTGCGCGGCGCGGGTACGGACGCCACGACCCACAACCCCAGAGCCTGCCGTTCATCCCCATGGGCATACTCCGGCCCGCTGTGGTATGATTGATGTTTCCACCGAGTGGCCTTGAATCGTAATGGGCCTCCACTCGTCCGCCATATCGCCGAGCCCGCGTGCTTCCCTGACGTTTCTGGATTTAACCGCCGCCCCCGGTACATGAACTTGCCGTATTCCATTTTAGCCGGCTCGACAATGTCTCTCTGGGGTGCCGTGTAAGGGGTTGATCTGGGGAGGAGGCCGCGGGTTCGACGCATGCGGGAGACCGTCATGCGGTGTACTGCTGTCACGTCACGGTCGACGACGGCTGCCTTTCGTATATTCGTGAGCATGTCTACACGTAGGATCGTCGTTATAAAAGGGCATGTGCGTCTTCCTGGCACAGCCTGTTGGCATACTTCGGCTTCCACCCTCTTCATTCCGAGTCGAGCAGAGGTTGATTCCAGTCCTGACCAGTCTGGGTCCTTGTTCGTACTCAGCTGGACCACTTCGTCGGCTCTTCTCCTCTCTTGTCGCCTCAAGTCTGTTCCGCAAAGCAACACAGCATTCTCCATTCCATTGCACCCGAAGCTATAGCTACCTTATAAACTAGATTCACCTTGCCATACGCTCAAGATGGGAGGTGCCGACACGGGGGCTCAGATATACGATGCGGCCCTAAATCGCCGCAAGGCTCTCATGGGGGACAGTGGCCCCGCAGCGCTGGTAAAGAACATGAGAGTCTTCTCCATTGCTTCATTTGCCTGCATCGGTGGTGTGCTGTATGGTTACAACCAGGGAATGTTTTCTGGAGTCCTGGCAATGGCTTCCTTTCAGTCCCGTGAGCTCAATGTATCACCTGAGTGTACCCAGAAACCCTCGCTGACACCAACCTCGCAGATATGGGAGACTACGATCCAGTTGACGAGAACGCCAGCCAGACAAAGAAAGGCTGGTTGACATCTATTCTCGAACTCGGCGCATGGCTGGGAGCTCTGCTCTCTGGGTTCCTCGCAGAAGCAATTTCCCGCAAATATGCCAGCCTTGTTGCTACATCAGTCTTCATGGTGGGTGTGGTGATCCAAGCCACTTCAGTCCACGTCGGATACCAGGCAATTCTTGCTGGCCGCTTCATTACGTACGTTGATGTCTTACTCTTTCGATCAGTGTCCGAAGCAGCGTGTGGAACTAACGCAATATTAGGGGCATCGGGGTTGGAAGCTTGTCGATGGTGGTTCCCATCTACAATTCCGAGTGTGCTCCGCCCGAAGTGCGAGGTGCTCTGGTCGCACTTCAGCAGCTTGCCATTGCTTTTGGCATCATGATAAGCTTCTGGATTGACTAGTGAGTAGCCACCCCTCAATTCGTCTACACGGAAACCACTAACACCAGCGTTTCCAGTGGAACTAACTACATTGGCGGAACAGAGCTTGGGCATCAAAAAGATTCCTCTTGGTTGATTCCAATCTGCCTTCAGCTTGGGCCGGCCGCGGTCCTTTTCGTTGGCATGATATTCATGCCGTTCTCCCCACGATGGTTGATTCACCACAATCGCGAAGAAGAAGCGCGAGCTGTTCTTGCCAATCTTCGTGGCCTTAGCGCCGACAACGAGCTCGTCGAGCTTGAGTTCCTGGAGATCAAGGCACAGTCTCTGTTTGAGAAGCGCACTGTTTCCGAAAAGTTTCCTGCCTTGAGCCAACAGACAACCTGGAACACCTTCAAGCTGCAGTTTGTCGCCATCAAGTCGCTCTTCGAATCAAAGCCAATGTTCAAGCGAGTCATAGTTGCAACTGTGACCATGGCACATCAACAATTTACTGGTAACGTAGCACGGTATTCTTATTTGCTTGTGGTTGCTAACGTTGTGAAGGCATCAACGCGGTTCTCTACTATGCGCCCACAATATTCAAGCAGCTGGGTCTCAGTGGCAACACAACGTCTTTGCTAGCTACCGGCGTCGTCGGCATTCTAATGTTCATCTTTACTATACCTTCGGTCCTTTACATTGACAAGGTCGGACGAAAGCCTGTTCTGACCATCGGCGCTATTGGAATGGCAATATGCCACGTCATTATCGCGGCGATAGTCGGGCATTGGCATAGCGACCTCTCTGACAACGCGGCTGCAGGGTGGGCTGCGGTGGCCATGGTGTGGCTCTTCGTTGTCCACTTCGCTTATTCTTGGGGCCCTTGCGGCTGGATTATTGTTGCTGAGATCTGGCCACTGTCCAGTCGGCCGTACGGTGTCGCCCTAGGCAGTTCAAGCAACTGGATGTAAGTCAGCCCCGCCCCTCCCGCGTTCGTCAGGACGACTCTTGCTTACTGCGAATGACAGGTGCAACTTTATCGTCGGACAAATCACGCCCGACATGTTGTCGGATATTACGTATGGCACGTATCTCATCTTCGGAGCTTTGACCTTCCTGGGCGCTGGGTTCATTTGGTTCTTTGTGCCGGAGACCAAGCGACTCACCCTCGAAGAAATGGATGTTGTATTTGGCTCTGTCGGCACTGCGCAAGCCGATTTCGAGAGGATGGAGGAGATCAATCAGGAGATTGGACTAACCTCCATGATTCTGGCACACGGGAGTCCAGCGGCAGAGAATCCAAAGCTCCAGGACGAGAAGGAGGAATTGCCAGAGGTGGAGCATGAGTGAGAGAAAGGACAAAGCTGGTTAAACTTTATGTTGAATGAATGTTACAGGCTGGAAAGGAGCGATAGAGATCGTTCAACAGCGGCTCAGAATCGCCATGGTTACATTCTTCCCTGACAGGACCCTTTCTTTCCAGGCCAAGGACAAGCGAGGGCCCCTTTCTATATCAGACTTACAGTGGATAGACGAACCGAAGATTCTCGCGATCCGTCTGGTCAAGATCTTTGTCATTCAACCGGAGGATCCCATCTCCCGTGTCCAACGCGTCCTCTTCACTGTCGCTGCCCTGCTGTTCGAGCTTCGTTGCACGCACCTTGTTCTCGTGTTGCAGATAAAAGCGAATAATGATACACATGGCCGGGGAGATGAGCCAGAAGGCGGTCATGAATGACCACGGGAGGATATACCGTGGCTTGTACTTTTCCTGCCAGAACCTGGTGTTGTCAGCGACTGTCGCTTGACTGCGTGTCGGGTGTAGACTTACTCTGGGGAGATCATGTTTGCAACAGCAGCTGCAACAACGCACGTTGACATGAGACACAGCTTCTTGGTGTACCCAATGGTTGTGGTGCCGGCCCAAGAGAGGCCAAGCAGATAAGATGGCTTGAAGGTGGATATCTGCGTGCCAACAACGAGCGCGATCTTGTTCGACCATGGTGCAGCGACCTGCTCGGTCAGCAAAGCCTCGGTTTCGGAGTAATCGGTTACTTACCATGATAATGCCACCAACAAAACAAGGTATGTACGAGATGGCACACGTGTATCCCACCCCGAGGTCCGTCGCGTAGAGCATAGCAGCGGAGACTAGGATTAGAAAAGAGCCCCAAAGAGGCTTCGCGATATTGAAGAGGGCGCTCTGTGCGGGCGTGAAGCCGAAGCCAACGATGATAAGAGGCAGCTGCTGTGAAGTGTTGTTTGGCAGCTCGTTGAAAAACATGTGAGTGCTGGACTCGGTCAGTGTTTGCACTGGACCATAGTGCGAGCTTAACTTACATGAACAGCCAGCTCTTTGGATCCAGAATGCACTCCTTGACCTGGGCCCACTTGAAAGTCGAGTTGGAGATGCCCGCATGTGTCTGGCGAATCAGCTCAATTGTGTGTATCTTCTCTTCTGTGGAGAGCCACTTCGCGTCGACGGGTGAGTTGGGAAGAAACAAGATGAGCACCGCCGCGACAAGAAACGTGAGGATAACGCAGATGATGTGCAACCACTTCCACGACTTAAGCCCCCCAACCAAAGTTCCGTGAGTGTCATCCTGGATGAGTTTGTAGGCGACCATGGTGAGGAGGACGTTTGCGAAACTGCCTGATGCCCACCACAGCAACTGGACCCAGGGACTCTTCTTGGGTGGAAAGAAGGCCTGGTGAAGAACAGTCGTAGATGGAACGATTTGCGACTCGGTCTACTACGATCAGTACCTCAAGCACCTTTATACCAGAGTCCAACTTTCCACTTACCATCCCCAAGAGGAACCGCAGACCGATCATTTGCTTGCCTGTCTTGGCTAGGGGATGCATGCCCAGCAGCAGTGCCCAAAGCAGCAGCGACACAGTGATGAAGTACTTGTGGCCTACACACTGGGCGATGTATGCCCCAGGCCACAGCGCGATGAGATAGCCCGTGTAGAATACCACGAAGAGGTCGTTATACTCGTTTTTAGTCATTTGAACGTCCTTGAAAATGCCCATGGTGCTCGCTTGCGACAGGGTCGACTTGTCTAGGTGGATGAGAAAGGCGATCCACCACGTCTGAGAAAGCAAGAACCAAAAGTTCTTCTGGTTGAGGCGCTTGATGCCTGTATCGTCGATGGGCTTGACGCTATCCTTGTGGGTGTTGTAGAAGAGAGTCGTGTCGTCGATGTCGCGCTTCGAGACCATCTTTACTCGGCTGCTGCCGGGTCGTGTATTGGAGCCATCGCTGCCATTGTTGACCTCGGCCTTGATCAGTTTGGGATCAGGTTCGGCATCAGTAGCGACTTGAACCGAGTCGTTAAAAGGCGGCTTTTTCTCGGACATGGTGAGGCTTTTCAGGTGGTGGAGGAAATGAATCACCTGTGGACGAAGGATTGCAGTTCAACGACGTGAGCCGTCAAGGAGAATGGCTGCTGAGTTGAGGTCGTCAAAGTCCAAGCCAAGAGTAGATCGTCCTTGGCGAGGGAAATGCCAGCTCATGTGCAGATCCGGATCAGATCAATATATCCGTGGCCGGATTGGATCCAATGTGTCTCGATCAGCTTCGGGCCGCTGGTACATCACGCTGGTTGTCTTAAGCCTGCAGTAATGCTTGACACGAAACAGGCCAAAGAGGCGCAGGAGCCGAGCACAGTGGAGAAATGCAAAAATTCCTCGACTCGGAACGGGATGCTGTTCTTGGAAAAGGTGAGCAGGATAGACATCAAGGTGTCTGTTCGGCCGATCCGTGCTGGCTGTTAGTCCGAGGTCGAAGTCTTACTTTCGCCTCGCGAGCGTCAACGGTGCACTCGGTCCAAGGTCCCTGCAACGGCCGTCGGTGGTTGCCCAATGCGTTTAGGAGATATTAATAATGGCCTGCACAAACTTATGTGTAACCATAATAATGGCCGCAACGGGCCAGGCCGCGGGATGATCTACCGATCCGTAGAGGTTCGCATTCTAGGCTTGCAGGCTGCTGTTGGTATATTGCCCGAGGTGCTGTTTAGAGTCTTTAGACCCTGTAAGCTCGGGCAGACTCCGGTGGCGGGGACCTAAAAAGCAGGATGACATCCAGGCGGACCAGGCCAACGCCTGTTCCACCACCACACCTCAGCCAAGCGTGCAGGTCCTCAATTTCGGCGAGGCTAACTGCCAAATTGGCCGAGCTACAGACGACAAAACGAGTGTCCCGATATCAAGGCCGAATCGGATCCATGCATTTCGAGATGGGCAACCAGGACGAAAAGACGGTGGCGATTGTTGGTGGTACGCGTTCAGCGTGTGACATTCAATTCCCCCGCTCCTTGGAACGCAGCCTGACATAGAGTCTGATCAAGCGGGCATCTTTGGCCTTTCACTGGCCATTTCTCTGCGCAAAAGGGGTGAGTGGCTACGGCGATCACCTTCCTATCTGGCTGGTGTCAAGATCTTCCAGCTTGCTCACATGCACGAAACATTGAGTGTGGTGCAGGGCACAACGTCACAGTGTTTGACCAGCACCAATATGACAAGACGGGCTATCAACCGTCGGATGACAACCCCGAGCTGGTTGCGTCCGTAGATCACAACAAAATTGTCAGTCACTATAGCCGTACCTAAGACTAGGCCCTCAACGAAGCGTACCCGTCCAAAGAATCCTCTGCTGACATTGTCAATAGTTTCGGGCGTCCTATGGAACCAAGCTGCACTACCAGAGGCTCGCGCTCGAAAGCCGCGAGGCATGGGTTGGCATAAACAAGGAGCAGCGTGACAAAGACAATGGAGCCGAGGACCTCTTTGTCCCCTGCGGCATGCTGCGTGTCCAGCCCACTGCTTCTCTTAGCCAGCTGGAGCAGGAGACCCTCGCCAACATGACACGCGACGGCCTCCGTGACACACAGTTCGTTGAAGGAAACTTCGAAGATCGTGAGCGTGCCACTAAGCGCGGTTGGGGGTCCAAGCTTCTCGAATTCTCAATCCCCGACGATCCAGACGGACGTAGTTTTGAGGCTGTGCTGGACTCGCTGGCGGGCTTTACGCGCTGTCACAAGGGTTGCGCATACTTTCACCAAGTTGCCGAAAAAGTGGGTGTGGTCTTCAAGTTTGGACCCCAGCAGGGAAGCTTTGACTGCTTGATTGAGGAGCAGGTTAGTGGTGGCAAGAAAGCGGTTGGTCTCAAGACCAAAGACGGACAGGTTCACAAAGCCGATGTGGTTGTCATCGCAGGTAAGCAACGGTCCCTCGCCACCCTCCGCTCCGAAGTAGACTACTGATTGCTGCAGCCGGGTCATTCTCCACGCAGCTCCTGCCAGACCTATCTTACCACTTGGAATCCTCTGCTGGTAGTGTTGCGACCTTTAAGATTGGCGAAACTGACAAACAGCTCTGGGACAAGTACTCTCCAGAGAGGTTCCCCGTCATTACCTGGAAGAGTGCGCCCAGAGGTAAGGATGGCAAAGACACGGGAAGTGTGTACGTCTTACCGCGTACGACAGAAGGTTTCGTGAAGATTGGCTACCGCGGACTCAAGGTACACTAAATGTTTTTCTCCGTACTAAAATGGTACCGTATGTCCGCTAACTGGCGATCAGTTTACCAATTTTCGACCGGCTCCTGAAGGAACACCATTCACGCAGGATGGAAAATGGTCCATTCCTCTGCCACCTTCAGAGTGCAAATCACTGCCCTCGTTCTCTTCAGATGCCATCAGAGAGTTTGTGGCAATCTTCTTGCCCGAGTTCAAAGATGTGCCATTCTATTCGACCAAGCTGTGTTGGTACACAGACTCGCTCGACAACTCGTTCTTGGTAAGTCTCTAGTGCTCGTGATCTCCTTGAGGCTTTGTGGAACTAACAAAGCACGCTTGTCTAGATCGACTACGTTCCGACATATGCCGATCGTTCGGTATTTGTTTGTACGGGTGGCAGTGGGCATGGCGCCAAGTTTATGCCCGTCCTCGGCGAGGTAAGCAAGACGTAACGGCAAAGAGTCATGACGAGGGAGCCCCTAACGCTACGTAGCACGCAGCAGACGTCTTCGAAAATGGCGATGAGAGTGCCACTCCGATGCGTCCCTTTTGGCGCTGGAGAGAGGACCAGCCGAGGCGCAACGGGCTTCAGGAAGGACCAGACGGGCCAAGAAACATTGGGGAGAAAGCCGCATAGCTTTGGCTCCGACGACGAGAAGAGACTAAAGCTCACCAGAATAACAACCAGAGCTTATGTTCTTGGGCTTCATCGGTCAGTGTGTTAGCCAGATCAAGCCTTCGGGCAGATAGAGCTCATCTAGAGTATATCATCATTTGCATAGTACCAAAGTATCTCATCTCAGACTTTTAATCTTCACTCATATCTATGCCATTGACCTTCCGAGTGTACAGCCCATACACAATCATCTGTATCAACGTTTCTCAATCCACCGACCCATCCAGCGCTGGTTCAGCGACTTCGCCTCATCCACCATGCCCATCTCCAGAAGGAGCTGCACCGCTCCACGTACCGCCGAGTGCAGCGACGAGCTGATCCACGCATGCGTCGGCGCCGTGTGCTCGCCCACAAAGATGGTGTTATGTTCCGTCCGGTGATACGCAGGTATGTACAGCTTGTGCTGCTCCACGTCCGGCCGGCACCACGACGTGGCAGTGTGCTCATCCTGTAGCCAGCACAATCGCGCATAGTCTCCCGTGTACAGCTCCCGTGCCGAATCTCCGTGGAGGTTGGCTATCGCGTCGAGGACCAACTCCGCGTGCTGCGCGTCCGTCATGCTGACGAAGCGATCGCTCCAGTCGCCGCCGCGGTAGTGAGTGATGAGCCCCGGACGGCCCGTCTCGTTGAGCCCATAGACGGGGTAGTAGAGTGCTCCCACAGCCAGGCTCTCTGGCATCGAGTAGCCACCTAGGATGGGCCGCTCACCATGTTCCCAGAAGCGCTCGCGGAACAAGAGAGAGACCTTGCACGCTGACTTGAATCGCAGGCCGGCCTCGCTAATTGCCCGGCCTAGCACAGACGAGAAGTCGGGAAGGTCCATGAAGCGCGTCATTGTGAATGGCACGGCCATGACCGTGTAGTCGTATTCTTTGGAGTGCGAGGTGCGGTTGGCCCCTGAGCCGGCATACCACGAGAGACGGGTCTTGGTTCCACCTGTAGCCGCTGACACTGCCTCAAGCTTCGTGACCTTCCGATTCAGCGTGAGTCGGTCCGACACATGCGGTAGAAAGGCGTCCGACAGTCGATTGAAGCCGCCGTCGACGCATTTCCATTCAGTCTCTCCCAGGGAGTCCGCCCCTCCATCCTGTGCGAGATTTGAGTTGTGCACCATTTCGTCCCAAAAGACGTCGTAGTCGGTTGCCGTCCAGATTGCGTCGGTGACGTTTTCGCTGGCCTTGAAGACGTTTCGCATCATCGCCTGTTCGCTCCAGTCGTCCAGCCCATCGTCCATGGCTTTCTTGTGAGCGCGCCAAATGTCCTTTTGAATGGCCCTGAGGGTCTTTTCGTCCTTTAAAATGTGGTTCATTTTCTTCTTGGTGTCTTTGTACTCCAGGGATGTCATTGGGGGAGGCTTCCCCAAGCTCGAGTTGGAGGCAATCTCAGCGCGGGTCGGCACCCGACCGTCAGGATGCCTTCCAGTGCCCCTGGCAATGAGTTCGTTCGGGTGGTGTTGGATCCATGGGATAAAGTCCACTTTCCATTTGGGGTCGTTTCCGTTGAGCTCATTCAGCCAGTCCGCAAGCTGGAACGTCATCATGTGATCCGTGTATTCATGCGTCGAGTTGTCGCTCTTGTATCGGATCCTGTACGGCAGCCTCATGGGTCCCATCTCGGCAAACTCCTGCGTGCCGCCGACGAAGATGGTGCGAAACCGCCCGCCGACGCGTTCGCTGGCCTCGATTATTTCCCAGTTGTGCACGCCAACGCTGTCGAGCATCACCGCGGTGGCCAACCCCGTGACGCCAGCTCCCACGATGGCGATGGTGGCATTGTTTTGGCGAGAAGTCAGAGTGTTGTTGATTGAGGCTACCCCATCGAACCAAGCGCCAAGGGCATCAAAATCTTGAAGTAGAGGCTTGGGATTTGTCGTGTTTCTTGTTTCTGCCCTGGGCTCCTGAACAGGCTTGCCAACAGCCTGGACGCTCAGCGCCGCCACTACCAAGGCAAAGCTGCGGTGTAAGATACCCATGATGACTCCGTCACGACTGAGCTGCTTCAGGCCTCACAGCTTTGCAATGGCAGATGCATAGCTGATGGTTTTATCTACTTTTATGTGGCCACTTGACCTGATGTCACTCCAACAAGGTGAGGTACTCTTGTGGACGATCGTCCATCGCACCTGCATGGCTGCAGCACCTTGATGGACCGGAGTCTAGCCATCCGCTGAGTGATTATTGAAAGGAAGCATACAAGCTTAGTCGTTGAACTCCCGTTCCCCACTTGGACGATGTCCAGGCACTCATAAGCTACAGGGAACAAAATTGCAGGAATGCACGTTAAAGTTCCGCACCATGTTACGGCAGGCCCTGTCCTGCCTGTGTACTGGCGGTCAGCGATCAATGCACAGCACCTATCGCGCTTTCTTTCGCCAACTTCTGGCAGATAATTTGGGGTGCTTATCTTCTAGCTCATTGCGCGCCCATGCAAGGCTAGTACCGTCCCTCAGGGTTCTCAATGACCCGCGGATATGACCATGATCTAGTTGGGAAATACTATCCTCAAGGTGAACAAAGGACATAACGGCGATCGTTTTCTCCACACGATGAACACCCGACAATGGTTCTTGTAAACTTGGCTTGGTAAGGGACTGGCTTGTCCTCCAGAAGGGGATCATCGGCAATCGGGTCCCATCTCGCCTTTCTGTCACGTTCAAGTACAAAGTTTTCCTTCTTGGAATGTGCGTCGGCTTTGAGTTTTACTGGAGCCATTGACAGGTTTAGTTGAATCGGTCAGCTCAGGGAACCACTATGCGGTATCGTCAACTGCTCGTAGCTGCAGCTACGCTGATACAACCCAAAGCTACCGACGCGTACAAGCTTGTGTCGACAGGATCTACGGTACAACTCAATGGCATTCCATACTACGTACCTCAAGCCTCGGTCGGCCGGATTGAAGTCGCATTGCCCAAGACATCGGATGGGCTGGGACTGCTCCCCATAACCGTCATCAGCTCAGCGTCCAAGACCTTTGGTCCGGCCGATTTCGAGTCGGTCAAGATAAAGTTCAGCCAGACTGACGATGTTTTCCAGGATGGATTCCTCAACGGTAGCCTACAATACTCCCTGCCACCTATCGCGCAATATGTGATGCTAACCCAACCCTCAGCCCTATACCTCCAAGGCCAGGGTACATATCCCAAGTCCATCAACGACTGCACCATATTCTCATCGAAGCACAACACATCCTTTCCCCAGGGGCCCTACTTCATCTCTCATACGGGCTTCCTATATCAAGCGCATCGACTCTACTCCGACACTCAAGGAGCCTTTACCGAAACATCGGTTCTCAATCCCGATGGGTCATACTCGGTCCTACCAGCCAATATACCTGGTCAGTCACTTGCAGTCGCCGTCCCGTCGCGACTCTACTTCACGAAGACGCCCGAAAAGCCTCTGGCAGGTGTGCGCCTCGGGGTCAAGGACATATTCGATGTCAAGGGCCTCAAAACAGCGAATGCCAACCGGGCATGGTATAATCTCTATCCTGCCGCCAATGTCACTGCGCTAGCTGTGCAGAACTTGATCGATGCTGGGGTTGTGATTGTGGGCAAAATGAAGACGAGTCAGTTTGCCATCGGGGAGACTGCGACTGCCGACTGGGTGGACGTGCATGCACCGTTCAACCCACGTGGCGATGGTTACCAGGATCCTTCATCTTCTTCGGCCGGGCCTGCTGCTGGCACAGGTGAGCCATGGGTTCCTCGCGCTTCATGCCTGTTTGCTAACGCGCCAACAGCATCATACCCGTGGCTCGACATAGCCATCGGCTCGGATACGGGCGGGAGCATTAGGAGCCCCAGCCAAATACAGGGCGTGTTCGGCAATCGACCTAGTACGGCACCTTTCCTCTGGTGCTGAATGCCGCTAACAGTGCAGGCCATGGCTTGGTGACGCTTGCCAACACAATGCCCATTGCCCCTGGGCTTGATACCGCAGGCATCTTTGCGCGTGATCCCAAACTTTGGAGGACGGCAGCCAAGGCTCTGTACCGCGAGAACATGACCTTCATCGACAAGTTTCCGTCTAGCATCCTCACGGTGGGGTTCCCGACCGACACCACCTCCGAGCTTGCAAGCATGTTTTCGGGGTTCCTCAAACGCCTGAGCGACTTCCTGTCCGCGAACACCACGCCATTCAACTTGACCGCGTCGTGGGCATCATCCCGCCCGGGCGGTCAGCCGTTTGACGTCTTCATCAACAACACGTACGAGATCATCACGGCTGCAGAGCAGACCAAGCTCGTGCGAGACCTTTTCTACGCGGATTATGCCGCCGCACACGATGGCCGCCTACCGTTTGTCAATCCTAGCCCGCTCGACCGCTGGGCTGTCGCCGACGCTTTCCCCGGCGCGCTTGATTCGGCCAAGGCGAAGCAAAGGCAATTCCGCGAATGGATTGACAGTGTGGTTCTTGCCGGCGACCCGGAGACATGCTCCAAGCACCTATTTGTGTATGTGCCGCGCACGCCAAGGCCCAAGTACCGAAATGCGTACCTTCAGGGCGTGACGCCGCCGGCAGCTTTCTCGACAAGCCGCATCTCCGTCATCGGCGAGGTGCCGGACCTCGTTGTGCCGATTGGGGAGATGGCATACAAATCGGCAATCACAAATCACACCGAGTATCTGCCCGTGACGGTGGACTTGATGGCCCGAAAAGGCTGTGATGGCATGCTGTTTTCCCTCGTCGAGAGGCTGCTGGAGGAGGGTATCATCGGCGTGAGCAAGCCAGGGAGAAGCCTCTTGGGTGGCGGCGACATTCTTTTGTAGCGCGCAGCCTGTAGGCCGTGAATCTTGAACATAAAATTAGGCGACGAATGGTGCAAATTCGCTGGTATTCTGGAACACCCGAATTGCGGCGTAAAATGCTGGGTGAGATGGAGGTGGGGATCTCCCCGATTGGGCCGGCGGCGCTCTCAGCGCCCATGTTGAAGGGCGCTGGAACTCGGTGTTAGTCGGGTCGGACAATTCTGGAGGCCGAGAAATTTGTCATTGGCCAAGCGCCCAATCCGCCGCCGCTGCTGCTTCGGTGGGCGCGAACGGCGCGGCATTCATTCATCATCGACCCTCCAGCTCCTCTCTCTACCTTGCTGCATTTTCGTCCCTCCCTAACCACACCCACCGCCGCGACATGTCCGTTGTCGGAACACTGAAGGGCGACATGCCGCAACAAGTCAGATCGCTGGTACGTGTTCCGTTGCACCCGCCCGATCGCCCTGGGCTTGCACGCTCGGCAAGCTGCTCTTTCGCCACGAGAGAACGAGAGGGCACAGCGCAATGCGGACAAGTGTCCTCGCCGCTGGTTGTGTGCGGGGGTTGAGCATGGCTGACTGCGATCCAGTACCGCCAATTATTACGGCAGGGCGATCAGTTTGCCGCCTACAACTTCCGCGAGTACGCCAAGCGCCGAACGAGAGATGCTTTCCGAGAGAACAAGAACGTGCAGGATTCGCGCCAGATCCAGGAGTTGGTACAGAAGGGTCTCAAGGAGCTGCAGGTCTTGAAGGTGCGCACGGCTACGCCACAGACCCAGCGGAAACGGCAGTACGAGAGCTAACATAGCGCCCGGCACAGCGGCAAACAGTCATCAGCCAGTTCTACCAGCTGGACCGGTTAGTCGTCGAGGGCGGAATTTCGGTACGTGATAGGCAACGCGCAAATCATGGACAGCAACTAACTAGCGGCAGGGCCGGGAGAGCGGCGACCACGGCGAGGTCATGAGGCAGAAGGAGCAGGGGTATGTTCCGAACCACTCCCACGCAACGACGCAGCGACATTCTCTAACTGCGAAATCACACAGATGGAACTAGGCATTAATGGGGCGATCGATGTCGCACAGGACGACGCTTGTATAGTAGGGCGGGCCGGCACGGGAGCCCGGGAGGTGTACATCAAGACGGATACCACACGAGGCATTCCCGGCATCTCTGCCGTTGGAATATGACGTGACTATGGGCATAGACGGAATATCAATCTCAACCTCAATCTCGACCCATGCACGAGTTGCATGGCCATACGGATGGGGGACATGCGAATCACGCACTCGGCACCATATTGTGATCAAGTGTCGCGACTCGGCGATGCGAACGGGGAACCCCAACGCACGTATTGCTACGTATTGTTTTCCGTCAACTAAAAGAAACACGGGCTCGAGAGCACAGGTGCAAATTGAACCAAGCAGCATTGTATGCGTAAATGTTGCCCCTGTGCATCGTTCTCGCATCGTTGCCGAGTGGCAGAGTCGGGAAAGGTCGTGATTATGTCATCACGCTCACCGTTGTTCATTGGCTTTTTGGCGCCTCCCAGGCCAGCAGCCAGAACTGCAACCATCAATCCAGTCCAGCCACCGGTCTCGCGACGTGCCGGCCGTTTCGCGCATCGGCCATCAATCGACTCCTGCAATTGTCGCGATACCAAAAACGGTTCACCGGTCGAATCATACGTGTCAGGCGCGCAGTCAGGTCCGCGGCGGCTCACCTGACGTCGCGCTGCACCGCGCAGTTGCCATTGCGACGCCATGGCTCCAGGAGTTCGTCGTCCCAGCGCGCCACGTCGCTGTCTCAATCACGCTAACATGACTCTCAAGACGAGACGCGCCAATCGCGGAGGCTATGCCGAGCATGATGATTTCGAAGGTACGATGCGCTCCACGCTTGGGGCTTCGCGATGACTTGGGCTGACGTGACCAGGCCTCCCCGTCCGGCAATGGCGACAGGAGTGGGTGAGCATCGCGCCGCCTCCTCAGCAGGAGCTCCAGCAGCAAAACGACGTCTGGTCGCTGGAACTTATCCACGGCATGCCCAAAGACTCCAACTTGCTGCCGCCACACAGCCAGGAGCTGCTGCGAGCGGCTCGCTCAGGCCGCCTCTACAAGCGCCCCGCGCCCGTCGAGAACGAGGACGACGACGCCGATGCCGATCCCGACGCTGCGCCCGCCGAGAAGGCCGAGAAGAAGGAGGAGGAATCGCAGTCTCAGGGCTTCTCCATCAAGCTCTGGAAGCAGACGCCGCGCAATGTCGAGGCGCCGGCCGTGTCGCACCTCGCCAAGCGCAGGAAGGGCACAGTGACCATTGCCAGCAAGACGGTCGAGGACAAGTACACTGGTCCCACTGTTACTCGCGCCACTGTCAGGCGCCTCGATGCCGCAGGCAACCCGTACACTGAAGAGGTCACGCTCGCCGAGGGACATCACGTCGATGGCGAGATCATCTCTACGCGTGAGGTAGCCGCTGCCACCGGCGGTGACGCGCTGGCTCCAGCCCCACCACCGCAGAGGAGGAGGCCGCCACCTCCCAAGAGAAAGGCCAAGGCCGGGCCCGGTAGGGGGAAAAAGAAGATCAAGACCCCTCTACCTGGCGAGGGGCCGACCAGCGCGCCGGCCCCTCTGGTCGATGGTGCCGTGGCAGCTATCAAGACCGAGAGCCAAGGAGAAAACGTGCGACCCCAGAGAACCCCATAATCTACTGATTCTAACAACGCGCAGGGAGCCACCTCGACCGATGCGAACACACCCAAAGAGGACAGCGAGATGGCTGACGGCGACGAGGAGGACGATGACGACGACGGTGACGAGGGTGACGAGGGCGAGGAGGGCGAAGAGGGCGACGGCCAGGACCAGGATCAGCGACCTGCTCCTGACCGCGACCAGGATCACGAAATGCCCGACGCCGCCATCTCTATTGATCCACCATCTGAAGTTGTCTCGTCCGACAAAGAGCCTGTGCCGAAGGAACCCACACCACCAAATCCGCTCACCCTCGCACCGCCAATAGGCAGTCTTGCGGCTGGATCACCTAGAACAGAGGGAAGCCCGCTCAAGAATGTCACCCTGCTGTCCCCCACGGAGCCGTCTGAACCCCAGGACCTGCAACCGCTATCTGTGGAACCCACGCAGGCAACCGATGTCGAAACAGTAGTCGAGTCAACCGTCGCTGAGCCGCCCTCGACTATTGTCGGTGAGGAGCCTCGAGAAGCGACAGAGCGAGATATCCCCGCGGCCGAACCCACGTCCGCAGAGCCGCTGGCTGTCGTCAGCCCGCCGAAAGAACGATCGCCGAGCCAGCAGGCCATCAAGGACGAGACCCCCAAGGACGAGGCCCTGCTGCCGCCACCCCCCGAGCAAGTCGGCAACATCGACTCCCCCAAGCCAGATGAGGGGAGGTCGGATGAAGACAAGAGCCGGGAGGGCGAAGGTTATAGTGGGCCACACCGCCCGCCGCTGAGCCAGTTCGACTCTGCCATGACCGAAGACACCATCAAACCGGACGACTCCGCGTCCGTGCGTTACCCCTTGACCGAGTCCGGTGCTCCGTCCGAGGTTGGCACGGCCTCGGTGGAGGGCAGCAAGGAGGCGGGGCCTCCCGCTACGGAGCCTTCGCCGCCGCCGCCGAAGCCGGTCTCGCCGCAGGAAGAGCAGCAGCAGGACCAGGACCAGCCGCAGTCATCGACGGACGATAAGACGGACCTGATCGGTGGACTGATGGGCGAGCTGGATCGACAGGCTGCCGAGGGTGAGAAGCCCGTCGAACCTGCCGCAGAGCAAGTGTCACCGCCCAAGGAGCCCAGCCCTCGGGAGCCCACTCCTCAGCCTGAAGCAGTCCCGGAGCCGGCGCCTGAACCCCCGGTAGCGGAGCCGGAGGTGGCCCCAGAACCGCCCAAGGAGCCTTCGCCGCTGGACAACACCATCAAGGAGGAATCCACTCCGGTTCCGGACAAACCACAAACGGGGGAGGGCAGTGCTAGTGCGGAAGCAAAGGACGAAGCTATGCCAGACGCACCGGCCGCCGAGGCAGTTCCTCCCGCGGAGCCAACGCCACCAGCCCCGGCCGTGGTCGACGAGCCACCAGCTGAGGCCAAGGATGAGCCGCCTGCCGAGGTCAAGGATGAGCCACCTGCCGAGGTCAAAGACGAGCAGGAGAAGGAGCAGTGATGGCTGTCTCAGCTCATTTCAACATCCGTTGCGGGGCCTAGCAACAGCGTGGGGTTGGAAGAGCCCCGAGAGAAGCCCCCTAAGCATCTGATCGGGACTTGTGTGAGGAGTTGGTGTTTGTATGACAGGGAGTTTGAAATGGGACACGTCGGCACATGTGTTTATATGTCGAGTTTACATTGCGCTTGGACAGCAGTCGAAAATACAGTTCTGGAATATCGCTAGCTGAAACGCCCAAAAGCCCTTTATATGCTCGCCTGTGGATATGCCGTGCCGTAACGGTGCACCCCTCCCTTCATTTTCTACGCCGGCAGTGCCGTCCCGTTTCCTTGCTGATGCAAGCCCCTTTTTCTGCGATCCATCAACGCGCGCTCAATGCTCAGCCTTGCCACGCGTCCATTCATTCGCAGCTCTCTCGCGTGCGCGTTGCTCAGGCCCAACAGGCCAGCACTGACCAGGAGCAGCGACATGAGTACAATGGCGCCAGCTTGGCTCAGGTTCCCACTGAAGGCCGCGACGAGGTAGACGAGCAGCTTGGCGGCGGCCTCGAGGTAGCCGTCGAGGGTGGACTTGTCGCGCAGCCACGTCTGGGTCGTGAGCGCTCGGAGGTCCGAGTCCATGCCGCGCAAGACGGCACGACGGCCACCTCCAAGCTCAATGGCGTATGAGGTTCGCCTGTCTGGTAGTGCCGGGGGCGCAGACTCTGAGACGGCTAGTGAGGGTGGAAGCGGTTGTGATCGAGACGGAGGCGGCGAGGGACGAGAGCGTTGCTTGATGGACCAGATGTTGAGGATGCGAGAGATCATGAGGGCGAGGATGAATGCCAGGCCCCACCAGTCGGCGAGAAGTATCATAAAGGTTAGGGAGGCGACAGTAAGGAGTGGGCTTGCGAGGTAGAAGAGGTGGCTCAGCCAGTCCACCTCGCTGATCTGCTGGACAACATCTGTAGCATTCAGTGCCTCGGCTTGCTCATGTGCAGGCTGCTTCGGCCGTCGACGCCACCAGCTGCCAAAAGCCTGGCGTAGCCGCTGGATCTCTTCCCTGCCTGTCTTCTCCTTGAGCATGCCCACGTCGAGAGTTAGGGTCCCAGTCTCGTTGACCTCTTGCCATAGCCTGCGAAGATAGTTGACCATGGCTCTGTTGGAGACGGGGAAGCGCGTCTGAGTATCGCCTTCGACAGCAGAGTCGCCATCACTGCCTCCGTCGGAGCCCGAGGAGGGCCGCCTCTGGTCGAAGAGGGCATCGGCAGCCTGTTGATAGTGCAAGCCGGGGGCGAGCACCAGAGCGTCGAGCCAGGACGAACCACCGGCGATGACTGTGCGCTGAGCGATGGTGTTGAGATCGGCGAGGGCAAGGAGACCGCCGGCCGAAAGGGTGAGGTTCGGGATCGGAGTGGGGGACCACGAGGAGATGAGAGGCCGGGTCGTCGTTGAGTTCATGGTGCTGGCTCTACTCCGCTAGTGGCTCGTGCATCCGTCGCGCGAAGGGTGAGGACGGACACCTCGAGCCTGGGCCTTCTGCCACGGCTACAACATGGCGTGGGCAGCGACTCGAGATCGACGGTGTTGCATAAGGAATATTGGGGGTCGGTTCCTGCCTAGAGTACAGTGTGAGCATCCTGCTTGCCTGTTCACAGTCGATACGGGGAAGGAGCGTTCATACTGCGAGAACTCGCTACGCGGGGCGTTCCTCCCCTCGTATAAGAATTGAAGCCAATGGTGTCTACAGGCCGCGATAAAGCAAAGTAAAGCGGAAGGCGTCCCGAGATCGCACCTACCCGCGGCATTCAGAGACAAGTCACGGTAGATCTTCACGTGCATGGTGTCGAGGTCGAGGGGGTGGGTGACCTCGTTGGCTGCGCCAGTGCGACGCAAAGTGACGGCATCAGCGGTTACAAGCTCCGGTTTGAGACATGGCACCAAGTTGGTTGGCAGCCAACTCGGGGAGGGAGGGCTGAAAGCCAACACGCAAGCCTCTCTGGATGCGAAGTCGGGGTATTTCGTCAGTAACTCCAATGAAGTTAAACGGGGACAAAAATCACAAGGCACTTGGCGGGCTGGTTTGCATAATGTTGGCGATGAATTACAAGGGCCTGTCGTCGGCTGTTCTACTGCCGCATCTCGACGTCTTGGTGGATGTCACTGGGCCGTATTGGTGGCCACCCAAGACAAGCTTCCTCAAGTGCAACCCGGCTTCTCGCTGCACGTCACCGCCACACATCGATGCCTGCGGTCTAGACCAAGCTCGAGTGTCACAAGCTCCTTCAAAGGTAGCATTCCTCGCCGCGAAACGGACGCCATTTTAATCCGCACGTAAAACGTACGGAGGACCACACCAAACCCTCCGCGGGCAGGGGACCTGTGAGCTACCCTATACCGAGTTTTGGCGACCCCTCCACGATGACTAAGCGAACAGAAGCTCCCTAATCGCTGCTCCCAGCTGACGCCTTCCTGACAGCCACCAAGCTCGAGCTCCCGCGACAGCTCAGCTCCAGGACAAGTCGCCATCGCCAACATGCGACGCACACTCCAATCGGCCCTGCTACTGGGTCTGTCGACCCTCGCGGCCGCCGTATTCAAGGACGAGGTCGGCGACATCGACTTCCACTACTCCCTCCTCGGCTTGCCGCGACAAGACGCCACCTTCTTCCACCGACCGCGCAGGGACGAGAAGGCGAGCCTGCTCTACACAATCAGTGACCTCGGCGTCGTCGGCGCCGTTAATCCGAGCAATGGCGACCTAGTATGGCGACAGCGCATCGCTGACGATGCCGACGACGTTGCGGCGCCCGGATTCCTACGCGCGCCTGAGGGCGAGCACTGGGTCGCGGCGGCTCAGGGCTCAAAGGTCCAGGCCTGGGGGGCCGCGTCGGGGCGCAATATCTGGCAGACGCAGTTCAAGGGCGAGGTGAAGGATCTCGAGATTCTCGAGATTACAGAGGCCTCGCGCAAGGACGTCCTGGCGCTTTTCGACGAGGATGGCGTCACTGTATTGCGCCGCCTCCACGGCGCCCTTGGTACAGTCATCTGGGAGTTCCGCGAGCACAGCAAGGACGTGCCCCTCCAAGTCTCCAACAACATTGCCAATGTCTACGTCGTCAGCCTCCACGGCTCGGGGTCCTCGTACAACCTCAAGGTCACGTCGCTCGATACGGCTACCGGATCGCGCGTCGACCACTGGTCCGTCGGCACCAAGGGTGACATCCATGGGCCCAGCGATGTCATGTTTGTGGGCGCCAACTCGGCCGCGCCCATCGTCGCCTGGGCGAACAGCGGGCTGGCCAAGCTCAGCGTCAACATACTCGGGTCCAAGTCCAAGCAGGACTTTCATCTCCCTCCCGACGCGGCGTCGGTCCAGATCCACGCCCCGCATCTTGCGCAGTCGCAGCCGCACTTCCTGGTGCACATCCAGACCAAGCCAGACGGCGCGGGAGAAAAGAACAACAAGGCCATCGTGTTCCACACGAACCTGAAGACGGGGCAGAGTGATATTGCCTACGAGCTGCCATACTTCCGCGGCGAGGGTGCCTTTTCTGTGAGCTCCGAAGGCGCCAACGTCTATTTCACGCAAGTTGGCAGCGAGGAGACCCTGATCGTCTCATCTGACTCCCACGCCATCCTTGCCCGCTGGCCCGTCAAGCAGGACGCCAAGGTTCATCCAGTCGCCGCTGCATCTGAGGTCGTTAAGAAGCCAGGCGGCACGGAGTTCGCCGTTCGCTCTGCCGTGCTCACACAATCCGACGACTGGACACTCATCCGCAATGGCGAGAAGGACTGGACCCGGGTTGAGGGCCTGTCTGGCGCCGTGGCCGCGGCTTGGGCTGAGATTCCCGAGGGGGAGGACCTGGCCAAGGTCCTGGCCGAGGAAGCCCACACGAACCCATTGTCCGCATATATCCACCGTGTGACGCGTCACATCGAAGACCTGCAGTACTTGCCCGGGTACTTGGCTAGCATTCCTGGCAATGTCATCAACAGCATTGCAGGTGGCGAGATCATCGGCAAGAAGCCTGGTCTCCACCGGGATACGTTTGGGTTCAACAAGGTCCTAGTCGTCGCCACCCGTCGAGGGCGCTTCTACGGCCTCGACTCTGGCAACCGGGGCAAGGTCGTTTGGACGCAAGAGTTCTTCCCCCGTGATGCTAGCAACCCGCTGGAAGTCAGGGCGCTGACAGCAAACGGCGAGGAGGGTCTGATGATTGTGTATGGCGCCGAAGGCGAGCATGCCACCTTCAACTCTACGACGGGAGCTTGGCGTACCCTTGTCGGCGCCGCTGGCGACCGAGACGCCATCTCCAGCGTTGCTGTCGTCGACACCGAGTCCGACAAGCTCCTGCTCCCTATTGGTCCGGATGGACTGCCGGCGGGGGATCTGCCCCCTGGTTGGGATGCTGGCCGGACCGTGGTCGTGCGAAGCGGTGATGTCCTCAAGGGCGTCAAGTACGGCTCCGAGGGTGGCAAGGTCACCAAGCAGGACATCTGGCAATTGCAGGTGTTTGTCGGGCAGAAGATTGTCGAGGTTGCCAGCCTTCCGTCGCACAACCCCATCGCCTCTATCGGTCGTGTCCTGGGCGACCGCCGCGTCATGTACAAGTACCTGAACCCCAACAGCCTCGTCGTCGCCGTGGCGGACGAAAAGGCCAACAGCCTGTCCGTGCAGCTCCTCGACGCTGTCTCTGGCCAAGTTCTCGCCTCCCAGCTTTACGACGGCGCCGACTCGGCCAAGGCGGTGTCCTGCGCCATGGCTGAGAACTGGTACGCGTGCTCATTCTTCGGCGACTACAAGCTCGACGACAACACGGATCGCTCCATCAAGGGCTACCAGGTGGTAGTCTCGGATCTGTACGAGTCGCCAGACCCGAACAGCCGCGGCCCGCTGGGTGAGTCGGCCAACTTCTCGTCGCTCAACCCCGTCGACAGCCCGACCGGCGTGCCGCTGCCGTGGGTGGTCTCTCAGGCGTATGTCATGTCCCAGCCCCTGAGCACCCTGTCGGTCACGCAGACGCGCCAGGGCATCACCACCCGGGAGCTGGTCGCATACCTGCCGGAGTCGCACAGCATTCTTGGCCTTTCGCGGCACGCCATCGACCCCCGCCGGCCGGTCGGTCGAGAACCCACGGCCGCTGAGATGGAGGCCGAGGCGCTGATGAAGTACGCCCCCGCCATGGAGATTGACCCGCGCAGCATTCTCTCCCACGAGTATGACGTCGTCGGCGTCAGGGGCATCGTGGCGGCGCCGGCGCAGGTGGAGAGCACGAGCCTGCTGGCGGCGTACGGCGTGGACGTGTACGTGACGCGGGTCGCCCCGAGCGGCGTGTTTGACATTCTGGGCCAGGGCTTCGACAAGGTGACGCTCGTGGGCACGGTGCTGGCACTGCTGGGTGGCGTCATGTTTGTTGCCCCGATGGTACGTCCTCTTTTACTCTCACGCCCCAACTCTCACTCATACTGACATGCTTCAGGTCCGGAGAAAGCAGATCAACATGCGGTGGGTGGCCAACTTTTAGATGTAGACTACGTGTATGAAACAAAAGGAAGTTAAAAAAAAGATGTTTCGATTTCTGTCTTGCCGTTGCGGGATCCGGGATCCAGCTTGCTATTGCTACAATGCCCGTCTTCAGGCCTCGGGCCAGTTGTCGTTGATGGTCACACAGCTGCCATTCATGCCTCGCCCTCCGCCCTCTGCCAGAAAAACCACCGTCTGCGCCACGTCTTCGATCTTGGCTAGGCGGTTCCCCGGCTGCGTCTCCATCATCTTGGCCATGCCCTCGCGGTTCACCCCCCAATGACGCGACTTGGGCTCATCCTCCGTTCCCTCGTCCCCAACCTGCAGAGCGAAAGCATCGCTAATGTTCGTGTCGGTCAGGCCGCCCAGCGCGAGCGCCACGCACGACACGCCCTTGGGGCCGTAGAAGCCGGCCGTGTTGCGCGTCAGCCCCAGGAGGGCGTGCTTGGACGCCGTGTAGGCCACGCCCGCGGACAGGCCCCTGAACGAGGCGTTGCTGGCAATGTTGACGATGAGCCGTCCGGTGTCGTCCTCCTTGCCAACGGCGGCACCATCACCCGCACGGCCATCTCCATCCTCCTGCCGCTCCGCGCCGTCATCCACCATCATCGGGTCCGCACCCGTACCGTCGCCCTCGACCACGCGCGGTCGGCGCTTCAGCAGCCACGGCAGCGCATGCTTCGTCACGAGAAACGGCCCCGTGGCATTGACACTCATCACGCGGTTCCACACCTCCCCGTCACACACCCCCGCCGGGTCGAAGCGGTCCATGATAGCCGCGTTATTCACCACGACGTGCAGCGCGCCGAACGCACTAATCGTAGCCTCGATGAGCGCCTTGACGTTGGACTCCACCGTGACATCTACGGGGTAGAAGCGCACCTCCGGCGGACTCACAGACGAGGACGGCGGCGGCGACGACCGCGGCTGCGAGGGCGATGTGCCTGGCGTCAATGGCGTGGGGCTCCGCAAAAACTTGTGCTCGGCCTGGGCGAGCCACTCCGGGTTGATGTCGCAGACCATGACGTTGGCGCCCGCGGCGTGGAGCGCCCGCGCGATGGCCAGCCCGAGGCCGCCGGCTGCGCCCGTGACGAGGGCTGTCTTGCCGAGAAGTGACATGCTGAATAACTGGACGGGGGCGTGAAGTGTCTGTCAGTGTACGGTCAGGTTTCATGGCGCGGTGCTGGCACAGGCACGAGGACGGGCATATCTCGTACGTTTGTTGATGGCGTAGGTGGTAACAATCCAGGCCGTGATGCCGTAATCCCAACAATAACGTAGACAGCTAGTGGCTATCGAGTTTATTTCATGTACAAGCCCAAGATCGTAGTATGGTGCCGTGGAATTGTCGGAGCTCCGCCTAGACGCAGTGACAGATGACGGGAAAGGAAGAAACGGTCTCTCTCTCTCCCCCCTCAGGCGATCTATTCCCCAAGCTAGGTGCCTCGCAGCTGCCTGGGCAAGATAGGTCGTTCATATAGCAAACCTCCCATCCGCGCGGAAGGTGAACTCGCAGCTCAACCTCGGGACTTACAACATACACTAACGTACATCCCCTTCCTTGGACCGCTACGACAGTACGCAGGTCCGGCTCCCCTTCTCCTTCTCTGCCCTCCCGAGTATCGCTTCCCACAACAGCCTATCCACTCCCACAGACGAAAGGAACCATCTCGCGTGTATATCATCGTATTCGCATTGGCGGATTCTGGCTAATCGCGGGGGCTCCGTTTCGCAGCTGCCTCCCCCCTGGCTCGGGGTGCCTGGCTGTGCCTATGCGGTCCACGATGCACTCCACGCGCTAGCGCCCGCTTGCTGTTGAAATGCCGTGGATCCCGCATGTCATCCCGCTGTGGGGACCGTCAACGGCATGCGGACCGAATACGAAGGATCGCGAGGTGCAGCTCGAACGATCCCGGTATTCGCGTATCTCTTATAGGTACGACACCGGCTAAATTCGAGGGGCTTGTGCCGGACACCGTCAATCCTTGCCAGCCTGCGCAAGCAAAGCTTGTGTTGCTTGGATCCGTCCTATTCACTCGCCTGCTCTAAATATCTATGGGATTTCCGTAAAGTCATAAACACGAACCAGCCCAGATCACGCCTAGCAATCGGTCTTCCAGTTCTTCTTGATCCACTCGCCCAGCTTGTACGTCAGAGTCCCATCCATGTAACGCTGGACGTCGTCATCGCTGAAATCGCCCCCGCTGAACTTGAGCGCTGGAATGATCCACGGCTGCACAAAGTCGATGAACACCAAGTCTACCTTCTCCGGCTTACCCTCGTCGGGGAATTCGATCTCGGCCTGAATGCAGTTGGGCACGGCATGGAACTTGATTTCCTTGTGTACCGTGTCATCACCGTCGCTGCCAATGTCGTCCTTTGTCGTGTATCCCGGAATCAAGTCGGGTCCGTCGGAGGTGGGAACACTTCGCAGTTCAAGACGTGGCTCCTCCTCTTCAGAATCATCGTCAACGAGACCGACGCGTGTTAGATCCTCAAAAGTCATTTGCTCCGGAATGTCGAGGAATCGCGAGTGAGTCCGGTCCGTTTCAAGCACCTTGCCCGCGCTGTTGAGCAGTCCAATCACCTTGGACGCCACGTCGTATGGCACGTCGGGGACGTAGCTGAAGCCGCTGGTGAACGGGCTCACCGTGTACGTGCTGTCACGAGTGAATGGGCCTTTGAAGATGTCAAAGCGGATGCCGCCCGTGTTAACAATCGCAAGGCGCGACTTCTCCTTTCGTGTGTCGCTCACAACAATGTCTGGCAAGACGTCGTCTTGCAGCCACGAATAGATACTCTCGTTGGACGGGAACTTGGCCCGGGACATCCAGAGGTCTTTCGGTGCGCAGCCGTACTTGTAGTCCAGCTGGAGGGCGTCCCGTGCCCTGGAAATCATGTCGCTGACACGTTTTCCATGCTTTGTGGGAAATGTCGTCTCGTTGAGCCCCGTGTGGTAGTACATGCCAAGCAAGTTGTTGTCCATGTATTTGCGGGTGAAGCTGAGCGACGCCTCGGCCGAGACGTCCTTGTCTGGTTTCTTGGCCTTCTTGATTCCGTCGACCGACATCCAGCCGATGGTCTCGAAATATCGGCCTGACGCCATGGCAAAAGACTGCGAATCGTAGCTGAGCGCGTCGCGCACATGGGCGTGCCCGCCAAAGAAGACGATGGGGGTGTGCCAGTTTTGCTTGCGCAGCGCGGTGAAGATTGTACGGAACTCTTCCATGCGGAGGCCGACGTGCCCGATGACGACGAAGAGGTCCGGCTTCTCTCGCATAGCTTCCTGGAACCATTCCTCTTTGATGGTCTCCGCCACGGGCTGAACGACGCTGTTGTTGGCGTTGCCGGTAAAGTCGAACAAGAAGCCAAAAGCGACAATCTCCAGGCCCTGATTCTTGGTCTTGAATTTGCGGTAGCGCTGGGCCAACGGCTTTCGTTCGCCAGTGGTCGAGTCTATGTAGTCGAGGTTGGAGGCGATGTAGTTTTCCCTAAAGTTGGGGACAGTGGCGTTGTGCTCGCGGTCGGCCGAGTAGGCCTGGTACAGCTCGTGGTTGCCGATGCATATAATGTCGACATTCTGCTCGGCGTAAATATCGTACTGAAATAGGCCCTTCGGGGTGGATGCGTCATAGAGCCCGTTGCCCTCGATGCGATCGCCCGTGTCGACAAGCAGGAGGTCGGCGCCGGTATCATCGGCCCGCTTGCGCATGTGGTGGGCGAAGGAAATGTAGTCTCCCCAATCGGCAGAGTACTGCGGTCTGTTGATTGTCCGTCAGTACCGGGCAACGATGTGAAACGATGGGTGGACTCACTCTAGAAGATGTCCGCCGAGCCAGCCGTGGGTGTCTGTCGTGTGAAGAAAGTTGAGCTGACCCCAGGTCAGATCTCGCATCGGGGCAGCCACTGGGTCAACAGCTCCAGGCTGCGCCGCCCTGGCAACGAGGACGAGCGAGGCGCCCAGCACCGATCGCGTAAACATGGTGGCGGGGTATCAGGACGTTGCCATCAACTTGTATATGACGCGTTGTCGCAGCAAGGCCGGTTGTGATGGGAGTAAGGCTTGTTGATGATGGAGTTGAGGTGGAGGAGGAGAGCGTTGGGATGTCAACGACCTTGATGTCTGGCCTGAACTGTTGACATCAGCACGTGGCGCGGCACTGGGGCAGGCGTGCCTGACGCACTTGCCGCCTGCCGCCTGCCTCTTGCCTCTTGGAGGTACGAGGTACACATGACCCGCGCCATGCGCTATCATGTGACCACTGGTGTTGCTACGCCTCGAACTTCATCAGACACCATCACCGCCTGCCTTCGAAAAGCTTCACTTGTTCCATCTCCAGGCCCGCCCACCGCATCGGCGGCGTCCTCGCTGGTCGAGGCTGCACGTAACTTGATGGAGCTTGACGCGACCGACGGAGCAGTGGGGCCGCGGAGGCAGGCCGTCGAGCTTCTGCGGCTCCCCCTCCGCAGGGTCCAACGACTCACTCGCGGCATGTCTTCACGGTCAGCGTCATTCCGCATTAGGAAAAAACCGTGCAGCTTGGCATTGCTTGTCCAGCGCCCGTCGAATGGCGTCCCGAACCAGCTCTGAGCAAGCCCGAACACCCCGCCAGGTAAGCCGTGGCCTCTCTTCTGCCTTGCGCGGTCCAGACGCCTGGGTGGCCCCTCTGCGTGGCCGTCGAGTTCTTGGTGCCGGCTCTCGGAGTCGGACTTGGATGCCCCCGAGTGCCAGATCGGGGAATAAGCAGGCGTGTCGCTGGCATCACCCAGTGGGGCGAGCTGATGAATGCCTCCGCGTCACGGTCACGCAGCCGCATCATCCGCCTCGAGCGCTGTTTCGTTTCCCGCGACGACCGTTGCAGAACAATGACGGGAAAACGGGTTGGTCGTTTACGGCCTCGGTGCGTGCCATACGGGCCCCTCTGAGCCCGCGGCCCTTTGCACCGATCGCCAGTCCCCTGGTGGACCTGAAGACCGCCACTCGTTTGGGTCGCTTTCACGCCTGTGCAGCGAGTGCAGATGCTGGGAAAGGGCCCGAAGCGGATTGGGCCGTCTTTCAGCCCTGCGGAGAAGGTTGCGGCGGCGCCAGTCTCAGAAGCTAACATGACTTTCAGACTTGTCGCAAGGGCAGGCTGGGCCAGCAGCCACCCGGCGCACAAAGTTCCCCCATTCAGAAGGGCCCTGTCGCGCGGCGGTACGAAATACGAGTCTCGGCCCCGTCGACGGATGCAATGCAACCTGGTGATTCGCGGATCTGCAAGTGCCATGTTGCAGCTTTATTTATAAGACGGGACGACTTCTTGGACGTTGGCGACCGGACGACCGGCCTCGAGACTCTGGAACTCTTGGACCATTCCCACGAACCACGCCCAGCATCTCGGCTTTGCCTCGAACCGCTTCTCGTCGCTGGCTATCGTCGCGGCGCATGATTTCCGTTCAGCGGCAGGACACGTGGGGCGTCGTAGGGCTGGATCCTCGTGGACAGTACGAGTACACGGGCACCAGGAGTGACCCGGCCCGAAAGACGCCCGGGAGGGCGCAGACAGCCATGCCCTCGGGCCAAGGTGAGCAGATGGCCTCTGTTGCAGCCTCTCATCACGGCGTCGTTGCGGCAGCTCGCTGTGTGATTGATTGCGACAGCATACACGGGTTCCTTCGCTTGCTCTCGCTGACATGGTTCAAGTACCGGCACTTCGGACCGTGATGGCGCCCAAGTCGGAAGAGGAATGCTTCGAGCTCCTCGTAAAGGAGCTATCGTCCATACCGGACCGGGAGCCTCCTGTTGCCCAGAACGGCGAGACCTCTCCAGACGGAGGGCAATTGACGCCGGTTGCCAGTGAGTCCAGGATGCGCCAGCAAGATGGCTCCGGGGTACCGGCTCACACGAGAGATGCAGTGACGAGCACGAGCAGCGCGCCAGGCGTGGGCACGGCCACCAATGTCATGATTGCAAGGACGATCCGAGCTGCCATGTCCGACATCCGCCCATCCTCTTGAGGCGACAGCCAGTTGCAATGGACACGGCACGCGTGCACGGCGTGGGCCTGGCAATGCACACGGCGCTTCAACGACAACGACGGATGGACCTTGGGTCAGCAGCTCGCCGAGGAAGGCAATTCGAGCCCCACGGACGAGCCGTGCTCGACGTGTGGAAAGGGGCACGGACAGTTGCTCGTCGTTGGTGAAGTTGTGGTGGTCAGGGCGAACGTGGGCCCCCGAGGGCTGAGGCGCTCGTTGGTGATGCGCGCAGCTAATTATTAAAGGACTGCTCCGTTCCCACGGGCCGAAGAGACGGGTGTCGCCCGCGCACGCAGCTTGGTCCGACGGGCCATGCAGGCTGGCAGACGCGGGGCCAGCCGCCATCAATGGAGGCTGTCTCAGCCTGGCGACGATGACATGCAGCGAAAGCGATTCGAGTTGGGTGCATGAAAAGTGCATTTTACACTGGACTGTATATACCAAACACATTGATGAAGCGGCGAGCTCGAATCTCACGCTGTGAATTTTGATTCCTCTTCGTCTTCTCCACCGTGAGTAGATTAACCTTAGCAGCGCTGGTTCTCGATCTTGGATGCCCGCCTCCCCGCCCCGCTCTGGGCGAAAACGCCACTCGCAGCGAACGCCACCCACGGGCTGCAAGCCAACCTAACGGCGACGGCAGGCACCGAAACGCCAATTTTTTTTTTCTTGCCGTCGCTCTGCCAAATCAGTTCTCAGCGGGACGCCGCCCGGAGACGCCATCTCGTCCATCACCTGAGCAGCTGCATAACATCCATCCCCCTCTTCGCAGTCCCCCCGGGGTTTCTCTTCTCTCCTCGCCGCCATTGCGCAGTTCTCTCTTGGCCCGCGAAGGACATTCTTCAATCGGGCAGCTGACCGAACCGTCCTTGTCTCACCCACATCACATCATATCTACCTTATGCCACCCCGCGCCGCGACGAGCTCCCCCTCCTTGACCCTCACTCCGGCGCATCGACGAATGCGCCGCGCGCAACGGTAGAACAGACGGCAGGCGACTTGAGTCTTTGCGCTTGCTGCTTGGGGACGAGAAAGACTGGAGATACAACAACAGGTACAGCTACAGCTACAGTTACACACACACGCACACTCTGCGTTGAGATAGACGCATAGGCTATTCACACATTCGCATCTGCATCTGCATTGCGCGCAGCGTAGCATTTGCTGCGACGAAAAGGCAATAGCAACTTTGCGATATTAAACCTTGAGCCACCATCAGGTAAGTTGCAGCGACGGCCCGCATGGCGATATTGAGGGGAGTGGACGGCTAACGCATGGGACGGGCATGTATGCAGACTTTGTCTTTGGATGAGCTCTGCTGGGTCTGCGCATCGCGAACCCTTGCTGTCGAAGCGTCGCCTCTCGAATCCAGGATACGACACCATTGCGCCTGACGCAACAGCACACCAAGGTCCGTCGGCACGCAGAAACGACAAACACGACCACGACGCCATGTCTACTTCCATCGAGCAAAAGGGCTTCTCTAGCCCCGTCGTCGCAGCCGACGGCAGCAAGACCGCCGGCCCCCACGATGCCCTCCACGTCGTCGACGGCAACGGCGGCCACGGGGGCTTCGGCACCGGCAACACCAGCAGCGGCAGCGACGACGACGAAACCGAGGCGGCCACGCGCGGGCTGCACATCCTCGAGGCGCGCTCCGCCCACTGGTACTCGTACCTGCTGACGCCGTCCTTCTGGCTCGTCATCGCCATCGGGCAGGTCCTCGCGCTGTGCATCACCGCCACAAACACCTTCACGTCGTTCCTCTCGGGCGCGCACTTCAACGCGCCCGCCTTCCAGACCTTCTTCAACTACGCCTTCCTCGCCGTCGTCTACAACACGCTGTTCCTCGTGCGCGACGGCCCGCGCGCGTGGTGGCGCCTCGCCCGCCGCGACGGCTGGAAGTACCTCATCATGGCCTTCCTCGACGTCGAGGGCAACTACTTCACCGTGCTCGCCTACCAGTACACCAACATCCTGTCGGCGCAGCTGCTCAACTTCTGGTCCATCGTCTGCGTCGTCCTCATCTCCTTCTTCCTGCTCAAGGTCCGCTACAAGATCTTCCAGGTCGTCGGCATCCTCGTCTGCTGCGGCGGCATGGGCATCCTGCTCGCGTCGGACCACATCACGGGCTCTAACGGAGGGCCCGGCGCCAACATGCTCAAGGGCGACCTCTTCGGCCTGCTCGGCGCCACCCTCTACGGCACCAGCAACGTCCTCGAGGAGTGGCTCGTCAGCAAGGCCCCCATGCACCACGTCCTCGCCTTCATCGGCCTGCTGGGCATGATCATCAACGGCGTCCAGGCCAGCATCTTTGACCGCGATAGCATCGCCGCCGCCAACTGGGACGGCCAGATCGCCGGCTGGCTCGTCGGCTACACCCTCTGCCTGGCGCTCTTCTACACCCTCGCCCCGCTCATCCTGCGCATGGGCAGCGCCGCCTTCTTCGACATTTCGCTCCTCACCGCAAACTTTTGGGGCGTCATCATCGGCATCCGCGTCTTCGGCCTCACCATCCACTTCCTCTACCCCATTGCCTTTGTCTGCATCGTCATCGGCCTGTTCGTCTACTTCCTCAGCGGCAACATCCTCGGCGACTCGCGCAAGCCCTGGCTCGGCGAGAACCAGGAGGGCGGCGTCGCGGGCATCGGCACGGCCAAGCTGCGCGCCATCAAGGCGGCCCAAGAGGAGCGCGAGCGGGTATGAGTGCAGTGGGTTTGATGTGCTTCAGGGGCGTCGTGGAGCGGGAGTGAGCTGTCGGTGTAAGCAGTGTTGGAGTGGTTGGATAGTTAGCAGACGGCTGAGAGAAACGGTCTGTACCCGTCAGCTTGTAGGCATGTGCAGATGGTGGCCGTAATAGAGGATACAAGATTGTCAATCACAAAATTCCTCTTGCTGGCTTCGCATTTGTGACTTGTCAACATGCTTTTCATTTCTACAATCTGCATATGCTCACTCACACAAGCGTTCAGTTCCTGGTTGAGTCGATGGCTCCATAGCGCCATCACCCGCCTGGGCATGAACCCCTTACCCCTTTGCCCGTAATCTCCCAAGCGTGAATGCCTACCTATGTAGAGCCTACGTAGTCAAGCCCGCTTCATAGCTGATATCCCACGCCCCCGTCCCCGTCCCCGTGTGCGTCACAACCGCAAAACTCCCGCCCCGTCCCGCTCCTCCACCAAAGTCCACCTCCGCCGCCTCGCCAGCAACAGACGCGAGGTCCACAATCTCCCCGGCCATATGCTCGCTCGCACTGACGTAGAACCTCATCGCGGGCACTATCATGACGCTATCCATATTATGAGCGAGCACCTGTACACACATCGTCCGCGTCAGCTATGTTTTTCGTAGACAGTCGTAGGTGGTGCGGAAGCTGTGCCCGGGCAGAGCGTCATTGTCGCTCGTAGGTAAACGTACCGACGCAGCCACGGTCACGACGCCCAAGTCATTCATCTTCCCCAGGCCCACGAGGTACTCCTCATTCGGGTTGGGCATATCATCGCCCGTGATGATCTCGTAGGCGCCCGCCGTGGCCTCGGGGAGGACCTCTATCAGCGTCGGCGCATCGTTGACGACGCGCATTTCGAAAGTGCCTGGGATGAAACAATGCAGCAACGTTCGTTAGCATACGTATAACCAGCACGGGAACCGCATCGTGACAGCCTAGGGAGGGGGAGGGGAGAAACTCAACTGCCGTTGACGCCCGAGCTGCCAATCTGTGCCATGCGACTGACTCCTCCTGTGATCCTCACTCCGGGTGCGGGATACTGCGGTGCCTTCCCTGCCCCTTGAATGCTTCTTTAGCTTCAAGCAAATAATAAACTCGACGCAAAGGTTATTGTCCTCCAGGCGCCACGTCAAAGAGTTCAGACGACCAGGCGGAATCGCAGCATCGGGGATGAATGAACCTTACAAGCATACCAGTCCGACGTGGTCCGCACATCCACGCTCCCTCCCGTCTGCACAAACGCAGTCACCCACGCATGGGCGAACACGTCGGACCCTCCGCCAGTGACCTCGGGCGGCTGCAGGAAGACGGAGTAAGTCCCATCGCGCCCGCTTTCGTTGCTGATCGTGATGCGGTAGTAGATTGTCGAAGGGGACGAAGACGACGACGACGACGACGACGACGCCTGAGCCGAGACATGCGCCACGGCACAGGTCAAAGTGAGGAGCAGACTGAGCATCGTCCTCATCGCGGAGGACCTTCCCTCTCGTTCACCCGGAAAAGTCTACACGACCGTCTCTGGTTCGAAAAGAGTGGTTGACTTCCCGTGTGCAAGATTGGGGGGGGG